TCTGAGAACAACTGCTTGTCCTCTTGATTGTGTGATAGATGTTGGTTATTGAGTGTGAGGTTTGTTGTTAAGGGGGAATTTACAAATATGTTTATGCTCGCTGTTTATTGACATGTATGTATTTTATTTCTGTTACAGTTTTACAGTAAAGAAAATTGTGCGTGCAAGAAAGCTAGGTGAAGACGCTCAAAGGAAGAAAAGCTACAGAGTCCTTTTGCCCTTTTTTCTTCTGTTCGCTATATGCCTACCCATTACATCCAGGTAGTCTCAGGGCAAAATAATAATAATATTAATAATAATAATATTTATTATTATTATTATCACTTGTTTCAGAAGTATGAGACCTCCTGATTTGTGGTTTCTCTCTTGGACAGCAGCAGATTTTCTCTCTCTCTTCTATTTTTTAAATATTCTGAAGTTTCAGTTTTAAAACGAGGACTGGAGTAGATTTTATCTCCAAGCTCAAATTAAAGGATAGTATCGTCTCTCTCTCTCTCTCTCTCTGCCTCTTCGGCCTCTCTGTGAGGAGTTTGTCTCGGCCTGTGAGAGGTTTGTACTGCTTATCCTGCTTACCCCCCCCCCCCCATGATCTCTCTCTATGACAGAGCTGATGTGTTCCTCTGCAGCTCGTCTCTCATTTTAATTCAGCTGCATAATGTGGATCTGAAATGCTAATGTTAGTGGAGAGTTGGTGTGAAATGTGTTTTGAATTCTTTAAAAGGTCAGCAACAACACAACAGACTCTTTGAGCCCCCCCTCCAAAAAAACCCCAATGAACAGCACATTAGGGTCTCCCCTGAGGTCTCATTAGGACTAATTGATTTATAGCTGAAGAGTTAGTCTGAGCCCATCTCACCTTCCTCTGCTCTCAGGTAGACCTGTGATTAACCAGAGGACAGAGCTGCCATCAAACAACCACGGGTCCATGCTGAGGAAGAGTCCTGAAGGTCCATGCTGAGTCCGAGTCCTGAAGGTCCACGCAGAGGTACCCCCAATTTTCACCTCATCCAGAACGACTCCGATCCAGAACAGCTGCGATTTTCACCGTCCGCCAATTCCTACCAGATCCGTTTGTGAGGTGAATTTCGCAGCGGATTACGGCAAGCGGTAATCGCGAGAACTCACAAGAACCCGCAGATTCACGTTCAATCGCTAATCGTTAACTTGAATGGTTATGATCAGCTATGATCGGAGGATACGACCTTCAGTAGACGTTCTGGATTAGGTGGAAATTGGGGGTGAGATTCCTGAAGTCCCAAAGGTCCACGCTGAGTTAGCCTCTGTTGTCCTGATCCTGATCCAGGAGGTTGATCCTGCTCAGTGGAGGAGGATCGGCCCTCCGCTCTTTGGGGAGTTTTCATCTCAGCTGTTTGATTTAGTATACTGTATGTGAAATGTGTGAGTGTGTGTGTGTGTGTGATGGGGTGCATGTGTGATGGGGGCATGTTATACAGGCTGGTGTAATTACCCCCCCTGGGAGCGAGCCTCCCCCAGAGAAATTACCCTCAGTAGAAAACCAGAGATTTCCTCTGAGTTCGACTCACAGATGAGATGTCCTTCTGTCTGTTAGTGATCAGAGCAGCTTTGGATTTAAGAAATATGGACCAATAAAAATGTTCTGACCGGTTCTGATCCACAACCAAACTCCCCTAAAACTCATGAACCGCTGCGTCCCTGTGAAGAGATTTTCAGTTACTGGTTCAAATGAAGTCCTTCAATCTGAGAAACCCAACAGGAAACCCGCCTCAGAAAAAACGGACCTCTGTAGGACAGGGTCATCCCGTAAATCATCATCCTTTTTCAGTGCGCTGCTTTGTTCGCACGCCAACCTGAGCTGCAGCCGAATGTTCCGATCGAAAGACGAGAGAAAGCCTTTAAAATCAGTCTGAAAGATAAACCCTCTTATTTAAAGGGTTAATAGTTTCAGTTTCTCTGTAAACACAAACTCTCTCTCTGTTTGACTCTTTTCCAGTGAGGATGAAGTTGACATCTATGACTGGATTGTTATCTGTAGACATCTATAGACACAGACTGATAAAAAGCTTCATCTGTACTGAACGACAGGAGATCGGTTCCTGGAAAATACCTTCAAACCGTCAATCTTTCGCTCTCAGATTCTGGATCAGTTGTAGAAAACTGATCCTAAATGCCCAGCAGCAGTTGTAGACACTTCTGACGTCTGACACCGACCTGCTGTTGTTGTTGACGGTTGTATGGGGTCGGAAACAGCGCCGCTGAAAAGACCCATATCGCCCCCTAGTGTTGGGGAGGAGGACACGTTCACGTCAATAATTCGATTTTCTCAGCTGCATGTAAACGAGGACAAGGAGAGAAGTCCGATTCGGCAAAGAAAACGAATTATGATCTTTGTCCCATTAAACTGTGACTGTAAATGTACTGACTGATTCCTGCAGAGAAGCTTCGTCTGATGGCGGTCTGATCCTGCTGAATCGGGGGGCTGTGAAAGCGCAGGCAGACTCTGAATCTGAATGTCTCCCCTTTTTTCTCCTCAGTGTCAGAGCAGTGATTTCAGTGGTGATGGTCTTTCATCTTTGGGGGGTCAGCTCTGTCTGCTGCTGCTGCTGCTGCTGTCACTGACAGTTTTCGGCTTGGCTGCTCTGCTGCTCTTCAGGCATTTCCTGCAGACTCCTGCCTCTGTGACAGTCCGCTGTCACCATGTGCCACTCCGAGTTAAAGCCCCGAGACTGATGCAAACCCCCACCACCACCACCCCCACCGCCTCACAACCCTCTGTGGCATGACGCTCAGTTCCCCCACTTAACAAACCTGCACCTCTTTAGCAGGCTTGTCTTGCAGAATGGATTCATAGTGAGAGGAGGAAGACTGCAGGGACTGAAGAGCAGCGTATCATCAGCACACCGGTCCCTGTTGACCTGGGTGGATCACAGCGAGAGTCCTCAGAGAGAGCACTCAGGGCAGGACTCAGTCTCTGCAGCACTGAATGGATGTGACAGGATCTAAGTGTCTGCATTAAAGGAGGTGCAGCTGCAGAGTCTGCAGGCCTCTGAAGAGACCAAACCCCGAGAGAGAAGGGCTCACTTTGTAAAAAACAGAAATTTAAGTTTAATTTAAAATCCTGACATTCTCCAGAGAGACCAAACAGACCTTTTTTTTTTTAGGAAGATTCTGCTGATATTGAGCTAGTATCCTATTTCTATAAAATGAAATAAAAAAATCTCATGAATGAAAAAAGACCTAATAAATATTGTTGATATCAGCAGTAAGTGCTGCACAAATGAACTGACAGTTTATGAAATATTCTGATGATTGAACGACGGAGCGTGATTGAAGGTCGTCCACATTAAACATCATAGATCTGTACCCGTGTCGGCTCTGAAGACGCCTCTCTGCAGCAGAGAAGAAGACCTTGACTGCTCGTGGGTTTCTTGGTAACATGAATGCAGAAGAATTCAAAGAAAACCTGCTGCAGTCTGCAAAATCCTGCCATGAGAGAGAAAGAGAGGGAGAGATTTATCTCAGAGCGAGGCAAGAAACAACCCCAGAAATCAGAACCAGAGTCTCTGCAAAACAGACAATTTAGAAGAAAGGTCGAAATATTTGGTAACAGCTGTGGTGAGATTTCCTCAGAGGTACGCCTGAGCAGGACAATTGAGGTTACCTGGAAACAGCAGACAGTCAATGTAAAATGAATGCTTTACCCCCAATTTACACTGCGTCCAGAACGGCTCCGATCCGGAATGGCAGAGATTTTCACTGTCCGCCAATTCCTACCAGAGCCGTTTGTGAGGCCAGTTTCGTGGCAGATTACAGACAGAAGGAATTGTGAGATCTCACAAGAACCCGTGGATTCATGCTTGGATCTGTACCTGAAGACAAAAACCTGAAAAATTCATACTTTTTAGTTCCTTAAAAGAGATTTCCCAAACAGGAAAATTTAAATGAAAGTCCACCTTCAACAGACACTAACAGGAACCTTAGAGAAGGTACTGAAGACTCCAGTTACTGAAGAAGACACCTGAGGTTACCTGGAAACAGCAGACAGAGGGATACGGAAATAAGAGACAGTTAAAACAGATCCTGAAGAGTTTCTGGTGAAGGGTCATCAGGGGTTCCTAAAACCGGACTGTGAAGAGTCCCTTAAATAGAGTGGACTTTAAAACAAACAAAAGGAGAAACCATCAGAAAGTTTCCAGAACGAACCTTTAACATGATGAAAACCAGAACCTAAAGACCGAAAATAAGGGTACCTGAAGACTACTCTGTAAAACAGGAACCAGGATGCAAAGGGAGATACTCAAAGGTTCCCCAAACCAGAAACTGGAGAAGACCATCAAACGGACACAGAGGTACCTTCAAACAGGGTACCTCAACCTGGACTCTAAAGGGAACTCAGAGACACGGAAAATGTGAAAAACTTTGATTTGGGGTCCATGATTGTTCGACACACCATCAGATGTGGAGGAAAAGTTCTGACCTGACCCGCTGATGTCCTGTTTCCCTCCTCAGACTCCTGGAGGGGGTCCGACTCCCAGCCTCCCCCTGACTCCATGACTGAACACACACACAGTCATATCAGTGGGAGCAGCAGAGCCGCTCTGTCATTAAAGCCTTCTCTAAACTCATTGTGTTCTCTGCTAATGGACACTAATAGAATTAGCTTTCACCGCTGCATCTCATTAGCAGCTGTGGGTCTGTTCTTCACTGATTAGAGCCGCTCAGACTGACGGAGAGAAGAAGACCAACAAGAACAATCTCAGATATACACCGATCAATCAATCAGATTCACCACAGACAGACAGACAGAGGGCTTTAAAACCGCCGTCAGTGATATATGACACCTGTGTGAATAACAGAGCGAGTTTAATGAGCTTATTCAAGATTTCCTCCTCCAGAGAGATTCTCAACAGACGATGAAAGGAATCAGAAATTCATCTTTATCAACAAGTCCAGATGAAACAGTGAGGAGGAGCCTGAGAACTACAACTCCTGTCAGCAGTTTCCCTCCATTTCCCAGAGAGCTCAGCTCATATCCACTCTGTGTGCAGGTGATGTTTTTACACAGAAATACGGAAACAACAAAGAAAACATGAGGGTTATAGTCTGTCAGGTTGGCTCAACCCGCAGTTGAGGCTCCGACAGAGCTTCAACTGCATCCCGAGGGCAGAGGGTGACATTGAGTCCGAATGGACTTTGTTCCGCTCTCCCATTGTCGAAGCAGCTGTTGCGAGCTGCGGCCGCAAGGTCGCTGGTACTGGTCATGGTGGTAATCCCTGAACTCGGTGGTGGACACCAGAGGTGAGGGGAGCCGTCAGGCTGAGGAAGGAGGCCTACAGGTCATGGTCATGGTTGGAGGGGAGGTCCTGCCTCAGGTGGAGGAGTTCAAGTGTCTCGGGATCTTGTTCAAGAGTGAGGGTAGGATGGAGCGGGAGATTGACAGGCGGATCGGAGCGGCGTCAGCAGTGATGCGGACGCTTAACCGATCAGTGGTGGTGAAGAAAGAGCTGAGCCGTAAGGAGAGACTCTGGATTTACCGGTCGATCTACGTGCCGATCCTCACCTATGGTCATGAACTTTGGGTAATGACCGAAAGAACAAGATCGCAGATACAAGCGGCTGAAATGGGTTTCCTCCTCAGGGTGTCCGGGCTCAGCCTTAGAGATAGGGTAAGGAGCTCGGACGCTCGGGAGGCGCCCAACTTGCATATGTCCTTCATGGTTGTATTTAAGGAAAAGACTGGGGTTATCACGCTGGAGGTCACATTTTCTTTCAACCTCAGGAGATGACAGAGACACAGTGAAGTACATAATGTCACTCATTACCAACATTTTGATCTGGTTGTTACTGTCCCCCTTCATGGATGCTGATCCTCTATGATGTTTTTCCTCTCTAACTGGATTGAAAGTCTGCGATAGATTATTTCTATACTTACAGATTAACTTCTCCTGCAGAAACGGTCAACAGCTGTTTTCATTCAAGCTCCAAACTCCTGAAATCTACCAGAACTTTAGCAAAGTGAGCTCACTGTGTATGTGAGCACACAGATAAACTATCACCCTGATTTTACTCAGACTTTTAGACTGGAGTCCATTCAGCCGAGGTAAGAACACAGCAGGTAATATCTGGGAAAATGCAAAAAAAAGCAAACAGGCGAGAGGACCGGTATGATGCAACCTTAGACACTGAACAGGTGAATAAAAACATCTGAGGAGGAAGAAGGACGTCTCCGAGTCTCCATAGAAATGTGGTTTACCTCGGCTTCATCTGACAGGAGAGACTTCATGCTGTGAGGGACACGTGTGAACAAGTGATTCAGGGAAATGTCCGAAGTTCAGGTCTGTAAGAGGTTTAAAAAGTCTGCGGTACAACCAAACTTTCAAGGTCTCCCTCTGAATATTCAATTTGATGCTTATTTGGCTGTAAACTTTGAGATGACCTCCATCTGAATCAGGTGAAAATGAGGTTACTGAGAGCTGATATGGAAACAGAAATGTGAAGGTTTTTTTCCCCCGGCATGCCGGCTGTAATCATCCATGAAGAGGCTGAGAAAATGTCTGAATCTCTGCTGATTCACCACCAGAAAATGACGATCAACCCGACCTTTGATTTGTCTTTGAGAACTGAGAAAGAAAATCATATTTCAGTGTCTGTGAGAGAGTGACGGTCTGAGCAGAGTGAAACACGACCAGATCTCGGTGAGGATTTCACTTCTTAGAGCCCGAGCCTCAGAGCGCCGGCTCACAGAGCGGCCCCCCGCTGCGGGCTTTAAAGACCAGCTCTGCAGTTTTAAAGCCGCTACCATCGCTGATCCCTCTGCCGGGACTCTGAGGTCATCACCACATGACCCCGAGCCGACACAAACGCTCTGAACAATCCTCTAAGAGTCTTTATTTCACCTGCTGAGACGAGGTTTATCCCCGTCAAAAGGAAGAGAAATGAAGTGAGTGAAAAAACATGATGCAACAGGAAGGGAGGGAGGAATAAAAGAAGGTGTGAGCAGAGGGAGAACCTGCAGAGGAAGAACCTACAGAGGAAGAACCTGCAGAGGAAGAACCTGCATGGGTACGAATGCTGTACGACTTCTCAGTCTCACACTAAGTATGTTTACAGTCTCAGTTTAATCAGACTAAACTCCTAATTCGTTTTTTTCTCTGAATCAGACTTCTCTCCTTGTCCTCATTTACATGCAGCTGAGAAAATTGAATTATTGACGTGAACGTGTCCTCCTCCCCAACACTAGGGGGCGATATGGGTCTTTTCAGCGGCGCTGTTTCCGACCCCATACAACCGTCAACAACAACAGCAGGTCGGTGTCAGACGTCAGAAGTGTCTACAACTGCTGCTGGACATTTTGGAGAAACAAGAAGATGGAGCATCGTACAGCGTTGTTTTTGTCCGACATGATGGACGCGCTACTTTTTCTAAAGATGAGACCAACGCTACTCCTCTACTCTGGGGGTTTGTTACAGGGTTACGGGGGACATGGCACACATGCATTATCCGATCATACTCCGACTACATTACATGGTAGAGAAAATCGAATTCCAGTCGCATTATTGGGTGTCTTAATCGGAGTTCTCAAACTCCGTTGGACTAAGGTGTTTACATGCACTTCAGTTATCCGGTCTTAATCGGAATAAGGCGATAATTCGGTTTTCTCGAGTGTCATGTAAACGTACTGAGTATCACAACATTCAGCCAAACTACCCCCCCCCCCCCATATGTTAGGCCACACAGAAGTGATCTGGATGGAGGGACCTTGGGTCCAGGTCTCAGTTCCGTCAGGTGGGTCCAGTCTACCTGAGTTTGTGTCGTCATGAAGGCGGTGTGGTTCATCACCTGTACTGTAGTCAGACAGCAGGGGGCGCTTTGAGTGTTTTGGCTTATTTTTTGCAGAGCTGTCATGTCCTGTTAACAGTCCTTGATACTAACTCCGCCTCTGTTGTTAATAACTCTGCCACTTTTGAGTAAGATCTTGTTCTGTGTCTCTCCATCTCTTCTCCTTTCATGGTTCTGGGTGACGGCCGGTCTCAGTGTGAAGTTTAAAGACTTTCATACCTCTGTAGAAATTATATGAGCCAATAAGGACAAAAACATGTTATTGTAGTATAAACAGAGATTTTAAATATTTCTGTATGAATGATCTGAACTTTTATTATCATAAATCCTGAAATAAAGACTCGTAGTATTTAGAGCTGTTGATGATAAGTGTCTTTAAAAACTGGAAATAATGTTCTGAAAATAAGTATAGCATGTGTAGAAGGCCTTCAGGCTGGTTATCAGACAACATAAGATGAAATATAGATGAAGAAGAAGCAGCAGCGGTTAGTGAGCTAACTGTAGCATCCCTCTGAGAAATGATCAGACAAACAGATTTGTTATAAATCAAAAACAAGGTCAGAGGTCGAGTCTCTTCAGTCAAACATTGAAGTTGAAGCAGTTAAAGCAGAACTGAAGCAGTTTCCTGTCCATCACAGAGAAACCTTAGAGGTTCACAATAATCACACACCAGCTGGTGGTAATAATAATCCATGGTTAAAATTACTCTTGAGTATGCAGGAACATAACTAAAACTCTGAGTGTTTTGACTGTAAACATCCTTCAGAGGAGTCGGGTCATGTTGTTGGGAGTCCACAGGAAGTTTGAAGTCAAAACTCATCGAGGTAAAAAAGGAGACACACCGGTCTAAAAACAAGAGGAGTTTTATTATTTATTATTTATATTGAAAATAAATATCTATATATGTTATTGTTATATGTTATTATAGTTATCCATATAATAAAAATATTACTGCTATAACATACATGGAATGATGAAATTTTTAATATATAAATGATTTAATATAACTACCTTGTGTGTGTGTAGGCCTATAGCTATTGCTCTACCGATCTGTTTAATCTTTATTTATGAAAATCCATGGTTAAAATTATTCTTGAGTATACAGGAACATAACTAAAAATTTCCCATAAAGCATTGCAAAATGGAGTGACCATCCGATGGTCACTCACCGGTGGTGGGCATCCTGTCATGCATTGCGTCATGCCATGTAGTGTCCGAAACCTCCGGTGATTGAGTTCACTTCATAGTCAACTATAGAGAGAAAGCCCATATGGGGGTTAGGGATTGAGTGATTTATTTCGGACACGGCCATATAAATATATCTATGGTCATCACGGCAACTCTGCGACTCTCCCGCCAAATGCGCACAACGCTACTGCGCAAGTGGTGAAGAGCATAAAATGCTTCTGAGCAATGTTGGTTTCAGGGAATGGAGAGAAAACGCGGAAATACTGAGAGCTTTTGAGCTTCAAATCCGTAAACTGGCCACAGTTTATATACAGTCTATGGTGCTGATGTCCAGAGTGGTCCAGACTCCAGTCCATCCAGATCCACTCCTGTTTCTCCTCCCTCCTCTTTCAGAGAGCAGCGCTCTGATTGGTCACTGACTGCTTGTCAGGAAGAAAGAGCTGCTGTGTTGAGGCCGAAAACTCAGACACAAGCAGGACCTGGACGACGCTGGAGTACCTCGGAGGACGGATATACTCTCCTCATGACGACGGGGCGGATTTTTTAACGAGCCGGGCCGCAGAGAAGCTCTCCCCGACCCTCCTCGCTGCTCTCTCCGAGGCCGCCGCGTCCTCCTCCGTCTGCCCGCCGCCTGTGCGCCGCTGCTCCGCCGCTCTCTGTAATCCAGAGCCGCTGCTGTTTACGGGACTGACGCTGCTGTGTGGCGACGCAGGGACGAAGCAGCCTGAGATTAAAGTGTCTACGAGGTGTGTGGGAAACATAACGGATCAGCTGTTGCTGTCAGACCGGTTTAACATCCCGGTGAAGAGCCAGCTGGATGGGAGAAGTGCGCGGCGGAGCGGCGTCTGATTCTGCGGAGGAACTGCTGTGAGTGACCTGAAGACAGCTGCTGCTCCTTCTTCTTCTTCTTCTCCTGGAGACAGGCGCTTTGTGGGCTTCAGCTCTGAGGATTAATCCCATGAAGGCAGCAGCAGTTTGAGGCTCCTGCAGCAGGTGAGTGTCTGACATGGATCCCAGCTCTTCCTCCTCCTTCTCCTCCTCCTCCTCTTCCTCCGCGCTGGGATTTTGGACACGACTTGCTTGTGTTTGTGTGTTTTTTACTTGTGATGGTCACCTTAAAAAGTCCTTGTGTTATCACCCCACTAAGGCCCCTAATGTGTGTTCGGTACAGCCAGGTTCTGGACGGACCCGGTCCTTTAGTCCCCCCTCCCGAACAGCGGCTCTGCTGTCCGGGGGGAGGATTAGCAGACATGGAGTCGCTGTCCCAGCTGTCCCCGTCTGTCAGCTCCAACTTTAAACCCCAGCCTTTAACCCTCCTCTTCCTCTTGTCGTCTTTTCCAAGTACGCTAATTCTCGTCCGTGCGCGTGCAGCCGGTGAGCACGCGGATGGATCAACACAGAGACATAAGAGTGGCGCGAGCCGAGCGGCAACAGTTGCACTAAAACGGCGACTGAGTGTTTGAGATGATGACGGCCAGGGAGGGATTTACCGTTTTCCGATATAACGGTAATTAACCGTAATGAGCCGATATTTGATGTAGAGCTGGGCGACTTGGACCAAAAGTCATATTGCGATATATTTAGGCTGAATATCGATATACGATATTTATCTTGATATTGATTAGTCACAGTCAAAGCCAAATATGACATGTCACAAGTATTTCTATTTACACTGAAATGATGCTCAGCTGTTTAAAGAACAATAACATGTAAATATAAATACTCTATAACCACAGGAGTACCTTTGTTTTCCATAAGGTGAACATTTAAATGAAAAATATATCTTAAATTAAAATAGCCCATAAAGTAAAATAGGCTGACCTTCTTTCCTGAAATAAATGTATTTACATGAGAAAAGCATCAACATTTTGATAACTCTAAATGGCTGATTAAAATCAAATTGCAGATTTTCTTCATCGAATACGACAAAAGAATTAAATATGACAAATCCTAGTAAGGGCAGAATTTATATGTATAAAGACAGAATAAAATAAAGTGCTCAGTTTAAGAAAATAGTTTTTAAACATCATTTTGAGATTATTTATCTGTCTTTCTGATCTTCTTAACAGTCTCAACCAGTTGCACAGACGATGAACTCAGTAAACATTTCCCCTCTTCTTTCTTTTTGACTCTGATAAACAGTTTGTGCTGTCTCAGAGGACAGACAAGTGTGTCCTTCTTTGTTTCAAGATTTAGTGTGAGGAACTCCAGCCTGTCAACAACAGCATCTGATATCTGTATCCATATTTGTGCCATATGGTCCAATTCCATATCTCATTTAAAAATAAACCGATATATTTCTTATCTCGATATATCGCCCAGTCCTAATTCTATGAGTGTTTTCTCATGCGCGTGGTTTCGCAGCTTCACTTTCAAAGAAATCATCGCTTCAATTATTCTTCAGGAAATCATGACCGTTATTATCAGATAACTAAGAGGCCAAAATGAAACCATGTGGTATTAAACTACATGAAGAAACAGATATGATAAAACGAGCTGAATCGTTCCTGTAGTTTGTCCTGGACTGAAGATCAACAGTTTTTCAGCTCTAAACACCGACTGAAAAGAGAATTGGTTAATAATCAATAACAATTAGTCTACGTTCACTCTGCAGGTTCTGAGGCACAATTCGGATTTTTGTTAAATCCAATCTTTTTGCGCGGTCGTTCACATTACAACAATGAATGCATTCTGCAAATTGCTTTCCGCACCTGTTTGTGTTGTTGAACAATGGTGACGTTTGTCGCATATTGATGACGTATAGGTCGGATGAAGGCCGCCTGAGCGTCCACACTGCAGTCACATCGGATACATTTCTGATTTATATCCACATGCAAAAGAGGCCTGGGTCGGATTAGAACCAATCAGAATTGACCTGTTCACACTTAGATGAAAAAATCAGATATGTGACACATATGGTTAAAAAATCAGAATTGACCTGCAGTCTGAACGTAGCCTAAATGTTCGTGTTAAATCTCCCTGAAAATTCAAGATGGTTACTCAGCTCGAAGACTCCAAAATCAGCCAACTGGACTGTGTAGAGTTTGAGAAGACGCTTCACCGCGAGAAGCTTCTTCGGTTCTAAAATAGCTAGTGAGGGGAGCTGGTATTTGTCTACTGGAGAAGGGGAAAACAACGATTGGGAGGAGTTGGAGTGAATGGGTCGTAGAAACACATCTCCCAGTGATTATCCCGAGTTGGTCGTTAACTACCCCTTTAACGTGAGGTGTTGTGGTCACATGGTCCCAGAGAGCCAAGAACTGCATTGTAGGTGCCGGAGAGGTTGTGCCTGAGTCCACCTCCTCTGTTCAGAGAGGGTTTCTCCAGTCTGGTGAAAATGGCTTCTTTAACTCCTCTTTCAAACCATCTGTCTTCTTTAGCCAACACCTGTACATTGCTGTCCTCGAAAGAGTGACCCGTGTCCTTTAAGTGAAGGTGGACCGCTGAGTCCTGACCTGAGGAAGTGGCTCTCCAGTGTTGAGCGTTAAGTCAACTGTTACAGAAACTCTGAGTTCCTTCAAAGGTTAGATAAAACGGTAATTTCCCGTAATTAGCTGATATTTGATGAGTGTTTTCTCATGCTCAGCTTCATGCTCGTGTTTTTGCAGCTTTACTTCCAAAGAAATCATCGATTTCTGTCCGGGTTCTTCTGGTTCCTGCAGTTTTCTTCTGCAGGTTTATTTTTGCACTCAATCGTTTTCTTGTGCAAAGTGTAATTCAGACACAGCTATGCTTTCTTTGAAACTCGGTCTAATGTGTTTTTCTCCGACCATGAAAGTATGGAGCATGAAACCCCGATGTTTGTCAGAGAAATCTACAAACTCTTTATGTTTTTCAGAGATATTTGTATTCAGTCCAGACTTTAGGCTTTAAACGTCAAACACAAAGTACTCCGAGAGGCTGTGAAAATATGATAACGGTAATTGTTGGTGCGACACTCTTTGTTAAATGATCAGTTTGCTCAATTAACCTTCAGAAAATAGTGACAAATTTAATCTCTGTGTCTTTGGGTTGGTTTGAGATGTAAAACTTAAGACACCATTATGATTTGACATTTTAGATTCATGAAACGGTCTGTTTGGTTCTCGGCTGCTCCTTTTTCTTCCTCTTATATTTTGTTTTTTCTCGGTAACCCATCAGTGTCTATCTGTCCTAACATTACTCTGTCATGGAGGAGGAGTTAACCCCTTAGGCTTTTTGAAGCACAAACAAGTCAAACAAATGTAGAAAAATAAATCTGGATCTTTTCATACAGAGGAATTGTTCAGTTGAGTATATTGTCTCAAATGTCAAAAACAACCAGATTTAATCGTCTCTAAATACCAAAACAAGCTGCTAAAGTTCAGACTGAAACCTGATATTATGAGTGATAAACTGATCCGGAGGATTCGCTCAATTAGCCTTCAGGAAATCATGACCGTTATCATCAGATTACTGAGACACCAAAATGAAACGATGTGATATTATACTACAGAAACTCAGTTCCTTCAAAGATGATCAGGTATTTTCAGGGTGATCAATAGTTTATCCATCAAATATTTGAAGCTGATTTTATTTTACATAAAACTGAGAAATTTTATGTCTAATTGTAAATTTTTCAATATTTGTGACTCCAACATAAAACGGTTTCTAACTCCTTTAAAAAATGTTAAATCAAAACTGAGACTTTCATCATCATCATGTAGAAGAGTTAACAGCAAACCAGTCATGTGTCCGAGTCATGTGTCTTCCTTCTCCTCACCGACAGTGAACTGGATTTTTTTAAGGTTGTGGCCCAAAAACTCAGTATTTATCCTAAAGCTGAGATCAGACTTCACGTCCTAATATTTACACTTTACATCATTTAGACAGAATCTACCAAACTCTTGTTTCTACTGTATGCTGACGACACCGTCATCTCCTGCTGTGAACCTGCACCGGCTGAACAAAACAAAAGTAGATTTTTACTTAAATTTCTTGATTTGATTTAAAAAGACAAAGCACATCGGTCAAACAATCAACAAAATTATGAGTTAACACAGCACATTTCTTCATGGAAATACAATCAGACCGAGACAGAAGAACTACCGCGTCTGTAAAATGATTAATGTGGTGATAATTACTTCAAGGAAATGATAAAGAAATGATCATAAATGTTCTTCCTTGAGCTGCGGCACCCCGCTGTAGTCTGTAATGGACTGGCCTGAGGTCTCTCTACAAACAAGCGGCTGCTGGAAGAGAGTAGGTGAGTTGTGTTTAGTCTCTCAAGTGGCGTTTTGGTTGAGGTTTGTTTATGGCTCCTCAGACCGCTGTGTATTACTATCCTGCGGTCGTTACTAAAGTTGGTATAATTAGAGAAGCAAAAGGTTGGCAACATTCATCTCTGGACAGGGTGTCTGACGCGGTGTTACAGTTTGTTTGACCCTAAATTAATTTTATGCCAGAATATCCCTTTTAATGACAGTTGGATAAAACATGAAATTTAATCTAATCTAATCTTATAAGATGTAAATATGATGCATTCAAATGTCATGTGAACAAAAAAGAAGGGGAAACAGTTTTATGGTGAAAAACACTTTGTCATCTCGTCTGTCCTCCACAGCAGTATCGATCTGGATCATTAGAGGGTATCAATAAAACCGAACCGTCCCCTAGTCGTGACGGCGGACCTGAGATCCTGCAGTCTGGCCTCCATGAAAGAGTCTCTGACACACTGATGGACACATTTTGGTGACATTTACAGACTCTCTCTGAGCCTCTTTCTCTCCTTTTAACGGTTCGGAGTAAACATTTGTTTATAGCGCCATAACTGCCGTGTAACTGTGTGAATTCAAGCAGCATTCAAAAGCCAATAATCTGCTGCTGCTGTCAGAGGAAATCCAGTAAATGCCAAGTTTACATTTTCAGATATCCAGTAACTCGGAGAGGCTCCAGCGAGCACAGGAGCTCCTTCAAAACCATCCAGCCTCCTCTTCAGGTTTACCGTCAGGAAATCTCCTCGTACGTTAAAGAAAGCCGCTTTGACCTTTTCTACGTCCTCAATATTCAGAACTGGATTCATTCATGCTGTTTAAGTTCAGAGACTCCAACATCCAACAACACGTCGATAACCTTTAGAGAATCAGAACACGATCGATATCTCCATCGGTCCCTGAACGCAGCATGTTTCAGTGTTATGTCTGTTTGTCTCCATTAATGAGTGAAGGTGGGGGGGGGGGCTCTCAGGGGGGGGAACAGCAAACATCGCCCCCCCTCCCCCCTCCTCTCTGAGCTGCTTCACTGACTCTGCGCTCAGACCCAGAGGTGTTGGACCTTCAGGTTTCAGGTGATGGAGTCATCAGGATGTAATCACTGAGATACCCTGGGAGATAAAGTCCAGCCTCCTTTTACTCGGAGAGGAGCGCCGAGAGGAGAAGTGCTACCTCATGAGGAGTGGAGGTGGAGGTGTGTGTATGTGGGGGGGGCTGTGGTGGAGGTGAGGTTAGCTCGGTTTGTTCTCACTCCTCAGATTCAGCAGCTTATTCTCAATACGACACTGTAGGCAGACCGAGGTTTCTCTGTTAAACACGGTTAGAAATGTCTGTTAGAGCTGCAGCCTGTAAACCGAAGCAGACTGTACATGAGGGCAGTCTAGGGCTGGGCGATATGTGAAAAAGTTTATCACGATGTATTATTTTCCTATCAGCTGATATCGATCAATATCAGGATATAAAAATCTAACAGTGTTTATTGGTCAATAATCAATAACAATAATCTCCTGCATCTGTGAGGTCTTTGTGTCTCTTTGGCGTTTTGTCGTAAGGCGTCGCTCTAGAGAAAGCCGACTGAATGGTCGTCTGTTTCAGGCGCCATGGGCTCCTCGCTCCTCTCGGGGTTTGTAACCTTTAGCGTTGCGCGTGCTCTGCGGCGTGGCGCTGCTTCAGGTGGTGAAAAAGATTTGAGGTATTCCCCGACTTTGTGAGAACATGTACTCGACATAATTTACAGTCCACATTACTCTGCTTCATGTCCGACCTCCAAAAACCAAAATACCTCCACACCACCGACGTTTTCCTAACGCCAGTGTTGTGGTTGACATTGATGTGGTCATCTGTTGAGCCTTCATGGTCATTTCTGTCGGGGGTAGCACTCATTTTCTTTGTTTCTCACCAACAGTGCTGTCGGCTTCACCTGTTAAAGTGCTATGGTTGGGTGTAGCTGCTGTGTGATGCGACGCAGTTGTTTGATACTTTGTTCTAATTCAGAACATGATTGGTTCAGACCCGGAGAAACTCCCCTTTTCATTGGCTGTTCGTATAGTCAACCAAAACATGTCAGAATGACGACAATTGAAAAGGATATTGATCATGTTTTATATTGATATTGAGAGAAATTAATTTTCAATATTATCGCTTTATTGCTTAGCCCTCGGGCAGTATGGAGCTCTCACACTGGACTTTAGGGGTCATTAGAGGTCAACTGTGCCTGAGCTTGTTACCGATTGGCTGGTTTGTATCACAGTTGAGCGTCTGGAGCTGAAACGTGCTCCTTGTTTTTCCTCACATACCTACTTTTCTAAAATCAACGAAGTCTTGGTGCCTAATGAAACCCAGACTGGGACCACTTGGCTGGATTAACCATAAATTAGGACTCTTAGAAGTCCTAAAATCCCAAATCTGAAGGTTTTGGGTAAAAACCTGTTGGTTTGATAAGAAGGTTTGGTCCATGTGATCCTCAGAACAGAAGCAGGGCTGATTAATAAATCGGAAAGTCATGAATCATGTGATAGTAATGTTGAAGTAAACAGTATAGATCTGACTAACCATACGCAGCTTAGAAACACGAGGCCTACATTACCATGGACGTGATTATCTTCATATTCTCTGCTGTAAATTGACGGTGACTGTGAGGTGAGCAGCAGGAAGGTCGGCGAGGAGAGAGAGCGAGGCGATGTGGTTAATGAAAACGAAGGGATCATTAGAATAAACGAATGTGCCACATCAGCAGGTGAACATGAACCACGACCGCAGAAAAGCAGGAGCTGTGAGAGAAAACTGAGCTTCAGAAACCATCATCATGGTGGTTTTTACACGGTGAGGGTTGGAGTCCTGGTGCAGGTGTAGTTCACGGTGAGAACGCTGAATTCTTTGGATTTAAGTCTTGGAGAGAAAATTAAGTGTTCATCAGAGTGTGACTGTGGTCCTCGGTCCTGAATGCTGATCCGGAGCTCCAAACTCTGCAGAGAGGATGATTTAGATTTATCTCACCGTGTTTTCAAACGAAGAAACCCCGTGAAGGTGATGCTGTAAAACACGCTCACATGTGTCTGCGTGATGGCGTGCAGCGTTCCCTGAGCCGATCTTTTGTCTCTCTCCTCACCGTGCAGTGGGCGATCGAGTGGGAGGAACTGAGAGGCTGCTCTCTGTTTTGAGTTTACACTCTTTACAGAGTCCAGCTGAAGGTCAAGGATCGAGACCTTCTCTCTCTTTTTTCCTCCTCGGTCTGGACACGCCTCTGTGGCGTCCGCTCTGTGGCGTCCGCTCAGTGTGTCACTTCGGGAAGTCGTGTTCGGTCCTCTCTGCTCCTCTGTGTTTTCAGGACAGAAGAAAACCTCAGTGACGGATTTCTTCATCTTTAGTTTGATGGTTTCAGCTCCTCTATCTCTACTTTTGGATTTAATAATAATAAAATAATAATAAATCAGATTTCATACGGCTCTTTATCAGAGACCCTCAAAGCTTTACCACTTTACCTCCTGAGCTACTGCTGCCCAGCTTCCCAAAACACCTCGAAATGTAGATTTTAAAACAGTTGAAGTCGGATTATTCTGAAGGAAAGAGCTCAGATTAAAAAATCAGATTTTTAAAGACGGTCTCAGAAAAACAACAAAAATACAGCAGGACTGTTTTTATTATTCTCATTATTATTATTATGATTATTATTTCAGTTTAAGTGTCGGAGCAGAAGTGTAGGTCGGAATATTTCCATCCTCGCTGGAGGAGGAGGAGGAGGAGGAGAGGAGCTAAAATAATGAACCCACCATCTTTGTTTCGGTGACCTCCGCCCACCCTCAGTTCAGTCCAGCTGCAGAAAACTGCGCTCTAACAAACTCCTCCAGCTCCTGACATGGAAACCTCCATCTGTGAGGACCAGGTTTTGGACTGAAATAGAAGCAGGGCTGTCAGAGTTCACCTGTTTGTTATGTAAACCTTCACGGGTGTGAGGCTGACAGTCTTAAAGTCGTTTTCACTCAAACTGGAAACATTTGATTCTCTCCAAAACAACGAACCTGCGAAACATCTACACAAAAACACAACCTGATCAAACTCGGTGGGTCGATAATGTGACGAGAGTTCTGTTCATGTTTTGTTTTTTTCCTGCCGCTTGTTTTCCGTCTGCGTCGCTCTCGCTGATGTTCTGCTCAGAGTGTGAAACGGAAGGTTCTGTGTTTGATCGGGTCGAGTCGTAAAGATCTGACAGGTGTTCACTCTGAGCATGTAGATACAAGACCCCGGATCATAGGACAGTGTGTGTGTGTGTGTGTGTGTGTGTGTGTGTGTGTGTGTGTGTGTGTGTGTGTGTGTGTGTGTGTGTGTGTGTGTGTGTGTGTGTGTGTGTGTGTGTGTGTGACTCAGTGAAGTTCATGGACTTGCTGACATGGTGCAGAAGCAGCACAGACGTGTCCTCTGAGACCTTCTGCAGGGATCTCTCTCTCTCTCTCTCTCTCTCTCTCTCTCTCTCTCTCTCTCTCTCTCTCTCTCTCTCTCTCTCTCTCTCTCTCTCTCTCTCTCTCTCTCTCTCTCTCTCTCTCTCTCTCTCTCTCTCTCTCTCTCTCGTAACCACAGAATATCGGCGGCTGAAAATTGAACCGCCAACAGTCATAATCAGGCGTCCCATTTGCTTGTAATTTGAATCCTCTGCAGTCAGACTTGTTTTTAATGCATTTTTATCCCCCAGCTGTTCCCGACGATATCGCTGCTTCCTTTGTGTACGAGATACCAAATATCATTCGGGCGCTGCGCCTATTTCCTCCCAGCTTTGTCTTGTTAAAAAAACACAGAGTCAAACCAGCGAGAGATGAAGTATTGGAGCTGTGGGTTAAAAATCAAACTGATTAAAGGAGAGAAAAGAGGGAGCGCTTTCTCTCCTGGAAGTGGATTCTGCTCCTCGACGTACCGAATCGCTGAAGTTCTCAGGAGGCAGAGCTGGACTCTCCGGAGGACTTCAGTCTGTCTGCTGCCTTTCAGAGACGTAAAATTAATTAAGGGTCAAACCCACCATAACACCGAGTTAGACCCCCCCTCCAGAGATGAATGTTGTCGACCGCTTGCTTCTCTAGTTTTACCAACTTTAGTAACGACCACAGGATAGAAATACAGAGCGGTCTGAGGAGCCATAAACAAACCTCAACCAAAACGCCACTCTATAGCCGACTGATATGGAATTTTTGGGGCAGATGCCGATACCGATAGTTAGGGGGAAAAAATCCGATTACTGATTAATCTGCTGATTTTAAAATTTTTATTAAGTTATAAAAATATATTTATACTGTAGATATACTGTAGGCTACTGCTCTTCACGCCGACAGGAAGACCGACTGATCAAACTCGGACCAGAAAAGCGTTTTCAGCTACCTCAGGCCAGTCCATTACGGACTACAGCGGGGTGCCGCAGCTCAAGGAAGAACATTTATGATCATTTCTTTATCATTTCCTTGAAGTAATAATCATCATATTGATCATTTTACAGACGCGGTAGTGCTTCTGTCTTAGCGTCTCGGTCTGATTGTATTTCCATGAAGAAATGATCGACTTGCGAGAACCATCAGGTATATCACAAGAGCTTCTCCTCCGACGGCGGCTGCAGACCAGATCCAGTGATGATATTTTTTTTTGTACGACGGTAGGGGAAGGTTTCGCCTCCTTCGCTTCTGATTGGCTAGAAGTGCTGGGCTCCGATTGGTTATTCCTTATGGCTGTGAAACATCAGCGCGGGCTGTCGGCTCTGTACATCGAACAGAACTTCACAGAACATTATCGTGATTCTGAACGTTGGAGGCGGGACCTTCCCCTACCATCGTACAAAAAGAAATATCGTGATCCTTTAGGCACTATATGCTTGTGTATTTGATCCGCTTGCCGGTCCGGATCCAGTGGAATCCCCGGGTAACCCTGTTCGCTGAAAGTTCCAGGAGATCTTCAGCGAACTGCAGGTCCATAATTGCTGGGTGCAGAAACACACTCATTTCTCCTGATGCAGTAATTAGCTCGGAGTCTGCGCCTAAAAATGTCACTAAAGCCGAATATTTCTCCATCACACCAGCTGATTTAGTAAACACACAAATAATGACTCAGTGGCTGGATCACTGATTGTCGCTCTAATTGGTTATTCATTATTTCCCACTGATTGACTTTGATTCATTTTTACTTTGTAAACATTTCATTTCGAGCGTGCTGCGTCGGCTCGATGCTGAGCACAGTGTCTCTGTTCGTCTGTAATGAGATGTTAGATAAGGGCCATGTCACACACACACACACACACACACACGCACACACACACACACACACACACACACAAACACACACACTGATCGGCAGGTCCTTACGTTGTTAGATGTTATATACCTATTTTCAGACTCTGCTGTAGGGACATGCGTGGTCCCCTCCTGCTCAGGTATGTTCCTCACATCCTCACCTGCTCTGATGGTCTCTGTTATTGATTAGAGAAGAACAGGCTCATTATTGAAGCTGCAAGACGTCCGAGAAAAAAGAAAAGTGGATCCAGTCCACAGAGCTGACACCCAGCAGCAGGTGTGCGGAGCTCTCTGCAGGTTCCTGATGGGTTTGTTCCACTCTTTAAGTTTCCATTTGGAGTCCGTGTCGGTCACTCGGCTCTTCTTCTTCTGCTCTGACCTCCCCGTGTTGGTCCGTGTAGATATTCTGTCGTTGAAGGTTCAACATGCAGCTCTGAACGCTGAAGACTTGAGGCTGCACGCAGACTGTGGTGTTGTGGGTAAAAACCAAAGTGGCAGACAGTCTGTACCTCTGGGAACTTAAAGTAAGACCAGGACCTGACTGCACCAGCAGAGAACGACTGTCATCCATAAATCTGAACATGCATGATCATTTTCATTTAAAGGTGTTGTAGTCAGGATCTGAGTTAAACTCTACCCCTCCCAACCAGTTTTCGTTCCAATTAAATTCAGATATAATGCAGATAAATACTTCAGATCATTACAAATGGGGCCCAGTCAAGGTGAAAGTCAAAAGCATTGGTGCTACTGTAGATGCCAACAGACTACCAGCAAACACGACGTCTGCAGGACTTCTACAACGAGGATAAAGTGACATAGTCCAGGACCCGAGGGAGGACAGTTTAGCGATGGCGCTACAACACGCTACAGCAGGTCCGTTTGACAAGAAACACTTCTGTTACAGACACTTGTCTTACTTTGTTAAAGCGGTTTACCTGTCCAGCAGAAAGGTTACAGGGTCACCAAGATCCCCAAGCGTCCCCCATCGTTTATGTTGACCCGGCTTTTTAGCTCTTGTCCGGTCTACCTCCGTTTTAAGCGCCCGTTATTCCTCCAGAGTCTCCGGTATTTACTTTGTTTTCTTGCTTGTGTCGGCAGTCGTGGCCAAAGGAGGATTCAGACAATTTTCCGAACTTTCTGGTTGGTTTCTACTGTCCGATATTGTAGCACGCTAACTTTGTTTGGGCTCCTGAACGACACGGGGGAGCAGCGTCTGCCTCACAACCAATCAGGTTAGAGGAGGTGGAGAACGGCTTTGTTTACAGTCAGAAAGAGCGGACCGCTCAGAAATGTTCAAATGTTGACGACACAGACATAAGAGAACACAGAGATATCCTTATATTACCAGATGTCATCAATAACTAATAACTATTGACTGATATTAGAAGAGTTTTTTGTATAAAAACCACAAAGAAAAGATTCCTGTCTACACCACCTTTAATTGCAGTCGGACAAAAACACAAACCTAACTTAATAAATGTGAATTTCTGAAATAATGACTGTAAAATATTTATTTTACTGTGTCACTCAGTACCATCCTGCTGCACTGAGCTGCAGAGGGAAAAGAGACAGATGTTAATATGATCATTTCTGCATAAATTGAGTCGGGTTCTGGATCAGTCTGAACATTTCAGACTGACTCCTGACTCCCAGAGGACCCGTCAGACTGTCAGGTGAAGTCTCAGAGATCTCCAGACCGGACCAAATGAAAGCTCTGAGCAGCTTCCCGGCTGTAAATCTTGCTGATCTCATAATGTTTTATTTATCTGCTCTCGGTGGACTCGGGGAGGTGTTGATTCAGCTCCTGTGGCTCTGCTCGCCTCTGCTGCTGGACAATGATTGGATTGCTTTATATTATTAGACTCCTGTCCCCGTGTGAGGAGGGAGGACAGCGTTACAGAGCGAAGGAGGAGAGGAACAGCAGGAGGGTAATAATGAGAGTTTTAATAGAACAAAGGTTGTGGGACTCGTCCTCTGTATATTTGTTTTTAGTGTTTCTGTTGAACCTCAGAGCTGCTGAGCGTCTCAGGGGAGCGGGAACACACAGGAGGTGTTTGCTGTGATGAAACGGTTTGTTTTTAAAGAAGGAGGAGGAGGAGGAGGATGATGAAGAGGAGGAGGAGGAGGCTCTATGAGCAAACAGGAAGGTCTCTGTGTTTGCCTATGCTGCTTTGTAAAGCTTTTATCCGACAGAGGAGATCAGAGATGGTTGTTTGTGTTCTTTGACGGTTTTTCGAACATTGAAATGTTCCTCGTACTTTGAAAGCAGCAGAGCCGAGGAAAACCTGGTGGACAGAGGTGAACTCAGGCTGTTCAAGGAGGAGGGCTGACATTATAGAGAGGGAACCTGCTGTTGGCCACGGGCAAAACAACACCGACGCTGTCATCAACAACGATCTGCCTCCAGGAGAACTTTGAAGACCCTTTTATAAGCTCCTCAGTTTTCTCCTGTGTGCTTGTCTGGAATCATAAAAGCAGTTTTACCCCGTCCAAAACCCGGGCTGTAAAAATGCCAGGTGGACAATCCAGACAGTCGATAACCCAGAAGTTACAAAACTGTAATAATATTTCACCCCCCTGGTTCCCTGAGTGTCGAGTTCTTAAATTATCTAATTATCCATAAAACAACTTCAAACAGGAATGCTGCTGGAATTAATCACATAAACACTTTCAACTGAATACTGTGGAGAAGCAGACCAACGTAAAGAAATGATTCGATTCTGTTCACTGGGGAAAAAAAACTCAATACAAAGACTGTGGGATTAAACGCAGAAATGACATGACAACCAATCAGATCAGATAAGTGAAAGAGCAGCAGCAGAGGTACCAAGGGAGGACTCTGTTTACATTTAAATATCTGAGAGGGTCACAGAGGGGACTCTGTTTAGATTTAAACATCTCAAAGAATCCTAGAGGGGACTCTGTTTACATTTAAACATCAGAGAGGGTCACAGAGGGGACTTTGTTTACATTTAAACATCAGAGAGGGTCACAGAGGGGGCTTTGTTTACATTTAAACATCAGAGAGGGTCACAGAGGGGACTTTGTTTACATTTAAACATCTTAGAGGGTTACAAAGGAGACTGTTTACATTTAAATATCTGCGAAGGTCACAGAGGGGACTTTGTTTACATTTAAACATCAGAGAGGGTCATGGAGGGGACTTTGTTTAGATTTAAATATCTGACGGGGTCTAGAGGGGACTTTGTTTACATTTAAATATCTTAGAGGGTTACAGAGGGGACTTTGTGTACATTTAAACATCTGAGAAGGTCACAGAGGGGACTTTGTTTACATTTAATTATCTCAAAGAATCCTAGAGGGGACTTTTTCATTTAAATATCTGCGAAGGTCACAGAGTGGACTTTGTTTACATTTAAATATCACAGAGGGTCATGGAGGGGACTTTGTTTGCATTTAAATATCTGAGAAGGTCACAGAGGGGACTCTGTTTACATCTAAATATCTGACAGGGTCTAGAGGGGATTTTTACATTTTAATATCTGAGAGGGTCATGGAGGGGACTTTGTTTACATTTAAATATCAGAGAGGGTTACAGGGGCGACTCTGTTTAGATTCAAACTGATTAATTAATTTAAACTGGTCCATGTGGTAATCAAACCTTTACTGCCCTGGAAAAAGTCCCGGCTCATCCAGACGCCCACAAACTAAAGGACCGCTCTCGGACACGACGCTCCAGGTCTACCTGCAGATTCGGAAATATACCTACGGCGTCTGACCAAACTGATAGGTGTGACTCATCAGGAGTGGGAGGAGCTTGAATGTTTTCCATCAGTTTGTTTGGCAGAATCAAACCCAGACACCTCGGCGGGGACGAGGATCTCATGTAGACGTTTATTTCGTGGTTAATTAGCAGCTGCATCCTGTGTTTGCGTGTCACCCTCCGCTCTGACAGTCCTCAGCTTCCACAGGGAACGCTCTGATGACACCGTTTCTGTTTTTAGTCCCTGCCCTACTTTTCCTCTCCCTGCTATGTGTGTGTGTGTGTGTGTGTGTGTGTGTGTGTGTGTGTGTGGTTGGAGGAGGTTTGAGGGTGCGGTGCAAGGACACGCCACATACAGAACATGACTCAGGGACACGTTAGATCCTACTTTCACAAACCTAAAGATCCAGACGAGGTTCAGAGAGTCTTTGTAAGAGTCATGTAAAGGGTCATTCTGCTGTTTTAGGGTTAAAGTCGACCTCTCAGCCTGCAGAAACACGCCCTCATGTCTGCAGCACACGCTCCACGTTCTTGTTTTTGTCTCTTACAGGTTGTTTATTTTATCACAGGTCTCCTCCTCCCGTGATTCCTGCCCTCTCCCTCTCCCTCTCTCTCTCTCTCTCTTTGACAGCGGGGATGACCGTTTAATTCTTACTGCCATCTGAGTTCCAGTGATCCTAAATTACCCATAATTCCTAGGTAAACAGCGGTGGGTTGAGCAGTAATCCTGAACTGGGCGTCCTGTGAAATAAAAGCAGTGATGGTTCTGACTTAAGTGTCTTTGTATTGGGTTTTAGGAGCTGTGAAAGCTTAATAGAGCTCAGTAAGCTGATGTAAATGAGAAGCAGCTGCTGCCTGTGGCGTTCTCCACCTTACTGCGAGGATATTCACCTCTAAACGTCTTTATCTGCCGCCGCCGCCGCTGCTAAAGCTCCAATGACATCCCTACTGTAGAGCCTCCTCTGCCTTTCAGAGCTCCCGTCCCTGCGACTAGAACAGCATACTGATGAGCGTACGGCGAAGGTAACATGCTGAAACTGAAGCTCGCTCGATCGATAGCCGTTTGTCCTGCGTGTAGATAAGACAGCCGCCGTTTAGAGCCGAGCACGCTCTGTACTCCTGTCAGGATGATGGGGATTGTTTTGACCTGCGGCCGCTCTTAATTATCATGTTGAGAGAGAGTCTCTCCTCTCCTCCTCTCCTCCTCCTCCGCTGGTCTCCACAGAACAGAGGCCGCTCTTCATCTTCCTTCTTCAGTCGGCTGCATGACTGTAATGCAGAGAGCGTGCTCGGTCATGCTGCCGGGTCCGTATCGCTCTGGTTTTTGTTCGGCTCTGAATGCTGATGGAGAGGTGGTCCCGTCGCCGCTTCACGGCCGCGCAGATGGAGTCGATGGCGAAAGCGGCGCTTTGCCTTCGGGTTCAACACATCAAAAGGGAGTTCTGAATTCCAGCAGAGAGCCGCGACCTCGGACTCAGAGGTGCCGACTTTAATCCAACACGCCGCACATTTGATTGCACGCCGCCTCAGTTCATGTTGAAGGTCAGGACCAGACGGAGCAAACAGAACTGCATCATCTACAGAGAGCTGAGACCTGTGTTTGGAAAGTTCATTTTCTACATGAACGGGTTCAAAGTTCAGTTGGCAAATTTTAAAATGAAGCAGTTCAGTTCATAATTCGACATTTTGAACTCAGCTCACAGATCCAAAACCACAGACAGTTTTAATACCGAACCGACGCCTCAGATCGCATCTTCATATCCAGTTTTGAATCTTATCCAACCAGGGTTTACATTAGCGTTGAGGGGACAGCATTTCCACTTTGTTGCTTTAACGGTTAAGTAACAGCAGCTTTTTTCACCCTACAGTATATTCTCTAAATGATGTGGTATTTTTTACGATGGAGTCTTAGAGCCACATTAAGAAGAGAAAGAAATTAAGACTTTGAGATTAAAGACTCTGGATTTACCGGTCGATCTACGTGCCGATCCTCACCTATGGTCATGAACTTTGGGTAATGACCGAAAGAACAAGATCCAGAGGAGTCAGCTGATGTGGCTCGGGCATCTGGTTAGGACGCCTTCTGGACGCCTCCCGTTAGAGGTGTTCCAGACATGTCCCACCTGGAGGAGACCTCGTGGTCGGCCCAGGACCAGATGGAGGGATTATATCTCTCTCCTGGTCTGGGAGCGCCTGGGAATCCCCCCGGAGGAGGAGCTGGTGGAAGTGTCTGGGTGAGGGTCGTCTGGGCTGCCCGCCGCGAAGATAACGACTATGACGAAGTTGCATGAAATTGTCTGAAATTTCTTTCTCTCCACGCTCCTCCCGGCCACAAATTAAACTCTACACGCATGGTTTTTTTTCCCCACAGTTGTAGACAGATTTGTTCGGAATCTGACGATGTTTTCATCTGAGCAGAGAAACGTACAGATTTTAAATACTGAGCCTCGAAGTGCGGCGGTGCGTCTGTCTGCTCCTCACTAAGACAAAGATTCCTGCAGAGTCTGGATGTATCAGAGCAACATGGAGTCAGATAGTCTGGGTGTTGAGGAGATCTGGATAATGGTTTGCAGAGAGGGAGGTCTGATAGAAAGAGTGATGGAGTTTCACTGATATTTAGGACCAGATCCAGGATCTGACGTCTGTGAGTAATGTGGACAGACAGAACGTTGGCCAGCAGTTTAAATCATTCAAGAAGAGAGTGAGTCAGGAGTTCACCTGAGAGCAGATTTCAGGAGAGAGCTTCATGGAGGTTTCGAGAACTGGACCAGATTCTCTCCAACAGAAACAGCTTTGACTGTGTGGAGATCCATACCTGGAAATAGTCCTGGGCGATAAAACGATAACGATATCGATAATGAATTTCCCTCGATATCAATATGAAAAATGGTCGATATGCTTTTTGGATAGTCGGCGTGAAAAAGGAGAAAAGTTCAAAATGTTCAAAAACAATCACAATTACCTGCAGAGTGAACTTTTCCTGAACCTTAAATAACAGAGGAACAATAAGCTTAAAAAATTAAAGATGGGCCTTAGAAGAGTCAGAGGTCATCAACACTAGGAATAACAAAGTACAAAGTAATGTGACAGTGACATAAGCATTAATATAATAGGAAATAAATGAAGAGCAGAGAAGATCGTGCTAAACTGCAGCGAACGTTCAGTTTCCTGGGCTTTGAGATTGTGAAACCGGGCCACACCCTTGTCCCGCCTCGACCCGACGTTTTCTTCATGTCGGAAACATGAAACTAATTCAGTGTCTCTGCTCAGCTGGACTCTGACCCTCCACGAACGCGGCGCTCCTTTTAAAAATACCGTCTTGTGTTCGACCATGACTGAGACGATGACGATGCTGCTGCCACATCCTCGCTGTCAGACACGGAGAAAACTGACCGCTGCTCCCTGTAAACACCTTAACAAAGAGAAGATGGTCTCCGGTCAGTGACCTTTTCACGCTGCGTCCTCCTGTCTGTGTGGGCCGAACGCCGGACCAACCCTGATGACACCAAACTGTGATTATTACCCGGACTGTATCAGGAGGTTGGCTGGACGTCAGAGGTCCGGAGGAGTCAGGTGCAGTCCGTCATCTGTGGTGCGTTCACTGACATCAGTGGTGTTAAATCCAGGACAAAGACGGAGTAAACGGCGTGGCCCTTCAGTCCGACCCTCGGCCTCTTTGTGCTGCTGCCAGCCTCCGCTGTAAAGCTCTGATACCCGCTGGTTCCTTGTAACATCTCATCAAAGAGGCTGTCAGCTGATAAGTCCAGAAACGACCCTGACCCCCTTTTTTTGACGACAATCTCCCCCTCACAGCTGAATGTGCTGACTCAGAGCTCTGACACCTCGCCGGAGTATGGTAATAAATCTGCTCCGAGGAGCATTTGCAATGTAAATCAGAGTATCCAGCAGAGAGCTCATATCACTGAGGGGTCAGAAGCTAAGGAGCCGCTCAAATGATTCATAGTCCTCCTATCAAAGCCGCGGCGTCCCTCGTACTCCAGACTTTAATCTCCTTCAGCCTTGTTTAACCCCCGCCCCCTCCCTTCCACGCCGCCCTGAGACCCCTGAGATTCAGTAAGAGCAGGAGTCCTGGAAAGACTTTAGTAAACCCGCCCTCCGTCCGGCTCTGTTGTCCGGGGCGACTCTGTGATAATTGGCGTCCTGGCTCGTGGAGGTATTGTGTTTCATCCCGCAGCGGTCTGTGGTGCAGATTAAAAATCGACTGGGGTCAAACGGGTAATTGGACAAAAGTGTCTGTAACTGAAAGAGGATTTGGACTGATATATAATGAGACCTCCATACTCTCTGCTCGGCACGGCGGCACAAACTGACAAATTAGTTTGGGTCATCAAAGTCCGATTAGAGCCTGAGCGCTGATTTCTGCAGAAGGAGCTGCTTCATCTCAGTCTCATTGAAATCCTGAATGAATATTTAATGAGCTGCAGACCTTTGCTGTCGTGTCTCTGACCTCTCATCATGTGTTTTCATGTAATCAGGGTCAGCGCTCATGTTTCTGCCCGTTTGTTGAGTGAATGAAAGTCAACGCGACACACACTCTGGAGGGTGTCGAATTAAAAATGAAGAATAAAGATTAGAGAATTTTCAAAGTTGGAAACTTTCCACGGGAATTAATCTGAAATGTACAAAACTGAAGGTCGGCCCTCAACAGGAACTTAAATATAGTTGGTGAAAATATCTTGTAGCATCATCTTGACTAAAACAACCAGATTTAATGTAAGTCCACTCCTCAGTCACATGATCACACAGCACACTGCTGACTGCAGGACTATAAGAGGCCAACAAAGCCGTTCTCCACCTCCTCTAACCTGATTGGTTGTGAGGCAGACGCTGCTCCCCCATGTCGTTCAGGAGCCCAAACAAAGTTAGCGTGCTACAATATCGGACAGTAGAAACCAACCAGAAAGTTCGGAAAATTGTCGGAATCCTCCTTTGGCCACGACTGCCGACACAAGCAAGAAAACAAAGTAAATACCGGAGACTCTGGAGGAATAACGGGCGCTTAAAACGGAGGTAGACCGGACAAGAGCTAAAAAGACGGGTCAACATAAACCATGGGGGACGCTTGGGGATCTTGGTGACCCTGTAACCTTTCTGCTGGACAGGTAAACCGCTTTAACAAAGTAAGACAAGTGTCTGTAACAGAAGTGTTTCTTGTCAAACGGACCTGCTGTAGCGTGTTGTAGCGCCATCGCTAAACTGTCCTCCCTCGGGTCCTGGACTATGTCACTTTATCCTCGTTGTAGAAGTCCTGCAAACATTGTGTTTGCTGGTAGTCTGTTGGCATCAGGGATGAAAAGTTGAGTGAAGAATTCAGGAAGAAGGGATCAGAAATATTTGACTGTAACAGAGTCTGCAGCTTCTCTAATGGACCTCTCTCTCTCTCTCTCTCCCTCTCTCTCCCTCTCAGTGCCATGAATCAGCCTGGACCACAGCTGCTGCCCACATAGAGGTCACCTCACCTCTCCTTTCCGCTCGCTTCGGTCCAGAGGATGCTGGGAATGTGTCGCGGGCGCAGGAAGTTCCTGGTGGCCTCCCTCGCCTTGCTCTTCATCCCAGCGCTCACCTGGCTTTACCTGTCGGTCGGGAGCTTTCAAGGTGAGCCCAAAGACATTTACACTTCCTGCCTTCTGTTTTCCTTTTACGAGATAAGACCCTGACTGAACTTGGTTTTAGTTTGGTCTTCTGGTCCGTTCTAACGTTTAAACATGTTTTCACAGGTGCAAAGTTAGGACGTCTTTGAGCTGCTGATAAAGTCAAAGCGCTGATTTATTTGGGGGAGGAGAGTTCGCTGCATTGAAATGAGGTTTTCAGGTCCTAATAAATCAATTTACAGGAGCATCAACAAACACGCTCACACCACACCTGAACGTCAGACATCCCAAATTGTCCCAGAAAGTCTGAGGAGACAAAGTCACCCCTGTGCCGCTCCTGTCTGTGGAGCTGGAGTATTAGTGAGTCACTGAGGCCCGTCCAAAGTTGATTACTTCCTCAGACAGTTGAGTCCAGGAGCTCTCCCGGCCTTTTTAATGACTCACACTCTCAGGATTGAAAGGCTGCTGCGGCACCCTTATTAATTATGATTAAATTGACAATTTTGACTCGGGTCACAGTGACTGGAGACTGTATAGAAGTGAACGCGCCGGCTTAATGCAGCAGCCCAGGCCCGGGTCTGCGGAGTAATTATTAGATTTGGCGGCGTGTTCCTGGCGGTGCGGGCTATTTCCTGGATGTGTGATAAGTTGTGAAAGGACCTGGCTGCAGGGAGTGTCAGCCTGAGCGTGTCAGACAGGAACAATGTGCTGCTCTGGCTGGGACGCTCTCTTTCACACTTCCTCCCTCCCTCCATCCCCTCTCTCTCTCTCTCTCTCTCTCTCTATCTCTCTCTGCTCATCTGTTGTTTTTCCTCTTTCTCTCTGTTTGTCGCTGTGACGGAGGGTCTCTGGGGGGTTCAGAGCTCAGTCTGGAGGTAGAAACCTGCAGAGAGGATGAAGAGGATGATGAGACATTAAAGATGCCTGACCACAAACAGTCCGAGGATGTTTGGACCTTCGTCTGGAGTGGACCTGAATATTGTGACGGTGTTTTATTGACCTGAATCCTTTCTCATCCCCTTTAGTTGCCTCACTTGTCAATTAGAGAAGACATGACATTACCTAAGAATGAAATAATCATGTGACAGCTGTAGCTCATGCGTTTTTTCACCCAGAGAAGCAAGAAACACAATAAAATCTAAATTCTGAGTTTCTGTAAGAATTCATGTGAAGAAATGAGTCAAATACTTCAGCTGCTCCTGATCTAATAATCACAACAGTCTTTTTAAAACAGAGAAACAAAGTGATTTATGGATTAAAAAGAAATAAAAACGAAGTAGAAATAAGGGGGTAAAGATTTAGTGGTTTAGAAAAACAACACAGTTGTGGTTTCACTCCGTAGACTCACCTGTCCTCCTCTCCTCCTCAAATATTCTGAACATTAGATTAAAATGAAAAAGACTCCTTAAAGTAGGAACATTTGGGAGACGTTTATTTAAAACTTTAGAACAAAATAACTTTATAAAGATTTGCTGTAAACCTTCATAACCCTGCATTGACTCTGTTATTTTAACGTTGATGCACAAATCTGACAATCATCCGTTCCTCGGGTTACCTGTGTGACCGGTCCCTCCCCTCTTAGATTGTGATTGGTCAGCCTGGAGCAGCATCACTCGCAGCTTGTCCAATAGTAAAGGCTAAGCTGTAGACAGCGCTGGAAAACTCTCAACGCCTTCTCTTGGCTCCTCACCAGGATCAGATACGGAGAAAGGAGAGGCACTGAACCGTGTTGACTTTATACTGCGTTAAACTCAGCGACATCACTGTTCGAACTCTTCTGGACCGAACGAGAGAGAGAGAGAGAGAGAGAGAGAGAGTGAAGTGGAGTCAGAGTCTGAACTGATGCTGCTGTGTGATAAACTGGCAGCAGAGAGAAGCGAAGCTCTTCCTGAAACACCGAAACTACGTCTGAAAATGTTTGTTTGGAAACATCAAAAGACTCTTGAGCGTGTAAAATATTCAGTAGTAAGATCTTGTTTTTCTGTCTTTGTTGAAAAAACACACATGATGCTACAAGCTGCAGAAAACTGGAAGTGACAGGAAGTTAAAATACGCTCCAAGATGGTCTTACCCGGAAAATTCTTCAGCCTCCACGAAACGTTAGCGAGAGACGGTGTGTGTTAGCACCCTCAGTCAGCAGCTTTTTCTCTTTATTTTTTAATATCGGCGATCTCCTCGCACTCTCACCGAGCAGACGGAGCTGTCTCAGAGTAACCAACCATGAACCAACGGAGGCACTCGAGTTTAAACGCTGAAAATCAAACTTCATCATGACCTTCAAAACAGTCGGTACTTCACAAACTGGTCTCAGTGAGTGCGAAGCTGCTGCTTTACACGGCCTGTTGAAGGAGGAGTCTTCAACCGTCCCAGTCTGTCAGGTGTGAATGTTGTTCTACCTGAAGGTTATCAGACAGGTGAGTCAGTGAGCTGAGTCTTCAGAGCTAATTTACATCCAGAAACCATAAAAACTGCAGACTGTATTAACCGTGAACGATCGTCTCAGTGTTTCTACTAACCAGCTTTAAAGATGTATTTAAAGATAAGAAATATTAGAAGTGCTGACTCTGCGACCTTCACGTGGGTTTTAGCCCCTCCCTCAGACGTCCATGAAGCGGGTTACTGCCCGGCTTGTTGCGGAGGATTTCCTCCCTGCTGGGATTGTCTCAGGATGCCGCACAGCGTAACTTTTCCAGCTCGGATGTCTCCTGAGGTTACGCTGAGTTTGTGAGCGGTGTTTCAATAACGTCACCTCTAATGAACGCAATGAGTTTTAGCTTAATGACTCTGGTGAATCTCAGAAAACAAACCCCAGCTGGTCCTGGGAAACCCAATTGTTGAAACCCGTTTCATAGAGACGGACAGATTCATCTTCAAATCCTCGATGAAATGAGGCGACTCTTTGGTTTTTGCCAAAGGCTGATATGCAAATTTCTCCTCTTCTTCATTAATCACTCTGCTCGTTCATTACTTCATTACTCTGACCTTCCTGCCAAATTCATTTAAGTTCCCTTCAAGGCCCAGTTGAACCTTTCAGTCCTGATTTCCTAAATGGACAACACTTCTTCATATTCATACGAAGAAAGGCGCCCGCTGCAGGAATCCATTAATGGAAACGTTCCCCCTGGTAGCTCCAAAGTGGAAATAAATGTTCCTGTGTCCTCTGAGTGACTCAGGTCTTTGTGTGGAGCACAGAGAGCTCCAGCAAACCAACAAACCATGTTTCAGAGGCTTGTTTTGTTCCTCATACACAGCTGTCAGCTCTGAAAGTCCATGTGGGGATAATGTGCGCCGTCATAAAACCGAAGCGTGTGAACTTCCACTGTCGTCCGATCATAAGCCAAACATTAGTGCTTACAAAGCATGTGAAAATGGGGAATGAAACGGCTCAGGACGGCCTTTTTAGTGCTACTGAAACCTGCGAAAAGCAATGAAATACGCTCTGTGTAACCCATGTGATACCAAGCCCGTTTGGACCAAAAACAGGCGCTCAGAGAGAGGCGAGAAAAAACAGGCGATTTTCATCTGCTTTGGTGGTAAAAAACAGGCGCCAAATGGGTCAGAGATCCAGGATCTTCACCAAAGGGAACAGATCAGAGTCCTGTAGGAGGACCTGAACCCACAGCCCGATGCTTCCTCAACTTCAGGAATTGGTGATTTGGCTTACTGAGTGTATTTGTTTTGGTGCGGAGGTGATCTGGTAAATTTCACGGTGATGAAAAGCTGAAGTCCAGAGAACGAAAAAGAAATCAGAGAAACCCCCGGATGAGCCGATGTTTGATTCACCCGCAGCTCCACACGAGGAACATTAATGGACAGTAATAACAGCGGGGCTTTCTCAGGATGAAGTTCTCCTGTTTCTATTTCAGTCGCTCTCTAATATCATCAGACTGTGTACCTGTCCCACTTCTCCACTAATTTAATCGCCATCTCTGAAGGTGTAGCGAGCTCCACAACACTGTAATTTGAGTGGTAGAGAATGTGACAGTTTCAGGTCTCAGTAACTTGATTTAGCTGCATCAACAGGCTCAGCGCCGCCTCACCGGGGGGGCTCCGGCTCTGATAGAAACACAGACTGAAGATGCTTGTCTATTCAGAGGTCTGCTTAAGCAGGGATGCCGATTACACTCAAGTACCATCGCTTACTTCTGTGCATCTCTCCTTCCTACTACATCTTTGATTCACTAAATAACAGGCGTGGGCCGCTCTGGTGTATCATCCGTTTTGGAACCAGGAACCAAGTTAAAATAGTGCTATTTTAAAAGATCCTTCAGTTTTTACACACACCGATAACCTAAAGCTGTTTGTTAAATACGGCTGATTGTCCCTGCATGCAGACGACTCAGTATTTTATATTTATAGTCACACAAAAGCAAAAACAGGTACAAAAGGATAAATTAAAATAAATTAAAGGGCGTCTGCTGTAAGCCAGGGAAAACTTTGAGGTTTATTATTCTCAGGACGCAAAGCTAGAATTACTGACAACCCTGTAAAATCAGGTGGAAAAACAACAATCTGGCCCTTTGTTTACATTATGTGAGTTAGACAAACAACACGAGAACCCTTTTTTCACAATTAACAAAACAAAATACAACCAGAGAGTTCTCTGTTTTTATTTTTTTAACTGAAAGAGAAATGAAGGAACTTTGTTTCCAAGTTATGTGGTAAAAGAACAAGCAGAAGGTGCTTTGTTTACATCATATTTGCCAGGGGAGACAAATAGAGCACTCTGTTTACACTCAGTAGAGGAGTAACTAGAGGGTACTTTGTTTACATTAAATTTAATAGAGCAGTAACTAGATCGGACTTTGTTTACATTTAGCGTAGTAAAGGAGTAACTAGAGGAAACTTGTTTACATCGAATTTGATAGAGGAGTAATTAGAGGGCACTTTGTTTACATTAAGTTTAGAAGAGTACCTAGAGCGCACTTTGTTTACATTTAGTTTAAGGGGTAACTAGAGGGCACTTTGTTTACATTAAATTTGATAGAGGAGTATCTTGAGGGCACTTTGTTTACATTAAATTTGATAGAGGAGTATCTTGAGGGCACTTTGTTTACTTTTAGTTTGTTTGAAGAGCAGTCAGAGAAAACTCTGTTTACACTCAATAAAATGAAAATGCTTACAGATAACTTTATTTAAACCCTCTTTACACTTTACTGTGAACTATATTAAGATTAAATTGCACTTTGTTTACATTGTCTTTATTGCCTGAGAAGCTAGCAGGCGGCTCTCTGTCTACATCTCAGCTTCACCTCTGCTTCCTCAGTGTTGGTTATCCGACACTCAGAGGCTCTTTGCACATGAACGTTTATTCGCTGAGGTTTTCCTGCATCAGAAATTAAGGAGTTTAATCTTTTACATGGAATTAATTTCAGGTTTTTCAGTGAATCCTTCTGTATTTGAAGATGTTTTCTGTCTGTGTCTGGACTGGAGTGAGTTTTTAATCCCAGAATCAGGAGACACATGACGTAAATCTCAGCAGGAGAGTAAATGCTGTTCCTCATACATAAAAACAGCACATCTTAACGGGGACGCTGAACGCTGCACAGGGTTTCAAAGCAGTGTTGATATATTTTCCCTGTGAAGCCTCTGAAGTAAATTTACTGTGACCAAAGGAAGCGGCCTAAATATTCAGACCTGTTAGCGTCTGTCATGAAATCTATCAGCGGGAACCACAGGAGGTCAGTGACCCCGACAATCGATCATTTTTTATTACTGTTCTGCAGGAAACCATCTAGATCATAGCATCACTGTCAGAGCCCAGACCAGACAGCTGACACAATCCATCTGTGCTCACACACACACACACACCCACACACACACCCATCCTACTGTGCATCAATATGGCTGCCATAAGGCTGATCCAGCCTCACATGGGGCTGGTAATAAACTTCTATTAAAAAGCTATTTAGTTATTGATCAAGTCATTTACTCTGAGCAGTCCAGAGACAGGTGGAACCCCAACCTGAGGATCTGTCCGTCTCTGAGGAGACTGTGAGTGTGTGAGGAGGAGACAGCTGCAGAGTGTGGGAGCGTTTTTACACTCCATCCCAAAATGCAGAGATATTGGAGGGAAAGTGGAGGTGGTGAAGGCAGGGTATATTTTTTTCAAGTCTTCATTAAATCTGCTGTTTGAAAGAAGAGTCCTCCTTTGATTCACTTTCTCTCTTCACTTCCTGCTCGCTGTTTCAACGTTTCCTTCTATCAGACATTTCTGAAATCGCTTTGAGTCGAGGAAAGTCTTCAGTGGAGGAAAAAGATTCAGGAACTGTACTCAGTGTTTTTTTTCTTTTTCTCCTTTTCTTTCTGATTCCTATTTTTAAAGGATGTTTTAAGTTTGTTTTAGTGATCGTTGGTATCAGTCCTAATCTAGACTTCAGATAATTGATCAATATTGTAGCTGATTTAATGTTAAAATGCTCTGAGGGGGCCTTTGTTCCGGTACACACCTGTTTGTTTTTCTTTGAATGAGTGTGTATGTGGTTTCTGGTGCTTTTACAGCCAACCTCTAGTGGACACTTGTGGAACTGCAGTTTTAATCGCTGCAGCATCAGCCTCTTATTTAATTAAAACTCAAACCTTCAAAAATGGAGCCCTGAATAAATCCCCGACGTGCTCCTGGACTGTGAATGTTGGAGTTTATTTCAGGATTCGTCTCCTCAGACAAGATCCTGAGATTAGGGCGATACGGGAGAAAGTTTATCAGGATATATTTTTTTCATATCAGTCAAAATCGATATATATCACGATAAAGAAAATGAAATGTAACTGTCTATTGGTTTGATTTGAGGTATTCCCCGACTTTGTGAGAACATGTACTCGACATAATTTACAGTCCACATTACTCTGCTTCATGTCCGACCTCCAAAAACCAAAATACCTCCACACCACCGACGTTTTCCTAACGCCAGTGTTGTGGTTGACATTGATGTGGTCATCTGTTGAGCCTTCATGGTCATTTCTGTCGGGGGTAGCACTCATTTTCTTTGTTTCTCACCAACAGTGCTGTTAAAGTGCTATGGTTGGGTGTAGCTGCTGTGTGATATGACGCAGTTGGTTGATACATCGTTTTATCACCCAGCCCCACCTGAGATCCTGAGATGGTTCCAGATTTCATCTCCTGCCTTCACCATGTCGTGTTTTTCTTCTCTTCCTCTGCTGCATGTTTGAGGTTTTGGTGCACCTGGTCCCAGACTCTCTCAGCCTCTCTTTTGTGTCCCAGACTTCAGGGAGATTACAGCCGTTAGCACAGAATAGGAGGTTTTTTATTTGCTCTATTTTGAGCTTCACACCTGCACATGCAGAAAGTTCAGTCCAGACGACATTAAAGACCTCATTCAGATGATAAAGTTCAGAGTGGAGACACGGGTCAGCTGTGACTGTGGTGGTCAGCGTTGAAGAAGGAGCCGTCAGGCGGCTTTGTCTTGGCTGTAAATGACGGTGCATTGTCCTCGGCTAATGTTTAGTTATTCCCTGTCCACCGCCGGGCAAATCTGCCTCATGTGTTTACCCGGGCTTTTGTTTGCATGTAGATGATGAGCTTCATGACAAACACCTAAAAGCCAAATGAATTGGCTTGGCTGCAGAAGAGACCAGGTGCATCTGCCGCCCTGAAAATGCCATATGCAATCTGTGAGCGAGCAAACAAACGCTCATGGAGTCCAGTTCTGTGGGATTAGGGCCCAGCAAATCCACTCTGCAAATTAATTACAGCCTGGACGAAATGGAGTCCAGAAGGTGCTTTTGTTGTGCAGGAGAGGGCTTAGCGGCCCTGCACAGTCCAGCAGACCCGAGTCTACGCTGATGCTTTAATATCTCAGAGCCACAGGGGACCATAAATCTGAAGCAGACCAAAGAGTGTCTCTTCATGAAGACACTCACTTAAAGAACAATCAGGAGTTTTTGAGCTTCATCTCTGAGAACAGAGGACAGAGGAGCGACTCGCTCTGGGCTTTATCGCCTCATTTTCTGCTGCTCTCATGGAGACGAGGATGTTTATCAGACGGCCGGTTCAAAAGGTGACCACGACTCTCTCTGTCGGCCCAGCACGGTTGGTTGTTGGCTGTGGTGGTGATAGATGGTATCATACTAGAGAACCGTTCATTTCCCAGCGCAGATCAATACCTGTTATCGACCGGTGAGCCTCTGCTCCCCCCCGCTGCACTGTAATATGTGGAGTTCACCGAGGTCTTCTTCGGAGCTTCTCACCGACTTCAAACTGAGAGCGAGCCGCCGAGGTCAGAACCAGGAACCGGACGGACCGGTCTCTGAGCGTCTCTGAAGAAGCTGCAGAGTGGACCGACATCCTGAAGGTATCAGCTGACAGAGAGGGGTCTGCAGATGAACCTGTGAGACGTCTTCTTCAGCTCGAGTTTGTCGGGATGTCCTACAGCTGTTTCCAGCTGAGCAGCTGCAGATTAAAAAACACTTTAAATACACATTTTCAAAATGGATTCAATACAAAGACCCGGCAGGGGTCTGGGTTAGAATTCAGAGACCGCTGTGAGGAGGTGCAGCTGTAAGACCGAGCTGAAGCTGCAGGACTCTCTGGGTTTTTCTGAGGTCCATGTTCCCCTCCAGGTTTTCCCTCTCAGAGTCTCCAATCAGGGAAATGAAGCTCTGAGTTTTACATCAGCCTGAGAGCCGATAAACAGAATTTTATATTTAAAAAAATCAACAATAATCTCCAAACTGAGTCTGCTGTTAAGAACCTTATTTATCATGTATATTTAATCAGGCGTCTCCGGCAGAACAAAGTCCAACTTCATGAAAATGACCTTGAGAAAGGACAAATCGCCGCCGTTCTGGATGCGGTAAAAATTCAGAGGTCACTGAGGTCACACTAACCCTAACTCTCTGTGTTCATTTCTCTTCAGCATCTGAAAACTGTCCCTGTTTCATTTGTTCCACTGTTTGTTTCTTTATCACTTTTATTTAAAGCTCCTATAAAGATCCACATTTGGCGCCCCCCTGTGGACAAAGCCGTCTTTGCTGATGGTGTCCTCCTCATGTTTGGGTCAGACTTTAGCTTTTTGAAATCCTCAAACAGCATCAGTATGAACCTGAGTCTGTGTCTGTCGGGTCAAGAGAAACTCACTCATAGTAGCTTTAATGTCAGCTTCTTTATTTTCAGTTGTTTGTCTTTACCGCGCTCTTATTTTGAAGAGATGGTCATTATTCGAATGCTCGGTTGTATCCTGACAGCAGAGTCAGGATCCTCTCCTCTCCAGTTTTTACTCTTTAGATGTTTCTGCAGGTTTCTTCTCTACTTTATATTTAAAACAGGGAAAAAAATCCTGAAGCTGTTTTTCATTTTTCTTAAATTTTATATTTGGATGAAACAAAAAAACAAAAATCACATGATGGAGTAGAAGATTTGTTGTCCAGAGAGAGTCTCACCAAAGAAACGTCATCTTCATCTGCAGTGAAGGAGGAGAACAGCGTCCTCCTCTTCAGCCTCGAGACTTTTGTTTTTATTCGCCGACGTTTTTCAGCTCGCTAACTTTCTCTTCCTCGAGCTGAAGGTCTTTAGACTCGTCTTTAAACTCTCGAACGATGCTCTCACATGTTTGGACGATAATAAATCCGCTCTGATTTCTCTGTGTCCTCCCCCACAGTGAAGCCTCTTCCTCTGTCTCCGTTGGAAGCGCAGTCGGCGCCGGTGGGCGGAGCTGGCGAGCGGCAGGCTTTGGAGCTGCGGGTGCGGGCGGTGGAGGAGGAGAACCGGGCGCTGCGCCGGGAGCTCAGCCGGCCACCCAGGAGTCCGTCTGCACGCCTTCAGAGCACCGGTCACCGTGGCAACCAGAGCCGAACACATTCAGAGGAGGGGACCGGCGACAACGAGGGCCAGAAAGCCGCGGCGGTCGGAAACAGCTCAGACTGTGTGCAGCAGCCCGCCGTGGATAAGTGCGAGGTGAGACGTGTGTTTGTCATTTTAACTACACAATGTCGGATCTGTTACACAAACACACAATCAACACGACCTCGGAGGAGCGGGGAACCATTAGCAGAGTGTGACAGCGTTTGATACCGGAGCTTTAGCTCCATATTCGACTAATCCTCCTCCGCAGACTCGAGGCTGAGGTCTCTGTCTGCTGAGGAGGATCAGGATCACAGGAGGGCTTTAACACCACCCTGCTGAGATCCTGCACCGATAAAACCTCAACGCACATCAGCTCTCAGCCCGGCTGGAGGCCGTCTGAGTGACTGGAGGAGCTGACACCCACCGAGTCTGTTTCAGAGTCAGAGTCAGGGTCTCAGAGTCAGAGTCTCAGAGTCAGGGTCTCAGAGTCAGAGTCTTAGAGTCAGAGTCTCAGAGTCGGGGTCTCAGAGTCAGAGTCTTAGAGTCAGAGTCTCAGAGTCGGTGTCTCAGAGTCGGGGTCTCAGAGTCAGGGTCTCAGAGTTGGGGTCTCAGAGTCAGGGTCTCAGAGTCGGGGTCTCAGAGTCGGGGTCTCAGAGTCGGGGTCTCAGAGTCAGGGTCTCAGAGTCTGTCTCAGAGTCTGTCTCAGAGTCAGGGTCTCAGAATCAGAGTCTCAGAGTCGGGGTCTCAGAGTCTGTCTCAGAGTCAGGGTCTCAGAATCAGAGTCGGGGTCTCAGAGTCAGGGTCTCAGAGTCAGGGTCTCAGAATCAGAGTCTCAGAGTCGGGGTCTCAGAGTCAGAGTCGGGGTCTCAGAGTCGGGGTCTCAGAGTCAGGGTCTCAGAGTCGGGGTCTCAGAGTCGGGGTCTCAGAGTTGGGGTCTCAGAGTCGGGGTCTCAGAGTCAGGGTCTCAGAGTCGGGGTCTCAGAGTCGGGGTCTCAGAGTCTGTCTCAGAGTCAAGGTCTCAGAGTCAGGGTCTCAGAGTTGGGGTCTCAGAGTCAGGGTCTCAGAGTCTGTCTCAGAGTCGGGGTCTCAGAGTCAGAGTCTCAGAGTCGGGGTCTCATAGTCAGGGTCTCAGAGTCGGGGTCTCAGAGTCTCAGAGTCAGGGTCTCAGAGTCGGGGTCTCAGTTTGGTTTGCGTTTGAAGGAGGAACGGAGGATTTTTGAGGAAGAGCCAGGTCAGGATCTCTGAGAGTTCGGGGATCCTAAGAGTCCATGTCAGGGGGATCCTCCACAGATCTACACGTTTACGAGCATCAGGACTCTGTAGGCGGAGTCACCGCATGGGTCTAATGAGGAATAGTCGATTATATGACCGTGTTAAATCAGTTCTATCACGGTGATCAGCTAAGGAGACCCTGAACTGTTGTTTTTGAGAGTCTGAGTTCTCCGATTATAAACCGGTCTGAATCGATAGTTTACAGTAAATATGAATTTAGCTAATTAGCTTTTAGCTTTCTTCATCTGATCAAATCAAAGCTGTCAGGAAACTTGTCACATGATCATTAACATCGTCAACAGAGGCTCCAATAAGTCGACTAACATTCATTAACAAGGCCGCCAGTGTAAAGTCAACTTAACTTAATTTTACAAAAACATCTTAACCTCATTGAACTTTTATTTTATAGTAACTGTAATCATAAAAAAAACATTATAATTTCATAGAACAGCAGCAGCAGAGTGACAGACTGGGATAATAAACTGGTCCCAGTGAACCTGAACGTAAAGGTTGTTGTGGTGGTTTTTGGGACAGCAGGTCCAGACACGGTCATGTTTCTGATGAAGTTTGGAGCAGACTCTTTCAGGTCTGAAGACCCCCCCTCCCCGGAGGTTTGGACCCTTTCCTGCCAAAAGGAGGAGTCAGTGAGTTATGGTCCAATAAAAGTGAAAGCTCTCTTTATTTTAATTCTTGTAGGGCGTGTTTTAAAAATGACCGTTAGTGAGCAGTTTGGCTCAATGCAAAGAACAGCACTTAAAAACTCTGAGTCCCTAAAAAATCCATCAAATAATAAACTCCATATCTGCCCTATTTTTAATCTCCTCGTCCAAATCTTCTCAAATGAGCTCCATTACTCTCAAACAGATGATCCATCTTTTCTCATTACAGAATAATATCTGCTCTCCCTGCTTCTCTCTGAATAAAAAAAACATGTTTGTGATCGTTTTTCTAAAGTACCAGGACAACAAAAAAAAAAACAATATTCATAAAGATCATCTTTGGCCTCGGTGAACTTCAACAAACTTCCTGATAAACTTTCCTGAGAGAGTTTTTACGGTTCAGGAGCTTCTTCAGCAGCACGTTCGACAGAAATAACAGACTGTAGATGAGTTTAATCCGGGGTTCCTCAAGGCTCAATCCTGGGACCTTCACTTTTCTCCTGTATAACATTAAAAACTTTTAAACATCAAATCAAAATATATGAAAATATGAATATAATGAACCTTATAGAAAAAAACAGTCAATAATATTCCACCTCAGGTAGATCCATGGAGCAGTTAATGAGAATAAAGGCTCCTGAGAACTTTTTAATTCAACCAAACGACACCGATTAGATTTATTACTGAGGATAAATATTTAACTTTTCAGACTGAGTATAAAAAACGATCGACCGTTTTAAAAATGAGGGAATTTAATGAGCAGAGCTGAAACCGACTGTTTCCTACAGTGTTATTAATCTGTGTGATCTGTCGGAACAAACTGATTAATGAGTCTGTGAAAAGTTTGAGGAACTTTTTTAAACTGATTTCTGATTATTCTCTGTTTAAAAATCAGTTTACGCTCACAATCAGATATCTGTGAAACTCTGAGAGCGAATAAAGGAGACGCACAGGAGGACGTTTGGACACTTGGAGCTGAAATTCAAGGATCTGTAACTCAGTGAGAGTCCAACACGATGTTCACGTTCTCTTCGAAATCAGCTGAAGGCGAGGCGCTCATTTCTGATGGTCGTTTCGGCGAACCTGACCCAGAGCTGCAGTCTGACCTGCAGAGGGTGCATCAGTGCAGCAGGTGTCCTCCGAACACGTAGGTTACAGCAGGTTAAAAAAGTCACATCATGTCACTCTGTGTTACAAAGTGTTGTGATCATAAACTGTATTTACTCTGGACCACTTGGTTCCTCCTTCCTCCAGTTTACGGATTTGAAGCCGAAAAGTTCTCGGTAATTCTGCGATTTTTTCTCCACTTCCTGAAACCAACGTTGCGCAGAAGCGTTGTGCGCATTCGCCGTGAGAGTCGCCGAGAGTCTCTGTGATGACGCTCGGCTCAAACAGCGTATCCCCCGGTGATCTACTCAATTTCTGTCCCCCTATAGGCTGTATCAGGTGTCAATCATAGAAAACATGAACCCCCTAATAACTTTTAAAAATGGAGCTGTACAGAAAAAAGAGGACTTGAGCACAAACCAGTCTGACAGTAACTACATGTCAACATCACAACCAGGGGGGAGAAACATTTATATTCTGTGTCATTCATTTAGAAAGTTTGTCCACAGCTCCATAAGGAGGCGGGGTTTATGACCTATACTGCAGCCCGTCACCAGAGGGCGCTGTCTTCAGAGTTTCCTCGGAAGTCAGATGTCGGAGCTGAAAATGAGTTCCCAGCGTTTCAGTTACTAAGTCAGAAAAAAGCAAAATCGGAGGCCTGAAACAAGATGGCTACATCTACGACATTTTTATTTTAGTGCTCGCCTCATATTCGGACAAGACAAGTGCTAAATTAACTTCAGTCAAGACCACTTTAGTCAAGTAAATTATTTATTACAATTTATTACAAGATTATTTATTAGCACCTTATTGTTTATAAGGTGACTCCAACACCGCATTGATACAGTCTGTGGTTGTGATCTTTAACGACGTGTTCTCTGACCTTGTGTCACATGGTCCGCTGATGTCAGATGAGGTCACTATGACGTGATTTTTACACAGTGCGGCTCAGAGGCTTTTATTTTGAAACTCTCCAAAGGTGGGAGGAGTTGTCCTCAGGCCTTTTAACAGTGCGTGAATATTTTTAATGTGCTGAGCAATTACACCGGTCAGAGAGTCGCTTAGTTTCTCTTTCAGGTAAATGGTTCAGATAATTGCTGCGATAAAAGTGATGAAAAAGGAGCGGGCTGTAAAAAATAAACAGTTTTTTTTCTTTTTGGAGTATTACTCATAACAGCACAACAGTGAAACTTGGGGTCAGGGTTTCATTACTGCAGTAAACGATGTGTAGCAGACCATAAGCTGCTGACTGGATGTTTTTATGGTTGATCAGACTCGTTGATGGGAGTTAATAAATGTTCCACTCTGTGATCGGCTGTAAACTCTGTTTCTCTTTGCTCAGAGGAGAGCTGGACTTTCTTCTCTGTCTCTGTTTCTGTTGATACCTTCACATATTCATATTGGACTTTTCTAACCTGTCCTCGTTTTCTCCACAGACCATTCATGTGGCCATCGTGTGCGCAGGATACAACGCCAGCAGAGACGTGGTGACGCTGGTGAAATCCGTCCTCTTCCACAGGTAGAGTCATCGTTCTCTCTTCACATCACTAATATTAGAGTGGTCTGTGTAAATGTCTGATTTCAAACCCGTACAGTTCTTATTTGTGGGGATAAACAGCGATGAGGAATGTTTCTCTGAGCAACTCCTGAAGCACCAGCGCCTCACTCCATGTGCAGGGGCGTGGTTTCCTGCTGTCTGATTTTGATTGACGGCTGGCCAGGTAGCCTGATTTTCAACTGAGTAAAGAACGAATGTGATTGGTGGATCGCTGCACAGCACACGCAGAGTCACATGCAGTGTTTGTCAGTCAGTTACCCTTGAAATTAGACGAGTTCATTCGCCTCCGACATCGCAGGCTCTGACATGTGACTAACGCGCACACGATGACGCTCAAACTACATAAAGTTCAGCCCTGATTCAGTGCAGAAGGACAGTCAACAGGATCGTTGTGTTGCTGTGTATGATATGAATTCAAAGAAAAAGATTTGGTGAAGTTTGGTGTGACGTCTGCAAATGGCCAAAATGGGCCGAAAACAGCGGAATAACTCTTTAACCCTGTGTCTGAAAAAAAGACCAAGAGCGCAAGATCAAAGATCTTATTAGGATACACGTGCCTGTAAAATTTCGGGCAGATCAGAAAAAGTCGACATCCGTGGCACTCTATAGGGGGCGCTAGCGAGCCATTTTTTTTCTTGCTTTTTTTGGGTCACTTTAAAACATTGCGATTCTCACCAAGCCCGACCTGTCTGCAAATTTTCATGAGTTTTCAAGGTCGTTCAGGGAATCGAATTTCTGTTTTCGGAGGCCGTAAAATAATAATAATAATGATAATAATAATAACAATAATAATAATAATGATTATAATAATGATAATAATAATAATAATAATGATGATAATAATGATAATAATAATAATAATAATAATAATAATAATAATGATAATGATTATAATAATAATAATAATAATAATAATAATAATGATAATAATAATAATAATGATGAAAATAATGATGATAATAATAATAATAATAATAATAATAATAATAATAATAATAATAATAATAATAATAATAATAATGATGATAATGATAATAATAATGATGATAATAATGATAATAATAATAATAATAATAATAATGATAATGATTATAATAATAATAATAATAATGATAATAATAATAATAATGATGAAAATAATGATGATAATAATAATAATAATAATAATAATAATAATAATAATAATAATAATAATAATGATGATGATAATAATGATGATAATAATGATTGAGAACTCCTTGGATTACAACAGGGCTTTGTCGCAGAGCTGCGCTGTCGGCTCAGGCCCTAAAAAAAGACTGGATCGGTGTCATTCATCAGATATCCGATCCTGGTAATTTGTCAATTTTGGAGCCAATATTGGATTGGTTCATCCCTAATTTAAATAATCTTAATTTAGTAGATTAGAAGTCTTCATTCAGGCCAAAAGCAGCTGATATTGATCAAACGTGATTTCTTCAAAAGTAAACTTTATTATAACAAGCACGGTGTCATTCAGCAGAGCTTTATTATATCACTCACATAAGTCACAGTTGTTAATGAGATGGAGTTCGACGCGCTCTAAGAGCTGTCTTCCTGGGTATCACAGGTCTATGAGGTCTATGTGGTCTCTGGGGTCTCTGAGGTCTCTGAGGTCTCTGAGGTCTTTGAGATCTGGATCAGCGTGTAGATTTCCAGACTTCCTGAAAAGCATCAAAATTCAAACAGACACTAAAACACAGAAACTGTTGGTGTGAGTTAACTAAAGAATAAATCAGTTGGGTGTAAATGACACAAAAGGTAAGTTAACATGATTATAACGATATGAGAGTTTACAAAAACAGTGTTTACAGTGAAACTGAGACTCTGCAGACACAGATGGAGTAACAGGAGAAACATTTTGGTCTGAAGATGCTGAATTGACTTTAAAAACAGGAGCTTAAACAGACTAAACGGTCACTCCTGAGGGAAACAGGCCAGTCAGGGATGATTTTGGTTACTTAGCAACAGTGAGCGCCTGTCAGGAGCGCTCTGAAAATTGAGGTCGTGGTAGAGACAGCAGCGTGAGTGGACAGAGCCCCTAAAGGTGTTTATTCCACAGATAGATCTGCAGAGGTGAGACCCAGTCCTCTCCGGTTCTGAACACATGTTTGGACCGTCACAGCAGAGACCCGGGTTGTTGTGAACTGCTGCTCCTACCTGGATTCACTGATGGACGGTCCGTCAGCGTGAGGGACGGAGATCATCAGACGAACACGTGTTCGGGTCGGTTCTGTCCACAGGTATCAGAGCGTCTGAACGCAGTAGAAGCTGTTCCTGAGTGCCGACTCAGCGTGGACGGAGGTCAGCGGGTCGGTCCGATGGTGTGAGAGATGAGATATCGATCAGTGATAAACGGCGCCGCGGCGTCTCTCAGACTCCTCCTCCTCCTGCTTTTTTATGGATTTTTGATGAAATATGAAATCTGCTGTAAACTCCCTTAAAGAAGATTAAAACCACGTGTGCCCGAGTGTCTGTGGGTTCATCTCAGCTGCTGCGTGTGGTTCGGGCCCACGCTGTAAATCATGTTCAGCTCCCGCCCCGGTGATGGAGAGTGGGACTGATGCTGTCACACCTGAGAGATGAGCAGGACTCGCTCTGACTCTGGAGCTTTGTATCATCCTGATCCACCTGCAGCAGCTTCTATCTACTCCACTCTGTGTTCGCGTCAGGTGACCTCACTCTGGGCTTTCTGCTGAGTCGCTCTCTGTTGCCGTAGAGATCATGTCGGCTCTCTGTCAGGCGCAGGAGTGGAGGAGGCGTTTACATGAAAATCAGTCAGGAGACATTTCTGCTGTTTGGATCTAAAACCAGAGGAGACAATGAGTTTGTAGATTTAACTCAGAGTGAGACGAACAAATAAAGAATATAAATAATAATAATCATCATCTGTGTAAAATTAAAGGAGCAGTCAGTGACTCTATGATCACACACACACCTGTTTATGCACACTGTGTGACCCCCAACGTCTCCTAAAAGGTCGTGTCCTCCGATCGTAGCTGATCGTAACCATTCAAGTTAACGTGTCGATTTACACCGACTTCTGGAAAGGAAGTCGGGCACAGACACAAAATAAAACATCCGGCTTCTTTTCAAAATAAAACACTCCGTGTTTCAGGAGGATCGTATTTCACACCATGCAAACGGGCGGAGACGAACAAGTGAAAGGTTTTTAGACGTCATTTCACCCCGATGACACCATGGATGAGGAGATGCTGATTCTAGAAGTCTAGAAGTAGATTTCCTCCTCTGGAAGGACACAATCTACTGCTTATATGTCTATGTGTCTGTCTTTAGAGAGACAACTCGTTATCGTGGGATTGAACGTGAATCTGCGGGTTCTTGTGTGTTCTCACGATTCCTGCTGTCTGTAATCCGCCACGAAAATCGCTGCCACTCCAGATCGGAGCCGTTCCAGCTGCGGAGAAAATTGGAGGTTACTGTCACATGGTCTAGGAGGAGGAGCCTAATATTTTCTGACATATTAAACTTCATAGATGACAAAGGTGAGTTTATATATGTGAGCCGTCTCTGAGGCTGGAGAAGCACGAAAGTATCTGACCTGTTTCAGGTTGTCATCAGATTTAGATTTTCCCTGTTACACTTTCAGTCCAAGCTCCGCCTCCACTCCTCTAAACCTGACTGGTTTGTGACCAGACCAGTAGAAACCGTTATGTCTCTGAATTCAGGTGAAGATGGACTCGGTCCGCTCTGGGACTCCTCGGTTAGTGTTTCTGTCAGTGATGTGAAGATCAGTTCTTCTGACTGTACTGACTCTTCAGAAACCGTTCATTCAATCGATTCGTTCAAAGGATTCGTTCGACCTGTCGCAGCAGTACGCCAGTGAGTGACACAGCGGCGAGTTCGTTCATTAGCCCCTCCCCTCCCCTGCTGCTGAAGTCACAGCGTCGTTCACTGGGTGACTCATGTCGTTCATTCGCCAAGTCCTGAAGGAAGAATCACTCCCCTTCCCTGAAAAACAAACAACACAGCAGCGAGCAGCACAAGTCGTTCTTTTATTTGTCGGAAAAGTGGCGAGATTAAAAATAAATAACGATGTCAGCTGTAGCGAGGATTCAGATACTTTTAAAAATATCAAATATCGTATTTCTTTAAATCGTCTGAAATGAATTCTTCCAGGAAAGTTTAAACACGTGTTTTAATGTAAAGGCGCCATAATGACCTATTTTATCTTAGCCTCAGTCAACCAACCGCCGCTCGACAGGAAGTGAACCACGCTACACCCCTCCTTCCCCTGACTGAATAAAGTCGTTCGGAAGTCGTTCGTTTCGTTCACAGTCTGACTGATTCATGTCGTTAATTCGTTTTGAGCTAATCACGAGACTCCGCCCGCCAAAGAGTCAAAAGCAGCAGTTCCACTCTTGACCGGCACGCCATGCTCGCTGCTCAACTGAACTGAGAAAGGAACGAATCAGGTCTTGAAGTGATTCAGTTCACGCCGTTCACTCAGCAGTTCGGTTCTTTTAACGAATCGTTCATGAACGACACAAACACGAGTCTCCGTGTGGATCTTCGATGTTTGGATTTTGACGGTCAGGATGTTCTGGACGTCTTCACCTCCTCACAGACATAAATCCAGAGCTGAGGGTGAAAGTCTTGTTGCTGTTTGTCCAGAGGAGGTGCAGACTCCTCTCTGTGTGTATCTCTGTGTGTATCTCTGTGTGTATCGAGTATCTCTGCTGCTGACAGCCTGTATGGGAGCCGAGTCTGAAAACACTCTGACAGCTTCCAGCCTCCAGAACTTATTGAGCGAGTGCAGCTGACACATTCATTCCCAGAGTCATTCAGCATCTGACGCCGCGGGGCGCTCACATCCTCGCTCTATCGCGCCTCTATCTGTTGACCTGATTTAAAGTTCTGAATACCTATTTTTCAGGCTCCTGACTCCTCTGTGTGTGTGTGAGCGGATGTCAGATCCAGAGTCAGGACCAGGTCTTTGTGGTCCTGTCGGCTTTATTATTACCATCCTCACCGACCTCAAACACTCGCCCCACATCTGAATCTGTCCCGTCTTCAAACCGAGTGATGCTTTTCTGTGGAGACAGTCAACATCCTCACAGCGTCCACGCAGACAAAAGGACAAATAATGGAGGTTAGGGTCACAAAGGTCACTCAGAGCGTTTACAGTCACAGTTTAATCAGACTAAGATCATGAATCAGACTTCTCTCCTCGTCCTTGTTTACATGCAGCTGAGAAAATCAAATTATTGACGTGAACGTGTCCTCCTCCCCAACACTAGGGGGCGATGTGGGTCTTTTCAGCGGCGCTGTTTCCGACCCCATCCAACCGTCAACAACAACAGCAGGTCGGTGTCAGACGTCAGAAGTGTCTACAACTGCTGCTGGGCATTTTGGAGAAACAAGAAGATGGAGCATCGTACAGCGTTGTTTTTGTCCGACATGAAGGACGTAAAAAACCACAATTAAAAGCTTTTATTGCAGTGGGGCAACTTCCTGTCATTGTCCCGCCTCCCCAACTTTCTTTAAGTACAGGAGCTTACCTGTTCACTCCCTTTTTCATCTATGCTGTGGCCGCAGCATGGTCGCTGGCGTCTCACACAAAGAGCACGTGTTGTGTTTCAGCGTGTAAACTCTGCGATCTTGGAGTTTTCTGCCGTGAAAGAAAGAGGAAGTATAACCGAAGAAAATCAAGGTTAGGTTTTTGTAACAGACTGTAGATCATCATTATCGACTCCACCCTCATCACAGCTATAAATTCAACCAGTAATTCAACAATCGACTCAACCAGATGGGAGCTAACCCCAGAAAAGTGTGGATAAGTTCCTGTTTTTATCCAGGAACAGACAAACTTTGGATTGTGTGGTATTTTTGTTTTTTACTAGGTCGGAATTAGTTGTTTTTTTTTTCCTTTTCTTCTGGACAAAATCTCAACCATTTTTAATTTGCAATAATTGTTTTGTTGTGAAAATGTTACTTTAATACGAAACATAAAAAACACACCTTTGTCTGTGTATCATTTACCCACACCTCGGGCTCCCTAAGAACCAGAACTTCTGATGCCCAAAGTAGTGTTACACACACACTGCTTTTTCTGCAGATGAGACGAACGCTACTCCTCTTTTCTGGGTTTTTTTGTTCCAGGGTTACGGGAGCGTGGCGCATGTGCACATGCACCGTCCGATCATACTCTGACTTCGCTGGTTACATGGGAGAGAAAATCAAATTCCAATCAGATTATCTGGGTGTCTGAATCAGAGTTCTTAAACTCAGATTATAGTCGGACTAAAGTGTTTACATGACCTTCAGCTGTCCGGTCTTAATCGGAATAAGGCGATAATTCGGTTTTCTTGAGTGTCGTGGAAACGGACTGAGTGAAAATATCTTCAGATTCGTTTTAAAATTGTCCTTTTTTTCTCTTCTTTTATGATCTTGAACATTTGTTCACAACCACAGATGATTCTAACTTTAATATATTTCTGTTCATCTGAGATGTCGTATCAGGAGATCCAAACGTGGACGATGTTCCTCAGGTGTTTGATTCCTGCTCTCAGACAGGAAGGAGTCCGAAACACGAGATCTGAAGCTGGTTTTTGTTTTTTTCTCGTTTCTGCAGGAGGAACCCTCTCCACTTCCATTTCATCACAGACTCCATCGCTCAGCAGATCCTCTCCTCTCTGTTCCACACCTGGATGGTTCCCGCCGTCAGAGTCGACTTCTACGACGCCGACGAGCTGAAGGTGAGAGGAAACCTGGATGATCCTCAGAGGTGGTGGTACCTCACTGCGTCATGGTCTCATCTGAACCCTGTTCTGTTTCAGTCCGAGGTCTCATGGATCCCCAACAAACATTACTCCGGGATCTACGGCCTGATGAAGCTGGTGCTGACCAAGACGCTGCCGTCCGACCTGCAGAAGGTCATCGTCCTGGACACGGACATCACCTTCGCCACCGACATCGCCGAGCTGTGGGCCGTCTTCCACAAGTTCAAAGGTGAGAAAGCTTCACTCCTGACTCTCCTCACAGCCTGGAGATGTTCGTGAGCTCTTCTTCTGACACGTTTCTCCAACACCATCAGCAGCATGACTCACTGTGTGGGATTATTGGTGCGGAATCAATAAGTCAGAGGGCCCAGCTGGTGTGGAGGTGTGTGAGTGTGTGTGAGTGTGTGTGTGTGTGTGTGTGTTACACAATCAGTGTTGGTGTGAGCCTGGAGGAGGAGGAGGAGGAGCTTTTTCTTCCTCGTTGGTCAAACTTTAGAAACAAAGACGTGGGACAGCTCCGGTGTGAGGTAACAGAGTTCAAACAGGTGTGTTAAAGGCGCAGAGACACGGTACGGTGGCCCCGGAGGCTCAACCTGAGATTCACACAAAGACAAAGTCTCTGCAGGGGTGTCCTCAGGCTGTGGAGGGGCAGGGGTGAGGACATAAAGAGGGCCCCTCTGTACACCACAGGGTAACTCTGGACCAGTCTCACCAACTCCTCAGTTAGGGAAGCAGCTATTGGCTGTCCTAAATGATGTCATCGCCTAATTTGCATGATTGGCCAAATTGTAATGGAAGAGGAACAACGAGGTGAGAGAGACAAAAGTGAGTAAAAAAAAAACACCCAGAATATGTTTCAGACTCCAAACGATCTTCTGTGGATTCTTAGACATCTAGTTATTTTTAGATCTAATTTCAACCGTCTAGATTCTGTAGATCTGTAGACGGAATCTAGATGTTGCACTTTCAATAAGTATTTATTTCAAAAAGCAACAGTGAGTTTATAACTGATCTCCAAGTACTAAACCAAAATAATAAGGATAGCAGTTAGACCTCTGTTAGCTGGTTAGTCTAAACTCGGTCTAAATTTAGACGTCTGAAAACTTTCATTTTTAGACCTGTGATAGCCTGATCTTAGACCGTCGTCTAGACCACATTTAGACGTCTATTAGACCAAAAAATACTTAGTGGGTTTGATGTCATTATTCCGACCCTCCTCCTTTACCCGGGCTTGGGACCACCAGCAAAATCAACCCAATTGAGACGATTTGTCAGAGTTACTGAGGTTTTTAAGTTTTGTTTGGTTTTAAACAACCAGCGGCGGCTTCCCGTATTCGTGATTCATTTGAAGTAGACCGGATACAGGCGGCAGCAGCTCAGGAGGTAGAGCGGTCGGCCAATAACTGAAAGGTTGGCGGTTCGAGCCCCGTCCTGTCCCAAGTCTGTCCGTTGTGTCCTTGGGCAAGACACTTAACCCACCTCCCTCCCAGTGTGTGTCCTCCACTGGTGTGTGATTGTGAGTGTTGTGGCCGCCATGTTTCCATCAGTCTGTCCCAGGTCAGCTGTGAGTATGAAGGTAGTTTACCACCACCAAGGTGTGACTGTGTGAATGAATGAATGAATGAATGAATGATGGATCCGATGAAAAGAGCTTTGAGGGTCTCTGATAAAAAAGCGCTATAAAACTCAGATGCATTATTATTATTATAATTATTAGGAGTGCACACGTCACACAGAACTGCTGTGACGGCGAGGACTGGGCCACCTGTGAGCGCTGTGGGTCAGGGGAGAGGTTCACGGCAGCAGAGGAGGTGATTCGTGTTTTAACGTCAGAGTCTCCAACGACGACACAAAAAGTCGCCGGATTTGTCGCTCGTGGCTTTTTTGAGAATTAGTCACTGGAGGGGTCTGAAAACTCGCTAAATAAAGAGTCAAAGTTGCTAAGTTGGCAACGCTGCTCTAGACAACAGGAAGTCTGAGATTGACAGAGCTAGGATAGATCTTTAAACTCTAGATGTCCACAGAGTCCTGTTTATTCAGAGAAGGTCAATAAAGTCAGAGAAACTTCTGGAAACTTTAGAGCCGTGGAAGAAAACAAAAATGTTTTTGTAATGTAAAGCTCACAGTCCAACACTTGTTCCCATGGTTACTGTAAAACTTTATTTAAAACGACTTTAGACCAGGTCACAGAATAAACTCGTCTTCATGGATTATTGACCTGAGCTCCCAGACCGTGTAGGAGGACCTGATCCAGTTTGATGAGCCCGGCTCAGGACTGGTACCGCAGCCGGCACGGTTCTGAACCCGCGGGGTCTTTTTGGGCCAGCCCACTCTGCACACCCACTCAGTGTGTCTGATCATGGAAACAGCTGCGGACTTAACGAGCTGTGAAGTGGTTTTTATGAAGTCCAATCAAATCAGACAGGACTTCTTTCCCGGGCCTCAGAGGTCCGACAGAGGACATGGGGTCATGAAAGCTTTTGAGGGTCCAGAGGGAGGGTAAGGGGATCTCATCCAGGTGGAAGAACCAGCCGGTGTTGCTGCAAAGATTTATGGGTAATGCTGTCCTATAGTGCAGCGCAGCCACAAAGGTGCGGATCAATCTTAATTAGGCGCTGACTGGGATGCAGCACCTCTGCCACTCGCTCCTTTTACGGTCCGGTCCGGCTGAACTGTGGGTCTCATTATGTTTAAAGCATTACAGCCGTCCACTCAGATCCACTCAATAAACGCTCCCGTCAGATCACCCGAACACGGGCTCGTAAAGACGCGCAGAAGAGCTGAGACAGTGTCAGCGTGCAGCCAGCGCAGCGTCTTTCTCAGCAGGTCATTAACTTTATCAGGCGGGTATAAAAACAGAGCGCACACACACACACACACACGCACGACCATTACAACGGCGTTCAGTCATTTAAAGGAAGTACTGATACACAACATCCAGGAGTTAACAAACACAGAGTCAGCTTTGGACCGAGGAAGAGCTCAAAGAACAGCGGCCCGGATAAAAGCCCCTTCAAAATAAAAGCTGGTCTTTGCTCGAAGGACGTCTGTGAGCTGCGGTTTGCTTTTCAGAGGGTTGGAGAGAAAACATGAGGGGGAGGAGTCAGGATCAGACCGTGCTTCATAAACGCCGTTTTTAAAACTTCCTTTAAATGTTTAATTTTTGAAAGACTCTCTGATCTTTTTTTGTTCTCGTGTCTTTAATTAAAATTATTTCATGTTTAGTCCTAAAAGTCTTTTCCTGAAAACCCGTCCTGTCTCATGACCACGCTGGTCTGACCTTCGGGTGAAAGAGGAACATCTGACTCTGTCTGCCTCACTAAAAACAACGAACTGTCCCTTTAAGGTGTAATCCATCATCCTTTCTTTAAACTGCTCTAAACGCCGTTTTAAGAATCCGAACTCTTCCATAAACGAACGATAAAAGGGGCGGAGCCTCTGAAGTGGTAATTCGTCTCTTTTCTTAAAGAGATGCACAGTGGCAAGCGCCGCGTGTCTCTGCCGCTCCTGATGAAGGCGTTGAAATGTAAATGATCCTGAGGCTCCCCGCCGCCGCCGTAACCTCCTCCTCCTCCTCCTTCTTCTTCTTCATATCAAACCTTTTCACTCTCAGCACGTCAGAATCATGACTGTTTTATCTGCAGACATCAGACTCCACGCTGGAACCGCCCCCCTCTTTATTTAAGGTGGATTTCCTTCCTCCTGGTTCTCATGTTTCAGTGGAATAATTGTCTCTCAGTGTGATGTCTTCTTCTGCAGCTCTGCATGCGCACCATGTTCGTCCAATCAGCTGTAATCGTCGGCTGAGTGGAGCTCGTATTTCACCGCTGCTTTGGTCACATGATCAATTCATAGCTGCGTCTGTTTTATGGATTATTGTTCCCGTTCGGCTGCAGGTCCTTCCTCTCAGAGAGCTCCACTTTTACCCTCCTCGCCAAGACGCTGACGTCCGTCATTTACCCGCCCATTGTCAGAACTCAGCGGTGCCTAACTGGGAAATATTGGCGTTAACCCCTCGGTTATAATCAGCGGGTATTCAGCGTTCGCGCCGCAGCCCGGGGGAAATTAAAGGTCCACTCCAGACCTCATATTTCATTTCAGCCTCGTTCCTGCACGCCGAGCCCACCGGGGAGAACACGCCGACCTCTGCCTCTTTGACAGATTCGAGCCGTGTGAGGGTGTGTGCTGAGTGGCGGAGGGCGGGCAGGTGGAGGTCAGGTGTGCAGAGGTGGGAGGAGAATGAACAGTGTGTCGAACAGCGTTTGAACTCAGTCAGTCAGAAACATCTCTCAGGAGAGAAGCAGACAAACATCAGACATTTTCCTGCAAAGTCAAACCTCTAACTTCGGTTTCTCAGCGACGTTTGAGTCCAGAGAGTTTTGAGAGTCAACTATGAGAGTTATCTATGATCCACAAACATCAGACATTTCTCTGCAAAGTCAAACCTGAGACTTCGATTTCTCGACCTGCTGAGTGTTTATTTTAAGAGGCTCCACCTCCTCAGTTCTCAGACAGAGATCATGAGTTTGTTAAACTGCAGCACAGTTCAATAAAACTATTGAATTTATTATTGGGGATCAATTAGGTTCTTTTCATCTCATCTCATCTCATCTCATCTCCTCTTGTCTCATCCCGTCTCATTATATAATCATGTCTTGTCTCTTCTCTTCTCTCCTCATCTCATCTCGTCTCTTTTCTTCCTGTCTCACCTTGTCTCCTCTCATCTAATCTCCTCTGGTCTCATCTCGTATCGTCCAGTCTCATGTTATCTCATCTCCTCTTGTCTTATTTCGTCTCTTCTCTCCTGTCTCACCTTGTCTCTTCTAATCTCTTCTCGTCTTATTTTGTGTCTTCTCATCTCTTCTCATCTCATCTAATCTCCTCTTGCCTCATTCTGTCTCATCTTATCTTGTCTCGTCTCCTCTCATTTGATCTCTTCTTGTCTCTTCCTGTCTCACCTTGTCTCATCTCTTCTCATCTCATCTCATCTTGTTTCATCTCGTCTCTTCTCATCCCGTCTTATCTCATCTCCTCTCCTCTCGTCTTATCCCATCTCGTCTCATCTCTTCCTGTCTCATCTTGTTTCATTGTATCTCATCCAGTCTTATCTTGTCTCGTCTCCTCTTGTCTTTTCCACTCATCTTATCCCATCTTGTCCCTTTTCTTCCTGTCTCATCTTGTCTCATCTTGTCTCATTTCGTCTCCTTTTCTCTCATCTCGTCTCATCTCAAACAGCAGCAGTTTTTTGTTGTTGTTGTCACGTTCTCAGTTTGATTGTTACCTCAGTTGGACTCAGGGTGGCGCTCTAACGTGGTTAATTCCTTAATCGTTGCCTGTTTTCATGATGAAATCCTCATTTTCTCCTCAGTTTTTCTTTTTTCCTCTCAAACCTTCGGCCTTCTGTCTCCTAACAAATCTGTTTCTTATTTTTCTTTTTCAAACTTTATCTGACGACTTCAAACCGGCAGCAGAGGCAGACGGGGAAACGTTATGAATAATTTGCGAGGCCTTCTTCCCGCTGATGGGAGCGTCGAAGCAGAGAGCGAAACAATGTTCGGTGTTTTCATGTTTGGTTTTTCAGGACTGTGTTTTTTTCTGGGGGATACCTCGGGGGGATTTGGGTTGGAGCTAACTCTCCTGTAGTCTGCAGTTCTTGCGTGCATTCATGCTTCAAAACCTTTTTTCCAAATGATCCGTCCTGACTCTGAAATATCCTTCTGTTCAGCCTACTGTACACTGAACCTTTCTGCAAGGCTCTGCTGCTCCTCTGATGGAGCGTCTATGACCTGAAATCCTCCCAGTGTAACCAGTTTGTACGGCGTAGTCTCAGCAGCAACATTAGAAGATAAATCTGAAGAAAACCTCCAACATCAGTCCTAGAAACCAGTCTGTGGTTTGTGTTTAGAGTGAAACACCAACATGGAGACTTGAGACTGTCAGAGATGATGATGCTGAAGGTGGTTCTGACCTCTGTTTAGATAAATAAAAGATCAATACTTCAGATCATTACAAATGGGGCCCAGTCAAGGTGAAAGTCAAAAGCATTGGTGCTACTGTAGATGCCAACAGACTACCAGCAAACACAATGTTTGCAGGACTTCTACAACGAGGATAAAGTGACATAGTCCAGGACCCGAGGGAGGACAGTTTAGCGATGGCGCTACAACACGCTACAGCAGGTCCGTTTGACAAGAAACACTTCTGTTACAGACACTTGTCTTACTTTGTTAAAGCGGTTTACCTGTCCAGCAGAAAGGTTACAGGGTCACCAAGATCCCCAAGCGTCCCCCATGGTTTATGTTGACCCGGCTTTTTAGCTCTTGTCCGGTCTACCTCCGTTTTAAGCGCCCGTTATTCCTCCAGAGTCTCCGGTATTTACTTTGTTTTCTCGCTTGTGTCGGCAGTCGTGGCCAAAGGAGGATTCAGACAATTTTCCGAACTTTCTGGTTGGTTTCTACTGTCCGATATTGTAGCACGCTAACTTTGTTTGGGCTCCTGAACGACACGGGGGAGCAGCATTTTCTTGTTGACTGTTTTCTTGTTGACTGTTTTCTTGTTGACTGTTTTGATGTTGACTGTTTATGGTTGACGTTTTCTTGCTGACTGTTTTCTTGTTGACTGTTTTGATGTTGACTGTTTATGGTTGACGTTTTCTTGTTGACTGTTTTCTTGTTGACTGTTTTCTTGTTGACTGTTTTGATGTTGACTGTTTTGGTGTTGACTGTTTTCTTGTTGACTGTTTTCTTGTTGACTGTTTTGATGTTGACTGTTTATGTTTGAGTGTTTTCTTGCTGACTGTTTTGTTGCTGACTGTTTATGTTTGAGTGTTTTCTTGCTTGTGTCGGCAGTCGTGGCCAAAGGAGGATTCAGACAATTTTCCGAACTTTCTGGTTGGTTTCTACTGTCCGATATTGTAGCACGCTAACTTTGTTTGGGCTCCTGAACGACACGGGGGAGCAGCGTCTGCCTCACAACCAATCAGGTTAGAGGAGGTGGAAAACGGCTTTGTTTACAGTCAGAAAGAGCGGACCGCTCAAAAATGTTCAAATGTTGACGACACAGACATAAGAGAACACAGAGATATCAATATATTACCAAATAATCAATAACTAAGAACTATTGACTGATATTAGAAGAGTTTTTTATAAATACACCACAAAGATGCTTCTTTCTCCCGCCTACCCCACCTTTAACCAAGCGACCCCCATCCTCGACGCTGCAAACCGTCCTCTCAGAAAATCAGCTGCATGTGACTCCTGAAAGGAACAAAAAAATTAATGGAGGAATCTTCTCATGTGGAGGAAGATTAATGTGCCAATACCACAGCCTGAATCAACTCTGTGCATAATGAGCGCTGTTGACGACTCAGTGAGTCTGAGAGGTCTGAGAGTACGGAGAGCTTTCATTTCACGGAGGAAGGAAGGAAGTGTTGGAGGCAAACAGGACTCATGAATAGGACTCATCATGCAGGAACACTCAGGCTCTGAATCCACATCTCTCCTGACACACTAATGCATACGTTTAGCTAACACGCACACGTGAGCGACTGCCGGGCTGCCTTTGCTTTCATACGCCTCCATGCTGCCTCACAGGCGGATGACCACACCTGTCTCCACAAAGACGAGCGTTAGACAGGATAATCTGTTCATCAGTGTAACATAAGATACAGAGGAGAGGAGCTGCTACACCCGCCGACTCGGTGAGTTTACGAATATGACAGGACAGAGGAGATGATTTTACATCCTAAAGAAACATGAAAACACCGAGCAATAAAGAGTCGACACGTCCTTTTGTTTATAAAGGAGCTAAAACTGTTTTTTTTTTTCTCCTGTAAATACGGCGGTGAAGTTAGTTTCAGGTTGGATATATTTTCCTGTAAATACGGCGGTGAAGTTAGTTTCAGGTTGGATATATTTTCCTGTAAATATTCCAGTGAAGTTAGTTTTAGGTTGGATATATTTTCCTGTAAATACGGTGTTGAAGTTAGTTTCAGGTTGGATATATTTTCCTGTAAATACGGCGGTGAAGTTAGTTTTAGGTTGGATATATTTTCCTGTAAATACGGCGGTGAAGTTAGTTTTAGGTTGGATATATTTTCCTGTAAATACGGCGGTGAAGTTAGTTTTAGGTTGGATATATTTTCCTGTAAATATGGCGGTGAAGTTAGTTTCAGGTTGGATATATTTCCTGTAAATAAGGCGGTGAAGTTAGTTTTAGGTTGGATATATTTTCCTGTAAATACGGCGGTGAAGTTAGTTTTAGGTTGGATATATTTTCCTGTAAATACGGCGGTGAAGTTAGTTTCAGGTTGGATATATTTTCCTGTAAATACGACGGTGAAGTTAGTTTCAGGTTGGATATATTTTCCTGTAAATACGGCAGTGAAGTTAGTTTCAGGTTGGATATATTTTCCTGTAAATACGGCGGTGAAGTTAGTTTTAGGTTGGATATATTTTCCTGTAAATACGGCGGTGAAGTTAGTTTCAGGTTGGTTATATTTTCCTGTAAATACGGCGGTGAAGTTAGTTTCAGGTTGGATATATTTTCCTGTAAATACGGCGGTGAAGTTAGTTTTAGGTTGGATATATTTTCCTGTAAATACGTTGGTGAAGTTAGTTTCAGGTTGGATATATTTTCCTGTAAATACGGCGGTGAAGTTAGTTTCAGGTTGGATATATTTTCCTGTAAATACAGCGGTGAAGTTAGTTTCAGGTTGGTTATATTTTCCTGTAAATACGGCGGTGAAGTTAGTTTCAGGTTGGATATATTTTCCTGTAAATACGGCGGTGAAGTTAGTTTTAGGTTGGATATATTTTCCTGTAAATACGTTGGTGAAGTTAGTTTCAGGTTGGATATATTTTCCTGTAAATACGTTGGTGAAGTTAGTTTCAGGTTGGATATATTTTCCTGTAAATACGGCGGTGAAGTTAGTTTCAGGTTGGATATATTTTCCTGTTAATACGGCGGTGAAGTTAGTTTTAGGTTGGATATATTTTCCTGTAAATACGGCGGTGAAGTTAGTTTCAGGTTGGATATATTTTCCTGTAAATACGGCGGTGAAGTTAGTTTTAGGTTGGATATCTGACGGACATTCTCTGAGGATCTACCGGTGTCTTCTCACTCTCCATAACCGGGAATAACAACAGCAGCGCGGTTAAATCTATTCGACACCCTCACTTTCAACATCGGTGTTGAATAAGGGACCGTCAATAAATTACCGGTTGATGTTCTCAGAAAAGGCTGTTTTCCTTCAATAGCTTCACTGTCATGTGACCAAAAGACCTAAAACTGATTTCTAATAATAGTGCTAAGGTCGATCAATAAGACAAACATTATTGATCAATTTTCTTTGTTCCCCTAAAGTTCTTTGTGCTCCTTGTGAACAAAGTTAGAGTCAAACCCTGCTGACCCGAGTTTGAATGCAGTGACTGACCCGTCATCATCTCACCATGAGGTGTTCAACATTCATGGATGATCATCTTTCACTCCCGTCCATCAGAACCAGAACGCCTCCTGCAGATTCTGCCCGTAATCATGTTGACAGAGATCCAACCCTTATCTGGACTCTGAGGTCTTATCAGCATGTTGTGGATAATCAGGTTGACGCTCAGTCTTCTGTCTCTTCTGTTTTCTCTGCCGCTGTGATGAAGATGAGCACTCTTCATCACCATGCCTCTGTGTTTCCTCAGTTAATATTAGTCCTTTAAGAGCGCCGCTGACACCTGGATGAAAGCGTCTGTTTTTTCAGCTCGTCCTCTCTTTGTTTTAACCCTCGATAATCTGAGCGCAGAGATAGACGAGTGTTGCAGGCGGAGAGAAACTCAACCTTATCAGCGCGCGAAGGGGGACCTGGCGTGATATCGTTTTGATTGACATGAGCAGTAATTGGCCATCAGTGTTGTGATGAAGTCTTTGCAGAGAGCTGCTGAGCTGGAACACGACTCCGACACGCAGACTGTATCCTGCAGACCGCGGCGTTGGCTCCCCCCCCCCTCAGCGGTCAGTTTGACAAAGAGCCGCACTAAATAAACTGTCAGGGCCGCCGCACAGTCCCGACTTATAGGATCGACTCCAGAGAGCGCTCTTCTTTTTTAAGAGCAGCTCATATATGTGCTGCGGCTACAGTTTACAGCCCGTCTGAGCAGGTGAAGAAGCTCCAGGAGCAGTTAAAGTCTGAAGAATTACTCTTTTTATCTGGACAGAGCGCTCGCTCTTTGGAGGAGGTCACGGCGTTTGATATTTAGAGGAAATGATGAAAGCCTGCAGATGAGAAAGCAAGATATCTGGACATCAAAAGAAAGGACAATTTACATGAAAGCAAGAGCCAAAAGGTCTGCTTTCATGTTTGCATCTGATGAAACCACAAATGAGACCTTCGCACATTTCACCGTTTTGAAATTCAGACTCCAAAGAGAACCCGTGCAATCCTCCTCAACCTCCACGGCGCCAGAACTTCAGCTGGATCCACGCCGGAGCGAGTTTTTACCTGCTGGGGTTGTTTCAGGTTCAGTCTCTGTAGGCGGGTCGCTCTGTGTCGAGGAGAAGTTCATAAAAACATCTTTAACACAGAGAAGGAGAACTGAGTCTGAATCTGTGTCACATGACCGTAGAACGTAAACATGCACACGCTAACACCGTCCCAGATACCAAACAGGAAACAAAAGATTAAATAAGACGGATATAAGACAGAGTCTGTGAACGCATCGAGATTATTCAGACGTCTAAAATAATAGAGTTTGACCCTTGATCCCTCAGAACACCTACATCACAACCACCTACCTCCACCAGCGCCAAAACTACCTCCACCTGCCCACAGTGCCAAAACTACCTCCACCTGACCAAAACTACCTCCACCTGCCCACAGTGCCAAAACTACCTCCACCTGACCAAAACTACCTCCACCTGCCCACAGTGCCAAAACTACCTCCACCTGACCAAGACTACCTCCATCTGCCTACTTAATCAAAACTACCTCCACCTGACCAAACCATCTCCAACTGCCAACATCATCAAAACTACCTCCACCTGCCCACAGCACCAAAACAACCTCCACCTGCCCACAGTGCCAAAACTAGCTCCACCTGCCAACATCATCAAAACTACCTCCACCTGCCCACAGCGCCAAAACTACCTCCACCTGCCCACAGTGCCAAAACTAGCTCCACCTGCCCACAGTGCCAAAACTACCTCCACCTGCCCACAGCACCAAAACAACCTCCACCTGACCAAAACAACCTCCACCTGACCAGAACTACCTCCACCTGCCCAAGACTGCCTCCATCTGCCTACTTAATCAAAACTACCTCCACCTGCCCACAGCATCAAATCTACATCCGCCAGCCCACTGCGTCAAAACGACCCCCACCTGCTCAAAACTACCTCCACCAGCATAAAACCACCTTCACCTGCCCACAGCGTCAAAACTACCTTTACCTGAACAAAGCCATCTCCACCTGAACAAAATCACCTCCACCTGCCCACATAATCAAAACTACCTCCACCTTCCCACTCTGTTAAAACTATATTTTTTTAATTTCGTTGTAAGCCTCATACAATGACAATAAAAAGTCTGAGTCTTCCTCCACCTGACCAAAACCACCTCCACCTGCCCACAGCTCCAGCCCTGTCAGAGGTCATCTCCATAAACGCCGCTCACACACAGAGTAAATCACCTTTAAGTCTCTCTTTTCAGACCTTCTGCTTCAGTTCCTGTTTCCCTAAATCCACTTCCTCTGTGAGTCGTTTCAGAAATAACATATTTACACATCCGCTCGCCGTCGCCTTTGTAAGTGTGGTGAGGTACAGAGAGTAGAAGAAGAAGAAGAGGGAGGAGGAGGAGGAGAGGCAGTGACTGCTCAGGTGATTGATGATGTGAGGCTGTGCAGATGAAGGTTAGATCTGTAGATGGTCTCCAGGGAGTCAGCGTGGCCTCAGGAGCCTGTAAAGTGTTGAATTATGAAAATTTCCTCCTCGGCTGCTTCAGTGGAAACTTAATCCTTCACTTTGGTGGGTATTAAAAGTTAACCACGCTTCCCCGCGAGTATTCCTCCCTGAATCCGGCGGTCTGAGAGCGAGTCTCTGCAGCTGGTTTCTGTTGTTTCAGAGCAGATTCATAAATAAAGCCGTTACAGAGCGTCCTGGTGTCGTCGTTAGTATGCAGAGCGCGTCAGCTCTAATGACAGAAGTGGGTCACCCTGCTCTCCACCATGACTTCATCGCCTCTCCCATCCCCCTCCTGTTATCCTGGGCGATGATGGCAGACAGTGTCTTGGCAGAGTCACCTGCAGACCACCTGTCCTTGGATTAAAGACACTTTAGTTTATTACAGATCTCTAAAAGCATCAGACGTCATTTTTGTCTTCTGGGGCGGCTCAGACTTCCTGTGACAGAGATGCTTTTTAGCTGATCACTCTGCGCTCAAGGACACGGAGACGTGAGAGGGACCGTCCTCAGATTCAGATTCAGACACATTTATCTGTCCCCAATGGGCCATTCGGTTTTTACGGCCAGCCAAGAATCATCAATAAATCAGGAAACCAAACACAGCGAGCAGCAGTGTTCAGACAACAGAACCACAGAGCCGGGTCGGATCACAATCACAGGTTGATGAGGAACCGGATCATGAAAGGAGACGAATCATGGTGTCAGTGATGTCCACAGGTTAGAGACGGTCCCTGAAACCTCTGAGTGACGTACGATCAACCATGAAACTGAGACCCACTGAGATGAAGAGTAAGTCCAAACAAAGACGCTTTCGAACTTTTACAGGGAAACTGAGACTCATCAGGAGAAGACAGATGAAGCAAACCAGAGGGAATCATCTGTTAAACTTGACATTTACAGTCAAACTGAGACTCAGCAGGTTCACAATGTTTTTCTGATAATACAGCTGTAAGACATCAGACTCAGACCGCTGAAGTAAACCAGAGTGAAGCTATTGAGCAGTTTACAGTCAAACTGAGACTCATCTGGTTCAGTGTGCCCTGTTTTCAGAAGCCCCTGTGTTACTCACTTTTTACTGTGAAACTGAGACTCTTATCGGTGACTGTCTTACTAACGGTGAAACTGAGACTCATCAGGAGAATACAGATGAAGCAAACCAGAGGGAATCATCTGTTAAACTTGACATTTACAGTCAAACTGAGACTCAGCAGGTGCATAATATATATATATATTTTTTAAACTTTATTTCTATCTTTTAAGGCAAACTTTCAAACATACACGCAAATACTGTACAAAACAAAACAAAACAAGAACACGAACAAGGGGGGCAAATACTACTCAGATACATACAGGTGCCATTTAGTCCATCTTACAGCATATAGCTCAGCTTTAATTCGTAGTCTGTAAGTCATTTGTTCCATTGATCGGATTTCCTCTACAATGGTCAGCCAGTCACTCAGTTCAGGTGGATCAGTTCTTAGCCAAGTTCTTGTGATGGCTTTCTTAGCTGCAAGAGATAGGATCTTGAACAGGTATATGTCCTCTTTACCCATTACATCTTCTAATATCAGTCCAAGATAAATAAACCGGGGATCTTTGGGTAAATTATATCCAAAAACTTTACCCATGACTCTCAGGACCTCATCCCAAAATGTCTGTATTTTCGTACATGACCAAAATATATGAGAGTGGTTGGCCTTCAGTTGCCCACATTGTCTCCAACAATGCTGTTGTTGACCTAATTGTTTATTTTTGATTTTTGGTGTAATAAATAGACGTGTCAAATTTTTCCAACCGAACTCCCTCCATGTTTTAGAACTTGTTGATGTATGTTGGGTCTTGAGCATGGTCTGCCAATCACTCTCAGATAACTCAGCAGGTTCATAATATTTTACTCATAATATCTCATCAGACTCATCCTGCTAAAGTAATACTGTTATTATTGCTGTTTACACTGAAACTGAGACTCTGTGGGTTCATACTGGTGAAGTAAACCGGAGTGAAGCTGCTGAGCAGTTTACAGTCAAACTGAGACTCGTCTGTTTTCAGTGGTCTCTGTATTACTCATTATTTACAGTCAAACTGAGACTCAGCAGTTTCATGATGTTTTACTCATAACCCGTCAGACAGTCACTGCTGAAGTAAACTACAGTGACGTCTCTGTGGACCTTACCTTAATGTTATTATTACTGTTTACACTGAAACTGAGACTCTGTGGGTTCATACTGGTGAAGTAAACCAGAGTGAAGCTGCTGAGCAGTTTACAGTCAAACTGAGACTCGTCTGTTTTCAGTGGTCTCTGTGTTCCTCATTATTTACAGTAAAACTGAGACTCTCATCCCAGACTGTTGCTCCTGATACGAATCATTTCAACCCCCTGAGAATCACAGAGTCCAGGTTTCCTTTGTGATCATGGATCTGGACCTCAGGGTTGAGTCCTGACACTCATGATATAATCCGGTTTAGCTCAGTATGGAGGTGGTCTGAGACTAATAGGAGTCTCCACATGAACCCGTGTAATCACAGTAAGAGCCTCCTGGAGTTCCTCTCTCTCTCTCTCTCTGTTTGTTTGGGGCATTCGGAGGATGAAGCCGTGGACTGTACGTCGCTCTGCTGCTGCTGCTGACCTCGGCATCATCTGTTTGTGGATCAGCAGCTCTGACTCAGCAGGAAAAACTCCCCCTGATCTCCTGGTACCCCCACAGCTAATTTAAGAACCACTCACTCGCTCCAGCTCCTGATGCATGCTGGGAAAACGACTGTGCACGGCCTGAGGTTTGCTGTGTTCGTGTTATTTAGTCCAGCTCTGTAAAGCGGGCTGTCGACAGTAAACAGCAGGTTTGGCTTTATTCCTGCAGACGGTAAATCACAGGATCAATAAGAGCCGAACAGAGGGGTGTGAGTGAATCTGCTGCAGAGGAAAACCGCTCATTCTGGGGCTTTTATTTTGAAGGGCTGTGTTCTTCTATGGGGTATTATTCTCATTTAAATCTGCTCCTTCTTCTCCTCTTTGGGCTAAAACAGAGTCCATCTGTATATATTGATTGTATCTCTGTCTCTTGCCGTCATGGCTCCCTGACCTGGAACCGCAGTATCTGACTGTTTTGGAGAAAGCTGACGGTTCGAGCTCCACGCTCTGTTGTTCACGGGTTTTTCTCCGAGTGAATGTTTGGATTAGGGAAAGATTTTGGTAAGAGAGAGCAGCTTGGCAGGCTGAAAGTGTGTGTTTGTGATGTTTCGCTGGAACACAAGCGCTGACATTAATCATGATGGAGAGGATAACTTTCAGGAGTTTCTCTGGGATTAAAAACCCCGCAGATATTTAAAGTTTCCAAACAAGTTTTCATGGAGAGACGTAAAACCGACTCCCCTCAGCTTCACTAAGCATTAACGGTGATTTCAGCAGGCAGCTGTTTCTGCTGATAACGCTGCAATAAATCAACTGTATACCACCTTTGATACGGCAGAGAGTTGAAGTCTCTGATTGGTCATTGAACAAAGTGAAATGTTGAGTTCAAGAGTCTTTATTCTCCTCATGAGTCAGTAAAGAGCTGAAATAATACAAACGTTATCAAAAGGTTCCAGTTTTCAGTGTAAGAATAAAGTTTAACTGGAGGTTCAAAGTTTTCTTTATTTCCATTTATTCATGTAAAAACACCGTCTGTGCTCCTAAAGACAGACTTAAAGGTGGGGTAGACAGGAATCTGTTAAAGAAACATCTTTTTATTTTGTGGTGTATTTATAAATAATCTTCTAATATCAGTCAATAGTTATTAGTTATTGATTATTTGGTAATATATCGATATCTCTGTGTTCTCTTATGTCTGTGTCGTCAACCTTTGAACATTTTTGAGCGGTCCGCTCTTTCTGACTGTAAACAAAGCCGTTCTCCACCTCCTCTAACCTGATTGGTTGTGAGGCAGACGCTGCTCCCCCGTGTCGTTCAGGAGCCCAAACAAAACTGGAACTCCTCAGATCCTGACTACCCTACCTTAAACTATGTTGACATTAAATCTGCTGTTTTTTAGATGTGAGCGTCGTCTAAACTCAGTAGATGTTAATATTTTCTGTGTCCAAAAAAGCCTGAAAAGTTCCTCCAACTGTCCGGCTACACTGCTCACGCTGACCTGAAAATATCTCATGTTTTAACCCGAACTTTTCCCATCAGCCCTTCAACAGAGTTAATTTGGCCAAAAATGTTCCTGAATTTACTCCACAAAGAAGAAAAAACAGCCAAAGCTCATTTCTTCACACCTTCATTAACGACCAATTAAACACCAAAACCCAGACCACTTATTATCAATCTGATCATGGGCTGAGAGACGGCACTGACCTGCAGTGAGGGGGCGGAGCTGAGAAAGATCCCCGTTTATAGACAGGATGATAATTTTATGATTTTCATGTTTGAAAAGGATATTGATCATGTTTTATATTGATATTTAATGAAATTAGTTTTTGATAAATGTCGTTATCGTTTTATCGCCCAGCCCTACCTCATCCTGATCAGCATGTCTGAGTCTGAGGTCCTGGTTTTATACTGGCAGAACAGAAATGTAAAGGATCTGAATCCTGCTCAGATCCTCTGGTTTAGTCCTGACCCATAAAAACAGACCCTCTGATTCTCTGACCCGGGGTCAGTCGGTCAAAGTTCTGACATTTTCAGGATCTTCTCTCCTCATGTTTTTTTTCAGGAACCTCCTCTGAGGTTAAAAAGTGATGGAGTTAAATTAATCACAGATGTGTTTTTACTTTGTTGTAATCAGAGAGTTTAACCTCATTAAAGTCTGAGAACACAAACAAACAGACACAGAGGTCCTCCTCTGATCACCCATCATCATACTGCTCTCTGTCTCTCTCTCTCTCTCTCTCCCCCTCTCTCTCTCTCTCTCTCTCTCTCTCTCTCTCTCTCTCTCTCTCTCTCTCTCTCTCTCTCTCTCTCTCTCTCTCTCTCTCTCTCTCTCTCTCTCTCTCTCTCTCTCTCTCTCTCTCTCTCTCTCTCTCTCTCTCTCTCTCTCTCTCTCTCTCTCTCTCTCTCCTCTCTCTCTCTCTCTCTCTCTCTCTCTCTCTCTCTCTCTCTCTCTCTCTCTCTCTCTCTCTCTCTCTCTCTCTCTCTCTCTCTCTCTCTCTCTCTCTCTCTCTCTCTCTCTCTCTCTCTCTCTCTCTCTCTCTCTCTCTCTCTCTCTCTCTCTCTCTCTCTCTCTCTGTCTCTGAACCGGAAGATAATGAGTGATGATAAACGTTGAGAGTTCTCATCATCGTCACCTTTGTCCGTGTCATCTCTGTGTCTTTGTCTCACTCCTCCTCCTCTCCTCCTCCTCCTCTCCTCTCCTCCTGCTCCTATCAGCTCTCATTAATCTTCCTCACAGCCTTCATTAAAGCTGCTGCTCCTCCTCCTCCCTCTCTGCTCGCTCCTATCTCCTCCCAATGCCGTTCTCCTCGACCTTTATCTGCTCGCTGCTCGCCTTCCATAATCTCTATCCCTGAAGTTCATCCCTCCTCCTCTCCTCTCCTCCTCCTCCTCCTCTCCTCTCCTCCTGTAAGGTGTGAATTAAACTCCGTTCTAGTTTTCCACCTCCTCTTCATTTAAAGGTTCTGTCGGTTCTGTTGAACCCGATGAACTGGTACTTTCTGTGTTTTCATGATGGGATCAAAGTGAGCAGACCTCTGAAGAAGACCTCTGTTCTGGTCAGGTGGTTCGGTTTGATGATCTGCTCCAGTTTGGGTTCCTGGTTCTGGTTCTGCAGACACATCAAATTCTCATCGGTGTTTTTTTTTCGTTCTGCTCTTTTTCAGGTCAGCAGGTTCTGGGTCTGGTGGAGAACCAGAGTGACTGGTACCTGGGGAACCTGTGGAAGAACCATCGACCCTGGCCCGCTCTGGGGAGAGGATTCAACACAGGTGAGACAGGAGAGGTTCTCCTTCATCCAGGTCATCATGGTCATCTTCATCTCCATCCGAGTAGATCTTTACTCACGCTGCCGTTCAGGTTTTTCCTTCAAAGTCTGAGATGGAATTATCATTAGAAACATCTTCATGAAGCTGTTTGCTGTAGTCTGATTGGATTCACTCTCGCCTGGTTCTGTTGAGATATTCCACCTTCTCTCTCTCTCTCTCTGAGGAGACAGGAGGAGAAGGATCCTGACCCTCTGCAGGAGAGGAGCTCCTCACCTGAAAGTGTGTTTTGTGAAGCTTGAACAGCAGATCTGTGTGTCGATTTTACTCAGAACAACAGTTTGACAGGAAGCCTCGGTTCAGCCGCGGCGGCTCGGCTTTGAGGCGGCGTCCGTGCAAACAGATGGAGCACAGCGGGGCGTGAAAGACGCTCTGTTTGTTCCAAATATTCGGCGTGTTTCTGCCTCTGAAGACGCTTTTATTTGTTCAGCAGCAGCAGCAGCAGCAGCAGCGGGGAGACGTCTTTTATTAGCCCAGGAGCCGAGGAGGAGAAGTTTTTGATATGTTGGCGGAGAAAGTTAGCAGAAAGATTTGTGTTTGTAGGCGGATTTGAACGCGTCTTTACATCCTGTCTTTACTTGAAGGTTCACAGCTTTATCAGAGGAAACACAGGGCTGTGATTCAGAGCCTCATCACGGGACTTTATCACCTCTACCAGGCAGCCAGATACCCATCTCTGTGTTCCTAAAGCTTCTGCTGTGTGTGTGTGTGTGTGTGTGTGTGTGTGTGTGTGTGTGCGCTTTCCAGGGGTGATTCTTCTTCTCCTCGATCGTCTCAGGAAGCTGAGGTGGGAGCAGATGTGGAGGCTGACTGCAGAGAGGGAACTAATGAGTATGCTGTCCACATCGCTGGCAGACCAGGTAACACACACACACACACACACACACACACACACACACACACACACACACACACACACTTACACACACACACACACACACGTAAACCCCTCTTACACAGAGTTTGTTGTTTGAACAAACCTCCTCACAGCGTCTTCAGCTGATTCTAACTCCGTGTACGACACAAACCAAACCCCTCACTACAGTCGTGTTTCTGTTCTCACTCATATTTATTATATTCATATTTAATCATTCTTCTGTATAAAACAACAACACTGAAAGTCATGAAGAACAGACCGTATATAGAGGAGTCCAAACTCCTTCAGAGCTGATGAAATCTTCCTCTTCATGATAAAAATTCAACTTTAAGTTTTAAACAAATGAAGACGAAAACAAAACACAACAAACATGAAACACAAGAATACAACACAACTCAACACCAACAATACCACACAGGGTTAACTAATGACACACCAACACATGACACAGCATACAACAGGTTACAACATGATCTGATATATGATACAAATGACACAACAGAGTATGATAAATGACACAATATGACACAATATGATACACGACAATATGATACAATACAGTATGATAAAGTAGAATATGACACAACACAATAAGACACAATAAGATATATATGACACAACACAATATGACACAATATAACACAATGTGATACGTGACATTATGATACACTATGACACGACACAATATGACACAACAAAAAATAACACAATATGACACATTATGATACAACACAATTTTAAACAACACAATATGATGCAATATGACACAGAGCTCTTAGATCTAAGACAGAAGGTCAGACCTGCTCAGACCTTCGTCTTAAACTGAAGTGAACTCAGTCGGTCCTTATTGATGAGGTTCAGGACTGATGTGATCCAGAGAGACCCAACATGAAGACTGGATCAGACTGAGTCCACATCCTATAAGACCAGACCCTTTCTGATCCATCTGAACCCCCCATGAGAGAAACACTTAACAGGATTTAGAGAGTTAGAACCCAGAGGAAGAACTTCCTCTAACAGGCAGAAACCTTCAGCAGGACCAGACTGATGGTAGACCTCCAGGAGGACCAGACTGATGGTAGACCTCCATCTGTTGAGACCAGTTCTTAAACATCTGCATCAATGGGATCAAGATGGTAGTGGGTCTCTGAGAGTCTTCATGTGGACCTGTGAGAGCCAGGAGGACCGCCTAGATGGAACCAGAGTCCTCGTGTCAGTTTGTCTGTGGGCTTTAAGTCAGAACCACAGAGTCAGAACCACAGAGTCAGAACCACAGAATCCAGAACCACAGAGTCAGGTCCACAGAGTCAGAACCACAGAATCCAGAACCACAGAGTCCAGTCCACAGAGTCAGAACCACAGAGTCAGAACCACAGAATCCAGAACCACAGGGTCAGGTCCACAGAGTCAGGTCCACAGAGTCCAGTCCACAGAGTCAGGTCCACAGAGTCAGGTCCACAGAGTCAGAACCACAGAGTCAGAACCACAGAATCCAGAACCACAGGGTCAGGTCCACAGAGTCAGGTCCACAGAGTCAGAACCACAGAGTCAGAACCACAGAGTCAGAACCAGGCTGTGGGGTCCAGACCTGAACATGATGAAACAGAAGGCAAAACAAACGGCTCACTGTGTGTGTGTGTGTGTGTGTGTGTGTGTGTGTGTGTGTGTGTGTGTGTGTGTGTGTGTGTGCAGGACATCTTCAACGCTGTGATCAAACAGAACCCGTTCCTGGTCCACCAGCTGCCGTGTTTCTGGAACGTCCAGCTGTCGGACCACACGCGCTCCGAGAAGTGCTACAAAGACGTGTCGGACCTGAAGGTGAGACACACACACACAGAAGGACACACTCATGTTTTTGAAGATGTTTCCATGGTAACACTTCCTGTAAATCTCTGATTACGTCTCCAGTCCTTTTTTAAACGTCTCTGTCCTGGTTTATTATTATAATTATTATTTTAATGAGTTTATAAAAACAGACGAACATTAACGAGCTGAGAGACGATGAAGCTGAAGACACAAACTCAAAACAACATCCTGATCTCAACAACGTGTGGAGAAGATTTATTTCTGAAGGAGAAACGATAATTAACCACAGACTCAGTGACAGACGACCAGAGAGTCGTTAAAAACATCCAGTGATCAGGATGATATCGTAATTAACCTGATTAACAGACAGACGCTCTGTGGTTTCTCAGGTGATCCACTGGAACTCTCCGAAGAAGCTGCGCGTGAAGAACAAACACGTGGAGTTCTTCAGGAACCTCTACCTGACCTTCCTGGAGTACGACGGAAACCTGCTGAGGCGAGAGCTCTTCGGATGTCCGAGCGAGGCCGACCACAACAGCGAGAACGTGAGTGGACCAGAGTCTGTGTTTCTGGTTCCTGTCTCCAGAGCAGGTCTTCTATGTGGACTCCACGGTCCTGAAAGCTCAGGGTGTGAAAGTGGAGATCAGACCCGTTCACCTGGAGTCACTCCACCCCACCCCTGCAGCTCATTGGCTGTCTCAAACTGGAGTCCGACCAGTCAGACCAGTCCCCTCTAAAGTCTTCATCAGCGCCATGTTCTTGACCTGCGTGGTCAGGACCTGATGACGTGTTTGTTTTTGTCGGCCTGCTTTAATTTTGGTTTTAGTCTTTGTGTCGAACTCTCATTTTCGTTTTTAGACTCGTGGTGTTTTTCCCTTTTTCTTTTTCCACGACACACACGTCCGTTTTCTTTTCCACTTGTTTGTAGCTGAAGTGTGTCCAGATATCATTTCTTATTTTTCTCCCCAATGACCTCACCAAGACTTCAACTCACCCAAAAACGTCTTTGTCCACCGCGTCTAAAAATACCGCAAGTTAGGAGATCGAGGATGTGACGTCACCGAGGAAACGGAAACAATAACAACGACTAAATGATTTTGTCTCGTCTCGTTTTAGTCAAAGAAAATGAAGAGACATTTTCACAGAGTTTTTATCTTGTGAACCACATTTAAGGTCCTTACACACCGGGAACGACGCAAATATACGACGCGAAATTACAAAATATTCGTAGACGAATTTTGACGCACCTGACTTACTCATCAACCACGATGCGATTTTGCGACTTTCCTGTTAAAACACACAAACCATCGTCATCTGAGAAATCCGACACTATGACTCTCCACAAGTCGTCCTTCAGGTCGTTATCTTTGTAATGTTTGTGTCTTTGATCAAAAATCACTCTAAACAATCAGCCGGTCGGCCATGTTGGATATACCGGCAACAACATGAAATCTGATTGGTCAGAAGTGGACACACAGGATGAGAAACTTTAGAAAAATCGGCCGTGATCCGAAAAAATAAATGCCGCAATATCGCAGAACGGGAAAACGTCGCTGATGTGAACGCTTGTATTGACAGGATACAGGTTCAAAAAAAATATTGGCGTCCAAAATAATCGCACGAAAAAAAAAACGCTCCCGGTGTGAAACAACCTTTAGTCTAATTTTTGTTCCTCAACAATATCACGTTATATATTTAGTTATAGTTATTGTCACATGACCACCGTTTAAGCTTCGCCTCGTCTCGTTTTCGTCACGTGATAAAGGTTCGTTGACGGCGATATTTCGTCATAATTTTCGTTGACGAAAGCAACACCACTCATGAGGCAGACAGGGCTGAGCTGTGGCGCCACCATCCTCGTCTGCGTGTACAGCAGAGCCCGGGATCTTCACTGCAGCGCTCCCAGGTTGACCTCTGACCTTTTCACCCTCTAAAAAAAACAAGTCGGTTCTCTCTCCAGAACTTGAAACAGAACCGTGTGGTTCTGCCTGAGGACCCAGAGTCCTCGCCGTGGTCCCAGAGGTGCAGACTCTGCTGTTAATGACTCCTCCTGAGGTGACGCCGTCGTTGCTCGTCTTTACATCATTGTTTGTACGATATTTTCACTCAGTACAGTTTCTGGTTCTGATCCGTGCCGCTCCGTTTCCGTCCCCCGTGTCCCTCAGTCTGACTTTAAACACTCTTCAGTTCATCAGACTTTTTTATCCTCTTTTCAAACCCGTGTTGTTTTTGAACTGAAGTTTTTATCCTCTCTGTGTCCCGCACAATCAGCCCAGCGGATAAACCGAACACTCTTAAACTTTCGAACCCGGCGTTGGGCTCGCAGACGGAGGAGAGAGCTGTCAATCATTCCTTAGACAGCGGCGGTCTGCGTCCTCTCTGATAACCTTGGCTCTGTGACGACGACGACGCTGCTGTTTGAATGAGACCAACTTTAGGTCTTTTATTTTGAAGGAGCTGAACTGTCTGAGGGTCATCTCCAGACTCGATCTGTGTCGGTCCTGACTGACTCTGTGACGGGGCGTCGTTTTTTACTCGACCTCTGAGGGTTTTAGCTTGTTGAAGAAGTTTAAGTCCTGGTTGAAGATCTGAGAATCAGTCAAAAAAAGCGTCCCACCCCCCCACACACACAAACCCCTCCCCTCTGTTTTCCATGATAACTCCGCCCCCTGAACCTGTATCCCCTCCCCACGACACACCCCCTCTGACAGAAGATCCTACGCCAGCTTCAAATAGGATTAATACAGTGAGGGTCAAATAGGTCGAACACAGCGAGGTGATTGGATAGAGAGGCGGAGCAGGAGATTGACCAATAGGAGCTGTCCGGGACGGATGGCTCCCATTGGTCGATGTTTTTGCAGCCCTGCACCTGATAGGGTGAACAGATTTTTTCCGTTCTTTTATCTTTTCACTTCGTGGAGATTGCACTTTAGGACCATGGTCGCCATAGAAACGACTGTAAGAGTCGTAACCATGACTGGAAGAGTGGATGTGCAGAGTGAACGCACAGAGAAACCCTCTGATTTCAGATCACGGCTGATTCCTGCTTCCTCTCCTCCAGGATCTTTGTGACAAACTTAAATAAAACTACTTCACTAAAATGATAAACCTGAAGACTTCGTTAGGACCCTGATCTGCAGGCTGTTGTTGGTCTGCAGACGTTCTCCAGGTGTTGGATAAGCTGAACAGACTCCTCGTCTGTGTCGCCTCTCTCCTGCAGTCGACGCCTCGACCTCCGGACCAGCTGAAGGTCGGCTCGGTCCGGACGCTGCAGGATAATTCAAGTGTCAGCTCTGTGGTCGGTTAATCTCATTATGATTTTCCATCACGGTGTGCCAGAGGCTTTTTTTCTGCCAACACTCAATCCTAATGTGTCCTTAACTCAGGAAAGAGTTTACTCAGAGTTTGAGCAGCGATTTAAATCCCATTAAAGTGACGATTAGACTAATGAAGCCACAGAGGGATCCTGGAGCAGACCGCTGACCGGCCTCCTTCAGGGCCGCCGAGACGCCGCCGCCGCCACTGCAGCAGCAGCAGTCCACTCAGACTGAGAGAGTGACACTACACACACACATAAACACACACATAAACACACCTTAAATCTTCTCTGTGTTGTTTTCCAGCGTCAGTGTTCAGAGGTCACCTCTAACTCACACAGACCAGGTTTTCCTCCCTGATCTCCGTCATGCAGACTCTCTTTGAGGCTCCGGTCCATGCAGACACACTCTGGAGTATTTTTAACAACAATAATAATAATAATAATAATAATAATAACTGCTGACAATAAACGCCGGCCGGCATTAAACCCACAGATCCTCTTCTTCTTTTTTAGACCATCTTTAAACTCTGATTCCTGCAGCAGGTTTGAGTTAAAAACTAAGATTCTGCTTCTTCATTCAGCAGATTTAACATTTATACATCAGAACTTATGAAACAGACAGAACAGAAGAATAAAGTTTAATATGCTGCCTGTAGAAAAGGAAACACTTCTGTCTCTTCAGTCAGTCTCAAAGGGGATGAGAGCGGCCTCTCTGATTGGTTAATCAGGATTTAACCTCTTACACGCCGCTCCTCACTTGCTCGTTAACGGATGACTGTCTAACGCCCGTGTCGCTCCTCTCTCTCTCTGCCTGCAGCTCCAGAAAACTCTGTCCGAGCTGGATGAAGATGATCCGTGTTACGAGTTCCGTCGAGAGCGATTCACCGTCCACAGGACTCACCTGTACTTCCTGCACTACGAGTACGAACCGTCCGCCGATAACACCGACGTCACTCTGGTGGCTCAGCTCTCCATGGACAGGTGAGAACCTTCGTCTGCAGAATCTGGGCTCCTCTGCAGACTTTTGATTTTAGACCAGACTTAATTTAGATTTTAGATTGAACTTTATTTTAATTTTACATAAAACTATATTTCAGTTTTAAGTTAAAGGGGTTTGTGGTTCTGGAGCCGCCCAACTCAAAGCCATCAGAACCGGACTCGTCAGGAACATGGATCTGAGATCATCCATGAGACTCTGCTGATCCTGAGAGGAGACACTCTTCCTGTCAGAAACCTAAAATCTGGAGTTGACAGCAGAAGCTCCTCTGATCCTTTTCTGTCCGTCCTCCATGATCTGGATCAGACCTGGATCAGGTGGACCGCTCCTGCTGACCGGTCTCAGTCCTGAGGTTCCTGGTGATTTTAGAGGGTTTCTCAGATCAGACGTTTGAAGGACCTGACTTTAGAGGAAACAGAGTCCTCCTCCTGTCTGCTGGTCACCTGCTGTCCTACCTGGACTCTGCTGGACTCTCCACCGTGGTTGTGGAGTCAGACCAGCGTGTCTCTGAGACATTAGATCAGCTTAAAAACGTCTTTTCTGACCTTCGCTTTAACGGACACACATAGAGAAGGTTTTTAGGACGTTTAAGTGAACCAGTTTGACTCAGCTCCCTCTGAGGAGGATCCCCTAAAGACCACAAAGTATAAACCTCCTCACAAGATCATTATTTATGTCCCATAATTCATTGCAGTAGGATTTGCGTAGCGGGCTCTGAATCTCGGGGTAATAAACCTTTTTGTTTAAGTGACCCAGCGGTACGTGAAGTGTCCCTCAGGACGAGCAGCACTTTGTTTTAATGTTGTCAGTGTGTCGTATCTTCTCTTCAGCACTATATTATCATTATTATGGAGCCGGCGTAATAAACACTGCTGCCTCTAGGGGCTGCGAGCTGGCTGCAGACTTAGTCTGGTTTTAATGAGGCCCACGGCGGCTCGGCGGGGAGAAACACGGCATATTGCAGATCTGAAACAATGTCAGAAATCCAGAAAAAGACACGAGTTCACCTTCAGATGGAGTTTGAAATAAAAGTGAGGAGAGACCAGAGAGGGAGGCGTCCTGAGGAACCGAGAGGACGCCATGATGGAGGAGAAGAAGTCAAAATATGAATTTCTACATTTAGAGTCTGATCTCAAAGTCGAACAAACTTCGCCGTCTTCTTCTGAGACAAAGATAAAACAAAAATCAGCGTTTTTACATCAGACTGCTCATGAGTTTGAAGATGGAGTCTTTATTCCAGATCTTCAAACAAAGTCATCAGGGCGGTTTGTGTCTCAACAGTCACACAGAAACAGAAACAGCAGGAGGCAGCTGCAGGGCGCCGAGCGAGCGAGCGTTCAAACCCTCCCGATTCTGACAGACCTCCAAAACGCAGAAACAGGAAGACGGTCTTTTATCCGGGACCCTCGCCCTGTTTCTGTTTCCACATCAGACGGTTCTCAGAGGTCTTCGGTTATCTGCAGCTCTGCAGGAAGGACGTTTCTTCTCCTTTTTCAGCAGCTTCGACCGTTTATGAGAACAAAATGAGAGGAGTGTTAGTTCAGGCAGGGCGAAGGGTCTGGCTCCGCCCACAAACCTGAAAATTTTGGTTTTATTTTGACACCTTTAGCCCCTCCCACTCCTCCTCCCGCCTCCACCCCAGTTCACGCTGAGTCTGACCGGACCAGGGTCTAACGGACCCGCTCTGATCTGAAGTTATCTGGCGCGTTCTATCTTGTTTACCCAGATATCTCGACAGCTAGCATTCTGTGCTCACACTTTGGTATCTTGTATAAACCAGCTTGTATCTTGTTGCGTAAGATTGCACAGGCGGAAAAAACGTGTCTCTGTGTGTTACTTCGTCTTCCAAGTGTGTATCTTGTTTGTCTGTTACTTTGTCATCCACAAGTGTATCTTGTTTGCAGAATAATTTGTCGTCCAAGTGTGTATCTTGTTTGCTCGTAACTTTGTTGTCTACGTGTGTATCTTGTTTGTGTGTCCAAGTCTGTATCTTGTTTACATGTTTCTTTGTCATCCACGTGTGTATCTTGTTTTCAGGATACTTTGTCGTCTACGTGTGTATCTTGTTTTCAGGATACTTTGTCGTCTACGTGTGTATCTTGTTTGTGTGTCCAAGTCTGTATCTTGTTTGTCTGTTACTTTGTCGTCCACAAGTGTATCTTGTTTGCATTTACTTTGTCTTCCAAGTGTGTATCTTGTTTGCAGGATAATTTGTCGTCCATGTATGTATCTTGTTTGCATGTAACATGTGTATCTTGTTTGTGTGTTATTTTGTCTTCCACGTATGTATCTTGTTTGTGTGTCCAAGTCTGTATCTTGTTTACGTGTTTCTTTGTTGTCCATGTGTGTATCTTGTTTGAGTGTTACTTTGTTGTTCTCATGTGTATCTTGTTTGTGTGTCCAAGTGCATAAAGTGCTTTTTTTAACATGATAGTATCTTGTTTAGCACAAAGTGTCTCATTCTGAAATGCTACTATCTTGTTTGCAGAGGTCATAATCTTGTTTTGACAGGTTTATGTGTGTTTTCATGCTGAACAGTATCTTGTCTGTATCTTGTTGGCATCAGTGTTCTTCAGTCTGTTTGTGTTGTGTCGGCTCTGCAGGCTCCAGATGTTGGAGGCCATCTGTAAACACTGGGAGGGGCCCATCAGTCTGGCGCTGTACCTGTCGGACGCCGAGGCGCAGCAGTTCCTGCGGTACGCTCAGGGCTCCGAGGTCCTGATGAGCCGCGGGAACGTGGGCTACCACATCGTCTACAAAGAGGGTCAGTTCTACCCCGTCAACCTGCTGAGAAACGTGGCTATGCGGCAGGTCAACACGCCGTACATGTTCCTGTCGGACATCGACTTCCTGCCCATGTACGGCCTCTATGAGTACCTCAGGTAAGACCAGGATGACGAGGAAGAGGAGGAAGAAGAGGAGGAAGAGGGTCTTCATTAGGGCTGGGCGATAAAATGATAACGATATAGATCGAAAATTAATTTACTTCAATATCGATATAAAACATGATCAATATCTCTTTCAATAGTCGTCATTCTGACATGTTTTGGTCGACTATACGAACAGCCAATGAAAAGGGGAGTGTCTCCGGGTCTGAACCAATCATGTTCTGAATTAGAACCAAGTATCAACCAACTGCAGCGTCGTAGCAGACAGCAGCTCCACCCAACCATAGCACTTTAACAGGTGAAGCCGACAGCACTGTTGGTGAGAAACAAAGAAAATGAGTGCTACCCCCGACAGAAATGACCATGAAGGCTCAACAGATGACCACATCAATGTCAACCACAACACTGGCGTTAGGAAAACGTCGGTGGTGTGGAGGTATTTTGGTTTTTGGAGGTCGGACATGAAGCAGAGTAATGTGGACTGTAAATTATGTCGAGTACATGTTCTCACAAAGTCGGGGAATACCTCAAATCTTTTTCACCACCTGAAGCAGCGCCACGCCGCAGAGCACGCGCAACGCAAGAGGTTACAAACCCCGAGAGGAGCGAGGAGCCCATGGCGCCTGAAACAGACGACCATTCAGTCGTCTTTCTCTAGAGCGACGCCTTACGACAAAACGCCAAAGAGACACAAAGACCTCACAGATGCAGGAGATTATTGTGTTGGAAAAGACATGAGACCAATAAACACTGTTAGATTTTTATATCCTGATATTGATCCATATCAGCTGATAGGAAATCAATAATATATCCTGATAAACTTTTTCACATATCGCCCAGCCCTAGACTTTATCACTTTATCAGCTCTGTAACTGCAGTAACACCACAACGCTGCAACGTGTGTGTGTGTGTGTGTGTGTGTGTGTGTGTGTGTGTGTGTGTGTGTGTGTGTGTGTGTGTGTGTGTGTGTGTTCTGTAGGAAGTCAGTGGTCCAGCTGGACATGGCCAACACAAAGAAAGCTCTGGTGGTCCCGGCCTTTGAGACGCTGAGGTACCGTCTGTCTTACCCGAAGTCCAAAGCGGAGCTGCTGTCTCAGCTGGACATGGGGACGCTCTTCACCTTCAGGTAAAAAACAAACACACACACACCTCTGTCTCTCTAAAAAGTCATGTCCTTTTAAAAACAGGGTGTCTCATACAGTGTTGTTTTTGGCAGGCATTTTAGATTTAGTTTTAGTCTTAGTCATTTTGACGAAATGCTTCTTCGTTTTAGTCCCATTTTAGTCATTTCTATCCTTGATAGTTTTCGTCTAGTTTTAGTCCGACGAAAACTCAAAAGGTTTTAGTCTAGTTTTAGTCGACGAAAAGGTGTCTTTTGAGGTTCGTGGTGTTCTTTCCCGACAGTTTGAAGCCGCAGCATGAGGAAGCTGTGGCTCCACAACTGTCGTCTGTCTCGTCTCCCCGTACAAGACATTGTGTTTTATTGTCACTTGAACTGTATCTGAAGTAGGACCAAAAATCATCCCTCTTTTTTCGGCCACCGGGCACCGCTGCTGTGCCTGCCGCCACGGTGTGTGTGTGTGCGCGCCTCGTCCACCTGCCGCTCTGTGTATGTGTATGAGTGTGTGCGCGCAGCTGTGCGCGAGCGAGGCTTTTGGTGCGTGTGTGATGGGGGCGTGACTGTTAGGACTAAAAAAAGCATGTTTTGAAACTTTGTTCGTCCACCTAATAACAATTTAGTCTCGTCTCGTTCTCGTCTGACAAAAATGAAAACAATTTTCGTCACATTTTAGTCTTTACAGAGCTTTGGTGACGTTCGTCTTAGTCTCATTTTCGTCAAGGAAAAAAGGGGTCTGACGTCGTCATTTAAGTTTTCGTCCTGCCTGACGAAAACAACACTGGTCTCATATTAGAGTGAATACGGTACTTCAGGGTTCTCTTACTTTAAAATAAAAAACTGGGTCACGTTGTGAACAGAGTCTCACCTGCAGAGGACCAAGTCCATAAATCTGTGGAGTATAAATCCACATTTCCTCTCTCCTGTTTGTTCCAAGTTTCCAGTTTAATTTCTTCATTTTCTAAAGCAGTAAAAGAGAAAACAGCAGCAGCAGCAGCTCCGTGTCTGCAGGCAGGAACACTGGAGGAAGGATTTCTCTGCACGGCCAGAAGAAAGGTGTTTCTGTTCTGTTTCAGAGCGCCGTCACACTCTCTCCTCCTCCTCCTCCTGCTCCTCAGTCTGTAAAAACCTCTGACAGTGTTATGAAGGAAAGAGACGCACTACCTTTAACCCTCAGAAACGGTTTGGACGCCGTGAGGAGGTCTCAAACACAGATCAGAGGAGGACAGTTCTCACTCTCTCCAGCTCACAGTAACCTCTCTCTCTCTCTCTCCCCCCTGCAGGTATCACGTGTGGACAAAAGGCCACGCCCCCACTAACTTCGCCAAATGGCGGACGGCCACCACGCCGTACAGGGTGCAGTGGGAGGCGGACTTCGAGCCCTACGTCATGGTGAGGAGGGACAGTCCCGAGTATGACCGGCGCTTTGTGGGCTTCGGCTGGAACAAGGTGGCCCACATCATGGAGCTGGACGCACAGGTACGGACCCTCACAGACCGTACGGCGGTACAGAAAATTCAATTAAAGGAGAAGTCAGAGCTGAGCTTTGACTCCTGATTGGTCTTTTCTGAGGTCTGCATATCCTCGGTTTGAATGACCTATTCAGTGAGACGCTCGTGTTTTTAATGAAAAAGCCTCTCGATTAAAAAAAGAGGAGCCTCTCTAATCTGGTTCCTGAAAGTCTCGGCTCCTCATTTCTGTCAAAACGACTCGTTATCTCGTCACTGAAGCAGGACCGAAGAGTTTTGAATTCAAAGAGAGGACGTGGCGTATCAGAGGGGACAGAGGAGGGCTGACGTTCTCCTGACACAGCGCTTTAATCAGACGATCTGATCTCAGCGGTCTTCTTCACATTCACAAACTCGGCGTCGTTATCTGTCCGTCCACGGCTGCTCGTCCACTTCCTGTCAGACCAGGGCAGTGAAGATGAAGAAGATGAAGAAGACCAACTGTAAACGTTCGCAGTCTTCCTGAAAAACTTGCTGACTCAGCTCCGTTTAAACACAACAGGGTTATGTAATGATTAAAGGGTGAACCAGGTGATCAACAGTAAAACTACCTGATTTGATCCCTTATAAACAGGGTTGATCATCCTGACTGTAAAAATCATATTTATATAGTATCGTGTCTCTGCGTTTAAAACATGTGGTTATAATGGGAATCAATGGGGCGAAAACAGACACTAAGACCAGAAAAGGAAGTTTGTTTTAATCTGTTGCTGCACAAAAATTAAATATGCATCAAAACCAATTATGTTACTAATCTTTGACATGTCCAAGACTGTGATAACAGGTAAAAATTTTCTTTGTCCGATCATTTTTTATATTGAAAAAAGCTCATTTTATGTGTATTTTTCCCATATCAGTGACTTTCTTTTTTAAACTGGTGTTCAAAGGGTTAACATTTTTAATTATTTTGTTATACTAACTAGTTTTGATCAATACTGAGGATGATTAAAAGATGAATGCAAAAAAAGAAGATTTTTTTTTTTATTCGATATATTTTACAGCAGTCAAAGTTAGAGGCTGAAAACAGACACTAAGACCATAAAAGGAAGTTTGTTTTAAAATCTGTTTCTGCACAAAAACTAAATATGCACCAAAGCCAATTATGTCACTAATCTTCGACATATCCAAGACTGTGATAGCAGGTAAAAAATGTCTTTGTCCGATCACATTTTATTTTGAAAAAAGCTCATTTTATGTGTATTTTTCAAATATCAGTGACTTTCTTTTTTTAAATTTGTGTTCAAAGGGTTAAAAATCTGATTTTTTTTTTTAGTATTTCTAGTTTTGATCAAGACTGAGGTTGATTAAAAGATTAATGCAAATAAAATATATTAAAATAATAATCTGATATATATTTTTACAGCAGTCAAAGTTAGTGGCCGAAAACAGACACTGATACCATAAAATGAAGTTTTTTTAAAATCTGTTGCTTCACAAAAACTAAAAATGCATCAAAACCAATTATGTTACTAATCTTTGACATTTCCAAGACTGTGATAGCAGGTAAATTTTTTATAGATTTTTTATATTGAAAAAAGCTCATTTTATGTGTATTTTTCCCATATCAGTGACTTTCTTTTTTAAATTGGCATTCAAAGGGTTAAAAATATGATTATTTTTTTTTTGTATTTCTAGTTTTAATCAAGACTGAGGTTGATTAAAAGATTTATGCAGAAAAAAAAGTGAAAAAATATTAACCTGATGTATTTTTACAGCAGTCAGAGTTCGTGGCTGAAAACAGACGCTCATACCGCTAAAGGGAAGTAAATTTGCTGACAGTGCACTGTTGACCTTTTGAAAACTTTGAAATCATATTTTCAAATTATGTAGAAAAATAAGGTTTGTCAGCAAAAATCATGTCATTTTCTACAATACAGTGAAAGTTTTTGTCAAATTAAGAGAAAAAAGTGACATTTTTATCTCCAATCCTGAATAAGGGTTAACTCCACCCTCTCCACCCTCCATCATCCCTCCATCATCCCTCCATCACCCCCCTGAACCGTCTCAAACTTGTGTGTCTCTCCGCAGGAGTACGAGTTCGTGGTTCTTCCTAACGCCTACATGATCCACATGCCTCACGCTCCGAGCTTCGACATCACCAAGTTCCGCTCCAACAAGCAGTACCGGGTCTGCTTGAAGACCCTGAAGGAGGAGTTCCAGCAGAACATGTCGCGGCGCTACGGCTTCGCGGCGCTCAAATACATGACGGCCGAGAACAACAGCTAGCTACCACTGCAGACCCCCACACCCCCCATCTGAACTACTGACTCAGTCCTGGAGCGGGGGGACGGGGGGACAGGGACTTTTTCAGACTCCCTCAGACTTTTTCAGAACTTTTGACCCTCATGTGGGACTCTGAGGGTCCGTGTGTCCGACCTTTGTCCTCTGCTGTGGTGGGACGAGGAGGAGGGAACTCCTGCAGGGATTCAAAGCTGTGAAAGTTCACATATGTGGGTCCTGGACCTGGACCTGAACCTGGACCAGGGCTCTGTGGGCCCCTGAATCTGGTCCTGAAGTCTGACAGACAGCAGGCGAAGAAAAGCTGACATTCAATTCCTCGCCATATTTCTAAGAGCAGTGACCGAGCGGTGACGATAAGTGTGTGTGTGTGAGTGTGTGTGTGTGTGTGTGTGTGTGCGTGTGTGTGTGTGTGTGTGTGTGTGTGTGTGTGTGCGTGCGTGCGCTCCTCCAGGACAGCGTTTAGCTAAAAGCTTAAGCGGAGCTGAAGATGTGAAACATTTCAGAGCTTACGTTCTGAGCAGCGGCGGCGGCGGCGGTTTGATTGACAGCTCACCCTGACTCGAATGCAAATCGGCGGCAGGCGGCGAGATAAGACAAAGCGGTAAACACGTCCACACAGATTTGCACAATCTGGTTGTGACAAGTGACACATACACACGCTCAGATAGCGTGGCGAGCAGCCAGCGAGCGAGCGTCTGCTGCCGCTTCGTTTGTCTGATCGCTGAAACACGTCAGAGAAAGTCGGCGGGAGCGGCGGGAAGTGCAGAGAGGGTGGAGGTCGTCCACGCTACAGAACGCTTTCAGAGTCTGAACCTGACAGCAGACGGTGCAGCGTGTGTGTGTTTCAGCGTGTGTGTGTTTCAGCGTGTGTGTGTGTGTGTGTTTCATGAAGGCTACACACACACACACTCATGCTGGAGGTCCGATCAGTGTGTGACGCTGTGCGGAGTGACGCAGCGCTAACTGAGCTCGCCGTTTGTCCCTCCAACAATCAGATGTATTTATCAGTGCGTTCAGGAAGGGGCGGAGCCTCCTCATCGGGAGGATCTGAGAAGAACAGGAAGTCGAGTCCCCCCCGTGACCTCTAGTTTGACCTCAGTGTGCTCGATCATGGGGGTTCTGGATTAGAGAACGAGCAGGATGCGATAGGAGGGGAAGGTCCCGCCTCCTTTACCTCTGATTGGCTGTGAAACGTCGTCATATGTTTAAGCCGATCGTTTATTTGTCAGAAAATCCACAAAATTGATAAATATTTGGATCAATAAGCAGATTGATTATGAGAAGGAGACAGTTTGACTCTTTATTAATAAAACCGACTGAGTGTCACAGAAATATGATCAATGATCAATAAAAACATGAAAATAATTTGAATCAATAAAAATCTGGAAAATCAAAGACAGCGATCGACGAGTCGAGACGGTTTAATCAGAGGAGGGGGGGGCGCTCCAGGACCGCCACAGACTGATGATAAACTAGAGCTCTCTCTCTCTCTCTCTCTCTCTCTCTCTCTCTCTCTCTCTCTCTCTCTCTCTCTCTCTCTCTCTCTCTCTCTCTCTCTCTCTCTCTCTCTCTCTCTTTGTCCTTTTCTCTCTCTCTCTCTCTCTCTCTCTTTCTCTCTCTCTCTCTCTCTCTCTCTCTCTCTCTCTCTCTCTTTGTCCTTTTCTCTCTCTCTCTCTCTCTCTCTCTCTCTTTGTCCTTTTCTCTCTCTCTCTCTCTCTCTCTCTCTCTCTCGCTCTCTCTCTCTCTCTCTGTCTCTTTCTCTCTCTCTCTCTCTCTCGCTCTCTCTCTCTCTCTCTTTGTCCTTTTCTCTCTCTCTCTCTCTCTCTCTCTCTCTTTGTCCTTTTCTCTCTCTCTCTCTCTCTCTCTCTCTCTCTCTCTCTCTCTCTCTCTCTCTCTCTCTCTCTCTCCCCCGTCTCAGAGCTGTCGTCCAGGTCTAAACGTTTGTGTGTGTTTGTGAATGCTCGGTGTGTGTGTGACTCTGTTGTGAATATCTGTGTGTGTGTGTGTGTGTGTGTGTGTGTGTGCAGGGAGGAGCTGCGGTGTGTAAGTAGGACAGTCTGACTGATGCTGCTACCTGAATAAAAGCAAAGAGTCGAACCCTCTGAGTCTGTTTCCTCTTTTCTCTCTTTGACCTCTGACCCCGACAGGAAGTGGGACTCTGCTCTCTAAATGACAGTTAAACACAGAAGAAGAAGAAGAAGGTTTCACCTGAGAGCGTGCTCACCTGTAGGATTTCCTCAGAGTCCTCCCTCTCTCACCTGAAGTGTCACTTTCTCTCGTTTATCCCGTCACTTCGCTCGTCTGAAGGTCAAATCCTCGTTAACAGAAACTGACGTCTGTTCCTCCGTCTTCAGTGATCGGAGATTTTTGAGTTTTTGGATCAGATCTGAATCTCCATCTTTAGATTTAAAGTCCTGGTTGATGATCTGAGAAGAAGTTAAAAAAAATTGAGGCAGATTTTAAAAAAGCGCCCCCCCCACACACACACACACACACACACACAAACCCCTCCCCTCTGTGCTCCACCATAACTCCGCCCCCTGAACCTGTATCAACCTCCCCACAGAAGATCCTATGCTAGCTTCAAATAGGATCCACCATGTCGGACTAATCAGAGTTATTTATGTAACATGAGCCACGATAAAAGGAGATAAAAATGACCTGTTCAACAAAAACATTTCCTCTTTGACTCCGCCCTCTTGTGTTTTCTTCCCACTTTTGGCGGTGTGGCGAGCAGAAGTGTTTTTTTTCGCGTCCTTCTCCATCACAGCTCCTGTAGCTAAGCCGCTACGCTACTTTTAGCCGCTCAGAGCTGCGAGGAGGGTCGGGAGAGTGGGAGGGGACGAGTCAGAACTACGGGAGAGGGGTGTGTCCAATACAGCGAGGTGATTGGATGGAGAGGCGGAGCAGGAGATTGACCAATAGGAGCTGTCTGGACGGATGGCTCCCATTGGTCAATGTTTTTGCAGCCCAAAACCTGGTAGGGTGAACAGATTTTTTCCGGATTCTTTTTTCACTCCGTGGAGATCACACTATAGGACTGTGATCGCCATGGAAACAAGGTTCATAATAATTACCAATCTCTACAACCGTCAACCATGACTTTAGGTGGATTTAAGGTCGGCTGTGTTAGTCAGGGATCATTATCAGTTCACAGGTCTTTTTGACAGACCAGTACCCCAACAGTCAGACCGGTACACTCAGACCAGTACCCCAACAGTCAGACCAGTACCCCATCGGGAGCCTAAGTAGGAGGATCCGGGTCAGTCCCCCTCCTAACTTTTGATTGTGTATATTTTCAGACTACAAGCTGGACTGGATTCAGGATCCGTGTAGACCTCTTCCTCCCTCCCTCCCTCTGTCTCCTCAGCGGGTTGTTCTTCCCTTCCTCTAAATGAAATGTTCTCAGAGCCGTCAGTTTATCAGCCCCCCCCCCCCCCCGAGTCCACCTGTCCCCGGTCGAGCCATCCCTTCACTCCCCTTTAATGAAGGTCCCACAGCTCCATCCCTCTTATCGGATAGGCTATTAAAAGTTTTACAGGAGCCGCTCATTAATTCAATTTAAAATTTAATGCCTGAATTTCAGCCGACTGCTGGGTAATACATTCGGAGGATCGGAGGCCTTACAGGGATGAACGGGGGGGAGGCGGAGGGAGCGTTTTTATCGTCATGTTCAGAAAAAACAGGGAGAGGAAAAGGTCTGAAGAGACGGTCGTATCTCTGACTCCTTTTTTAAAATTTAAACATGATCAATAAATCAGACACAGAGACATTAAAGGGATAATCCGGCATAAATTAAGTTAGAGTCAAACACACCGTAACACCGAGTTAGACCCCCCTCCAGAGATGAATGTTGTCGACCGCTTGCTTCTCTAGTTATACCAACTTTAGTAACGACCGCAGGATAGAAATACAGAGAGACACGCCCTCAACCAAAACGCCACTCTATAGCCACAAATAATGCTCAGAACAGCACCTAACTTCATCAACAGGACATATAGGGTCACAGACATAGTACTAGACACCAAACATCTTTTTAACTTTGACTCATTTCTTCAGCAAAGAGGCTAAACACAACTCACCTACTCTCTTCCAGCAGACGCTTGTTTGTAGTGAGACCTCAGGCCAGTCCATTACAGACTACAGCAGGGTGCTGCAGCTCAAGGAAGAACATTTATGATCATTTCTTCATAGAAATACAATCAGACCGAGACGCTAAGGCAGAAGAACTACTGCGTCTGTAAAATGATTAATATGATGATTATTACTTCAAGGAAATGATGAAGAAATGATCATAAATGTTCTTCCTTGAGCTGCTGTCAAAGTCCTAACTGTCAGCAGGACTGAAAGGTTCGAGTCGTTAACCTCTCAGAGATTCACCTGTTTACCTCAGCCAGGTGAAAGGTCGAGTATCAGCTGTGACTGATCTGTCCGCTCCTCTAAAAACCAGCTGAGATCATCGAACCTTCATGAGTGACAATTATCTCCTTAAAATCTGAATCACTCAGAAATGAACAGGACAGCTTCAGGACCTGGACCTGGACCTGGACTCACTCAGACAGAGTCCAGCTGTGATCTGATGAGAGAGAGGGAGCTGTGTGAGCTGGATCAGTCCGTCGGGAGGAACCAAACCCAAAAATCCACTTCTCTGTTTTTTAAAACACTCAAAGTCAGAGTTATTTTAAGCCCAAACACTGAGCTGTGATTGGTGGATTCAGCCCCTTCAGTTCCCTGGTCTCGTGGTGAATCCTTGTTCTACACTGACACCTGGTGGTTGTTTTACAGCCTCTGTATATTTACAGAGTTTAAATGAGAAGATGGTCTTTTAGTAAAACAGATGTTCAAAGTTTTAGAGGAAAAAACTGATTTTAAACAAGAGAGCAGAGGGTCTGAGATTATAATCCCAACAGTCTTTAAATAATCTGAGACTCAGTCTGACTAAAAACAGGAACAGCTGACATCTCTTCAGGTCGAGTGTGTTCGAGTAAAGACGGCTCTGTTTGATAGATGCGAATCATTTCTGTGATGACAGTGTGTGGCGCTGTTGGACAGAGTGGAAACCTCTAACCTTATAAGTGTTTTAAGCTGCAGTCCCTTAAGCGTCCACTAGAGGCTGGCTGCAGAAGCGCCAGAAACCCCATACACACTCATTTAAAACTCATCATGTTCAGAGCAGAAATAAACACGTTTACAGGCTGGTAAAAAAACAGGTGTTTAGTCTGAACTCCACCCACAGATAGTGTGACAGAAATTAGTAAAGGGTAATACCGTGTAAAAACTAGTTCAGAGCAGAGAACGGCTGTGGTTCGATAAACGTCACCACCTGTCATAAAACAGAGGGAGGAAGATGAAGACGATGGTCTGAGGTCCAGACTCCGACCTGCAGATAACATGTTTAATATTCGTGGTATCTCTTCAGCGATGTCGTGTGCGTCTCTGTCCGGTCATCATGTTGCAGTAAAACCAGTATGAGGACAGGAGGAGGTCCGGGAGCCGAACATCTGGGCTGTTCTGGGATTTCACTTTCAAAATAAATGGAAGTTTCTGATCCGCCTCCATCTGACGGCGCTCACCTCTGCCCTCCCCTCCCTCTCCTGGCGGATGTTTACAGATGGCTGTGACAGAGGTGTGCAGGGTGACGGCAGCGCGGCGCTCCATCCCGGAGGGCCGAGCGCAGTCTCCTCACGTAGAGCCGTAATGGAGACTGTCTGGAGCGGGTCGATTGAGGCGATCAATCACCGTCTGCAGGCCTCCCCCTCACAGACAGCTCAGCCAGCAGCAGCAGCAACACTGACACAGTTTATTACCAACACCGAACCGTTCCTGCTGCATCCTCTCAGCGGGGCGAGCAGGATCAGCGCCGTCTGTACCGACACACGCGGTCAGATTTTAGAGTTTGGACGAGTCCGGACAAAGAAACCAGCTCTCGCTCTCTCTCTCTCACTCATTCATCCCCAACATGCTGCACCTGAATTCAGGCTTTGAGAAATTGCTTTGACATTTTTTTAAATTGCTGTGACATTTTATGAAAAGCTTTCCGATGTGCACAAACGGCAGTTCTTTGTAACTGCTGTGATTTTTAGTCACGGCTCACAGTTTGATGGAAAATGTTCAATCTCTGCCCCCAGTGGAGCGCAGGAGGGGGGCCGGGTGGATGAAAAATGTTTGGACGGACTTCCCAGCGGGGGAGAGTCACCTTTTAAAGTGTCAGTCCTGTTTTTAGTCAAGGTGCTGAACTCCTATTAGAGAAACTCAGACACACTATTCAGTCAGAGGCTTTTTTAAGTCTATCGGAGATAAGCGGACCTGAAGGACCTGACCTGCTGCTCAGAGGACAAACACACTGATCACAGATGTCAGAAAGACAGAGGAGCGGTTCAGGTTCAGTGTCCTGCCCCCCCATGCAAACATCATGACCACCTGCAGCACCCTCAAGATTCAAGAAGATTCAAGATTAGATTATTTATCATGTTCATGTTAAACAAGGTCAACAGTGCAATGAAACGCCCTGGATGAGAGGACCGCTCGACCCAAAGGAGTACAGATAAAACTGAGAGGAATACAATAAAATAAGGTACAAAAACACAGAAAATCTTCCAGTTGCATGTGGAGGCGAAGTTCACAGAAGTCCTCTTACGTTTGATAGTCAAAAGTTGAAAACTTGTCCAGGAGTGACATGAGTTTAACTCGTGGTTAATCAGGGTGTTGTTTTTGAAGACCAGTGCTTCTGTGACAGTCTAAATATGTTAAATTCCTGTTAAATTTGGGATGTAACCATTGTTTTTTTATTGTAGAAATATAACAGCACTGCAAGAATGCTGGGAGCATAATAAAACAAATTTTACAAGCTTTGGATGGGTGGGAAATGCTGTGGCACAAAAAGCAGGATTATCCCAACTGCTAGTTGGTCCAGCAGTACCATCCTCGGCAGAGCAGTCAAAAAAGACTCTCCAATCACATTTCAGTATTCACAACTGGATTTTTAGCCTTACAGTGGGTACAAGAAAATAAAGAAGGGAAAAGTGTTATAATAGCCTCAGACAGTCTTTCTGCACAGACTGTGTATGTAGAAGGACAAGTTATCTCTTTCCTTTGGGTCCCTGCTCATGCAGGAGTCAAGGGGAATGAAAAAGTTGACCTGTTGGCAAAAACTGAGATAAAATCACAGGAAATAGTCGTAGAATTAACACTTTCCAAAAGAGAAGTTAAATTTATCATAAAGAGTCACACTTTAAAAATATGGCAAGAATACTGGAATATAGCTGACACAGGGCAACATCTGTACGATATCCAAAAACATGTTGGCAGAATTACCACACAGGGCAGAAACAGGATTTGGGTAAATACAGGACTCAATCAGAGCCTGTATTTGATAATAAAAACACTCAACAGGACTTTGTTATTACTGTAAGACAGCAGAAACAGTAAAACATGTACTCATTGATAATGTTAAACACAGAAAAGGCAACAGGTTAGTCACCAACTTGACATAGAAAATGGATCTCAACCTAGAGAATCTGTCAGGGTCAGCATCTGAATAAGTATTCAAGTCATAAATAAAGGATTTAAGGAAGACTGGATTATTGTACCACACTCCAATCCAGTAGGTGGCGGTAATGCTCCTTAAACTGGTGACCAACCGCCAATAAAACGAAGAAGAAGAAGTCATCGCTGTCGTTAATGGCGCTCGCTAGCGGCTTAGTCTGTGTTAGCTCTGCTGGGGGTAAGTTGGTCTCCTTTTCGCGCCACTTACATTTTCATCAGTTTGTGTGTTTCGTGGAGTAAAAGAAGAGTAAAAACTATGACAGTTCATCACACAAAGTGCTTCTGATCAAAAACGTTTATGGTTTATATTGCTGTGTGGCTTTAATGAATAATAACGAACTAAAAACGGCGCTACTAGCTTAAGCGTAGCTAACCGCTAACGACATATAATATATAAACGCTGGTTTACGTACGCTGTTAGCCAATGGAGACCCACGTCCGCGCATGGCGGCCATCTTGCTATGGTCAGCTGGCCAACTCCTAAGGTTCATGTGACATTTAAATAACTATAGATTGATTAATTTAAAATCGATTTTTAAACAGTTTGGTTTGTAACAAACCCCAGTGTTTTAGTTATGTTCCTGCATACTCAAGAATAATTTTAACCATGGATTTACATAAATAAACATTAAACAGATAGGTAGAGCAACAACTATGGACCTACACACACAGGGCAGTTTTATTAAAACATTTATATATAAAACATTTAATCATTCCATGTAGGTTATATTAGTAATATTTCTATTATAGGGACAACTATAATAACACATGACAATAACATACACTGTAACACTGCCACTGTATAGATATATATAAATATATGATTTTTTTTTCCTTTTTCAATATAAATTTCTGCCTCATGTTTCCATTTTAGATGTTTTTAACAAACCAAACAGTTTGGAAATCATGAACAACTTCAGTTATGTTGAATCTAAAGAGCATTTCTGCCTCTTTAACTGACGTAAAATTACTGGGTCAACTTTGTAATATGTACTTGGTCTCACTCACAGCGAGTCTGTTAGTCAAGCTAGACAGCTGATAAACACAAGCACATCCACAAAGACTGACACTTAAACCAAAAATATAGTCTGTCAGACAAGAAATTGAAATCTCAATTGACAAAGCGACTCCAAAGTTAGACCTTGCACACAAATAGCCAAGAAACAAGTAAATCTGCCATTTTAATATGTGAAAGCATCCCGACTCATAGCCACATTATTAAGGTCTGTAATGAACAAAACCATTTATAAATCTGTGAAGATTTCAGCGAGTTAAGAGGATTTCTGATCATGCAGAATCATGATCACTCACCTCCCGTCAGCTACCATAGAGTGAACCAGAATGGTTGTAGTTTATTTTTTGTAGTTTAGACCTCTGAAGAAACTGAGCAGCTGTGGTTGTGTTTTTCCCCCCATCTTACAGAGGCGGCATAATAAACTGAGTGAATGCTACATCCATCCTGTCTCCTGGAGGTCTGTCCTGTCAACAAGAGCAGCGAAGTACAAAAGGTCACACTTCCAGGTGAGCTGAAAGAAGGTGTGTGCCAAACTGTGAATCAGACTGATATTTGGGTGAGAACAGAGGAACTAGCACAGAGTTTAAAGACAGTCACTGACACTCAAAGTTCAGGTTTTCACAGTGGTGTTTTTGGTTTAAAATGAGGGGAAACGGGTAATAATGCGAGTATCGCCTGTGTGTTTGCGATCTGAGCAGTGTTTTATTCTGAGCTCAGACTGTTTGGATGTGATCTTTGGTTCTGAGTAACCATGACTGAAGTATATTAGTCTTTACAGACTGCCTTCACAACAGAGGATGGTGAGATGCTCTTAAGATGTTAATCCACATTTGTTATTAGAGGAACTGGATCAGGTTTTAACAACGTGACACATCTGATCAAAAACTGCTCCCACACATCGGAGCTGAGCATAAATCACTGCAGCCTTTTTTTCTGGGAAATCAATTTTAATTACGTCATGAATTATTCATTCACCACTTCTGTCATTATTTCAACATTTTATCACCGAGGCAACAATCGCACACAAACACAGAGACTGACTAAAAGCCTCAAATGTGTCTGCGTCTTTTATTCCAGCGTTCGATAAACAGGAAGGAGGATGTGGAGCTGAGGCTGCTGCTCTTATTACATTTCCCTTTAAATAGACTTCACACACACACACACAGCAGGACTGTATCTACACACACACACTGAAAACACACCCCTACACCTCAGGAAGGATCGATACCGGAGCTAAACGTAAACTGACAAATGTAGTTAATTTACCTCTCCTCTGTTTTTCCTCACACGCTGCTCCCCTGGAACAACACTGCAGACGTTTCAGACTCTAAAAATAAAGTTTCAGTCGACACACGTCTCAAATATGACCAAAGAAAACACTGTTTTTTTGTGCCAGTCTTGTTATAACCCCTCTCCTCCTGCCTGTCCTGGACTCGATGTTCCCCTCCTGCAGGATCCAGCTCACTGACAGGATTATTACTCTGATTTGGAGTCACCTGTGCCGGTCAACACGACCACAAATCTCAGCTCTGCCTCCATCTTCTTTATGTCGCTGCACGTCTGGGTTTTCATTTGTTTTTTTACAGCTATGTGCACAAATGTTCCTCAGGTATCCAATCTAAAGTCGTAAACAGATACGAGCACACAGCAGAAACCTGAACCATGTTAACATTAAAACGGAGAAAGAACCAAATAAAACACAGAAATGTGGATCGTTTTATTTCTGTTATTGATACTTATTAGCCGGCTGTGTTAAATACTTGATTCTGATTGGCTTAACGCCCATAGCAACAGTCAGTTATTTGTCAATAGCATGCTGTTGCTATGGTTATTGCTCCAATCACAGACTCTGAATGACTGACTGCAGTCATATCCATCCACTGAAGCACTTCAGCTGATGTTTGTTTACACAGAAACTGCAGGAAAGGACTGAAAAATCCATGACAGGAAAACCTCTCAAAGGTGCTGCGCTGATTCAGGCAGCTGTTGATATTGTTATTATTATCATCACTATATTTATAATCTGAGTTAGTTTTATTTGTCTTGACAGCAGCCTCTGGTCTGAACCAAAAAGATCCAAAAGAACAGAGACTAAGTCAAATTTCCGACACCGTCAGGCCGTGACTAAAGCTGCAGAGTTTCCTCTCTTTCTCCTTTTTTCTTCATTTTGCTGGAGGGACAGCTGACTTTAAAAATAGTGCTTACCTGTGAACTTTTTCAGTCTGTGTCTAAATGAAAACATTGATTTGATATGTAAACATAAATGAGCAGAGAAGTAATGAAACGAGAGTGAGCGGCAGCCCTGAATGAAGAACCTTAACTACCCTCTGATTCTTCCCTCCAGGTCACGTCTTCACTATCTAACAGACGTTTCAAAGAGTCTCCATCCGAACACTTGGACTTCATTTAAATAATTCACTGAGCAGACAGAGACCGGTCCACGCTACAATTAATTCATTTATTTCCATCTTTGTTCAGCAGAGGGTTTCTGCCAGGGAGGAGAGGAAGAAGAAGAAGAGAGAGGAAAGAGAGGACAGTGAGGAGAGGAGGGTCCACAGAGAGACAGATAAGAGACAAACAACAGAGAGAGAGAGAGAGAGAGAGAGCTGCTCTGCATTAATAATCACACACTGAGCTGTGAAAGGTCTCTGCAGGACTCAACCTCATTTCTGTTTTTACAAACACAAAAGTTTAACTGCACATTAGTTTAGTTTGTAATCTAAGATCTGAAGTTTTTCAAAAGTCTTACTTTGTGTTACAATAAAATTACATTTTCTTACCAGAACAATCAGATATTAGAAAGATGTTTGTGAAGTGAAGAGAAAAATACCCCAAATTTCACAAACTGATGACTTGGGTCAAAAAAGCTCCAGCAACACTTGTAGTTCAGGAAAAACAGCTTTATCTGACCGACGCATTTCGGCCAGTGGCCTCCATCAGGGTCACAGACTGATGACTTTAAAGGGATATTTCAACATAAATTTAATTCAGGGTCAAACCCACCGTAACCACGAGTTAGACCCCCCCTCCAGAGATGAATGTTGTCGACCGCTTGCTTCTTTAGTTATACCAACTTTAGTAACGACCGCAGGATAGTAATACAGAGAGCCACGCCCTCAACCAAAACGCCACTCTATAGCCACAAATAATGCTCAGAACAGCACCTAACTTCATCAACAGGACATATAGGGTCACAGACATAGAACTAGACACCAAACATCTTTTTAACTTTGACTTATTTCTTTAGCAAAGAGACTAAACACAACTCACCTACTCTCTTCCAGCAGACGTTTGTTTGTAGTGAGACCTCAGGCCAGTCCATTACAGACTACAGCGGGGTGCCGCAGCTCAAGGAAGAACATTTATGATCATTCCTTTATCATTTCCTTGAAGTAATAATCACCATATTAATCATTTTACAGACGCGGTAGTTCTTCTGTCTTAGCGTCTCGGTCTGATTGTGTTTCCATGAAGAAATGATTATTTTTAGCCGGAATATTCCTTTAGCAAAGCTGCTTTCAGGTGAAATATTCCTGCTGTATTAGCTAAATTTGCTCTGTTAGTTTTTTAAGTTTGGTCATTTTCCAGTTTCAGTTTCGGAGTTAGAAATGACTAAAGTTACAGAGTCTTTGTCAATAAATACATTTTGTACTTTTTACTGTAGATCTCAGATGATCTAAAAAAATCCTTGCAGCTCTTTTGATATCTCTGGATAAACTGTTTCTGAGTCCTGATGCAGTGGAGTAGATTCAGTGTCAAACTCTTTAACACTGGCTGATAAAATGTGATTAAAAAGACAGTTAAAGCCTCCGAGCACACCTCTCTTCTTCTCTGCTGCTCTCCTTAAACTGCTGCAGAGAAAAGAGCTTCAAACTAACAGTGCAGAATATTCCTGTACAGGTACTTCACTGAGTTTCTGATACATTTGTGGCCTCTTGTGGTAAAAATGCGAATTACAACCACAGAGAAGCTGCTTGAAATGCATTATAACACTGTTAATGGTCAGTAAAAGTATTTATCTATCGGTATTGTCACTTTTATTTCACAGTTTATGGACCTGCGAAAAAATCAAATATCAGTTTAGAAATAAAGAGATTGACAGAAAAGCAAACTCAGTATCATAAGTTTATTTGACTCAAACAACAATATTGCTTTTTAATGCTGATTAATCTCTTCTTCACAGGTTTGATTTGAGTCGAGCAAACAAAGAAACATCCTGACGACTCGCTCATAAAAAGAAAATGACGTTTCTCTGTGGTCCAGGTGTCGCAGTGTTCAGAGTTGCTGTGAAAAGCTGCAGCTTCAGGTCGTGATGCAGGTAAACTTGCAGGTTTTCCACCTTCTTTTATTTCAGTTTTACACAGTGAAACTTCAAACACATGAACCCTCCCTGATCTGAGCACACAGGGTTCAGGTTTCTTTAGTCTCCGGTGGTTTTTAAACTCTTTGTGTCTCTCTGCAGTCTCCAGCCTGGATCCTGTTGGTTTTAGATGTTGGCAGTCTGAGTGAGCGCTGCGAGTGATAAAGTCTGAGGTTACATCCAAATACCGTCGACTACACAAAGAGAACACGGTGAGTTCGAACGCTCGCTCAGGTTTGGAAATGATGCTAACAGTCAGCTAATCGAGATGTTTCTGGAATGCGTGGTTTCAGTTTGTGCTTTTCTGACGAGACAATTTTCAGATTATTCCTCTACATGAATTTATGAGTAACCCCCAATTTCCACCTTCATCCTGATCGTCTGCTAAAAGGTCGTATCCTCCGATCGTAGCTTTCACACCATGCAAACGGGCGGAGACGAACAAGTGAAAGGTTTTTAGACGTCATTTCACCCCGATGACACCATGGATGAGGAGATGCTGATTCTAGAAGTCTAGAAGTAGATTTCCTCCTCTGGAAGGACACAATCTACTGCTTATATGTCTATGTGTCTGTCTTTAGAGAGACAACTCTGTATCGCGCAATTGAACGTGAATCCGCGGGTTCTTGTGATTACCGCTGTCCGTAATCCGCCACAAAATTCGCCTCACAACCAGATCTGATGGGAATTGGCGGACAGTGAATATCGCCACCGTTCCGGACGCGGTGAAAATTGGGGGTAATGATTGACACATGAAGCACAGCTGCACATGCTCAAAGGAATACACACATTTTAGCTTACCCATAATGCCATGCTGCTGCTGTGATGCACATAAAAAACACGTTAAAGGACGATTCAACCAAATATTTCTGCTCACAGACACAATAACCACAAAGACAAACTGAAGGCCTGAGGAGATGGATGGATGGAGACGTTCTGCGGGTCTGTAAGGTCAGGAGGTTCTGTCGGCAGTAGCAAACGTCAGAGAAGCTCGTCTGTGTGAGCCAGGCACTCTCCGGGACAGTGATCAGCTGGGCGAGTCTGCGCAGAGGTCAGAGGTCAGGTGCTGTGAGAGGACAGGAGGGGGAGGGGCTTAGGGAGTCCAGACAGGAGGCACTCATGGTGGGCGTCTGCTGGGTGGTCCAGGAGGGTCTGCTGCTGAGAGTGAGAAGAACAAGGAGAAGAGATCATGGTGGAGAGACGACATGGAGACAGGAAGTGCAGACTTTGGTATCGTCATGGAAACACATCATAGACCCGAGAGCAGGGAGGCGGGAGCTACAGGAATCACTGTCCCAGCATTACCCATCATCCTTTGAGCTCTCCTCACTGCTGCCTTAAATGTACGACAGCGAGAACAGCAGATACGGGCGAGGAGTAGAGAGACGATCCAACAGCTTATAAAAGTGTGAGAATATTTCAAGTAAAGACACAAAAAAGAAGCTTTTATAGTTTATTTCTATGGCAACAGAAGACGAGGCTCCATAAGAATCAAAGAACCTTTATTCCTTTAGGTTCAGACTCTTAAAGAAACTCTGCTGGTCCTGCTGCTTCACACCTCTCAGATGTGGGTGACTGAGCTCTCTAAACGGAGGAAAACAGGACAGCATGCAGCCTGAGGGAACGTTTGTGGAGGGCAGACCGTGTAACAGCGTCCCTGTGGAGTCTGCAGGTACTTCTGTGGGACTGCTTTGGAACTCTTACCTGTAAGAGGAGCTGAGGAGGCTCAAACCCTCAGCTGTGGGGAGGGAAGGAGGAGCGGCACTGTGGCAGAAGGCTACTGACGATCTGTAAGAGAGAGCGACCCTGTCAGAGACACAGCTGTACACATAAACACTGTAAAGGTGAGTGAAAGTAAAAATAAGACGATACACACTTACCTTCAGATCAGTGACAGGAGGTCTGTGAGTGTGTGTTAAATCTGTGTGTTATTATCATCCTCTGTGTTTGTCAGAGCTCAACGTTAGTTTGGCATATTTAGACTTAGATCTACTGTATGTGAGGCGTAAAAACGGCACACAGAGGACAAAAATACCAAAAACAGGGTATTAATTCATCAATATTTACAGTTTATATGAACATAACACTGTACAGTTAAAGCTTTAAAATACTTGATATGTACACGTGCATTTAAAGTGGTCAGACAGAAAACAGGCATTCAGAGACATGATATTAACAGTCTGGATGTTTGCACTGCAGGGTCAGAAAGCCGAGGCTGAAGACCCAGCTGTAAAGGTCTGAGCTTGATGGTATAAAAACAAAAAAGTTCTTTTAAAGGTCTGACCCGGTATCGCAAAGTAACGACAGGTGGTAACTAGACAGGAAGTCTCAAAATGATTCAGATTTTGATGGTTTGCAAGTCGTTTAAATCGTCTTTTGACTGGAAATGGGTAAAGACAACAGATCAGATGTTGAAACTGAAAAGTTTGGAGATTAAAACAAAAACATCTACCTAATAAAATTATAACTGTGACAACATGTTTAAAGGAAGAAACAACCAAGAAGGAAAAAAGTTCTTACAGAGGAGCGACCATCATGACCCCAAAACCAGGACCAAGCAGACCCTGAACTGTGGAGCAGCTGCAGTCCTTTATCAGGGAAGACTGGGACAACATTTGACTGTCAGACTCCAGAACCTGGTCTGCTGGGTTCACTAAGGTCTACTGAGGGTTGGTGGCACCTGCCTGGAAACAAAAACTCAAAGTGAGCGTTCATTTTTCATAAAACTCCAGCTTAATTTGTTTTAACGTCGGACATGTTGTCTTTTGACTCTTTCTGAACAAAGTCAGATTTAAACGATTCAAAAACCATCGAATCTGTTTTATCGACTTTGAGTAAAGCTTCCCAACTCCTGTGAAACCGAGGTTGTCGTTTGGTGAGCTGTTGGCTCCACTTCCAGCACAATCAGGACAGTTTTATCAGGTGTCAGTAACAGTGTCAGCAGTTATTCGGCTGTACTTTCAACCCTCGTCATATTCTAGATGATATTTTCTCAGAGGTCAGAGTTTGACTCATGTTTTCAAAGTCTGTAAATGTCTAACTTTCAGTTTTTGGTGTTTGTGTCCTTATGAGGCTCACAGCTGACAGTCACGCCCTATTTTCACCGTCATACATGTGAAGTGTTTTTAATGATAAAGATCATCTGAATGAAGGTGCTGTGACATGAATAGATTCCCGGAGATCTCACCTCCGTGGAATCGAGGCGTAACAATAATTTGGCGGACCCGGATACAGAGAGGGGGGTTGGTGAGTGAGTGTGAACAGGTTTGGTTGTCTGCTTGGTTTCTACAGTCCTGCTGTATGAAGGTTTCTCGGTTGTCTAGTTGGTGTAGCTGCCTTTAAAAAAATTTTAGCCAAGATGTCTCTCCATGATTAAACCTGTCAGCGTCAGACACCAGTCAACACCTTCTATAAACCTCGCCATGAGACTCTTTCTCAGAACCGTAAGGGGTGATGGGAATTTTTACCCTCTCCAATCCCAGCTGAGGTCAGCAGAGCTGTCAGCGTTAGAGTTAAAGGGGACAGAGGTCTCACTGGAAAAACACTCACATCAAACTGGATTCAAGGTTGGCGCAACACGGGGCAGAACCGACATTTGACAGACTTCAGGTTATCTCACATCGAGTTTTCTCCCAATCAGAAATTTATCACCCGTCAGTTTGTCAGCAGAGAGTCGTGTGTTGGTGCTGCTTTCTGAAGAGTGAGGGAATCACAGAGAGGAGATCAAACTGGTTTCCTGCTTTTACCTGGACCAGACCGGACCGGAGCACAACTAAGACCCACACCAGATTTATACCACCAATTTAATCTTAGTGCGCTTTGGGAAAACCTCCACAGAAATAAACCACAAATGCACCAATACTTGATTATTCATAAGTATAAGTATTACTGCACAGGACGGACCAATGACTGAGAAAACTCGAAACAAACAAAACCATCTGAACCTGATCAGAACATCCCACAACAACACCAGATAACTCAGGACCAACTTAAAACAACCAGAAAATCATGTCTGAGTTTGAAGCACGTGCTGCAAATAACCTCATTACATGATGATGATGATGATGATGATGATGATAAAAAGGATATCAATAATGAGAATGATATAAAATAATCATAATGATAACTATGGTAATGATAATAATGAGAATGATAATAACGATATAAAATAATACTGATAATTATAATAATGATAACGATGATAATGATAACAGTAATAATAATGATGATAATGATAAAAATAATGAGAATGATAATAACAATGATAATAATAATAATAACTGATATGATAATTATGACAATAATATAATCATAATAGAATTAACGACCCTCATCATAACTTGTTTAGTGTGACAGATCTGGAGGCTCGCACTAACATAAAGTCAAACCTCAGAGGCAGGAAAACCTCTCAGCACTCTTCAGAAACTCGCTCAGACAGGAAGTACCGAAAAGGTCAATAATGGATTTAAGACATTTCCTGCAAACTCTCAGATTACACTTACACATTACATTATTCTGAGGCTATAACTGTGAGTGCAGTAAAGATCAGGATGATGTGAATGAACGCTCCGACCAACACTGACTTTTCTCCAATGATATTTACTGCAGCAAACTAGTTGGACACAAACTTAAGCGCCGAGGAGACCTTAAGCCACGCTGTAGACAAACAAGCCAATCAGAAGGCGGGAAATGCACCTGCCTGTCAAATGAGTTCTGCCCCATGATGCATATTAAAAAACTTGCATCAGTTTACAAACTTAAGTCTACAGTCATGATAGTCTGGATACACAAGTACAGACAGAAGATGCTGTTTTCTCTTACAGTGGTTTGAAAGGGTTAAAGGAGGGTGTACAATGAGGACGGTTAAAGGGATCTGCTGAGCCTGTTTTCTGGACAGCACCCCACTCATGGTCATTATCCACCTCCTGAAAGCGATCAAAGCCAAAAATAACAGACACAAAATCAGTCCAGCCCATGGTGACGGTGTGGAGATGGAAAATCACGGAGACACCTTTAGTTTCAGGACAGGTGTGTGTTAGCAGGCTTCAGGGTTCATAAGGCACACACAGACACAGGAGATACGGTACCATGTGTGCTGAGTGCTGAATGTGACAGATACGACACCACCACTAAAACATTTGAACAGGTCAGATAACTGTCCACTCAGGTCACATGAGAAGACGGAGATCAGTCCTCCCAGAGCAGAGGCGTGGATCTGCATGGACCGGGTTTCATCAGCCTCCTTTATGTGGACGGCGCTCTAAGGAACCTTCGCCGTGCTTTCAACCTTTGTGTTTCCACATCGCAGGAGAAACACAGTAATGTTGATGTACTGTTACACCCTGTCTGCTCTGACACCCCCCACCTTAACCTCTGTTTTCACCTCCAGGGAGGGTCAGAGGCAGAACTCCATCCCACTATCACACCTCAGAGTGGATCACAGCAGACACCTGGGCTTGAGCCGTTGAACTAGGACAATATTTGCAGCCCATTGATAATCTGAAACGTCGTAACTGTTTTTTTCTAGATGTAAAGTTTGCTGGCTCACAGGTGAGTCTGCCGATTTGTCGTCACTGCTGTTGGTGCGTCGATGTTGAACGCTTCTAAGCTTTTGTTATCTACTGTGAAGAATCCAACTCGTATGCAGGGATCTTCACAGACGTTTCAGTGTTGTGATTGTAAAACACATACTATGGTTTTTATGGAAAATCATAATAGTGTCAGTTTACTAAGGGCAAGGGTGCCATGCAGTGGTCAGGATACGACACCAGCTCCCTCTGCCGGATCAAACAGTAAACTACTTCAGGCTGTGCCCACAGATTCTCCATCTGTATGACTATCTTTGAACAGAGATCAGCACTTAAACTCCCTCTGCTGAGGACAGTCGGGTGACGCTGATGCCCATCCTCTCATGTGACTCTGGTTACCATGGTTGCAGAGTTTCTTCTTTACAAAACCGGGATGCAGCTTGGGAGATCTTGGTATGAAGAGTATCGTGGTGTTACTGTCGTGTTTGGTTGGTGATGAGGTCCATCCAGGTTGGATGAGGTTTGTCCGGTTCCCTGAGTTTGCTGCAGTGCCATGAACAAGCTTTCTCAAACATCTATTCAGTGAGGCTGCTACACGGTGAGTTTACATCTTTGACAGCAGCCTTAACGTTGAGTCACTTCAGGTTTCAGTTGCTTCATCATTCCTGTCAGTATGTTGGTATAAACTTTATGAAATCTGCTGTTGGTTGAATCATTCCTAAATTTCAGCGTAGGGTCACATGGGTTTTTGGTCGTTCTAAGATGAAGTCTAGCCTGTAAGTGCTGCAAGTGAAAAAACACGAGTGCTAGTACTCTCTTAATCTAACTATTGGCATGTGTATTGTCCTTCTAGGTTAGTAAGTCTAGTATGATGCTCTACTCTCTATATCAAATTGGACCTGCGTCAGCATCCTGCTCTGGTTCAGTTCATGTCTTTTTAAAGCTAGGCCATCATCGTTCTCTTATTCTCAGATTTTGCTCGTTTATTCAACACTGTGGAGACTCGTCTGGTCTGGTGGTCAGACTCCAGGTTTGAAGCGGATTATGACCTGATCTGGCAGATGCCTGTTGGCTCTGAAAAATGGACTGTTTTATCTAATGTTGTGTGCCACAGTGAACGTCGATCAAGGCTTCATCTCAAAGCCTCATGACAATGGATCCAAAGGTCGTGTAGTAATGCATTTTAGCTATTATTCTCAATCGCCAAGAAACAATGAAACATTGAGAGGCAAGTATACTAGTGGCTGATAGAAATCCCAGAATGCAAAGGAGTTAAAGTTAAAATAAGAGGTGGCAATGCAGCATACCGGAGCGTAGCATGCCATTAAATTACCGAGAACCATCAGAGTACCTCTGTTGTAGCCATCTTTAAAGTGAGAGACAGCGGACAGCTCAGCCAGTGAGAATGAGAGTAAGTAGAGGAATTTCCTGCCTATCTTTACCTGGTCCAGGTGGTAAAAGACCAGCTCAGGTGAAAACAAAGAGACTTCAGAGGACTGGGTCACATGTCAGGGATGACCTGGAGTCCTATTGCTTTAGTACAGAGACGACAGTAAGGGATCAGCTGATTTTACACTGGTTAATGTCACATCTGGGTGCTCTTCACCTGCCTTCCTCCTTCTTTCCTGTTACAACCCCCCACGTACCTGCACCAACATGAGACTGTTTTCTTATGTGGAAGGGAAAGAGGTCTGCAGTATAGGAGCATCCACAGGTGAACATGCATAACTGTCCTCTTGGTAATATAAGGAGAAACCACCAGGCTGAACCAGAGGTGGATAAGTTTGCTAAAGGTTAAAGCTATGATGGCTGCAATTCTGGACAGGAAATGAAAGACCTTCACTGAGGGGCACTCAATAAGTCTCTTTGTCCCCCACCATGAGAATAAATTCAAAAAGTACCAGGGACCAGTCCAACCCTTCAAAGTTCAATCCCAGTTCCAGCCCTTGGCCCTACCACCAATCATTACCCTCCATTTTTAGGACTGTTGTGTGGGGTGGGGTCCCTTTGGGCACTTTGCTATGAAGGTCCCAGGGGTAAAGGTACAAGTGGCCATTGGAGCATGGGTATTTGGGTTGGCAAAGAGTCCAGTATGTTTGGAAATGACCAGGCCAACAAGGTTTGTAACCCTCATGACTCAGGTTGTTTTGAAGGGGTTATTATCGAGTTGAGGGCGCTCTATACCAGGAACAGGGCCAGGGAGTTGAATAGGGATTGGACCTTTGCCCACAGATGTCTCAGGATACAAGGGTAGATGTGTGAGAGAGATTATAGAGTGAAATGAAAGCTCAAACACTGAAGGAGTCAGTATGTTTCAAACAAAGCACCAGCTGAAAAAACGATCAGCGTCATGCTGGGAGACAGAGGGCTGCATCAGCTTGTTTTTCATTATTCACTGGGGTTCATCATAAAACGAGCTTGGCTGGATGTGTGCCACAATCAGACCGAGGGTTGGAGAAAATGCCCATGCCATTTTCCATTAGTCATGGCTGACAGCTGGGGCTTTAACTTTACTGATACAACCAAACAGAGATCCACAAAGGTTTGATGAAAGTAAAGCTCCATATACTACATACTGTAAAGAAACGTTGCCCCCTGTCGGCCTTCTCTGCAACAACAGTTAGTGCTGCAGTTTTTGGTCATTTAAAGATTCAGTTCGCAAAGTCTGCAAACTACAGCATCTTCAGGACTCTTCGCATGACTGTGCAGCTGCGTAAACACCGGTACACTGGCTATGTTGACATGCCAAGATACCGTGGAGATATAGTAGGAAATATCACCACCCGGATTGCAATGTCACAAATGTGGCTAGTTCAGGCCGGCAACTGAAGCTGCACTGTTTCCATACTTCTTCATTCCAGCAAACCCCAACCTCACAGTCTGGTCTCTTTCTCCATCCTGCCATTACCACCACTGCCCTGCAGGAGTGCTACACTCAGATTTTGAGCCTTTCTACCTGCCGGCACCCATCTGCAGACTCCAAACAGGCGGTTTCGGAGTTGATCTCGACTTATCTGAATTTAGCAAGTGAAAATAAACTCACAAGGAGGGATGAGTTCTTATCCCATCCCATCCAGATCTACGCTCAGGGTTTGGACATCTGGAGTTTGTTTGAATCATACTGAACACCTTCAGCATCCAAGTATCATCCACAAAGAAAAGTGCTTGTACTAAAAGATGTGTCTTACATTGTTTGCGTATACAATATATGATTGACTACCATGAAAAGAGAGTGGATACTACAGTGAATACAGACAGTACAGAAAGTGTCATGGGAGTGTCCGCCAAGTGTCCAGTCAGCATCTGAATGTTTGAGTCACTTCATGCATGTGATATCTCCACCTGAAGAACCTAAACTCTAAAAACTCTCAGTAAAAAGTCTCTATTAACGTCCTCCTGCGGACCAATCAGCAGCCTCAGAATAAAAGGAAGGCAGGGCTGCTTGTGCTCCTTATGTCAAATCCCTGAGCAAAGTCACTGAACATTCAGAACCCACGGGCCAAAGCTTAGGCACTGGAAAACAGGAACTGGGAAACAGGAAACCATTCTGTCCTCCTCTCTGTGAGCCCCCACTCTCTCAGGGGAGATCGTGGTGGGAGTTCCAGTTTTGGGAGTCAATAAGGAGCCTGGTGGAAAGCCTTTAGAGCAAAGGACAGTTAGTGGCGGGGCCGGTAAGAGCTGTAATATCTGGGGTAAAGGGGGGTGTAGTGGGAGGAGTGGCTGTAGGAGGAGGAGGCGCCTGAAGCCAGGTAAGAGCTGGAGGGGGTAAAAGGGGAGGAGCCATAGTAGGAAGAGGAATAGCCGTGTGAGGAAGACGGGAAGTGGGAGGAGGAGTACGGGGAGGGTGAAGGTGTGTGGAAAACCGAGGAGCGAGTCAAAGTGGACAAGGGCCGAGTTCGGGGGGAGGGGCTCCATGTGGAGCGCCTGAGCCCCAAATTGGGGGATCGATAAGGGGAGGAGGGGGCGGATCCTGGCTGGGTTGGTCTGGTCGTGGTGCTGGAGGAAGGTGAAGATGAGGTTTGGGTGTCTGGGGTGTAGTGTCTGGAGGGACCTGAACTATGGGGAAGGGTGGGGGAAATGTTGACACTGAAACTTTGAGAGTCGACCACAAACGTCCGCACCCCGAGGGTCCACTGGGAGTGGCCCAGCTTCAGAGGGGTGGAGGGTGGGGTTCGGACTGAGGGGGAGGAGGGAGCCTCCAGAGATGGAGGGCTGTCTTGCACAAGAGGTCCAGCCAATGAGGTGACCGCCTGGGAAGATGGACTACGGGTAAGTAGAGAGGGTAAGTGTGTAGACGGGGAGGTGAGGGCTGAGGCCAGCGCTGCAGCAGCTGCACTGACCAGGGACGGGCTGAGGGGCGCTGTGGGGTCATCAGAAAGGACTGACATGGGACTAGTAAGGCTGGAAAGTGGGAGGCTGACGGAGGCCAAAGCTGAGGTGGATTCTTGGGCTAGGTCGGAGGCTGAAGCCGAGGTTGGGGGACTTACTTTGGGGGCGCTGGTCTTCCTTCGGGTCAGCCTGCCGCCTCGGGTGCGGTGGGTCTGCTCCTGATCGAAGGCCAGATCCTCCAGACGCTGCGTGAGGGCCAGTTTCTGCTGGATGGCCATCCGCAGGAGGGAGTTCAGAGTCTTCTTCTCATCCTCGGCTGCAGCCAGCTGCCTCTGCATCTCGTCCAGCTGGGTCACATATTCGTCACACCTGAAGACAGAAACAGGCTTCAGCAGGTTGGGAGTGAAACACGATGAGCAGGACGGCTCGGGAAACAACATGTATTCCTTTGTTAATTCCACAAGAAGATCATTATCATTATTTGATCCTAACAGTCTTTTCTGAAAGTCCTGCTAACATCAGCTGTAAGACGCTGAAGGGTGGAAGTCTTAGCAGGTGAGTTTGGTTATTAATAGAAGCAACAAACCACACAGTAGCACAACTGTGTGTGCTTAGCTAGGACAATCAGTAGCTAACGGTTGGATCATGAAACATCTCTAGGAATGGATCTTCTCACTGAGCTCTACAGAAGCAAACTGACTCATTTCCCAGAATGACATCAGGCTCCTTCATGGTTACAAACTCTTATGACTGTTTGACTGAGAGGAAATATAAATGTTTAGAGAGCTGACCGCAGAGGAACCCCAGAGATTTCAACTAAAGGTTGTTCTTATTGATTTTATGACCACTTTGAGTGGAGCTGACAGGAACTGCTCTCAGGCTTCATCATGTAAACCAATGTTTCCCACCACAGTCATCTGAACCATCTGAGTCATGAGAAATAATTCAAAGTTTGGACTCGATCGACTTTCATTACTGACCTCGTGGCAAACATGGCGCGCAGAGAGGAGAAAGTGGCGGCGTCCTCCTTAAGAGCTTTTAGCTCGTTCCTCAGCTTCGTCATGGTGTCGGTCACCATCGACTTCTCTGCCTCGTACTTACTCTTCAGGTTAGCCAGAGCGCCCTCTGCTGTCTGGATGAACACAGAATAAACAGAATAAAGAAAACATCCATATCAAACTCTTTCTTCACTTGTCACCAGGATCTAGGATCACCAGAGACTTCTCTGTACCTGAGTCCATTTAGGGTGGATTGAGGGGAAAACTGTCCTCTGGTCTGATAGATCAGGATATAAATTTCTTTTTAGAAATCGTGGATGCCATGTCCTCTGCATACTTGAGAGTAATCTTCTTAAAATGTCAGTAATGTTCTGACAGTAATACAGAAATGGTGGAAGGCCAAGTCAGCTCTTTAATAAGTCCAGTTTGTTGTTGTGTTTCAGGCGAGCTCATAAACATGAGGCCTATAAACTCGCCTCATTCCCTAAAAGCCTCGTTAAAACCATCACCCTGCGCCCAGATCATGTTCCAGCATGTGTCTGTTTAAGAGTTTGACGACCATAAATGAGATCTGTGCAACATTTCCAAAATATTCCTGGACTTGTCAGAGGTACTCAGCCTCACGCAGAGCAGGAACACCTCAGGTGTCTCACCTGTTTGTTGGCCTTGAGAACCAGTCTGAGCGTGGCGATCTGCTCCCTCTTGGTGCTCAGCAAAGACTTCAGCTTTAAAATCTCCTCCATGCAGCTCTCCTTGTCTTTGTCCAGGATAGGAGCCAGTTCTCGGGCTGCAGCTCTCTGCCTGGACAGCTGCAGCGAGTGGTCCACAGCGCGCTGGAGGTGCTTCACCTGGTCGGGGGGAGGAGTTAAAGTATGATGCTGAAAGATTTAGGAAAGATGAAGAAGACATGTTCGTACCTGGTCTCTGATGATGGCGTTAAGGTTGTAGATGTTCAGGGGCTCCCTGCGCAGCTCACCGGCTGGCTCCATGGCAGGCGAGGATGAAGATGAGGATGATGAAGAGGCACTGATGCTGGGTGAGCGGGTGGGAGGTGTGCAGGGCAGCAGGCTTTGCTCAGACGGCACTGGGGGGGCCTCCCTGTCCCCCTCCTTCTCCTCTCTGCCCCCCTCCTTCAATAAAGGCTCCTTGGACGGAGACTCTGAGGAGCTCCGGGACTCCGCGGGAGTCGAGGTTGCTGAAGAGACAGCGGCCAGCCGCCTGGCGAGACGAGGTGTGAGGAGGACTTTGCTGTTGTCCGAAGACATGGCTTTGAGACTGGCACTGAGGCCTCTGAGCCCGCGGCCCTGTCTGTGGGGAGAAGAGAGAGAAGAAGATTCAGACCTGCAGGACGTCTGGAGGATGAGTCCTGGATTCTGAGCCTGCCACTGGGCCCTGAACTAATATTTCCTGACACAAATAAACATCCACCCAAACAGGAAACAGGAGAGGCTTTCACGAAACAACCTTTGTTCTTGGTTGAATAATGCAGCAGCTCTAACTCAGGGGTCTGGTTTTCCTTTCTGATGCTGCAGGAATACTAAAAAACCCCCTTCAGACCTGTAGTAGTCCAGCATGACCCGGTTCGGCGTCTCGTTGTTGCACAAGCAGACATGATGGTACAGCTGGGCCAGCTCCTCACTCAGCGTCACCAACTCGTCCTGAGCTGCGGTCAACGCCCCCTGGCTCTCATTGGCTGCTGACTGTGCTGCCTGCAACTCTGCCTCCAGCGAGAAAATCTGAGAGCAGAGCAGAGGGAGGTTTTGGATCTGACTCTCATATCATTCAAACATTCAGAGTCAGGAGGACCCTTACCTTCTCCCGACCCTCCCTACAGCCCTTCTCCAGCGAGGTCACCTGCCTCTCCAGTCTCTGCAGCTGACTGTTCCTCCTCGGCTTCTCCTCCGCAGCTCCTGCTGCACTATGAGCCAGTCTGTCGTGGAGAGCTTTCACCTCCGCCTTCAGCTCCACCACCTCCGTCACAGCCAGGCGGTACTTACACTGCAGGATTTCCAGCCCAGGAGTCTGATATGAAAACACCTGACTCTTGTTCAGGGTCTCGCTCTTCTCCTCCTCCGTTCTACCTTCCTCCTCTGCCTCCTCCTCCTCCTGGTCCAGTTCCATCAGGGCCTCAGAGTTGAGCTGGGAGGTGGCGCTGCTGTGGGCCCCCTGGTTGAGCTGGACCCGTCGATGCAGTCGCCGAAGAGTGGCGACTCTCTGGCTGAGGCGGAGGGCCCTCTCGTGCTGCTCCGTCAGGGCCCCCTGGGAGTGCTGGAGCTGAGTCTGAGACTCCTGCAGGCTGGTCATCAGAGCTGCTTTCTCTCGTTCAACCTGCAGGGGGCAGCAGTGAGATTGTGGACTGAAAACAGCAGACTGTATTTGGTGCTCAGAGTATGTACCAACTCTTCTTTTATACTAAAAATTTTGGTTTTGTACAAGAGGAGTCTGAATTATAGATTAAGAATGAATTTGTCACTTTTTAGATTCTTAAACCGAAATACTGACCTTTGTATTTTTCTATTTCAATGAAAGGCAAACCCAGAAGTCTCTACGATCTCTTTAGTTATTTTGTTTCTCATCTTTTATAGTCACATAATGATTAACTTAATCAAACGTAAAACAACAACAACCTGATATCAGCAGTAAATATATCAGCCGTCAGCTGTTGTAGAGCAGATATCGATCGACCGATACAGCAGAATCCCTTTTAAAGGAGAATTTAGCTGAAATAAGTGTCGAATCTCAACATAATCTGTGTCAATAATCTGATCCACGGACAGATTATCTCTGCCTCAGAAAAACAGACCCTACATTAATTTCCTGGCACTGTAATAACTGCACACAGATCCGACTCGGAGGCCAAGATTGTCTGGCACCGAAGTCTAACTTGGCCCAGTGTTCGGTCTCTCCCTCCATGTTTCTCGTTTCTACACCGTCTGCTGTCAGTAACAGCTGACTCAGACCAAAAACTAAACAGAAAGGCTTTTAGAAACACAGTTACACACTGTGTCGGTCATTAGTATGATGCTAACACACAATCCCTGCAGATTCCTCATTGACCAGGTTGTTCTGCGGAGTCCAGGCTGCAGTGAGATGATTCCTGAAACTTCTGCCGTCAGCTCCGTAAATGTGAAAGCTTACTTTTTTGTTTTCAGTAAATGTTTGAGCTGTGAACAGATTCCCACGGCGGCCATCTTTCTTGTGGGAAAATTAACAGGTGTAGTCATCTCTACGCATTTATCTTCTAATTAAAGTGAGTTAATGAAGGTCTATCTAGTGTAAAGGTGGATGCAGTGATGCTGCTCCTAAACCGGACGACAGCAGAGAAACCTCGTCTGCTGATCGATAGTGTCGTGTGTCAGCCCGGATAAAAATAAGCTCTTCCTGCAGCTCAGCCAATCAGAGCGCCAGCTGTGAGCAGGGAGGGATGAGATTACACCCACAGGAACTGAAATCTAGATGTGTGTGTGTGTGTGTGTACAGCTGTGTGTGTGTGTGAGGGAGGAGACAAAAGAGACCGAGGGTTTTACGCAGAGGGAATACTGTCTGTCAGCTCGGCCAGACTGTAAATTATTCAGAGGCTTATTACAGAGAGGAAGACAGTTATTGGATTATGAATAGAACGGAGAACGAACAGCAGACATGAGTCACAAAATCTGCTTTTTAAAGGATTTTACACCAACGAAGAAGAAGAAACCGAGTCTCTGGGGCAGACCCACCGTCAGGAGCTGCTGTTTCAGCTTCTGGATCTCTGTCAGGTTCATCTCACTGTAGAGATCTGACGATGGCGACGCCCCCTCTGCTTTACGAACCGATCCCCGGTACTCTCCGTTAGACCTGGACCCCAACCCAGACCCTGTTGTAGATCCAGTCTGCAGGTGTCCGTTACACCTGATGGGACAGAGAGGCAGCAGAGACTTTTTAGATCCATGAGTGTGCAGAGAAGTCAGAACCAGCAAATGAAGAAAACAGAGAAGTTTACAGAAATATGACGGCGCCATAGTTTACAGAAGACTAAGAATCATAGAGATAACCTCTCCGCTTTGTCTCCACGTGTTCCTCGATCACCCACCTGCTTGGCTCCTCTGTGCTGGGCGACATCAGGGTAGTCGGCGTTGCGCTGCCGCTGGGCGGGGCGGAGGTGAAGATCAGGTGTGCGCTGCCAGTGTAGGCCACGTCACACATGCTGAGGTGGTGCACCAGCTCCCTGCGCAGGTGGTTCTTCTGCTCACGCTCGCTCTTCAGAGACTCCAGCGCCTCTTCCAGCTGACCGTCTGAGATGTCCTTCAGACGCACAGCGTCCTGCAGCTGGCTGTTCAAGAGCTCAGTCTCCTCCTCCAGGACCTTAATCTCATGCTTTAGGCCTTCATACTCCACCTAAACCAGGGTGGAGACACAGAGACGGGTTCACTTTGAGTTCAAACTACTGAGGCTCTGACCTGAAGATCCCTGAAGATGTTACTGTTGGTTTAAACCTGCAGAATGAAGCACCAGGAGTGTTAGATGGGAGCCCGTGATCCAGAACCTCAGGATGAAGATAGATCTTTATGAAACATTTGGAAGATATTCGTCAGAGTTTCTAAGATCAGGAAAGTTTACATGCTGGTCGTCATCTGTTTCTCTGCTGTCATTCAGAATCGTTCAGAAGCTGACCAGGCTCCTGCTTGACTGCGAACGGTCGTACGTTAAAAAGAACAGATCACTTGGTTTAATATCCTCATTAGTCTGTTGTCTTCTGATATTTTTTGTTGTTTTTGAAGCAGAAAAAAAAACTCTTTGGGGTGAAACAAAAACTACTTTGGACTCTGGAGCCTCTGAACCGAAGAGCAGGATTTGACTGACAGATGAGGACAGCGGACACACTCAGAGCTTTGTAAGCAGTGTGTGTCTGGAGAGTAATGAAGGTTTTCAACTGTGTCTTTGTGCAGCAGCTGAGCAGCTAATTAACGGTGTTAGCTGCTGCCCTGATGTGAGGGACTCCACATGCAGGACTTGTAAAGATCACCTGGTTCTGTTTGAGCGTGGACACCAGCTTCTGCAGAGAGATGTTCTCCTCCTCCAGCTCCGTGTAGTCCTGCAGGAGCCGGGATTCTCGAAACTTGTACTCCCTGATCTCCTCTCGCATCCGACTCCGCTGCAGCTCCAACATCTCGTTACTCTGCTGAGACAGAGCAGGAACACAGAGCTGGACAAACACGCCGTTTGTGACAAAAAAAAACTAAAAAATAAGCGAGCTCTCTTCACATTCTCCTGAGGTTTTCACTCTCAAACACCTGATCAGGATACGTCATCATCTCCATCTCTACAAACAGGGTCAATCTTTATCAAACTCTTCATGCTGTTTTTTCATTTCCAACTTTATTACTGCTGCTTCATCAAGACATTTTAGTCCCCCGTCCCCTCTCCTCTGCACTGTACCTCCCTCAGCTCCTGCAGCAGCCCGCTCAGGTGTTCGTTGTCGGCCTGAGAGCTGCAGGCGGTGGCTCGGCAGTGCTTCAGCTCCGCCTGCAGCTCCAGCAGGCGGCCCATGTAGTACGCTTCCTTGCTGGCAGACTCCTGCAGCAGCGTCTCCTCGTTGGTCTCGCCATCCTCTGCCACCTTACGCTGGGTGGAGTAAGCCTGGCCGAACGCCTGGAGGAGGAGGAGAAAAGGTGAGTCAGAAAGAGGAGAAAAGTCTGTTAGAGGAGAAACAGAGAGATGATCCAACTCAAAACCGAACCGCCAAAATCTGCTGTTATTCACACATTTTCAGACGATGATAAAAAGGTGGTATGAATTCAGCTTTTGCACCCTTGACCTTCTGCTTCCTGGATTAAATGGAGTCGGACTGATTTCTCAAACTTGATCAATAAGAAGCTGAATCCAGGCCAGACTTTCGAGGAGAGGGTCTGTGGGGAAGGGTCTCTTTAATTCACATGTTCGCTCAGAGGAAACCTCTCTGTTTGTTTCTTTACAGCAAACGTCACACTCAGGCTAAATGTAAACCGTGCTTCATTTCCCTCAGGAGCAGAGTGTAAGTACAGTTAAACACAGTCAGCTGGGACCTGAACACACACACACACACACACACACACCTGAGTCAGTGAGGTGTTTCAGGCTGCACACGTGTTGGACTGTGTTAATGTGAGAGATTAATGAGTCTCCATTCAGGACTCCTTCAACAACAGAGTGTGACTTTGACTCCTGCAGGCTAAAATAAGACCTGATCCCAGACCAGGACTACTCTTAGTCTGGAGACTGGAGCTCAAAGGTGTGTGAGAAACCTCTTTCTGTGCAGAGAGTGTGTATGAGCATTTTCAGGACCATGGAGAAACTATATGTGATTTCAAAGGTGGTGTAGTCAGGATCTGAGGAAGTTCCAGTTTTTAGGAGAAATGTAAACTCTACCCCTCCCAACCAGTTTTCCCCTCAGCTCCTCCCCTCCCTCTCTGCTGCATTAAGCCCCGCCCACAAACAGACACTCCTGCTCGCTCGTATCGTTCCAATTAAATTCAGATATAATGCAGATAAATACTTCAGATCATTACAAATGGGGCCCAGTCAAGGTGAAAGTCAAAAGCATTGGTGCTACTGTAGATGCCAACAGACTACCAGCAAACACAATGTTTGCAGGACTTCTACAACGAGGATAAAGTGACATAGTCCAGGACCCGAGGGAGGACAGTTTAGCGATGGCGCTACAACACGCTACAGCAGGTCCGTTTGACAAGAAACACTTCTGTTACAGACACTTGTCTTACTTTGTTAAAGCGGTTTACCTGTCCAGCACAAAGGTTACAGGGTCACCAAGATCCCCAAGCGTCCCCCATGGTTTATGTTGACCCGGCTTTTTAGCTCTTGTCCGGTCTACCTCCGTTTTAAGCGCCCGTTATTCCTCCAGAGTCTCCGGTATTTACTTTGTTTTCTTGCTTGTGTCGGCAGTCGTGGCCAAAGGAGGATTCAGACAATTTTCCGAACTTTCTGGTTGGTTTCTACTGTCCGATATTGTAGCACGCTAACTTTGTTTGGGCTCCTGAACGACACGGGGGAGCAGCGTCTGCTCTAAGAGAACACAGAGATATCATATCACTAAATGCCATCAATAACTATTGACTGATATTAAAAGATTTTTCGTAAATAGACATCACAGAAAAAAGCTTCTTTAACGGAATCCTGCCTACTCCACCTTTTAGTGTTTTTGTCTTGACTCTAGTGGCCGTTTGATGAATTACAGTGAGTTAACTCAAGGATTTAGTCTCTCTGGTGAACCATTATTTATGGACACACTAATGTGTTCACTGTTTTGTACCTCGACTGACCGAAAGAGCAGGATGATAAAACCTGCGAGTTTGAGCCTGAACATTTAGTTTCCCTGTGAGCTGAAGTCCCCGGTTGGTGTTTGGTCGGAGACAGATAAATAAAGGCCGCTCTTTATTGCCCCCAGTGAGTCAGCACTATAGCTGAAAAACAGACTGATAGTCGCAGAGATCAGGACTCAGAGCTGCTCTCGTCTCCGATAAACACGGCTCAGACACTTTATTAGCTCAGATAGACTGAAAGTAAAATTAGAAACTGGATAAACAACCTTAAAATGTGCACATCATCTCTGTAATGACACTGAGAGCGTCTGCAGCTCTGTGATCCTGCGCTGTGTCCTTTCTGTTCACTCTGGATCTATTTTAGATCAGAGACGCTGTCTGACATGAGCAGAAGAAAGAGTTTCTGTTGTTGACCTTCACTCACAAACTTCTGAATCTGAGCCTCAAACTGTTTCCTCTCATTTCGTCTGTCCTCCTAACTGTTGTTTAAAAAATTAACTCTATAATGCAAAAGTAAAGGACAGTCTGGGTCAAAGTTGTCCCAATAAACTAAAAGCCAAATAGAAGTGGGTGGCCGAGGGCTGAAAAGGGGTCTTTTTCCTCCCCCTGTCCCCCGAAACAGTTCCCCCGGCCCTGAATGTTGGTCAGACTGAATCAAGATCATCAATAATCTGATGAAAAGCTGGAGGAGATTTTTTGGACGTGTTTGCGGGACAAAAACAAAACGTTAATGTGCTCCCTGAGACTGCTGTCCTACTTCCCTGACTCTGCCAACCATGACTTCATCCAGTCTCAGCCCTGACCAATCAGAGAGGGGGGACGGGACGGGACAGGAGGGTGTCCTAAAACCAAACCCTGACAGGACACGCTGATCTCAGAGACCAGAGTGAGAGTCATTCACCAACTCTCCTCATGTCGGACCCTCCGTCACTCTCTGTCTTTGTCTCCCTCCTGTCCGTCTCCTCTGTGTCTTCCCTCGCCGCTCTGTCAGCATACTAATGAATCTGAAGTGAACATTTACCCATAAAAGTGTCCCGGCTGAGTGACGCTGTGGGGAGACGTGGCCCAGGGTTTATGGAGCAGAAATGAGAGTTTATTCAAGAGCTGGACGGTGAGAAATCTGCAGAAACATGAAGATCCAAACCTCCAGAGATCATCTGTTTATCATCTGTCTGTGTGAGATTACAGCGCAGACATAATCGGGTTTTTTAATGGAGAGCCTTAAATAAACGGATGGAGATGAAGCTCTCTGTGTGAGCGGCGTCCTGCTGCTCTTCGCTCTAATTGGATCTGTGTGACTGGAGTCAGCAGACGCTCAGTCCGGCCCAGAACCAAACAAAGACGACCCGGTTTGTTGATATTAGTCACCCCAGCCTCCTAATTATCTCTGTCATTCCTGCTGATTTCTGCACTTTCACTCAGTCACAACATCATGTTTTCATCAGACAGACGTGACGGGAAAACGGACGGACCTGAGGCCAATTAACGACGACACACACCGTTACTACACACACTTAAAATGAACAAAACATGACAAAGGTGATGGAGGAGAAGACTACAGACGTGCTGACTGTGAGAGAGAGAGAGAGAGAGACTACAAACAGAGAGAGAGAGACAACAACCGGGTAAACACAGAGAGAGAGAGAGAGACTACACCAGGTAAACAGAGAGAGAGAGACTACAACCAGGTAAACAGAGAGAGAGAGACTACAACCAGGTAAACAGAGAGAGAGAGAGAGACTACAAACAGAGAGAGAGAGAGAGACTACAACCAGGCAAACAGAGAGAGAGAGACTACAAACAGAGAGAAAGAGAGAGAGACTACAAACAGAGAGAGAGAGAGAGTACAACCAGGCAAACACAGAGAGAGAGAGAGAGAGACTACAACCAGATAAACACAGAGAGAGAGAGAGACTACAACCAGAGAGAGAGAGAGAGAGACTACAACCAGATAAACACAGAGAGAGAGAGAGACTACAAACAGAGAGAGAGAGAAAGAGAGACTACAACCAGGTAAACAGAGAGAGAGAGAGAGAGACTACAACCAGAGAGAGAAGGAGGGAGAGAGACTACAACCAGGCAAACAGAGAGAGAGAGACTACAAACAGAGAGAGAGAGAGACTACAACCAGGCAAACACAGAGAGAGAGAGAGACTACAACCAGGCAAACACAGAGAGAGAGAGAGAGACTACAACCAGGTAAACAGAGAGAGAGACTACAACCAGGCAAACAGAGAGAGAGAGACTACAACCAGGTAAACAGAGAGAGAGAGAGAGAGAGACTACAACCAGGCAAACAGAGAGAGAGAGAGACTACAACTGGGTAAACAGAGAGAGAGAGAGACTACAACTGGGTAAACAGAGAGAGAGAGAGACTACAACCAGGTAAACAGAGAGAGAGAGAGACTACAACCAGGCAAACAGAGAGAGAGAGAGACTACAACCAGGTAAACAGAGAGAGAGAGAGACTACAACCAGGTAAACAGAGAGAGAGAGAGAGACTACAACCAGGTAAACGGAGAGAGAGAGAGAGAGAGAGACTACAACCAGGTAAACAGAGAGAGAGAGAGAGAGACTACAACCAGGTAAACAGAGAGAGAGAGAGAGAGAGACTACAACCAGGCAAACAGAGAGAGAGAGAGAGACTACAACCAGATAAACAGAGAGAGAGAGAGACTACAACCAGGTAAACAGAGAGAGAGAGAGACTACAACCAGGCAAACAGAGAGAGAGAGAAGGACTTAAACGGGGTTAACAGGGAGAGAGAGAGACAACAACCAGGTAACCATGGAAACCTTCATAAACGTCCTTTAGACACTGAGGAGTTCGGGTGTTTTTCTGCTGCAGACTGCTGAGTCACAAACCTCCACCATGAGGTCTGATCAGATCAATAACATCACATGCCGTGTGTGTGTGTGTGTGTGTGTGTGTGTGTGTGAGTGTGTGTGTGAGAGAGTGTGTGTGAGTGTGAGTAAACACAGACAGGTTTGCCAGAATTGTGAATCAAGGTCAGTTCACTGCCAATTACACTGTATAAGACACAACAGTCTCTCTCTCTCTCTCTCTCTCTCTCATGTATCATTTAAAGCCTCTGTGGGGGGTATTGGGTGGGTTCAAAGACACATTTACACATCTGTCACATGAACACAGTAACACACTCACACGGCCTCCATCCTGCTCCAGACCAGAACTGGGTCAGATTCAGAGGGCCAGGTTCTTCAGAGCTCCTTCCTCAAATGAATCCGCTCTAAATGCTCCACATACAAACTGACTCAGGACCTGTCGGACCACATGACCATGGCGGCTGAGCGGAGGGTTCATATTTACGTGGAGAGGATTTGTTCTTTTCACCAAAACCAGGAGGGTTGGAGTCTGAGCCTCAAACTGAAGGTGAGGTCTGGAGGTTTTGGCCCGTGCATTGATCAGGTGAGACAGGTCTGCAGGTGGGGTCTGATCAGGCCCCTGTTTTACTGTCTCACTAACTTTAATAACAGGCTTTCTTCTGTTTGGAGTTGGCAGTTTCCTGATCCATTGCAAAGTTCAGAAGACGTTGGCGGCCCTTTTGGGAATTGGGAGGCCGCCCGTCATGACTGAGGGAGGGCTGTCAACACTCAGACTCAGGTGATATGCAAACTCAATCGCAGGCAGGTTGCGATTGAGGAACGCCTTGGCAAGTTGGATACCACCTTGGAGAAGTTGACAGCCCAGCTCGGCTGAATTGGCCACCAAATTCTGATGTTTGGGTCAACGCCATCAAAGACAAGAGAGACTCAGGGTAGATGGGAAGATTACAAAGTCTGTCTGTCCCAAATCAATTGTTATCTTCATTGACTCCCCCACAGCGGCCTTGGAAGGATGTTACTTCTCCTCCCCTGGATGTTCTGCAGACTGATGCTCGACCCTATCCTCCTCTTCCTTCCTCCTCCTCCTCCTCCTCCAGTGAACTTTGTTTCTGGATCAAGACTCTCCAAGGCCGTCTCCTGTTATCTGGGACATTCGTGAGGGACTGAGATGGAGACAACGCCACGGGCTGACACATACACATACATGAAGAATAATCACCCCCCCCAACTCAACGCCTTCTTGGCCTGTCGTAGGGCAGGTACTGTGAGTTGATGCTTCACCAAGTAGAGTCTCTGCTGCGACACCCTCCCTCCCTGACACCTGTTCTCCTCCCACATGTGCAAGTTCTCCAGTATTTTGTTGTAATGTCTTGTTATGTTTCTCATGTGCTGAGGTGTTTTTTTACTGATCCCCCCGATGGGAGCAGAGTTTGGAGTTGCCTTTTTTCCCCTCCTCTTCCCTCCTCTTCTCCTTTTCCTCATCTAAGAAGGAGCGCCGGTCAGGCTGCTGATCCAACAGTTCTCCTGTCGCCCCGTATGCGTCTGTCTACTGTGTGTTTCTTGGAAAGGATGAACCGTAAATGGGAATTTTCTCTTGTGAGTCTAATAAAGGAGTATCTTATCTCTTATCCTAACGCCCCCTTATATCAGGAAAGTCCAGGATTCAGAGCAGGTCCATCTTCTCCAGGACCCCTCACGTCCTCTCAGTCTAGTGCAGGTCTTTGCTTCGTGGTTGTTGGCGTGTTAATGAGCCTCTCAGTCCTGCATGATGCTCCTTCTGTGAGAAACTGATGAAACTGAAGCCTGTAGTGAGATTTCTCAGGGAGCTCCTGAAGGATTGATGCAGAATTGTTTTGGAGGAGAGGATCTCTGCCCCCTCCTTTTCTTTCTCCCCACATTAGTTTTTTTTTTAATCGGTGTGAACAGCTCAAAGACGAGCGGATCAATAAAAACCCTGCAGCCGTGGGAGAAAAACCTCCTTCCTAATCCAAGACTGAGAGAAAAAGAGAGAGAGAGAGAGAGAGAGACAAAGACAGCAGCAGAAGAGGAGGAGAGCCAAGGAGAGAGGAAGGACACAATGTCCCAGACAATCCCTCCTCTTCTTCCTTGTTTCCTCTGAAGGAAACAAAAAAGGAGATCAGAAGCTAGGGAGGAGGAGAGACGGAGGATGTAAAAAAGGAGACAGAGGGGGAGGAGGGAGTGGACGGACGACAGGGAGGAGAGATAATCTCATTTGATGCTCCTTCAGATCGCTCCCTGTCACAGCTCCTTTGTTTTAGTGAAATCCAATCTGTTCACCCCTCTGAAAACCACACCTCCTCCTCCTCCTCCTCCTCCATCATTATAAAAACAGACAGAGGAGGCGACTGAGAGCGTAAATGTGAATTTTATAAAGCATCACGGAGAAAACGACTCAAACTGACACGATGACGAACGTCTTTATCTCTCCTCTGTTTACACATCTGAGAAATAAACTCATGACCAACAACAGTTCAGTTTTTAACATGAAACTGTCATTAAAGATCATAAACTTGATCGATCAGAATGATCCATCAGCACAAATATGACAGCATTTTAGATCAGTTAAACAGAACACCAAAAATATTCCTTAAACTTGACAGAACCTCGGAAACGGGATTAAAATGGGCAAATATCAGCGGGAGTTCAAAGTTTTTACAGACGATTAAAAAAACAAAAAACATCTTTAAATATCAGTCAATAGTTATTAGTTATTGATGACATTTTGTAATATATCGATATCTCTCTGTTCGCCCAAACAAAGTTAGCGTGCTACAATATCGGACAGTAGAAACCAACCAGAAAGTTCGGAAAATTGTCTGAATCCTCCTTTGGCCACGACTGCCGACACAAGCAAGAAAACAAAGTAAATACCGGAGACTCTGGAGGAATAACGGGCGCTTAAAACGGAGGTAGACCGGACAAGAGCTAAAAAGCCGGGTCAACATAAACCATGGGGGACGCTTGGGGATCTTGGTGACCCTGTAACCTTTCTGCTGGACAGGTAAACCGCTTTAACAAAGTATCAGACGGTTTAAAGGAGGAGGTCTGAGTTTGGGAGTCATCATGAATTCATCATGACCTCACAGTCCATGAATTATTGACCACGCCCTCTCTGCTCTCTGTGTGTGTGTGTGTGTGTTTCCCTCAGTCTGCTCTTAAGTGCTTCTGAGTGTTTGTGTCACATCCAGGACCATCACAGAGACCGGCTCAGACCCGGGTCTGCAGGAGGATCACTGATGTAACAGTCTGCTGCTGCTGCTGCTGCTGATGGGAGTCAGTGTCCAGTGACAACCGCAGGAGGGAGGAGCCGTCTGATTGGCTGACTGACGTCACAGAGGAATAACAGAGCGTCCCCCGGGGGGGGGGGTCTCAGGGTGCTGTTCTGTTTTTAGCCTCCACAGATGCTGTGAGGCGTTTTTTATCTCCTCCCTCTGCAGACACACACACACACACAGACACACACACACAGACAGACACACACACCGCCTGTCTGAAACCTGATCACTGATTGGCTGAAGAGGAAAACTGGACTGATCCAAACACTCGTATCCATCAGAACCGACCAGAACAGCAGGATGTGGAGATACAGTGTTGAGAAGTGAGTCCTCCTCCCAGTGTGGGTCACCTGCTGCTCAGAGCCGGTCTACAGAGAGGATCGATATGACGGAGTCCTGTTGAGCTAATTAGCAGTTAGCTGTGTCAGCACTTTACATCCCACTGATGAAGCCCACAGAGTCTTCCTCCTCCTGCTGGGCGGCCCTCGATTATTTCATTAAACCTGACGCTTCCTGTCACCCCATTAGCTAATGGACGGGACGACAACCGGAGGTCGCAGCAGACCACCTCAGTCTGATTACGACCACAGACTGTATTTACTCTGGACAACTTGGATCCGCCTTCCGCCTGTACACGGACTTGAAGCCGAAAAGTTCTCTGTAATTCTGCGATCTTTCTTCATTTCCTGAAACCAACATGGCGCAGTAGCGTTGTACACATTCCGCGGGAGAGTCGCTGTGATGACACTCAGCTCAAACAGCGTATCCCCCAGTGATCTCCTCAATCCCTGTCCTCCCATTGGCTGTATCAAATGTCAATCATAGAAAACATGAACCCCCTAATACTTTTAAAAATGGAGCTGTACAGAAAAAAGAGGACTTGAACACAAACCAGTCTGACAGTAACTACATGTCAACATCACAACCAGGGGGGAGAAACATTTATATTCTGTGTCATTCATTTATAAAGTTTGTCCACAGCTCCATAAGGAGGCGGGGTTTATGACCTATACTGCAGCCCATCACCAGAGGGCGCTGTTCTCACAGAGAGGAGGCAGATGGCGTCTGTTCTAGATACAGTCTATAGTTTCGACAGGTCAGGGAGATGAGAGCGCTGCCTGATGGTCTGAGGGTCTACAGTTCTCAAAAAAAGGAGGAAAGACCCAAAAACCTGACTTAGAGAAGACCCTTGAGAAGACTTAGAGAAGCTGTTTAACCCCAAAATAAGTCGATGAAATCTGAAAGAACTCCAACATCTGCGTTAAAACGTCGAGTATTTATGGAAACAGACCGATAAATGTTGATAAATGTTCAAAGACTCAGAGAGTAATCGGATTCTTATTTGGATAACTGAGCTGACGCTGACGTGTTTTTACTGCCGTGAAAAAGTGCAGTTTGAGTCCACGGCACACGTCAGTGTTGAAAATGTGCTTCAGTGAATCATTTATAGAAGAAACTATTTTTAAAAGCTCAGATCTGAACTCTGTGAACTCAGATTCAGATAAAATCAGACAGACCAGGCGGCTCCGTTTCAGTTCCTGCTCTTCGTCTTTTTTCAGTTTGTTCTTCGTACTTTCGACTCAAATTAAAGTGTTTTTCAATGAGCGCTCATTAGGATGCATTTAAAAGTATATCGGGGTCATGCCCAGAGTTTTTAGACTAGGATGATAATTAAGCCCCGCCTTTCTCCCAGTGACAGCTGGGAAAAGCTCCTCAGACCCCGGTAAAGATAATGGATGGTGTAACTAGGACACTGCCTCATGCATGGATGGCATGAAGTGTGCGTGTTAATATAAATGTTTAACCCGTTCTGTCTGAACAGCTTTAATTATTCACATTTTACTGTCAGACACACAGACGTCCAAAAACAGCATTTACATCTAAGAAGCTTTAGAGACTCAGAGAGAAGACGTTTATTTAACAGTAAAACTTCATTATTTTTGTATTTTATTATAAATGGATACAGGAGTTAGTTTAATTTCAGCTGTCGTCTGTTTGTCTAAATAAACTGATCCATCTTTACCTGGTTAACGCTCAGGTGAACGCGTCCTGACAGGTGAGGGGTTCGTCTCTGAGAAGACTCTGATCGCTCACAGAGAAAAACTGATAATAATAAAAATGATGATGTCAGCAGCATTAACCTTTTTTCATCCTCCTATCAGAGATCGTCCCGTGACCGAAAGGATCGATAACAGAATGAGCTGAAATGAGAGATCCTGAGTTATCGGGTTGTAAAAGAGACCGTATGAAGCAGATGTGTGAGCAGATAGATGAAGCCTGTAAGACAGGAGGATTATGGGAGGAGAAAACGGTCAAGGACAGAAGGATTCTGTTGGAAACTGGATTTAAAGAGATCAGCTCCATCTCTGCAGAGAGGGATGAAAGTCTGCAGATTTAATAAAAGTTACACCATCAGTTTTTACCTGAAAAATGATTTTTTTTTTTTTAAAGTTCATAAATGACTGAAAAATCAGTGTCACTCCTGAACCGGGAGTTCGTCCGAGTTTGGACACTTTGGTCTGATCTGAAACCCAAATAGCTGAAATCATGAATAGTCAGTGTTACACAGCTGTGTTACAGGTACGAATATAAACAGTTATGGGGGCTCAGCGGTGTCACCTACTGGTTTCTAAAAAAAAGGTCAAAAAGCGAGAGAAGAAGCTGTAACTCAGTCAGCTGAGCCGCGTCCTGAATTCGCCTGGTTCTGCTTCATTCTCGACTCGAGTTTGGATTCATCTGAAAGTCCAAGTTAGGGTCAAACCCACCGTAACACCGAGTTAGATACAATACACAAAGCAGTCTGAGGAGCCATAAACAAACCTCAACCAAAACGCCTCTCTATAGCCACAAATAATGCTCAGAACAGCACCTAACTTCATCAACATATAGGGTCACAGACATAGTACTAGACACCAAACATCTTTTTAACTTTGACTCATTTCTTCAGCAAAGAGACTAAACACAACTCACCTACTCTCTTCCAGCAGACGCTTGTTTGTAGAGAGACCGAAGGCCAGTCCATTACGGACTACAGCGGGGAGACACAGCTCAAGGAAGAACATTTATGATCATTCCTCATGGAAATGATCATAAATGTTCTTCCTTGAGCTGCAGCACCCCGCTGTGTGTACGTGTGTCATCCTTTTCCTCACCTGTCTCCATCTAACCAACAGTTTGGTTTCTCTGCCTCACGTCCATTTACTCTGACTAAATAACAGAGAGTGTATGTAATGAAGTTTTTCATTTAAATAACACTGAATATAATAAACTGTTCACACACTAAAACACACACACACACACTAAAACACACACACTAAAACACACACACACACTGACCTTCAGGACGGAGCTGCACAGTCAGCCTCTCGACCCTGATTCATCTCTTTAAAATCTGATTAACTGAAGGATTACTGTAACCGTACATTAGCCGACATGCTGTAAAATGCTGCTCTGTGATGCATTGATCGATCAGAAATATGATTTAAAGACCAGAGAAGTGGAGACGGGTTATTATTGATCAGCAGACTGGGAATATAAATCCGGTTTTAGAGGCTGGAACCAGAAGAAGAAAACGATCACAGTAACATGCGTGTGGTTTCTCTGGTCTGGATGTCAGGGTTGTTTTTGGCGGTCACTAATGAGAGTCGACCAGGGCGTGCTCTCTCTCAGGAAGTTTACACAAACACACACACACACACACACACACAGCAGCATCAGAGTCGAGTCCATCAGAAGGACGTATCATGAAGAAGCAGAACCAGAGACCAAGGTCACTTCCTCTGTCCGAGCGTCATGTATGATGGTTTATTCTGCCGTGTCAGTGACCATCTGCTGTTCTCACCTACCACAGTGCATTATGGGATACCCTGCATTTATGAACTTCTCTGCTCTTTGTTTCAGTTTTTCAGGATCAGAGTCTCGGATCTAAACAACAACAGGAAGCTGATTTCACCGTCAGAGCGTTTGGTCATTTCCCCGCCGTGTTGATGTCATCTGGAGGAGCCAGAAAAACCTCTGCAGATATTTAATACCACAGAAATCGATGTGTGCAGTATGAAACACAAATCCATAGTGTGAGATAGAAGTGAACTCCACAGTAAAGTGGGCGTAACCGAACTTTAGTGTCAGACATGTCAAACCGCCCGTCTCTGCTGGAGGCTTCACTACCTTCATGTTTTCTAGAGAGTATTTTTATCACTTTTGTGTAGTTTTTTTGTACAGTTGAAAGAAGACTGAATTTAATAATAGTACATTTGATTTATTACAGAAGCGCAATGTTGGATTTTTCAGACTTCTTTGGGTTTTGCTGCAAACACCAACGGTAACATCTACTCACCTTTTTTTACGTGTGAAGATGAAGAGTTTTAATGTTGAAGGGCGTCTAGACTTTAGCTGTTACTAGGGCTGAGCGATATGTGGAAAAGTTCATCATGATATAATATTTTCATATCAGTCGATATCGATCAATATCAGGATTTAAAAATGAAATGTAACAGTAGTATGTCACTGCATCTGTGAGGTCTTTGTGTCTCTTTGGCGTTTTGTCGTAAGGCGTCGCTCTAGAGAAAGACGACTGAATGGTCGTCTGTTTCGGCTCCTCGCTCCTCTCGGGGTTTGTAACCTTTTGCGTTGCGCGTGCTCTGCGGCGTGGCGCTGCTTCAGGTGGTGAAAAAGATTTGAGGTATTCCCCGACTTTGTGAGAACATGTACTCGACATAATTTACAGTCCACATTACTCTGCTTCATGTCCGACCTCCAAAAACCAAAATACCTCCACACCACCGACGTTTTCCTAACGCCAGTGTTGTGGTTGACATTGATGTGGTCATCTGTTGAGCCTTCATGGTCATTTCTGTCGGGGGTAGCACTCATTTTCTTTGTTTCTCACCAACAGTGCTGTCGGCTTCACCTGTTAAAGTGCTATGGTTGGGTGGAGCTGCTGTCTGCTACGACGCTGCAGTTGGTTGATACTTGGTTCTAATTCAGAACATGATTGGTTCAGACCCGGAGAAACTCCCCTCTTCATTGGCTGTTCGTACAGTCGACCAAAACATGGCAGAATGACGACTATTAAAAAGCATATTGATCATGTTTTATATTGATATTGAGGGAAATTAATTTTTGATATATATCATCGTTTTATCGCCCAGCCCTACCTGTTACTTCTATATTTATTTTAGAAACAGACCTAAAATGAGACAGTTGATCTTGGATTCATATTCTTTGCTTTTGAGTGTCTGAACAAGAATCAGTTAAACTTTCAGTTCATTTAATAAACATTAAAATATATTTACAGAGGCTTTAATCGAGCTGGAAACTGGTATGGGAGTATTTGGAAATATTTGTCTTATATTTTGATACATTCTGTGTCATTTTAATCCTTTTTTTGGTTTTACCAGTAGCTTTGCTGGTTCTCAGTTTTCAGAGGACTTTTTTAGTCCACACCCTTGAGTTCTTTTCTATGAAACTGTATTGATTTGCAGACTCCTGTTATCAGAAAACAGGCGTTAAGTTTGTTCATGTGACACTGCACACTGTAAAATCTTCAGATTTGATCTCTTAAGTCTGTAAAAGTCCCAGTCTGAAGGCGTTGGTCTGGTGGTCAGGTTCTGATCTGGGCCTGTCTATTGTTATCAGTCCAGCTGATGTAAACACTGAGAACTTACTGTAGGTCACTGCTTTCCTGACTGACTCATCTCTGCTCTGGAGGTCTTCTTGCAGACTATCAAGAGGACTAGGGATGCACCGATCCGATATTTGGATCGGATATCGGCTCCGATATTGAAAAATTAACTGGATCGGTTATCTAATGGAAGATGCCAATCCAGCGTTCCGATCCAGTCTGTTTTTTCTTCTTCTTTCAATTAATATCAAACACAGTGATTCTGTTCGCTCTATGTTCTATGTCTGTCTATCCTTTTGCACTAAATGTTTACATGGAAGTCTAACTTCTTTTTGCTCTGTGCTAATGTGAAATGTGTTATTTGTTAATACATAATATAAAGTAAATTTATATCTGTGTTAATCTGTTACCTTTGTTTTTTTTTACAAGGCTAATGTCAAGCCTGACACCTTCATTCACAGGTACACAGTTCATTAATTCAACAGTATTATTTGATCGGTGTAAGATATCGGCCGATACGCTCAGCCCAGGTATTGATATCGGATTGGATCGGAAAGAAATGGATCGGTGCATCTCTAAAGAGGACTACTGTCATGACATTATCTCTAAGGTCTACTTTCCGGAGTCGGAGTCCTACCCCTGCTGAGCCCACCTCCTGCAGCTGCTCCAGCTCCAGCCTCAGCGCCTCCTGCTCGGCCTCCAGGTCCGCGTACTGCTGCTTCAGGCTCTGGTTCTCCTCCAGGACCACCAGACCGCACTCCGCCGCTCGGACCTTCTCCCGGTTCGCCTCCGCCAGCTCCCGGGTCAGACGCTCCACCTCGGCCCGGCATTGCTCCACCGTTTCCCCGCATCCTGCTCCTCCGGCGGCCATCGCCCCTCTCCTCTCCCCCTCTTCCTCCCTCCCTCTCCGCCTCCCCCCTGCCCTCTCCTCCCTGCGTCGGATGAGGAGCAGAGAGCCCCCCCGCCGGAGGGAGAAACAGCTGAGGTAGACAACAAACCCCCACCCTCCCTCCCTCCGAGGAGTCACACCTCTGCTTCAGATCAGGAGAAGAAGAAGAACAAAAACATCCGTGGAAATCCTCACAGCGTTTCTCCCTTCATCGAAACTCTTCCTCTGGGTGATGATGAAGATGTAGCTGCTCCTCTTCCTCCTCCTCCTCCTCCCGCATCCTCCTCCTCCTTCCTCTGATCCGGTTTTTCTGCTTATTCACCGGCACCAGGACGCCATCTCTGCCCGCAGCCGGAAAGCAAGGCACACTCCCCGCTGCCCGTCATCCTCCTCCTGCTGCTGCTGCTGCAGACTCACGGTGTGGAGCTGTGAGAGCATCATCACAGAGAGGAGGAGGAGGAGCAGGAGCAGGAGGAGGAGGAGGAGGCGCCCTCTGGAGATCAGACCGATCAATTAGTCCACTTTAGTTTTTCCTCTTTCTCCTGAAAAAGACGACTTTACTGTCCTCAGTCCCAAAGATCACATTAATCATCTAGACTACAAATAATAATTGAATTTCCAAAATAAGTTAGAAGAATTGACTAGATTAGATGAATATTTTCACTCCTGCAGCCTGATGTAATGACATTGATCATGGATTTGAAAACATTCAGAGAGACTTTGGAGTTTCAGGTCTGATTTGGACTCGGAGCAAAAAATCTAAAAACTTTCTTCCTCATTTCTGTTCCGACCTTAGGAACCGTAAAATGATAAAAGTCCTGGGAGACTGTAGGTCCTATTATTCAAGATTAACAGTTAGTCACATTGACTGAATCCAGGACAATATATAGCTCTGAATAATTATCTTAATGAACACAACAAAACAATCTAGTGTGCCTCATCATGGGACTTATATTTCACTTAAATCTTGTGCAATACAAGCAAAATATTCACCTTAGTGTGAAGTTTATGAAAGTATAGTTTAAACAGGAAACTACTCGGGTTTGAAAAAGCAGATTAAAGGAAAGCAGAGCCATCACTCGAGCTGCTTTGGCATGTGTTAATAATCTTTGTAAACCATATAATGACTCTTAGACTTTTGATGTAGTATTCTCTGACAGGGATCATAAACTTCAACTTTTCTCCTGTTGTAAAAATAAATAAAATAAAACAGACACACACTAAAAACTTGGTCATTTATAGAACTACAGAAGTCTCAGTCACACCCATCTGAGGTTATCACAGTTTAACAGTGTGTCAGTATGAGACTGAAGTTTCCTGCAGAGGGCAGCATTAGACTCAAGACAGAAGAAAACAAAGTTCTTATTTCATTTTAACTGAGTCAAATTTAGTTTAGTTTAGTTTATTAAAGATCCCCATTAGTCTACACTGCAGTGGAGACTATTCTTCCTGGGGTCCAGGCAAAAACATCACAAAATCACAAAACAAATCATACAATACAGTACAGCATGATCAATAATAAAATTCTGTACTACAAAAATAGCAACAACAATAAATAAAAAAACAATAACTTGGAGTTTACACAATAATGTTCTTACCAAAGATAAAAAGAGCAATATAAAAATAGACATACTTTTTTTAGCAAAAATGAAACAAAGAACCAATGGCCTACAATATACACATTAGTGTACCAAAGACAAACAATATTCTCAGTGACGAAAAAGTACCATAACGAATAAAATATGACAAAAAGTACATACAGTTCAAGATAATATCAACATAAAAACGATAACCAGAAACTAAAAATTACTTTAAGCAAAGAATAAGTCAGAAGGAGATAAAATAATCATGTGCAAACAAACAGATAAGGACAAGGCAGGAGGAGAATGTTTATTTATTTTAAAGGATAAAAAGAATAATTACCCTAAAATTCGAGGGGCGTAAGTGTGACTACATTATTATTATTATTATATTTAAAGCTTTGTTTTTAGTTTGAATAGGGAAATGTTTCAGGAATATATTTTTGGAAAGTTAAAGAAAATGTGACTTTTTTTTCTAATTAAATTGTAAAAAAGTAGAATATTAGCTGTTGGTCAAAAGCTGGAATATTTGCAGTATAATAACAGTGAGAACGCTGAATCAGCAGTACGACGTGGTGCTTTTATTTTGTAAATCCTGACCCGGATGTGTTAGCTTCGCTGTGGCTAGGCTAACCCGGCTATTTGAGCTGAGCGGTGTTCCGCCGCGGTGCACGCTGCTAGTTAGTTGCAATGTTGTAGCTATTAGCAGGTTAGTCAGTCCTTAGCTGGGAGGGAGAGCCGCCGATTACCAAGATTAACTCATTTACTGATTTAATAATCTCTAATTTCACAGAAATATCACAGAGTTTTCACGGAATTATTCAACTACACTAGCCTGCTAACATATCAGTGAAGCTAACGGCCGGCCTCTGGTTCCGTTGTCTCCCTCTGTTCGGACCGAACCGGGCTCAGCTGGAGGACCATGGCGATGAGACAGACCCCGCTCACCTGCTCCGGACACACCCGGCCCGTGGTGGACCTGGCCTTTAGTGGGATCACTCCCCACGGATACTTCCTCATCAGCGCCTGTAAAGGTACAACAATAACTAAAAGATGTTAAAGAGATTTATTATTTAAATTACTGTTACTGTAAAGGTAAACTACAACTACCAATGTTATAAAGATTTTTATTATTAAAATTATTATTATTACTGTAAAGGATGATGATACAGATTAGTTTTATTAATATTATTATTTGTATTACTGTAAAGGTAAACTACCAACTACCAATGTTATTATTATTATCAGAACTGTAAAGGTACAACAGAAACTACTAATGTTAGAAAATAAACAATTATTATTATTATTATTACTGTAAAGGTGAACCAGAACTAATGTTATAGAGTTTATTATTTTTATTATTATTATTTCTGTAAAGGTGAAAAACAACTAATGATAGAGATTATTGTTATTGTTATTATTATTACTTCTGTAAAGGTGCACCAGAAACTAATGTTGGATAGAGATTTATTATTATTATTATTATTATCATACATTTATTATAATAATAATTTTAATTCGTTGTTATTATAATAGTAATAATTATTATTATTATGTTAGAGTTATTGTCATTATAATTATTATTATTATTGTTATTATATTTTTTTACTACCCCTATTGTTGTCATTATTATCCCCATACTTATTATTTATTTATTTTTTATATTTATTATTATTATGTAAGATTTTTATTATCATTATTATTATTTTTATTATTTTTTTATTATTATTATTATTATTATTATAAGCAGTAGTAATAGTAGTAATAGTATTTTTGTTATTATTATTATTATGTTAGATTTATTATTAGTAGTAGTAGTAGTAGTAGTAGTTTTATGTTGGATTTATTAGTATTAAATTGTTAGTTTTAGTAGTAGTAGTAGTAGTAGTAGTAATACGAGTATTAGTATTATTTTCATGTTAGATTTTTATTATATTTATTATCTTTTAGAACCAGGCTGTGGGCTGATTTAACCTCTTCATCAGGTCTGATATTAATCTGAATATACAGATATATTACAGTTCTTTGTTTGCTGCTTCAGTGACACACTGATGTTTTATTTTGAAATCTCTTATTAGTTTCTTCGTCAGACTGAAGCTGATCTGAACAGAATGAGACAGTCTGAGAAACACTTGTTGACTCCAGCATCTATAAATGATCCTCTCAGCTGTCCTCCTCTTCTTCTCTCTGCCCACATGTTGATTCCTCTGTTTCCTGTTTTCGTCTCTTTTTGTTAGATGGCAAGCCCATGTTGCGCCAGGGAGACACAGGGGACTGGATAGGAACGTTTCTGGGTCACAAAGGTGCTGTCTGGGGAGCCACTCTGAACACAGACGCCACCAAAGCCGCCACAGCCGCCGCTGACTTCACAGCGTGAGTCCGTACAGACAGGATGTGACATCAGTGGCTGTAATGAAACAGGTTTATCGCTCACAACATGTCGGCTGTTGACAGGACAGATGTTCCACGTAGAGTTTACTCTTAGAGGTTACACCTGCAGCACACACACACACACACACACACACACATGGTGTAGTGTTGTGTGACAGTGAGCGTCTGTCTGTCTCTAAAGGTTAAAGTTACTGAGTTTGTTTTGTTTGAACACACATTAAAGCTCCTTCAGTGATGTCAGCTGTCCGTAGGTAAGATAACTGTAGTTAAAGTTTATTAACTAACCTTCAGTCGCCTCTCTCTTCACCTGTCCTCTTACTTCATTCATGTGTCAGAGCCGTGGATGAAAGTAAAGCAGGTGTCTCTCTTATTAATGAAACGTATAAATAAAAGACACAAACTCAGAGTATTTTCCTTCTTTAGAAATGTTTACGTATAATTATCAACTCAAGAAAAAACATAAACTAAAGGATGTAAGTTTAATTTTCCCTAAAACTGGATGATTTAACTGACAGTGAGCTGTTTCAGAGTTACTGACCATTAAGAGCCGGACAGACTGTACAGAGTCTGTAGTCTCCACCTTTAGTCTGTGTCCTCGTCTGTGCTGTTAGCAGAGATTAAGAAGAGTCATCACAGAGACCTCCAGGGGGCGCAAGCTAACCAATCAATACTATGTTAGTGGTTTATGTCCCTCATTAAAAAGAGACTGCAGGGGAGCATCATGGTCGTTCAGTAAAGGAGACATCCGTGTTTTTTTAATCTTATTTACACCTGAAGTGTGTGTTTGTTGATGCTGCAGGAAACCCGAATCTCTGTCCGGAGAGTTCATGATCAGAGCTGGAGGAGATTCATCGTTTGTTTTAACCAACTCGTCTGTCAAATATCTATTTGAGAGAGAGAGAGAGAGAGCTGCTGTCAAACATGAAATAATTTGTTTTTTAAACTGATTTGGTGAAAACATCAGTGATTATTCGATAAAGTGAACTGAACTTTCGAGCCGCTGAATTCAGTTTTCTGAACAGCCTCTGTTACAGTTCTGGACGCTCTCCTGAACTCTTAAGTCTCACAAAATTAGATCAAACTAAGATGGAAATAAAGTCAATGATGAGAAGAATCTCCTCTCTGAGTCGAGGTTTTGTTGCCGCCTCTTTGAACCCTCTGGATGAATCCTAAACAGACTTCATCTGTAGCTCCGATACTGAGGTCGACTTCTGTGCTTTTCAGGAAGGTGTGGGACGCAGTGAGCGGAGACGAGGTCCTCACTCTGGCACACAAACACATCGTCAAGACCGTCACCTTTACTCAGGTCTGAACGAATTTCAAGAACATATGAATTCATCTGATGTTTCCTGTAAAGTCTTTCTAAACCTTCTTCTTCTTCTTCTTCTTCTGCTGTGAAGGACAGTAACTGTCTGCTCACAGGAGGAAACGACAAACTGCTGCGTATCTACGATCTCAGTGACCCTGAAGCAGGTGAGTGAGACTTTCAGGGAGGAAAGCGGCTCATCCATATTCTTGATTGGTGTCGTATGTTTTTGTGACCGCTCACCTGATCAGCTGTTGTTTCCGTGTTCATGAAGCCCCTCAGGAGATCGCCGGTCACACCTCAGCCATTAAAAAAGCTTTATGGTGCAACAACGACAAGCAGATCCTCTCGGCTGCCGAGGACAAAACCATACGGTCAGAGAGCGACTGTGTCAGAAACAAACGCTTATCATCCTGGCGAAGACCACGGCTCATATATATCTGTGTTTGTAGGTTGTGGGACAGAAGCTCCATGGAGGAGGTGAAGACGCTGACGTTCGACACGTCTGTGAGCAGCATGGAGTACGTGCCCGATGGAGAGATCCTCGTCATCACTTATGGGAAGACCGTGGCTTTCTACAACGCTCTGAGGTTCGCTGCGACGCTCTGATGACACACACCCTGGAAAAATAACCTCCTCTGATGACGTTTCTGACGGTTTTTCCTCTGCTTCCATATTTACGTCTGTTTTCAAAGTGACAAGTTCAGGAACAGAGGAGAAGTTTCTCTGACAACTTCAGTCCTCTGTATCAGGGTCGGTTCATCATCCCACTGATTTAGTTTTATTGATATTTTTCAGCCTGGACCTGATCAAGACAGTCGAGGCTCCTGCTCCCATCAACTCCGCCTCGCTCCACCCAGAGAAGGACTTCTTTGTAGCGGGTGGAGAAGATTTCAAGCTCTACAAATTTGACTACAGCACCAAAGAGGAGCTGGGTGAGTAGGCCTGTCACGATAACAAATTCTGCTGGACGATAATTGTGCTACAAATTATCGCCGATAAACGATATTATTGACACCGTTTTTTAAATTATAGATAATATTATCTGGCATAATAATGCGAGTACACCGTGTCAAAAGTGATAAACTTTAATTTCCACTGTCTGTCACCATTTTGCACTGTTTTGTTTATATTTGCTTTGCTCACCAAACGCTTCAGTAAGCGGTACCTCCGGCGGTACTTTTTCTGCTCATTTGAGAAAAATGGAGGGGATGATTGTGCTTGAGGTGCACGTGCATGTTCGTCGTATTCCCCTTCTTTGTCACCACAACTTTGGAACAAATACGACATATCGGCTCGTCCGTATTTGTGCGCTCACCTCTTTCATTTGGTTTAAAGCAGTGTTGTTTTCCTCATATTTCGTCAGATATTTTCGTCAACGCCAGCGTCAAAAAAGGGAAATATTGACTTAAAATATTTCCCTTTTCTCCCACGACGAAGACGTAACGTTGACGAGCTAAACATAAGTCGGAGATGACTAAAATGTGACGAGACGAAAGTGCGTTTACGTTGATGGGACGAGACGAAAATGACGAACAGAGTTACAAAACTCAGTCAGTTAAACGCTAAACATACAGGAGCAGCTTCAGTCCGCTCTGACAGCTCTCATCATCCTGCTGTGCTCCTCCAACACACAGACACACACGCGCGCGCACACACACACGTGGAGTTTTGTGCTTGACGAAAACAAAACTGGTTTAAAGCCGAAATATTCCCACACTTGGGCTGTTGCGTTCGGTTTAGACACCAAAGCTGTCGTGTTCATTCTGTTAGCTTGCTTTTCACTCACGACGCTCACTTGCAGCACTGTATCCAAAAAGTCTGTGTCTGTGTGCCTGTGCGCGCCAGCCCCCTCGTGACAAAGACACTGAATGACTGACAGGAGGGTTCACTAACTCCGTTCATTCCGCTATAGAGCCAACGCCCCCAGGTGCCGAGAAAAATGCGCAGAGTGAGACCTCTTCTCTCAACCAGCGTGTTTGGTAGCGAGAGAGGAGGAAAACAAACGCACGTCAATTATCGAGGCTGGCAAAGTTACCGACCTCGTTTTTATTTACCGAGCGATAAGGCGATTAATTGATTATCGCGACAGGCCTATGGGTGAGAGTATGACCTTCGACAGAATCAAGCTGGTTTTAGGGAATAAATCTCACACTGGTGTCCTTCCTCCTGTCTGCAGAGTCGTATAAAGGTCACTTCGGTCCGGTTCACTGTGTTCGCTTCAGCCCCGATGGAGAGCTGTACGCCAGCGGCTCCGAGGACGGCACGCTGCGGCTGTGGCAGACGGCTGTGGGGAAAACATACGGCCTGTGGAAGTGTGTCCTTCCTGGTAACGCTCTTTAAACGTTCATACTTTCAGATCTGGAGCAGTTTAGATCAAACTCTGAGACAGGCGTCACTCACTGCTGAACCCGGAGCCCGTCTTAGAGTCTCTGTGGACACTTGTGACCGCTTCACTCATGTTTGGTCTGTTGTTTCTCCACAGAGGACCTGGGAGCAGAGAACTCTGAGCAGCTGTACACGTCGCCTCCTGAGATCAAAGCCTGAGGAGGGGAGGAAAGAGCAGCGCGGTTAGGAAACGGGACGAGGAAAGGAAAGAAGGAGACGAGTTGAGAGGAGGGGTGTTCCAGCGATCAATCAGGCCCCAGCAAGGAGCAGAGTCCAGAACATCTCCATCCATCAGGACCTGATGTGGACCTGATGATAGACCGACACACACACTAACACACTTACACACACACACTAACACACACACACATGTACTGCAGCCGTGTGCACAGTATGGGCCGCAGAGTGAAGCAGTAGAGCTGTGAGTGTCTCCTCATCGCTGCCTGCTTTCTCTCTGACCAGTCCAGTTCTGTCCGGCTGCTTTGACTGATTTTAACCTCCACCTTAGACCCCCACCCCCCTCCACACACACACACACACACTTACACACTTACACACACACCCCACACGATGCTGAGATAGGTTTTGGTTTGAAAGTGAAGGTATTCAGTGAGCTGGACCAAGGCTTGTGTTTTCAGTTCATAAATACTGGCGTTGGCGGCGGCGGCGGCGGTCGTTGCACAGTTGGTGCTGAAGTTGAAGCGCTTTTATTTGTTCAGAAATGTTGCTTTGAGTATTCGCTGTTGTCGCTCTGGTTCAGTATAAAAAAAAAAAAAAGTTAAGTGTCCAAATAAAAGAAAATATGTTTTTGTGACAAAGAGGTGAAAGGGAAGAAAAGTCACGTTTTCATTTGGGTTCTGTCCACGTTGACGCAAATTGAGATGAATAAACAAAAGGCATTACGGTTTTATTTTCAAGTAATGCACAACGAGCGTACTGGTGTTTTTATGATCTTTTTTTACACCTGTGGATCATGTCATGGTTGTTTTATAAAGTTAATTCAGAAAAGAACAAACCAAGAAAAAAAAACAAACAGAGTGAAATATCCAAGGACAAGTCAATTTGACCGTTTTCTGGGATTTTGTCTCCTGATGAATTTTAGCTGCACTTTATTAACGATTACAGCAACTAATGTAGGAGGGAATAAATACAAGTCCACCTCATTAAATTAGAATAATGTGGAAAAGTTTCTCTTTAGTTTTAGGAAGGTAAATGTTCACACATATGTATATTTATAAAGCGACAAATATTTCCAGCTTTATGTTTCAGTTTTTGAGCTCATGAAAATCAGAAATTCAGTGTTTCAAATAATTTAAATATTTCGTAAGATTTACTCAAAAGGATTTAAAAACACAGAAATATCTTCTGAACTTCTGAAAAGTTTGTTCATCTCTAACGTCAGCCCTTGGAGGAGCTTCCTGAGTATATTATGGTCAGAAAACGATTCGATGGGAATTTTGTCCTGCTGGAAAAGGAAACCAACGTCTCCGTCAGACATTTCAGCAGACGAGACATGAAAACCTCCTGGGAGACTTAAGCCTGTGTTGATTTATAACTTTGAATTTACAGGTATGTATGTTTACATAATTTGAACTGTGGGCCAGATGAGTTAAACTGAAATAAAACATCCCTTTAAACATTTTAGTTTCATTAGAATTACAATATAATCTATTTCCACTTCTTCAATTAACTGAGTAAAAATATTGAACATTTATTCTCATCACATTGGGATTCACCTGTATGACTGAATCAGACAGAAAATAGAAAAATTAGTAATACATCTTTAAAATTGAAAATTAACATTTCTGATGAATTTTGGAAAATGACAGACATGCACACTTAAACCCTTTAATGCCTTTTGTATCATATTTGAAACATATGTTTATATATTTCTATCAAATCAATATGATCAACAAATTACTAAAAAAAAAGCACCTTAATACAGTCTGATAAATAATAAAAATGTCCTCTTGTAGTTTATCAGTTTCTATAAACATCTAATGTATCAAACCAAATCAATATATTTGTTAAATTTTAAGGACATTTTGATTTTTTTGTTTTTCAGTTGTAAATGAAAAAAACATTTCAGCTCCAAAAAAATTGAATTTTCTGGCCATAATTTGTGGTTTCAGGCATTAAAGCGTTACCTGTTGTAAAGTTATACTTTTGTCTTTAATGAACTTTATTCTAAAGATTTACATAAAGACTAAATGATCTGTTGACTGTGATGAAATGATGTTTAAAGAGTTTTGATCAGTGTAGATGGAGGTAGGACATTTTTTATTGGATCATTTTAAAGCAGGTCAATCATCCAACAAAAAAAACGCATCAAAAAGAAGAAAAAATAGCCATAAATCTAAACCCTCGAACACTATCTCTGGGTGATTTTGATCGGATCAAACCTGTTTTTAGGTGATTTTCACGATGATGTGTTTGTCTGAGTATCTTCAGCATTTCCTTTGACATCTTTGAAGACATATTTGTTTCCCTGATTTTCCAAAACCTGCTTTTTCCTACAGACACGTGTTCACAGGCTGATTTTAGTGATGGAGGGTAAAGTAGGTTTGGGTGGATTAAACAGCTGCATGAAGGGAATAAGGTCAGTCAGAGTGGTCCTGGAGTTTACATGCCATCTTTATTTAGCGCAGTGGTTATGAATAACTATCACAAAGTCGTGATTTTCAAGTGAATTCATATGGAGATAAGAAATATTTGAGTCAGCTTTAATCATTTTTATTACTCCAAATCATAGGTTTACAGTTTATACACTACAGGCCAAAAGTTTGGAAGCACGTCCATTCCAGGCCGAACAGTTGGGACTAACTTCAAGTTTTTGTTTGATGTATTTTAGGATGTATTTACTCCATGATCGGATGTTGCTTTCATGGAAATGCACCATTTTACTCCATTTACCTTTAGATATAGATTGATGTTAACAGACCATGTGTTACACCCACAATTCAGCATGGAGGTGGTAGCTCCATGGTATGGGGACGTTTTGCAGGTGATGGAGTAGGAGATTTGTTTGACGTAAAGGGGATCATGAAGAAGGAACAGTACCACTCCATCCTCCAGCACCATGCTGCTCCATCTGGACTCAGACTTGTGGCTCATAAGTTTGTTTTGCAGTAAGACGATGACCCTAAGCTCTCTGCCGAGCTCTGTCAGGGTTACCTGGACAAAAAAGAAGAGGAAGGTGTTCTTCAAAAGATGGTTTGGCCCCCTCAGTCTCCAGACCTTTCTCCAATTGAGCTTGTGTGGGACGAATTGGATCGATCGATCAGAAAAACTCGTCCCATGAATCGTCGTCTCTTTTTAATGAACTTAAGAAAGCTTGAATGTAATCCCTGGAACAGACCTTAGAAAACTTGGTGAACGAATGCCTGGTATATGCCAAGCTGTTGTTAAAGCCAGAGGTGGTTACTTTAAAGAAAGTTTAAACAACAATAACTCAAATACTTCATAATTATAGTCAAAATGTCTTCTAATAAGTTACTCTTTACACAACAGTCATGTTTATTGTGTTGAAAATTATATATATGAAACTATGATCTTGTTTTGTACAAATCTGATCTTGTTTCCAGACTTTTGGCCTGTAGTGTGTATATATATATACATTTTTAATAAATCTTGTTGCTAAATGCCTAATTTGTTATCTAGTTGCATTTTTATGTGGTCCCCTCATGTCACTTTTGTTCCCTCCCTTTGGACATTACACAGTTAAAAAGAAAACTACTTAAATTTATCAAGTATTGTCCTATCTTGATATATTTTGATTATAGGTACTTTTCTTGGGTTTATTATAAAAAATCACCCGACAGCGATAGTGATGGTGTTACTAATTTTAGTGATAGTGTTCTAGGGTTAAAAGTGAGTTAAAATGTTTAATTAGTGATCTTTACTTTGAATAAAATCCTGAATTTGATGATTATTTCTGCAGACTTTCCTAACGGCGTCACGAGTTACATTTTCAATAGTTGCATTATTCGTTCAGCCAATCAGGCTGCTCCATTTCAGAGCTTTCCACCAATAAGGGCCCGTCTCTAAGAGGTCACTTCCGGTTTGGGACACTCCCGTAGTGGGCCGCAGGAGCAGACTGGCGCAGATTTAGCCGCTGTTCGGCGACATTATCCCCGCTATCACCTTTTATTTAGTCCGTGGAGGAAGAACCGAGAGCAGCGGGGTAAACCTACCTAATTTTACGTCTTTATTTCCTCTTTTTCCAGCTCTAAAGAGACGTTTTAGCACTTCAGCCGGTGTTTGTTTTGTCGAGTTTTAACCGGTAAGGGGCGCTGGTTAGCCGCTAACCCGCTCCCCACCAAACCCCAGCGGGATTTCACTCCATTTATCCCCCCTCTCTCTCTCCTCGTTAGCTCGCTAACTTCACCCCACCGACGGTTCCTCTAAGCCCGTCAGAGAGCCGCAGACATGCCGGAGTACCTGGACGACCCGTCCGTTCTGACCAAGGACAAGCTGAAGAGTGAACTGCTGGCCCACAACGTGGAGCTGCCGAGCGGGAACCAGACCAAAGACGTCTATGTGCAGCTGTACCTGAAGAACCTGACCGCGCAGAACAACCAGCATGACACCGCCGCGAGCCTGGACGCCTTCTCCAGCGACGAGGAGCTGCCGCCGCCGGTGGTGGTCAGCAGCAGGAGTCGGTCCTCTGGAAGAGTGAGTGTGGAGCTTTTATTTATGTGGATTCATGAGTCTACTCCGAGTTTTTCTAACTTTTCTAAGAGGTTCTGACTTTGTTTTCATCGGAGCAACATGTTTATGTGCATAAAAGCATGACTAAAAAGGGTTAAAATTAGTGTTAACTAGTTTAACTAATGTTAACTAATGTTGTGCATACATCAGACATATGGAAAACGTACTTAAAAATATAAAAAAAACCTCACTTTTCCCCCCTTCACCCCCGAGCACTATCACTAAAATTAGTAACACCGTCACTATCGCTAACAGAAGTGGAAAACTGTTGTGTGGTCTAACTTCTGGAAATCATGGACCCAGTTTAAAAGTCTTATCCCTAATGTTGTGGACATGTATCAGAGTAGGACAGTATGCAAAAGTGTAAAAGTATGTATAGTTCTTTTATTCTTAACTGTGTAACGTCCAAATGGAGGGAAAAAAGTGCCATGAGGGGAGCAGATAAAAATGCAACTAAATAACTGAAATTAGGCATTCAGCGACAATCATCTCAAACCATCAATAAATTAATATTTTCTCATAACTTTTAACACTTTTCCAAACTTAAAGTAATATGTATGTTTTCTCTGAGGCAGGATCCGTCTACTGTTTTAACTAAAATGCCTTTTAAAAAAGACCAAATTTGAGAGAGAAGATAAGTGAAGTAGGACCACAACACTCAAAAAACACACAGCCGAGTTTTCAGGAGACACTAAACACAACCTGTTTTATTTAAAGTAATTAGTGTATGTCTAAAACTTTGATAAAAACATGAATAATTAGCTGCTGCGGTCACTAGCTGCACCTGAATTAAAGATTTCCTGGTCTTTATTTCTCCTCTGGACCATCTTTGGACCCCCTAGAGACCTCCTGATGGTCCCGGAGCCTTCTTTGGACATCTCTCCTCATGAATAAATCTGAGATGCATATTTCAGCTTTCACTTCCCTCTTTTTGAGTTTCCCTCGTTACTTCATCTCCAACATGCTGACTGTGTGTTTTTAATGTCGTTTGAAGCCACAGACCGACCTCAGACCTCAGACCTCTGCACTCATTCATTCACTCATTCATTCACTCAGTCACACAGGTGTGTTGTTGTTATCTACAGTTCACTCTGGGTGCGGTTTCTCCTCCTCTCTGCATGTTAATCATTCACTCTTTGACATGATAATTTCATCGAGGTTGTGCTGTAAGTGGACAAATAGATCTGTGTTTGACCTGCAGTCACACTCCCGGTACAGAAGCTGTTAAAATGCAGATAAAGAGGCTGATAGGTTTGTGCGTTTGTTTGTTTGTTGTCAGTCGACTCCTCCCGCCAAAAACATTAAAACAGCTCCTGGCTGCATACCGCAGAGACGCAGGATTTCTCAGTCCTGATAAACTCCTGAAGATCTTTTAGTTTAACCAGGTCAGCTCAACAGAAACCTGCAACAGCTACTTTATTAATCAATCAATCAATCAGTCTTTATTTATATCGCACTTTTCATACACAATTATGTAGCACAAAGTATTTTACACAGAAAAGGAATAAAAGAAACAAAGAAAACCCAAATCTACCCCAACCCTTCATTCTCACGATCTAAACAGAAACAGTTAAAATGCATAAACTTAAAAAGGGCTTTAATGTGCGCACTGAGGAAACGACGTTTTAAAACTCAAGAGAAGGAAACACTGGAGGTTTAGGTTAAAATATAAGAACAAGGTAAAGGTCCTCACACACCAGAGCCGATGCAAATATAGAACGCGAAATTACGAAATATTCAGAGGCGAATTTTGACGCGCCTGACTATACACATCAAGTCCGATGCGATTTTGCGACTTTCCTGGGGGGAAAAGACGCATCCCGGGGAAAGTCCCGCCCCCTTCGCCTCTGATTGGCTAGAAAAGCTGGAAACGTCATCACACGCTCAAGCCAAACGGTCAGCACTTATAGCCAATCAGAGGCAATAAGATAAACACATGAAACTATGGTAACAACCGTTAGCTTACGTTAGCACAGATGAAAGTTCAAACAAAGACGTTTATCAAACTGTTAAAGCTCACAAACCATCGTCTCCACAAGTCGTCCTTCAGGTCGTTATCTTTGTAATGTTTGTGTCTTTTATCAAAAATCACTCTGTTCTCCGACACGTAAACAATCAGCCGGTCGGCCATGTTGGATATACGGGCAACAACATGAAATCTGATTGGTCAGAAGTGGACACGCAGTATGAGAAACTTTAGAAAAACCGACCGTGAACCAAAAAATTAAATGCCGCAAAAAACGCAGGACGGGAAAACGTCGCTGATGTGAACGCTTGTATTGACAGGATACGGGTTCGAAAAAAATTACATCTGAAATAATCGCACGAAAAAACCGGTCCCAGTGTGAAAGGACCTTAACACAGAATAAATTTTAAGTAATAATCAATAAAATGAAATAAAAACAACAGTAAAAGATACTAAAATAAGAGCACCAAAATAGATCAATAAAAGACGATCCTGACATTAAAACTAGAGATAAATGCTAAAACATTTAAACAAAGTGAATGATGTAAAATTTAGTTAAAAGTGAAACTAAAAAGGTTTTCAGTTTGGTTTTAAAATCATTCAGATTAGTTTCAGTCCTCAGATCTTTAGGTCAGCTGTTCCACAGACGGGGATCATAGTCATAAAAAGGTGTTTTAGTTTTACTTCCTGAGGACTCTACCTGACCCACATGATAAATAAGAAGGACCAAAGCCATTAAGAGCTTTAAAAACCACTAAAACAACCTTAAAATCTATTTTAAAAGAGAGACGGGGAGCAGAGCTTTTAGAATCTTCTGGATCAAACTCCTGGGATGTAGACTCCTAAATGTGATTTCCACTTTTCTGTCCTTCTGATTGGCTGTAAACTAAACACCGCTGAGTTCTTGGCGCAGTAGGTCATTCAGATACATCTGTTATTTTTGTCCTTTTAGAAAAACACCGATCCACTTTGATTCACAAAAGTCTGACACCATGGAGAAATTCACTAAGAGATAAATAATCAGTGAAAAGAATCATCGTCTGTGTCTCAGGATCAAATATTGACAGAGTGTAAAAGGATTAAAGTTCATGTTTGATAATCTAACTCAGAGGTTAAACAGTGATCAACTCTTTTCAGGGTTAATTAGATTAACAGCATTTAGACTGATAATTATTGATGAGTCTGAAAGTCTCAGGAGGACTCGGTCTGTGTGAGAAACTCTGGACCTGGACTCAAACAGGTGTGCTGCTGCAGGTCATGTCCGGTCTGGACTTGTTTTTAGGGGGGTGAGGTTTGGTCAGGTTTGCAGTAGAGGCGGGTTTAACGGTGGCTGAATGAAGGGTGTGAGTGAAAAATGACAAGTCAAACACGTGGGCGGAGCCAGAGAGCCTGTTTGTGTTTGAGTCCGCCTCTGCCGTGTGTGCGCAGGTGTGTACGCTGCCTCCTCCCCCAAAAACGCCGAGCGCTCTTTAGTTGTAAATTTAAGGTTCAGGTAGAAGTCAGCTGATCTGTCGGAGCTGCAGCTTCTCACACGGTGAACAGGGACAGGTCAGGGGAAGTTCAGGAGTCATTAAAAAATCTGAATACAGGTCGTTTACAGACGCTCCTGTCTTCCTCACAGTTTAACACTTAGATTTCTGCTGGACCACTGTCAATCCCACGTGACACTATGAATATTATTTACAGTTTCTCAGGATCTATACCGTGTTTCTCTACGGGATGAAAAGTGTTCAATAGTTTACCCTTTTGGCGATCTATCGAGGGTTTCCAGACATTTCTACTCCTGCCACAAGGTTTACAATCCAGACACAAAAACAGGTGTTTGATCAGAGACGTTTGATGGTAAATCTGCAATGAAAACAGGATTATTGATGGACAGGTTGTTGTTAGATTAAAAAAGATCACTATTGTTAAATGTTGCTGATGTTTGACGAGCTGTTTTGATGACGTCTTTTTCTGTCAAACTTTCGACCAATTACACGGTCTCATATTCTTCTTCTATTGTCCCCTTGACGGTAGTGTCCAATAAGAGACAAGAAAGTTCCCTGCTTTCTCCAAAATAAGAAATAATGTTCCTCAATGAAACAAGTAAAGAAGAGATTCTGAGCAGTCTGATGTGGTCCTCTGTCTCATCCCAGAAACAACTGTAAACAGTCAAAAATGCCTGAAGAATGAGTGTAAATGTGTCAATAGTTTCTGTTGTGTGTTTGTTCCAATCCCAATATTTCTTCTCCTGATAGACTTGAGAGGATGATGTTCAGATGAGAAAAGGCTTGGTCTCTGTAGATTTATGTGTTTTTGGAGCAAAGTTCTGTTGGGATCAGTTTCTGTTTTTGTTCTTTGGTTGACTTTGTTGGTTCTGAATCTACTGTCACATTTATTTTACACCCATAAACTGAGAGCTGAGGTTGTCCTGAAAATAAAGACGTGTTTATATTTGCTGTGATTGAAAGGATCAAGATGATACTCAGATTTTTACAAAAGAAAAACAGACGGACCAAAAACAGCAAAATATATCTGGGAGTTCTCAGGGTTAAACACGATCTGGTGTTTCACGTGTGACCAGTGCGTAAATGTTTGTTCGTGCTTTTCTACATTAATGGGACATGTTGGTGCAAACAGACACACACCAGCTCTTGTATCTGCTGATATCAGGAACTTCTCCTCCATGTCCAAAAGCAGATTCTGGTCCAGTTAGAGGAGCAAGCAGAGAGAAGAAGAAGAAGAAGAAGGTCAGCAGAGCCTGTAATGAGGTTTTCATGTTTAGTTAACCGCTGCTGGACAAGAATGATGGCTGTTTTCCTCTGGGTCATGTGATAGAGGCGTGACCAATCAGGGAATAACAGAGTGTGATCCAGTGAGGAAGTGATGTCAGCTTTTCTGAAACGAACCCTAAATCCTCGGACTCTGTTTGCACGTTAGCGTGCGGAGCGCTCCGGGTTTACAAAAGCCTCGGTCAGTGAGTCTGTGCGGATATATTCACAGAGACGTAAACGCCGTGAAGGACGAAGTTTTCTGTTAAAGGACAGAGATGTTAGTCAAACATGAGAAACACGATTATGGAGCATCGAAAACATCAGACTGAAAATAAAGGAGAGGAGGAACGTCTGAAGATCCTCTGCAGCAGTTTTCTGAAATCATTTATGGGCCACTCCGCTCAGCCTGGTTCAGATTCAGACAACTTTATTTACTCTGTGGTTTAGGCGGTCCAAACAAACTTCAGTAGACGGCTGAATGTAGGGAAAAAGTTTATCACAATATATATTATTTTCATATCAGCTGATATCGATCAATATCAGGATATAAAAATGTAACAGTGTTTATTGGTCGCATGTCTTTTCCAACACAACATGGCAGAATGACGACTATCGTAAAGCATATTGATCATGTTTTATATTAGGCCTGCACGATATATCGTTTGACTATCGTCATCGCGATGTACGTGTGTGCGATAGTCACATCGCAGAGCCTGCGATATTGGAGGTGAATGAACGCATTTAATTTCAAGGGTAACTGACTGAGATACACTCCATGTGACTCTGCATGTGCTGTGCAGCGATCCACCAATCACATTCGTCCTTAACTCAGTTGCCAATCAGACTCACTTCTCAGTTGCCAATCAGACTACCCTGCCAGCTGTCAATCAAAATCAGAGAGGAGGAAACCCACCCCTGCACATGTTCTGCACATGGAGGGAGACGTGTGTCCGCTGAGAATTACTTTCGGAACTTTACTCATGACTGTTAAGCCCAACAAATAAGAACTGTATGGGTTTTAAATTGTACATTTCCGTGGACCACTCTACTATAAGCAGTGCGCGTTTTGCGAGGTGCATGCAATTCTCGGAGGACATGCGTTTCTCGGCACAACACCGCTAACAACAACAACAACGATCGCAAAATGAACAACGAACAAGCGAAAACCACCGAAAATGAAGATTTGTTGCCCAAAAGAAAAGGAAAGTCAGTTATCTGGAATTATTTCGGTTAAAAGAAGGATGATGTCGACCAAAACACGTCTTCTGTGTTCATCTGTTTCCACAATAACGTCCCAGCACAATAAAAGCTAAAGATATCTCTGAGACAGACAGAAGCCGTTCTACTAACATTCACAAAAAGAGGTAAGATCAGAGCAGAATAACTGTCCTCAAGATTTCAGCAGTGCAGCATAACATTAAATGCTATTCAGGTCATCTGGTGAAAATTCCTGTATTTTTAATATCGCAATATATATCGCAGGGTTGAAAAAAATCGCAATATTATTTTTTTCCAATATCGTGCAGCCTTATTTTATATTGATATTGAGGGAAATTAATTTTCGATATATATCGTTATGGTTTTATCTGTATGGTTTTAAAGGTTTCACCTGGACAGATTAAAAACCTCCAGAACTTCTTCAAAAGTCTAACCCGGTCTCTGTTCCCTGTTTTCACTGTGATATGACTAAAGATGGTTCATCCTTTCTCCTCCAGATTAAACGTTTAGATTTGGAGTTCAGAGATATTTCAGAGTGTGAGATTTGTCACCTCCCAGTTTGTGTTTTAGTGTAAATGTTCCCGCTGCAGCTTTAAGGTCTGTTATCTTTGTGGGTTTGGTTTTTTCATTGAGGAAATACTTTCCTGTGGAAGAGGAATGTGTGTGCAGACTGTCTGCCACCACATCAGTGTGTGTGTGTGTGTGTGTGTGTGTGTGTGTGTGTGTGTGTGTGTGTAGTAAAAAGTGGAGGCTGCAGAAAGACGGGGCTCGTGTGTTATTAGTGTGTCCTTTGTCTCTGCGGTTTATCAGCTGTGTATGTGGTGAAACCTGAGGATCACAGGTGAGATTACAGGCTGCAGGTCGGCCGTACAGGTGAGGGCGGAGAGGGGGACGGGTCTGAAACCTCCATTCCTGACATTGTTGAGATGTTTCCTGCAGCCGTAGAGGTTTTTTTTTCAGAGTGGATCTGAAAGACTCACATTCCTCTCTGTCAGGAGATTTCACCCTGAAGTTTGAGGAATGTGTGGCGGCAGAAACACTCGTGGTTAATTTGAGCGTAGTAAACATGCGGCTAACCACACACACTCCTTTGTTACTGAGCCGTGCAGACCGTTGCATCACGCCGCCACAGGTCTGAGCGTGCCTCGCCCTGCAGATCCTCCATGGAGCTTCGGTTTGGAGGAAAGTCTGACGACTCTGTTTGGAGTGAGTTTACTCCAGCGAGCGCCGGCTGTGAGCTCAGGCCTCAGGTATTCCTTTAAAGGCCAGGGTGTGTCCGCTCACTCCTCCTCCTCCTCCTTCCTCTTCTCCCGCTCAGTCTGCTGATATTATGAAACAGTCGTTGGCGCTGCTCCAGACCGAGCCCTGTCGAGGGCCCTCAGAGAGTCAGACGCAGAGTAAGACAGACTCCCAGTTATTACACGCCGTGAACCGTGGAGGAAGTTTGAGCAGATCATCTTTGCATTCCTCACATTTTCTGCTGCAGAGAGGAGAAGATCTGAAGACACTCTGAGGGGTCTTTTTTACGTGAACAGGTCCTTTGTCTAGGGGGTTTCCTTAGACCTGGACCCGCTCTGCAGACGCTCTCACATATTTCATGTCTGTTATCTTCACGCTCACAAAGTCCAGCCCTCTGTCTTCTTGTTTTGATCATGTTTCTGGGACCTCCACCAAAAAAAGCAGGATTCCAGGAATGACTTCCTGACTTCTTCTGAAGCTCTCTGCAGCAGAAATAAAAGCTCCTTTAGTTCATGTGTGAACTCGGTGTTTTAGTTAAGTCTCTTCTGCAGGCGCTCTTTATTAGCTCGGAGGCGGGGACAGCGCTTCGTTTCAGCTGCAGCTGCCTTCAAACACGCTGTAATTTCCTGCTGGCTGGTGTGCCTTCGCCCTGAACTGTGTTTACTATCACGCAGCGCCTGAAGGTAACATCTGCTCTCAGAGCCCAGCCCCCTCCTCGTTCCTCCAGCCTTTACTTCACGGTAGGAAATTGAAGGAGTCAAAACTTGTCCCCCCGGATCACGTCTGTATGACTGAGTTCATGCTCCACATTTCTGTGTGGAGTCCATGCGTGAAGTGAACTTTCAGGAATCCACTCAGGAAGTTTTCACACGTTTGTTCAAACAGGCGGCCCGTTAGACTCATTCAGAACCAGGTGGCGTAGGAGTGAAAACCTGGCAAACAGGTTTCTGTAACCGCCTGGAAGATCAACAAACAGATTTACTCAGAGGGACGAGGACGGAGGAAGGGAGGCTAAAGGGGAAAGTTCAGAGGATGACGCTCCAGGTGAAGGTGTGACGGGGCGAGCGAGAGAGAGGGAGTCACTGTGACTTAAATAAGAGCAGCAGCTTAACTGTTCACTCGGTTTCTATGGAGGCCCAGAGGGTCAAACTGAACATTTCAAAAAGTCCCAAAACATTTACACTGAAAAATGTTAAATAAACGCGAAATAAATCACAAAAAAAACATGAAAAAAATGAAAAATATTTTAAAGGGTCCAAAATTGAAAACTAAAATTTTACAAAAAAAAAATTTAAAAGATTTACAAAAAACTTTTTAAAAATCTTACAAAAGCAAAAATATGTCATGAAATCAAAATATTAAAACAAAACAAAAAAAAGTGAAGTGAAAAAAAAAAAAAAGCAAAAACAGCAAAAAAAATCCAAAAATTAAAACTAAAATTTTACAAAAAAATGTAACAAATGATTTACCCCAAAAAAACAGCAAAAAGCCAAAATATGTCATGAAATCAAATATTAAAACAAAGCAGAAAAATTGTCAAAACGTGAATATTAAGAAAACAGCAAAAATATGTTTAAAAATCCAAAATTTTATTTATTTATTTATTTATTTTTTACAAAAAATAGATCAAATATTTTATGACAGGGAACTTAAAAATCCAAAATTTAAAAAAAAAATTTTTTTTTACAAAAAATAGATCAAATATTTTATGACGGGGAACTTAAAAACTTAACAAAAGATTTTTGAAATATTAAAAAAAAATGACCAAAAGCAGAAATATGTTTTTGAAATAAAAAAATCAAACAAAACAGAAAAATCATCAAATAGTGAATATTTAAAAAGAACTCCACAGAGCAGTTTTTTTTTTTTTTTAATAAACAAAAATATCAAATATTTATAAAATTGAGTTTATTTTACATACAAAGAGATAAGAAGAAGAATTTATTGATCCCTGAAGGAAAATTCAATATTCCTGGTTTAAATGTTTCGGTTAAATAAAAAGAGTGGATTATTCATTTTAAAGGACGTGTTTTATAATCTTCTACTCATAGAGACAGTTTATCTGAATCTTGTTTGTTGATATTTGACAGTTTAGCGGCTCGGTCCTCCTCTGTCTGCATCTCTTAACGTCATTACAGTCTGATAAAAATAGATCCTCCGGCTCTGAAGAGTCTATTTTTACAGTAAAATGCAGGTCGTCGTTATTTCAGCGCTGACTTTTCTCTCCTGTTGTTTCCAGAAAGCCGTGAGGAAAACCGACAAAGTCCGAGCCGCGGAGCTGGACGTGACCGAGCTGACGGACCAGGACCTGAAGGACGAGCTGCTGAAGCACGGGGTGGACGCCGGGCCCATCGTCGGTGAGAGTCCGTGTTCTCAGCAGGGTCACACACTCACACACAGTGACGTGTGTGGGTGTGTGTGTGTGTGTGTGTGTGTGTGTGTGTGTGTGTGCTCCACACAGGTGCTGGAATTCACACGTGTGGCCTAATAGTTTGACTCGGTCTGTGAGAGATTACTCTGGAATGTCCCGCTCCGTTAGACTTCGTTCTCTCTGCAGCCAAATCAGATCAGGTTCTGCAGGAGTCTGAGGCGGACTGAGTGATCGGATCAGATTTGTGCTTCCAGACGTGACTTTGAAAAACAGACGCCGGATCATTCTCCGACTTCTGCCCCTCGGTTAAAAAAACAAACATCTGTGATCGGGTTTTCCCCGAGGACAGTTAGAGGAGTTTCAGCTCCACCAGAGACTGAACATGTCAGTCAGTCAGGCTGTTACCGGGCAGATTAGGACGTTATCAGGTAAAAAAACAAATATCATAATGGTGTGAATATCACCCCCAGTTTCCACCTTCATCCTGATCGTCTCCTCAAAGGTCGTATCCTCCGATCGTAGCTGATCGTAACCATTCAAGTTAACGTGTCAATTTACACCGACTTCTTTCCGTTCCTCTGCGGATCGCCGGACTCCTCAGCTGATCACAAGAGTTCTATTTTTCTGGATGCCGGAGCATGGCGGATAAATTCAGCACAGATTAACCCGTGCTGGAAAGGAAGTCGGGCACAGACTTCAAAATAAAACATCCGGCTTCTTTTCAAAATAAAACACTCCGTGTTTCAGGAGGATCGTATTTCACACCATGCAAACGGGCGGAGACGAACAAGTGAAAGGTTTTTAGACGTCATTTCACCCCGATGACACCATGGATGAGGAGATGCTGATTCTAGAAGTCTAGAAGTAGATTTCCTCCTCTGGAAGGACACAATCTACTGCTTATATGTCCATGTGTCTGTCTTTAGAGAGACAACTCGTTATCGTGTGATTGAACGTGAATCTGAGGGTTCTCGTGAGTTCTTGTGATTCCTGCTGTCAGTAATCCACCACGAAACGGATCCAGTAGGAATTGGCGTACGGCAACAATCGCCATCGTATGTAGGCGTATGTAAACATTAGAGCTCCAGAGACGCTGATTTTTCTGCTTTCTCCCCTCGTCACAGAGACCAGACTCCCTGATCCTTCTGGAGTCTCCTCAGCTGTCACTCTGTGTGTGTGTGTGTGTGTGTGTGTGTGTGTGTGTGTGTGCGTGTGTGTGTGTGTGTGTGTGTGTGTGTGTGTGTGTGTGTGTGTGTGTGTGTCATGAGTGTGTGGATGAGCAGCTGCAGTGAACACACACCGACACAGCTGTGCAGCAGCTACACAGTCCTCTACGGTCCGTGCAGAAGTCCAAACCCTCAGAGTCCTGGATCAGAAAAGCTCCTGTCTGACATTTCAGCCTAAAGAGAAACGAATGAACCAATCAGATCAGAGAATGATCGTTTCCATGGAGAATCAGCTGATCGGTGCAGCTTCAGTCTCTCTAAACTCTCTCTCTTTCTCTCTCTCTCTCTCTCTCTCCCTCTCTCTCTCTCTTTAAGCTACGACCCGTAAACTCTACGAGAAGAAGCTGCAGAAACTTCTGGATAACGGTCCGGCTCAGGTGACCCAGCTGGTGGTCACGGAGATCCAGGTCAACCACAACGGGAACTCCGAGTCTGAGGTCTACAGCGACAAGGAGGACGGTGAGACCAGATCCATGAGACCTCCGAGTCATCGTACCCGGAGCAAAGATATTAACCTTCTGTTTCACTGTGATTGTTTAGAGGTGACACCAGAACCTGAACCAGAGCCAATACCAGAACCAGAACCTGAACCAGAGCCAGTCCCAGTCGTGGAGAGGCCGATAAGGAGCCGAGGGAAGACCCCCGTGACCACTCGAACCTCCAGCAGCAGCAAACACAAAGTGGTGAGAGACGCAGCTCTGTGTGTGTGTGTGTGTGTGTGTGTGTGTGTGTGTGTGTGTTAGAGAGAGAGAGAGAGAGACGTTGATGATGGAGCAGAGGTTTGGTTCTGGAGCAGACAGACCTGTTTATTAGTCTTCATCAGAGGAAGGATCTTATGATGGTAAACAGGTCAGTTAAAGACCGCTCACACACAGCAGACCCAGACCCTGTCCCCCTGCAGACAGGAAGGTAAACATGGACCTGCAGCATCAAACAGGACCGGTCTTTGAGGTTCTCCTCCTGACCTCAGATCTGCTCTTTCTCACAAGGAAGTCAGTCTGCGCCAAAGCAGGTACACAACTCAGACATGATGAAGAATCGACCCTGTTCCTCATTTTCCACACTGACAGGAAAGAGTTCGAGCTGGAGGTCACCCTGAGAGGACTCTGAAGTCCAACCATCTGAACTCTGATCTTCGCCGCCCTCTTTCACGTTGTTTCGTCATTTTTAGTCATCAGATTTATTCTCAGTGATTTAAAAACAAATAAAAAGATCATTTCTATCCCGACAGTCAGAGCTGAAACTCTCTGTATGAAGATCTGGAGACGTCTGAATGTAGGGCTGGGCGATAAGGAGAAAAGTTTATCATGATATTTTATTTTCCTATCAGCTGATATCGATCAATATCAGGATCTAAAACTCTAACAGTGTTTATTGGTCTCATGTCTTTTCCAACACAATAATCTCCTGCATCTGTGAGGTCTTTGTGTCTCTTTGGCGTTTTGTTGTAAGGCGTCGCTCTAGAGAAAGACGACTGAATGGTCGTCTGTTTCAGGCGCCACGGGCTCCTCGCTCCTCTCGGGGTTTGTAACCTTTTGCGTTGCGCGTGCTCTGCGGCGTGGCGCTGCTTCAGGTGGTGAAAAAGATTTGAGGTATTCCCCGACTTTGTGAGAACATGTACTCGACATAATTTACAGTCCACATTACTCTGCTTCATGTCCGACCTCCAAAAACCAAAATACCTCCACACCACCGACGTTTTCCTAACGCCAGTGTTGTGGTTGACATTGATGTGGTCATCTGTTGAGCCTTCATGGTCATTTCTGTCGGGGGTAGCACTCATTTTCTTTGTTTCTCACCAACAGTGCTGTCGGCTTCACCTGTTAAAGTGCTATGGTTGGGTGGAGCTGCTGTCTGCTACGACGCTGCAGTTGGTTGATACTTGGTTCTAATTCAGAACATGATTGGTTCAGACCCGGAGAAACTCCCCTTTTCATTGGCTGTTCGTATAGTCGACCAAAACATGTCAGAATGACGACTATTAAAAAGGATATTGACTGTGTTTTATATTGATATATATGGTTATCATTTTATCACCCAGCCCTAACGATATTAATCGATATCTATATGAAAAAGTATATCATGATAAACTTTCTGCCTTATCGTCCAGCCCTAGTCTGAATGTGAGAAACGGAGAGTTGAAGGAGGAAAAACTGGAGCAGGTTTCAGACTTCCAGGAAAGATTTCCCCCTTTGGCCTCTTCATGTGTTTATTCTGTCCTAGAAAGCAGAAAGAAAAAGAAGAAAAGGAAAATCAAGTTTCCTCAAAGTTTTTACTGTTTAGAAAAACTTCAACAGTTCGTCTTCGTGAACTCAGTCCTGCAGCCTGCAGAGGTTCAAACCCTCCAGCTTTGACTCTCTGGAGGATCAGAGGTGTTCCTGGTCTCTGCTGAAGCAGGTAGGATGGGACTCTCAGCAGCTGTTTTTGATTCCCGGGTTTCCTCCGACGCTGGCACAGGAAGCGGTTTTTCATTTTCCTGGATTTGAGTCACACCCAGCTCAGAGCGAGCGTGCCGGCTCAGAGTATCAGCGCTGATCGCCGCATGTCAGACTCGAAGCACATGATGTGGATTAGCTGCTCCTTCCCTCCCTCACTTTCTCCTCACTCATGTGTCTGTTTATCTTCTCCTCCTCTTCTTCATCATTCTTGATGTTTCCAAACTTTTGTTTCTATCATCATCATCAAACTCCCACACTTACTCGCCCACTTTTATTTCATAAAGGACTCCGTGGTCCGGGTTCGAGGATCCTCTTAGGGGGAACAGAAACACGAACTCATCCCCCCACATGTGATGTTGTTTTTCAGCTGCTCTCTCTCTCTCTCTCTCTCTCTCTCTCTCTCTCTCTCTCTCTCTCTCTCTCTCTCTCTCTCTCACTCTCTCTCACTCTCGCTCTCTCTCTGGATGTGGTTGAGAACAGCTCCTCCTGCTGGTCACACTCTGAACCTTCACCTGGTGAGCCGTTACAACCCGCTTTAAAAACACTGGAGGGCTGCCAACCATGATCTGATATGTGGGAGGAGCTAGAGGTGTGTGTGTGTGTGTGTGTGTGTGTGTGTGTGTGTGTGTGTGTGTGTGTGTGTGTGTGTGTGTGTGTGTGTGTGTGTGTGTGTGTGTGTGTGTGTGTTCAGGTGAATTTTCCAGTAAACACAGTGAGGTTATTCTTTCTCTTTTAAACGTTCATGATGTAATCTCTAACTCAGAGTGCAGACCTGAGTTTGGCGCCATAGTTGCCGTGGTAACCAGCTGTGTTTGTCGTTGATGTTGTTTCTTCTACAACAGTTTTAAAGTTTGTTCAAACAGACTCAGTTATCGTCAGGTTAAATCTATGAGCTGCTTTTCTGTGTTTAGAGTGACGTGGTGAATTTTTATTAAAGTCCTGGTTACAGCGAGGTGATTGGATGGAGAGGCGGGACAGGAGATTGACCAATAGGAGCTGTCAGGGACGGATGGCTCCTATTGGTCTCGGGTGAACAGATTTTTTCTGAATTCTTTTTTCTCTTCTCTTTGTGGAGATCGCACTGTAGGACCAAGATCGCCATAGAAACGAGGTTCATAATAATTAAAAACCTCTACAATGATTTCATGATGTGGGAAGAAACAGGAGGTGATTCACGCAACAGGATGGCCCAACGAGGCTCCTCTCCCTTCTCCTCTCTCCTCCTCCTACTCCTCCTCTCTCTCCTCCTTCTCCTCCTCCTCTCTCTCCTCCTTCTCCTCTCTCTCCTCCTCCTCCTCCTCCTCCTCTCTCTCCTCCTTCTCCTCCTCCTCTCTCTCCTCCTTCTCCTCCTCTCTCTCCTCCTTCTCCTCCTCCTCCTCTTTCTTCTCCTCTCTCTCCTCCTCCCCCTTCTCCTCCTTCTCCTCTCCTCCTCCTCCTCCTCTCTCTGCCCCTCTTTCTTCTCCTCTCTTCTCCTCTCTCTCCTCCTCCTCCTCTCTCTCCTCCTTCTCCTCCTCCTCCCTCTCTCTCCTCTTCCTCTTTCTTCTCCTCTCTCTCCTCCTCCCCCTTCTCCTCTCTCCTCCTCCTCCTCCTCCTCCTCTCTCTGCCCCTCTTTCTTCTCCTCTCTCTCCTCCTCTCTCCTTCTCCCCCCCACTTCCTCCTCTCTCTCCTCCTTCTTCTCCTCTCTCTCCTCCTCCCTCACCTTCTCCTCCTCCTCCTCTCTCTCCTCCTTCTTCTCCTCTCTCTCCTCCTCCCTCACCTCCTCCTCTATCTCCTCCTCCTTTCTCTCCTCTTCCTCTTACTTCTCCTCTCTCCTCCTCCTCTTCCTTCTCCTCTCTCCTCCTCCTCCTCTCTCTCCTCCTTCTTCTCCTCTCTCCTCCTCTTCCTCTTTTTCCTCCTCCTCCTCCTCCTCTCTCTCCTCCTTCTCCTCCTCTCTCTCCTCCTTCTCCTCCTCTCTCCTCCTCCCCCTTCTCCTCTCTCCTCCTCCTCCTCTTCCTCCTCTCTCCTCCTCCTCTTCCTTATCCTCTCTCCTCCTCCTCCTCCTCTCTCCTCCTCCTTCTTCTCCTCTCTCCTCCTCCTCCTTCTCCTCCTCCTCCTCTCTCTCCTCCTCTTCCTTCTCCTCTCTCCTCCTCCTCCTCTCTCTCCTCTTCCTCTTACTTCTCTCCTCCTCCCTCACCTCCTCCTCTCTCTCCTCCTCCCTCACCTCCTCCTCTTCCTTCTTCTCTCCTCCTCCTCCTCCTCCTCCTCCTCCTCCTCCTCCTCTCTCCTCCTCCCGCTCTGATGCTCTGAAGGTTGTCGGTCTGGAGGTAAACCTCCACCCTGTCCTCACTGTGTGCAGACTGAGCAGCTGTTGGATGAAGATGAAGACCCCGTCCTCCTGGTCAAGCGTAGATCCAGGAGGTTGTCCAGCAGACCGGTGGTGAATAAGAACGTCTCTCTCTGATCTTCTCACCTTCTTCTCAGTCTCCAGACTTTGTCACTGGTGTTCAGTTCACCTTCAGTCCCACGTTCTCCACCTTCTGCTCACCTTAAAGGTGGAGGTTCAGCTCTTTCTGTTCCTCACACTCATCTGTTCTTCTCACCTGTGGACTAACTGGACCTTCAGGACCAAAGTCCACATCCTGGTCTCAGAGTGGGGATGGGAACTCACTTGATCTTCTTGATTTCACCGTCATGGTCTGTCATGGTCATCCTCAGAACCTGGTCTTTCTGCTCCAGCAGATGGTCCCTGAGGACCTCAGACCTGTGTTGGCGGATCAGGTCCAGCCTAAAAGGAGGGTTTCCCAAAGACTGGAGAGTCCAGCTCGGTCTGAACCTCCCTCCACCTCCTCCAGACCTGCTCAGGTAGTTTTGGTCTCAGCAGCTTCATACCTTCTCGTCAGCAGGTCTGACCTTTGACCTCCGTCTGCTCCTCACCTTGTTTGAAACCTGCAGCTTCAGGTGGAGGATCTGCAGGTCCATCCTCTCAGACCCAGACAGGAGTCCTCTGGACCAGCCGCCCTGCTGGACACGGCTCTGCTGGAGGTCTGCTCAGTGTCCGATGATGTTCACTCAGGTTCTGGTTCTGGTGTTGGTTCATGTCACAGAGAGGGTGAGCTGAGGAGAGTGACCCGGTCTGTGTTTGTGGAGTTCATTCACCTGGTTTGGGTTTGTAGGTCTCACTGGTGTCTGCTCTGACCCGTCAGCAGCTTTTTGAAGAACTTTCAGTCCCCAATCAGCGCCCCCTGCTGGTGGATTTCAAAACACTCACAGAACAAAGACTTCTCTTTAATCCTCCGTCTGAAAACTTTAAATCTGAGCTTTAAAAACTGAATTATATCTGTAACCGGGTCTAAAACTAAGGATTATTGGACTTTAAAGGGATATTCTGTCGTAAAATAAATTTAGGGTCAAACCCACCGTAACACCGAGTTAGACAACCCGTCGAGACACAGCGGTCTGAGGAGCAATAAACAAACCTCAACCAAAATGCCAATAGCCATAGAACTATATTCAGAGTTGTTCTAACTCCTAAGAAAACATAAACTTAAGCGGAGGCGTTTCTCCACTTCTGTCGTCTATAAGCTGGGCCAATAAACTTCTACTGTAGTAAAATGAAAAGGTAAAGGTGTTTTTATTGAGCCGAATTATCAATAAAATCATGATTTTGTTAACCGGTATGAATATATGTGCTGTCGAGTTAATATATTTGAACAAGAGCACAGTAAAGTTAAATCAGCTAATTTTCCAATGAGGTTCTGTTACTGAACGGAACTGCACCATGTACACTACACAACTTTGACTCATTTCTTTAGCAAAGAGACTAAACACAACTCACCTACTCTCTTCCAGCAGACGCTTGTTTGTAGAGAGACCTAATTACAGACTACAGCGGGGTGCCGCAGCTCAAGGAAGAACATTCATGATCAATCAGTCAATCAGTCAAAGTTTATTTATACAGCACTGTTCATACAAATGAAATTGCAGCTCAAAGTGTTTTACATCAGGACAAGAAAAATAAAAGTTATTAAAATAGACTAAAACTAAAGACTAAAATGAAATATAAACTTGAATTATTAATAAAATACGGTAAAAAGTGATACTAAAAATGAATGAATTATGATAGTAATTAAAATAAAAGCCAGGCTAAATCGAAGAGTTTTTAGGTTTAAAGGTTTCTATATTTGCAGCTCGTCTCAGACCCTCAGGAAGTTTGTTCCACAGTTTTGGAGCGTAGCAGCTAAAAGAAGCATCACCTAATCTTTTTGTTCATCAGAATCCTGGTTCTGTTACTGAACACCGAGCTGTGAGGGTTAGAACTGAACCAGAACCTGCAGGTCCGCTGATGGAGGACTGAAGGGAAGCTGACGGGAGGTTTGGGGGTCAAACTTTAGTCCAGATTCAGAGTCTTTGTTTGTGTGTTTGTGTCTCAGGACCCTGTACAGGTTCCTGAACCTTCAGGACCCGCAGTGAGGAGGGTAGGTACTGAAGCAGGTTCTGGTTCGATCCGTTTGAGCTCACCATGATCCGAATTTCATTTGTGTCAAAGAGCGTGCGTGAAGATCCGACTCCACAGACCGCTGCTAAACCGTCCAGGTCTTCATCCCCTCAAGTCTGCCTCACCAGAGTCCATGTGGTCCCCTTTAGATCCAGGTCCAACATCTCACCTGTAAAACAAGAGGAAGACCAGCAGTCCCAGTCCGACCAGTTTGGGTCTGAACCCAGCAGACGGGTACTTCAAAAAACTCAGACGTTCTTCAGTGTGTGTGTGTGTGTGTGTGTGTGTGTGTGTGTGTGTGTGTGTGTGTGTGCGCGCAGCTGTCTGAGTGCACAGTTGTGTGACAGCTGACATTAGGACACACACTCTCACACACACACACACTCTAACTGTGAGCAGGAGCGGCCCCCCCTCGTCGTCCTGAAGCAGCAGAAAATCAGCGGCTTCCTGTCGGCCTGCGGCGCCGTGAGGACGCTCGGCTCCGTGTCCACTCTGACCCGGGACGAGTCTGAGAGACAGGTAGACTCTGTTGAGGGTCACTCTCACCTGGTGCCTGAGTGTAAACATGGTGGACGGACTTTTGTTTGAAGAGATCACGTGGTGAGGGGTGTTGGATTTCAGACACGGCGCCCTCTGCTGGCCCAAAGTTAAAACTGCAGCTGCTGCAGGAGGATGAAGTAAAAACTCGATGATGTTCTTCTTTAGTTCATGTTTCTGTGTTTTCTCATCCTCAGCAGGTGGAGAAGATTGCCGCCAGCGAGCCGACCCCGAAGGTGGATGAGAGCGACGTCCTGAAGGAGCTGTTTCCCAACGACATCAACAGTCCGACAGGAATCACGTAAGAAACCCAAAACTAGTGCAAAAATATCCATTAGTTGTTATAAATCTGTCTGTCAGAATCTTCATTATCTAATTTAGTCTAATAATCACGTTCAGGAAAAGGTAAACAAAGACGTCTTTAACCTCAAAGTTCCTCACTGGAGCTTTAATGTGCAGCTCGTAACTCTGTGCTGGGATCGAAATAAAGCTTGAAGTGAATTTTCCTGACATCAGAGTAAAAAACTGTTTGTCATTTCTGTTCTGCTGACACTAACTCCTGTTTTTCTGCCACAGCGCCACCTGCAGACGACCAATCAGAGGAGCGGCCGGTCGTCCGATCAAACCCAGCGATCTGTGGAACGATGAAAACGTCCTCTTCTCTCCGAAAACCGCCAAGAGCAGCAGCTCCTCCTCCTCCTCCTCCTCCTTCTACACAGAGAGCCACATCATCAACAGAGTCTCCAGCCTGCCCCCCTCCACCTCCTCTTCCTCCTCCTTCACCTCCTCCTCCTCCTCCTCCAGGCCTCTGTCTGCAGCGCCCCCTGCAGCTCAGACCAAAGCAGCTCCTCGTAGGATGTCCCTGTGGGTGAAGCTGCTGCTGCTGGCTGTCGTCGCCGCCTTCCTCTTCCTGGTTTATCAGGCCATGGAGACCGACACCGCCAACCCGTTTGAGAGCGCTACCCCCGAGGTGGCGAGCGACGCCGCGGCGTAGAGCGATCAGAAGATGCTTTGATTCTTTTTTTTTTTTCTTCAAGTGTGAATCTTCATGTAGCCGTTTGTTTCCGGGCGCTGTGAAATGACCTCGGAGATCTTCGCCCTCCATATTTGACCCTTTTTTTGTTCTTCTTCATGTCTGAATCAGTGAATCCCTCAGAGACGTGACAGAACCGCTCGAGTGACACTTTCTCCTCTTTGTGAACGGCCAGAACCTCAAACCCAAACCGTAGCATTCACAGAAACACATGGACACGTTACTTTCATCACCAGGTTATTTTTTACTGTCGTACATGCATGGTGTGTGTGTGTGTTTGTACTGAGAGTGTGTGTGTGTGTGTGTGTCTGTGTGTGCGTGCCTTACTGTCCGTCACTCATTAACCGCCGAGGACGGAGTTTGAACCTGAATTTTTTTACTTTACTTGACCGTCTTTGTTAAAGAGACAGAGAGGCTCGATGATTTCAATCCAGTCCTCTCATACATCCATATTTTCTTAATGTTTCTTCGAATAATAAAGTGAAAGTCCCTGTGTATTCCACTTAATTATGTATTCACTGTCACCAATATTGAATATCCAGTTAATAAACTATAACGTTGTTACTGTGGCTGTAAGAGATTTTCATTTGAAGGAGGTTTAAAACTGTTTAAAACCCTTTTTAACTCTGTCAACATCCAACGACTTTAGTTTTTAGGGAGGAATCTGAGTTCTGTCAAACTTTCTTTCTTTCTTCTTTATTTATCTCAAACTTGAAGAACAACAACAACAAAATAAACAACTAGCAACACCGAACAAAATAATACATAGATACACCAAACAAAAATATGTCAAAAATAAACAGTAAGGCTTCGGTTTCTTTTTTTTATTTTTTATTTTTTGCATCCTTAAGTCCTGTTTTTGTTTTTTGTTTTTTTAACAATATAGTTTCTTTTTTGTGTGTGCGTCGTTAACTTCAGTTGTGGCGTCTTTTTTTCTTTTTTTTTTTTGGCATTCTTTTTTTATTTGCAGCAGTGGCGGTTCTCGGCCACCATATTAAAGAGATGCCAAACTGCTGAGTAACACTTTTTATACTAAAATATTTCTAAAATATTTTTTACTATCATCCATCCTCATTCGCTTTAAGCCACGGATGTCGACATATGTTATTTCTAATTATAAAGTTATTCAGAGAGTAGTTTCAAGACTAAGTGATGTCACAGTTTCAGCAGCCAGGTGTGACCAGGTGTGCTCTGAATATGTCAGGAGAGGGGGGCTTCACAGTTTACAGCAGGACTGAGGAGGACAGGAATAGAGGAGGTTCTGTTGGGTAATCCACTTAGTGTGTTACTCTAAATGTGAGTCTGTAGAGGTCATCCTCTGTCTCACGCACACACACTCTCTTCTCCATCCTGTCCTGTTCATCACAGAGTAAAAACTGTTGAGTAAGTCATAAAAAACCTCCACTCTAAAGTTTTTCAGCAGAATTCACTGAAATATCCACAAGCACCGCCTTGAATTAGTAATCATTTTCTGATTGGAGCACAAGGGTTTGACTGACGGCTTCGTAGCGCTGTTCTCATTGGTCAGAAAGGTGACGTCACGAAAGGACAAGGTAATTCAGCGCGAGGAGGTCATTCGGCCTCTGCGAGCGAAGAGGAGGCGCCATCTTGACCGCATCGAGAGAGTGAGTGGATTTATTCACCTTAAACACTTTATACCGTCGATTTAAACTCGATTTATCCATCCGAAATACTCCATACCGTCTATTGAAGCTCGTTATCTTTGTAAACGGTGTGTTTTTATTCTGTAGCTCTGTAGCTTCAGCTGTTTAGTTAGATTTTACCCGCAGAGAGTCCACCTTGGAGCGGTCATTGAGCTTCATCTTAGCATTTTAACTGTTGAAGTTAAACAGCCGAGCTGAAGTTGGAGGCTTCATTAGATCAGTGTTAATATAATAAACTGCTTTTTGACTCATTTTTGTTGATGTTGCATTGGATTAGTGGCACATATAGCGTTTTATTCATTCACTCACGTTAACTGTTTCCTGATCTCGTCACAGAAATGCTGCGTTCAGGTTCCCCATGATGTTCGGAATTTTTCCTTACTGATCTATGAATGCCTGATGTGGAAGAGATACGCATGTACTTAAAGTGAATTCCGTAATTAAATGTCTGATCGGGTTTTTAAAAATTAGTCCAGAATTATCTTTCGTCAGGGAGTTTATCCGAAAATGTAAACGGCGATCCTAAAACCGGTTTTTGTTCTAAGAGATTATATAAAGGTCATAGGTCAGGGATTGTCCTTTTAATCAGATTCTTTTTGGCTTCAAACAAAATGAACTATTAGCAGTTTTTTAATGTGAATACAAATGGAAACTTTCCTAATCTAAACATATTTTATAAACCTCAACCTGTTACTGTAGGGTTATTTTTCAGTTAGATAATTAAGTATTCTGTAGTTTATATTCCTAAGAGTTCTCTGTTTGATTTGTACTAATTTTAGCCAATTTTAAATATAATTTGAATTTTTCTAGACAGTAGGAATCTTTGAGCAATTTGATACGTCTTTCTCAAGCGAATTAAATGAACTAATATTCCAAACCCCACACCTGTTCCAGATCATCATACTAAAACGTTTAATTAGATGCATAAATACCGCTGGAATGTAATTTTTTTTTTAGAAAACATTTAAAGGACCAACTACTCTGGCTTTAAATAAAATGTTTTTGTGTGTATGATTAAATCTTCTTGCATTTGATGAAATGTGCGTTTGCCTCATTAAAGTGAAAGTGTGTCCTCCCTGTTAGAAACTCGTTTATACGATTATCTACAGAGAACGTGAACACACACTGCTACAGCCGACACGTGACAGTTGAATGTGCGCGAGAGTGCCGGTGGGCGGGATTTTTTACGTAGGATCGTAGGGGAAGGTCCCGCCTCCTCCCCCCCATGATTGGCTGTGAAACGTCATTTTTTTATTATTATTTTTTTTTTCATCAGTTTATTTTTAATTTGTTTTTCCATTACTTTTTGTATATTATTTATTATTATTTTAAATATTTTTCATTATTTTTTTATTTTAATTTTATTTGTATTATTTCCTATTAGTTTTCAGTACTTTTTAGAATATATTTCTTTTATTTATATTTTTCATTTAGTTTTTAAATATTTTTTATATTTTTTTATTTATTTTTATATATATTCTTATTCTCTTTTTTTTTTTTTTTTGTCAAATTTTTTTACTGAATCTCCTAACCTTAAGCCTAACCTTACAGACGTTGACGTTTCACAGCCAGAAAGAATAACCAATCGGAGCCCATCACTTGTAACCAATCAGAGGCGAAGGAGGGCGGGCCCTTCCCTACCATGCTGCGTGCCGGTTGGTGGGGGGTGGAGCTCTTCTCAGTCACCGCTGCTGTTAGCCGCGCTGCTAACACGAAGCTAACTTGTTGCTCCTCCTCACAGCAGGCAGGACGCCGCCATGTACCCGACCGTTCTGACACAGCTGGCCCGGGCCAACCCCTTCAGCGCTCCCCTCTTCAGCCTCCAGAAGGTGGAGGAACCCCAACAGAACCTCCATGGGCAGAGGACCCGCACGCTGGCGGCGGCCGCAACCTCCGAAGGTAACCGCTGCAGAGTCCGGGGAAGAGCTAGCGTTAGCGGTATCTTAGCCCCGCAGATCCGCTCCGTTTCCTCCTTTTTAACCGCAAAGTCTTTAATTTCTATAGTTTGTTAGTGCAGTTATCCTGCTGCTGAGTGTAGGGTTTTGTCTGTGGCTCTTTTGTTTCTTGAATATTAAAGTTCTTCGGGTTTTTTGAAGCTGTTAGCTGGTAGGCCTCTGCTGCAGACTGGGAGCCTGTGGAGGACAAGGAAGGACAAAGTGGGATCTTAGCTTTGGGCTGCAGAAAACTGGATCCTCTGAGCTGCACTAGATCTGCAGGAGGATCTTTAGGATCAATAATGTGGAGCAGGAATAGGAACCATAATTAGGTTGCATAATAACCACAAACTAACCTTGAGTGACACGTGATCTCTGGCTGGAGGGGAACAAACTGTCCCAGCTTGGATGATGTTTGAAGGGTTGTAAAAATGACCCCCCAAATAACTTTAATGTCTGAGAGTAATTCTGCACCGAGACAAGTGTTAAAATCAGTCAAGTTCAGCCAAACAGAGCATGTGTGGGCCTCTTGAAGTCTCTGTTTATCTTCATTTCTGAAGATTATGGTGATATTTTTAGATTTAAGGGAATTTAAAGCTCCTGCAGATCTTTGAAATGTTTTAATTTTGATATTTCTCAAACCCTAAATACCCTATAGATTTACACAGATGCATTAACCAAACAAGAACAGAAGTGAAGGACAAGTAAAAAGGAGAAACATGTCTGAGGAACTTTGCTCCTGAAAATTTCAGAGTAACTCGCTGGCAAAGGCAAACATTTGATAAAAAGCATGTTATTGTGGGGTGTATATATTTTAAAGCACAGCATACCTGTGTTAGTTTGTTCGTCTCCAAAAAAAAGGTTCTTGTTGTATTTTCTTCCTGTGAGGGTCTTAGAAGGTCATGTGAAGTTTTGGATTTCTGTTTAAAGGTTAATATCTTAACTGTAATTCTGCACTGTGACAAGTGTTAAAATCAGTCAAGTTCAGCCAAACAGAGCACGTGTGGGCCTCTTTAATTCTCTGTTTATCTTCATTTCTGCAGATTATTGTGATATTTTTAGATTTAAGGGAATTTAAAGCTCCTGCAGATCTTTGAAACATTTTTAATTTTGATATTTCAAGGTCACACAAACTCCGGTTCTTCAATTATTAATTAGACTTATTAAAATCTACCATCTAGAAAGAGCTAAACACTGTGAATTAGCATGTTTAAAAATGCGTTTGTTGCAGCTGATTACAGACGCATTAACCAAACAAGAACAGAAGTGAAGAACGAGTAAATAAGAGCGTGCAAGTCTGAAGAACTTTGCTCCAAATTGAAGAATTCAGAGAGAAACTTCAGAATCAGAGATACTTTAATGATCCTCAGGGGGAAATAGCTTTTGTCTCGGTAACTCCAGTGCAAACAAAGTAGAACGAGGAGATGAACAATAGATAAAATAAAGAGATAATATACAAGTTTGTACACTATATACAACACAAAATAGTCAAATAGTATGCATGTACTATTACAGTAAATTTGTTTTCTGGTATATATGTTAAGGCTCAGCATACCTGTTAATTTGTTTCTCTTTAAAAAAAGGGGTTTTGTTTCGTTTTCTCCCTGTGAGGGTCTTAAAAAGGTCGTGTGAAGTTTTAGATTTCTGTTCAAGGTTAATATCTTAACTGTACTTCAGTTCAGCGTCAGGTGATGTTAATGCGGGTCATCAATCCTATCATAAACTCCTGCGTTTATCAATCTGTCTTCACGGTAAAAGTCCTGCCCAGATTTAAAGTCTTAAGTTGTTGATGTGTTTCTCAGGAGTGTATGAAGTAAGAGCACAGGTGTGTTACAGAGTCACATAGCTTTGTTTTGAGACTAAACAGTTGCAGGTAGGCAGGTTAAACCACTGCTTCATGCTCAGGGGCAGGACTTGGTTTTGGTAGTTTCAGGTCTGAAGGGAGCGTGTAGAAATATTTGAGTGGTCAGGCAGGAGCTCCAGCCTCTCGTCGTCCTGACCGTGTCACTGTGTCACTTCCTCAGAGGGAGACAGTTGTGAGTTCGGCTCTCAGAAGTATTTCGTCCTGTGTGGATTTGGTGGGATTCTGAGCTGTGGCACCACACACACAGCTGTCGTTCCCCTCGATCTGGTCAAATGCAGAATGCAGGTCTGTCTTTGCGTCCCGGCGCCTTCTTTTTTTTTTACCGTCACGTCTCATCCACTCACAACCCTCGTGTTTTTTTGTCTTTTTGAAAATGCACCAATTTGCATGAGACAATAGTGTCCGCCCCCGTTGTGGCGAGGTTGTATATTTTGACATTAATTCCCATGATTCCAATGTGTTGGAGTGATCATAACATGGCTGCATGACTCTGCACCGGTGTTCCTGTGTGTTCAGCCCCCAGCCCAACCCCCCCCCCCCACTCAGTCTGTAGTCCAGGACTCAGTGTGTGAAGGTCAGGAGAGTCAGACCTGAAGGAGAACACGTCCTGAATGTTGACATGTAAAGACAGGTGGACAGTCTGAAAATATTCCTGCATATATGAATCAAACTCCTCTCTATTGAACTTAAACACACCTGATGATTGAACTCTTACTGTCAGGTAAGTGTCGAAGTGATGCTTCAGTTAGAGACGACACAGAGACTCTGTTGGCTGGGGTTTTTATTTTTAAATGTCTTAAATTGAATATATGACTTAATTGTTGTTATTCAATGATTTTAATGATTGATTTTTGGACCACAGTGATGTTTGGGAATCTTCTTAATGTCACCTGATGATGCACAGTTCGATTAACACTTAAATTAAGATTATTTAATGTGTTCATTTCAATCTTCAGCTCTTTTTAAATTCAGGTTTTATTTTGTACTAAAGATTATTTAAAACCTGTTCAAAGAGGAAAAAAAAACGTTTTTACCGTATAAATCCATGAGAATTGAACACTTTTGCCTTTTAAATGATAAGATGAAACATCGCAGTGTTTGATTATTCTGGTTATTTAAACGGTGAGACTTTGTTTTTGGTGTTTACCATCTTTGCAGAGCGCTGGATTCATGTAACCTGCTGCTCTTTTACAACTTTATTACAAAAAATACTGAGAATTCTGGAAAACTTTTGAAAGTCAGGTCTCATGTTCATACCGTATTTTTCACACACTAAGGCGCACTTAAAATATTTTAATTTTCTCGAATCCTCAGTGCACCTTATGTATGAATTCTGGCTGTGCTTACTGACCTCAAACCGATTTTATGTGGCACGCAGCGCTCAAAAATCTGTCAATGTTTTATTACGACATTAAAAAATTTAATTTTGTATTAAAAAAACCTTTAAAGACTCAAATCTTTAACATAAATACACCGTTTTATTGAGTAAAAGTGCATCTTTGAGGACAGAGGAGGACCACGACATGACGCGTGCCTTTCAAAATAAGCTATTTTCCAAAATAAAAGACGTGTCAAACATCAGACTCGCATTAAATATTTACTTTTTTTGACCAGCTGTTCGCGACCCATCCAGAACATGTCTGCGACCCACTTTTGGGTCAGGACCCACCAGTTGAGAACCACTGCTCTAAAGCTTGAAAGTGGACCTTAAAGATCATGTGACCTTGTTGTGCTTTAAGTCGCTGAAATCGCCCGTCTGTGAGACTAAAAGTAGAAAAAAAACAGAAATTACGGTTTTGTAACCCTAAGAGAAATCACTGCATCGTTAAATCAGGTTAGAGGAAAGACTGAGAAGTGAATTTCTGTTATCCTGAAGTTTATCACCAAATTAAACTTTAGTGTTTAAAATAATTGAACAGAAATGAAGGTTATTTAATGGTTTATTGTCTCACTCATCACTGTGGTCCTGCAGATGTTTGACATGAATCACATTTGTTCACTGATTTATTTATCGACCTGTGGTGTTTTATCCTAATGATGGCAGCATGTTATTGGCAGAGCCATTACTAATGAAGGAGTCTGACACTGTAATAAACTGTTCTCTGATTGGACGAGAGGAGCCCGCGGGTTTCCTCCTGCAGTGAGGCTCCTCCCTTATGTGGCTCTGCTGCTGTGGTGGTGTTGATTTTTGTCCTGTGCTGCATGTGACCTTGTTGCATGTTGCATGCATGTTGTGTGTCCCCCCTCCCTTCTGTCACAGAGAGCTGCGAGTTTGGCTCCAATAAGTACTATGCCCTGTGTGGTTTTGGGGGTATCCTGAGCTGCGGCCTCACACACACAGCAGTGGTGCCCCTCGATCTGGTCAAGTGCCGTCTGCAGGTTTGTATGGATGCTGACCCCCCACCCCCCCCCCACTGTAGTGACCAGTACCCAGCAGCCCGGCGTCTCTCAGAGGGGGCGGTGTCCTTATTTTGAACCTCCTCTTTTTGTCCACATGTGTACAGATATTTAAAACTCCTCATGGCGTCAAAGAAGTTTCAGAGAAGAAGAACAAAGAGCGGAGATGTTGAAATCGAAGTTTGAATCTGTGCGGACACGTCAGACTGGGGTTGGGAAATCAGGACGCCATGAATGAGTCTGCACATGCCCAGTGCTGCTCTGTCCTGTTAGCTTTAAAGTGAACCCTCATCCCATCAGAGCAGAGCTGGAAGAGTATTCGGGCTCGGACGATATGATTTTCTCCTGATTTGATATTCTCCAATTTTTTGGATGCTGATTTGATTTAATCTGCGATTCTTCGATATTGTCTGTTTTTATTCTGTATTTTTAACTCCAGTGAAACGGTTGGATGATTATGATTGTCTACTGACTAATCCAGGAAAATTTCCCCAAAAAACACAAACCACATGTTGGTCAGTTTTTAAGATTTATTCTGAAATAAAAAAATAAAAAATTTGAACATAAAAATCAATTTAAAAATTGTAAAACAAAAAAACTTGATACTTACGTGAATCAATTTATTCTCCCACCCCTAAAGAGTGTTAATTTAAAAAAAGGTCTAAATGTGGCCGTGGAGCATAAATCTGTTAGTCGGGCTCTAAAGTGAGAGGACTTAGAGAGACGGCCGGCAGCTGAAGTTATCCTTCTTTAATGAAGATTTCCTGCTTTATAATTCTACTTATTTAACACAATATCAGACTAAATACATATATGTGATATTTTATTTTAGAGGCTACAGGTGAGCTCTACAAATCAACCTCTGAACATGTCCAGATGATCCTCGATAAATTCTAAATAACTCCTCCTCAGTGTCAGATAATTCACATGGGAGTTTAAAATACAAAAAGAAGAATAAAGGGTCAACTTCAGGAAACAGTTAAAAAAAAAAGGCAAGAAAACATGGAAATTTCCCCCCGTGGGACTAATGAAGCATCATCTTATCTTAAAGTTTTTATGTCTTACATGTCCTGTTAAAAAAACCCACAAACCCCTCACCTGTTCTCTGAACCGGGGGTCTCGGGTTCGGCTGAAACAGGAAGTTGTCCGACTTGAACATAAATCAATTATCGCAGATTTTCAATCCTGTAGTTTTGTCTGTTATATCAGCTCTGCCTGTTGTCAGCTTTATGTGTCTTTTACCGATCAAACCCCTGATAACTGGAGATAATGATGATTATTTTTAACTGTTTACATTAAAAAATATCTCAAAGTGATAACAGAGGTTATCACCTGAAGTTTTCATGAAGAATCGACTCTTACAAGAAATCAAACTTTCACTCTCTGAATCATCCGAGTATGGCAGCAGTAAACTTTTACGACATGATCTTTTAGAAGTACTTTTTATTTCTCATGTACCTGTAAATATCTGTATTCATGTGGACAAAGCCTGAGTCATTCTACTTTATCAAAGTTCAATTTGCAGTAGATTTCGATGGTGCCAAATTTGATCCCCATCAGAAAATGTGTGACAGTTTCCCCGTAATGTGACCCCCCTCAGCTGTAGTCCAGCCCCCCCTCCAGACACTTCAGACCAGTTCCTCATGGATCCTCCTGTGATCTCTAAAACCTGCCTGGATCAGCTGATCTCTGAGCTGCCTCTCTTTTCTCCTCACGCCTCCTCACACTGTTTTTCTCACCTGCTTCAGGTGAACCCAGATAAATACAAGAGCATCGGAAACGGCTTTTCAGTGACAGTGAGGGAAGATGGAGTCAGAGGTCTGGCGAAGGGCTGGGCCCCCACCTTCATCGGATACTCCATGCAGGGACTCTGCAAGTTCGGCTTCTATGAGGTCTTCAAGATCGTGTACAGCGACATGCTGGGAGAGGTGAGTGCAGACAGACCTGAGGAGAAGGTGTTCGTTCTCACCTGTGTGACGTTCTGACTGTGGTGGAGTGAAGCTCAGGTGTCTCTGTAGATACGAGAAGGTTTAGAAGACTGTAAGAGGACCTGTGTCCAAACTGAGCAGGTCTGAGAGCTTCAAATCAAAGTTCAGGACCGTTCAGTCGAGGCTTCACTCTTTTTATTATTTCTAATGTCAAATTTAACCTTCAGTTTCTACTAAGTGGACTTTCATCATCTTTATTTTGAGCTGACAGTCACAGTTGGAAAGATTAAATTTGGTGAAAGTTCTTATTTTTCTTAAAAAGAACAAAAACGTGTTTCACCCTCAGAACTCCGTCGACGTGTTTTCTCTACATCCAGCCGACTTTGTCCACAAATCAGACAACAGACTTACATTAAAAACACGTTTGTTTTGACCCACCAAAGTCTGTGTTAATAATCTGTGTACCGCCTGTCTCCTCCCCTCCTCCTCTAACAGGAGAACACCTACCTGTGGAGGACATCGCTGTACCTGGCCGCCTCAGCCAGCGCAGAGTTTTTCGCTGACATCGCCCTGGCTCCCATGGAGGCTGTGAAGGTCCGTATCCAGACCCAGCCGGGCTACGCCAACACCCTCAGACAGGCGGTCCCCAAGATGTACGGCGAGGAGGGTATCTGGGCGTAAGTGTGCCGCCGCCGCCGTCTTAAGTCATGTCGAAGTGTCAGTCCGTCAGTTAGTATCAGAAAACATCAACACGCTCCTTAGATCCACCTCTGGAGGGCGCTGTGCTCTAAGCTCCGCCCCTCAGCAGCTTCACGGCTGTACAGTCGGAGGTGCTTGAGTCATTGGCGTGTGAGAACAGTCCACCTGTCCTCCAGTCCACCTGCAGCTCTGGAAACCCTGATCACCAGACAGGGAGACCCCGGAGCTGCCAGTCTGGAGGACGGACAAACACAGATCAGAGACAGGATCAGGACTGTGGTCCAGGTCTCTCAGATCCACCGAGCTCATGTCTCCTCTTCTTTCCTGTTCCTAGTTTCTATAAAGGTGTAGTTCCTCTGTGGATGAGGCAGATCCCCTACACCATGATGAAGTTCGCCTGTTTCGAGCGTACCGTGGAGCTGCTCTACAAGTACGCCGTCCCCAAACCTCGCAGTGAGTGCAGCAAAGCCGAGCAGCTGGTGGTCACCTTCGTGGCTGGATACATCGGTGAGTAAAGACACCTGAACCCTGACAGTAACTAACCCTTAGACAAGACATCCCCTTTTGTTTTGGAGAAGAGAGTAGGTTGACAGGCAGCCAATGAAGAGCTTTAAGAGTACTGGATATATGAGTCCTCCTGTTAGCGCGGGTGGGAATTCTCGCTGCAGAGTTTTGCATGTCTTCATCAAAGATGGTTTAGCTGACTGGCCTAAATCACCCTGGTACTGTTTAATCCCTGGAACTGAATCATTAGGGCCAATAACCAGGGTTTCTGTTTTGTCAGCATTTAGCTGCCAAGAGTTTTCACTGAGCCATTGTTTAACTTCCTCTAAGGCAGGGGTGTCAAAGTCAAATGGACGGAGGGCCAAATAAAAAATTTAGCTACAAGCCGAGGGCCGGACTGATCGAATGTTCATTGAAAATTTTTTAAATGACGCATATAGTCTAGTGAACCTAACTGAACCTACTGAAAACCTAACAAATATATTCCAATATGATCAGATAAATAAAGCAATATTTTCTTCTGGCTCTGTCAGTAATCTTTAATTTTCAACACAAAAGACAAATTTCCTTTATATAAAAATCCCCATAACATGAACATTAAATGAAAGAAACCGGTATTATTCAAGGCACCATCAGTAGCCTATATTTTCTATTTTAGCAAAAGTGGGCTAAATTTACTTCAAAGAAAAAAATAATAATAGCAATTTTCTATCATCCACTCAACTGAAATATTTTTAAAATATAATTTTGTTTTTGTCCGCGTGTTTCGTTTCATAATGTCGTCTCAGATTATACTCTTTCAGTACCGCCACACTTTCTCCACACAGAAGACACACAGGTTTTCCAGCTACCTCCGTGAACATATACTCAGACTCCCACCTTGTTTGAAACCCCCGGTTCTCAGTGTCCACCTTCCGTTTTGCCATTTTTGATGGGTATCTGAAAGTTAATTTTACTGTTATGCTGACGACTGCTGTGCTAATAAATATTGAAATGAAGCAGCCTACTGCTCGGTGCGTCACCGTTGCATTGTGGGAAATGTAGTATTGGTGCGTGTAAAAGATCTGCGGGCTGCCGGCTTGCTGCGGTCTGCGGGCCGGTTCTAATAATAAATCAAGATCATCCCAGGGGCCGTAAAAAACCTTCTCGCGGGCCGGATGTGGCCCGCGGGCCTTGACTCTGACATATGTGCTCTAAGGAGTTAAGCTTCTGGATCTCCGTAGGTTTAAAGGAGCAGTAAATCTGGATATCATCAGCAAACCGGTGGAATGAAACGTCACTGAACCTTTGGATGATCTTTCCCAAAGATCATCCAGGATTTCTGATGTCGCCAAAAATATAACCAAAGCTCCAAAGTCTAACATGAATAAATAACTAATCATTAATACTAAAACATCATTTTTGTGTGTATTTTCAATCAAACTGCTTTAATTTACTTTTAAACTCTGCTATAGTAGTAAACACGTTTTTTTTAGTGTGGTACAAACACCTGGTTGTTTTAAATGTCGTTCTCCTCTTAATAAAAACCTTCCCTCTCTTCCATTAAACATTTTCTGTATATTACTCAGAGTAGATTGTTATTATCTTTATACATCGTCTGTGCTGATCTAAATTCAACTAGATCAATAAATTTTAATACTCTTAATTTCAGAAACAGTTCATTAGTATGATACCTTGTTAATAATCCTTATTTCTCTCTTTTTAATAATAAAAATAGTTTGTAAATTTGTTTCATATGTATTTTCCCAGACTTCTGTGCACTAAGTCAGATATTGTAATATAAGCGTTTTTTTATAATAAGTCTAAAGTTTTATGGTTTAATTTGTGTCCGAGCCAGTTTAGACCTAACAGTTTATTTGGGGTTGTCAGCTGAGATTATCGTCCGTTTTCAGCCCTAAAAAAGTTTAACTCATAAACCCTTTCTGTCTTAAAATTATCAATACTTACTTCAACCTCTGGATTTGGTTGAATTGATCTCTTTCCAAACACTCTGAACTTTGTCTTCGTCATGTTAAGAGAGTTTATTCTCATCAAACCATAATTTCACTGAGGTATCCTGCAGCAGCTGGTTTAGAGTCTCTCCTGTACAGAAATATTTACATCATCTGCAAAAATCACAGATTTTAAAACACTAGAAACTTTATTTATGTCATTTATATAATAATATGAATAATTTTGGCCCTAATATTGAACCCTGTGTCACTCCAAGGTTATATGTAGATATGTCGACCTTTGCTCACCTGTCTGTACACTAACGTTTGATCCAGCTAAGCCCCGCCCCTCTGATACCACACCTGTCTAATTTTAACAGGATGTCACGATTAATCGTGTCAAAATCTTTGACGCTTTACTCTGAGTTCTTATAAAGTTTAGAAAAATCCACATTTGATCCTAAAAGACTCCAGGTTTGAAGAGTTAACCTCTGACCTCTGACCTCTGTCTCTCTCTCCTGTACAGCTGGTGTGTTCTGCGCCATCGTCTCTCACCCCGCTGACTCCGTGGTCTCTGTGCTGAACAAGGAGAGCGGCAGCACCGCATTCCAGGTCCTGAAGAGGCTGGGACCCAAAGGTGAGTACCAACAAGGACCGGTTCTACATGAACCACAGTGAGGTCCACATCAACACGCTCCTTAGATCCACCTCTGGAGGGCGCTGTGCTCTAAGCTCCGCCCCTCAGCAGCTTCACGGCTGTACAGTCGGAGGTGCTTGAGTCATTGGCGTGTGAGAACAGTCCACCTGTCCTCCAGTCCACCTGCAGCTCTGGAAACCCTGATCACCAGACAGGGAGACCCCGGAGCTGCCAGTCTGGAGGACGGACAAACAGAACATGAACAGAACCAGAACATCTGCAGAGTTTGGACCGTGATCAAACCTGTGTGTGTGTGTGTCTCTCTCTCTCTCTCTCTCTCTCTCTCTCCTGCAGGTGTGTGGAAGGGTCTGATCGCCCGTATTATCATGATCGGCACCCTGACCGCCCTGCAGTGGTTCATCTACGACTCTGTGAAGGTCTACTTCCGTCTGCCCCGCCCCCCTCCCCCAGAGATGCCCGAGTCCCTGAAGAAGAAGCTGGGTCTCACAGAGTAAAGCCCCTCCTCTTCCTCCTCCTCCTCCTCCTCCTCCTCACCTCCTCCTCCTCAGAGCGCACAGCAGCAGCAGCAGTTTTCTATATTTATGTTGTCGGCTCCTCGTTCTCTCTGCTCAGAGTCGGAGCTGCTTCTACTCATGTATATTTAAAACAAGCGAGGAGACGGCGAGCCTGTCGCCCCGACAGGAAACCTTCCTCTGTAGAAACGCCACCTGTCTGGTTTGATCATTTCCTGTCATTAGAAAATTGTTGGAATTCTAATAAAAGAATTAAACCCCCCAGGAAACACCGACTCTGGAGTTTATTATGTTCTTCTCACTAAAGTTTGATCTTTAATTTAATCCTGGATTCAAACAGGAAGTCAAACTTTTCTGTTTGAATCTAGAGGATTAAAAATAATCCAAACATCAGAAAATAAAAAAAAAAACAGGATTATTTATACAGACATGGAGAATTCCCACCAAGAACTGAGACCCTGAACAAAGTTCAGTCTGTTCAGGCTCTCGGTTCTTGGTCGGACCCCTTCTGCATCCATGTGTTGGGTCTGTCTCTGTTGGGGTCTTATTAAAGTCCTGGTTTCTTTGACAGCTGGTCTGGATTGTCGCTCTGGTGTCTCGTCTTCCTCTAGATCAGACCTGGACACAACACATGTTCCTGCCCAGCCCTTCGTGAGGTCCGTTAATCAAAACATCCACACGTTAAACAAGTGTGTCGCTTTTATTTTGAAAACTTTGCAGATGTTTTATTTTTGTTTGGACTCACGTGAGAACATCCTAGATCTGCATTCGTGAACGGAGACAAGTTTAAACATCGGCAAAATATTCGTAGACGCCTCATAGTCCCAAAGCTTATTATAAACTAAATTAATTGCCCACCCCTCCTCTAGATGATCCTCCACACAGTCAGTAAACCAGTTTGTGGTGGTTTTGGTTCTGTGGGCAGATACCGGGTCCTGCTGGAAAAGGAAATCTGTATTTTTATAAAGTGTCTGAGCAGCATGAAGGTCTCTGAAGACCTCCTGGTCGACCTGAGGCTGCGCTGACTCTGGACTTGATAAACACAGTCGACAAAGCACAGTGGAATTTAAACAGGAGATAAAACTAGACCAGCAGAGACCAGACCATGTGGATGACCTGGTTCTGAAAGGAGTTGGACCTTCCTTTAGTAAACTGAGCAGAGATCCTGTAGAAGACCTGAGTGATATGGACCTGAGGGGATTTAACTGAGCGACAAACCAGAACCATCAAAAGTCTTTCTACGTGTCTGTAGACTGTAAACACGATATATGGATGTATGTATATACTATAGTAGACTGTATATATTCTATATTTACATTCTACTATAGTATATATTCTATATACAGTCTATGTTTGTGACACACATGAACTTAATCAAGAAATAACTTCAAAGAGTGAAAACGGCTCCTTCACAATTATCCTGATATTAATGAAATTAACTCTCTGCTGTATTTAAATCAACTCTGGACCGGGTTCAGCTGTCCATCAATCAATCGATCAGATTTTATTGATATAGCGCCAATTCACAACAGTCGTCATGCCAACATGTTTTCCAAAGAGAGCAGGTCTAGACCACGCTCATTGTTTGAATTATAAAGACCCAACCATAAACTGGGACAGATTTAACCTCATCTCATCTACCCTGAGTTTACAGGATAAAGAAAAGACTAATTATGGATGATGTTAAATTAATTAAATGAAGATGATGATGTCTGAAGATCTGTCCACTTTAGAAACCAGCAGGCTCAGAAAAATGGAGTGAATCTGGTTTATTCTCAGGATTTCTCAATCTAGTGTCTTCTGTCTTTACTTGCTGTTTTTGTTTCCTGCCACAAGAGGGCGTAACCGCTCCACCTATCTCTGCTCTGAAGCCTGTTGGCTTCACCTGTAGTTTGAGAGCATGAATATTAAGGAATTCCTCACTCATTCATTCAGACTTATTCTGTGGTTTAATTGTCTGATTTAGTGAAGAGTGTTTTATTGGAGTGAATTCAGCCGATCGTTTGAACCTTCTGTCTTCCATAAAATGTGTTCGTGAGGATACCAGCCATCTTGAAAAGTCATGAAAAAAATATTTACCGTTTTTACTCTGAGGAGGGTCTTCAGACTGAACTCCTGCTGATATTCTGGATCTGAGTCTCACACAGACTCTATATAGAATATAGTGTATACAGTATATAGTATTGTATAGTATATAGTATAGTATAGCAGAGATGGGAATTGTGGAGTCACCAAGTCATCTCCATGCCATGTATTTGTTCTGCTCAGTTACTGAACCAGCTGCCTTCACTAATGACTGACTCACCTTCCTGGCTGCTCTTTGGAAGCAGCTGGTTGAGTGACAGAGCAGAACAAATACATGACATGGAGATGACCTGGTGACTCCACAAATCCCATCTCTGTAGTATAGTATAGTATAGTATAGTATAGTGTATAGTATTGTATAGTATGGTGCCGTATATTATAGTATCATATCATATAGTATGGTATAGTATAGTATCTTATCGTATCATATGGTATGGTATGTGTAGTATAGTATAGCATAGTATTGTATGGTATAGTATAGTATCATATCATATAGTATGGTATTGCATATTATAGTATCGTATCATACAGTAAAGTGTAGTATAGTATAATATAGTAAAGTATCATACAGTACAGTACAGCATAGTATAGTATAGTATAGTATAGTATAGTGTAGCATTGTGTCATATAGTATAGTATAGTGCCGTTTTGTGTTGTGTCGTGTTGTGTTCTATGGTATGGTATAGAAGAGTATCATATTGTATCGTACCATACAGTACTGTGTCGTGTCAGATGGTAATGTTTAGTATCGTTTCGTACAGTATCGTACAGTATTGTATCATACAGCGTATAGTATCGTACCGTACCCTGTCGTGTCATGTCGTATCATATGGTATAATATAATATCGTATTGTACAGTATTGTATCATTTCGTACAGTCTCGTATATTATTGTATCGTACAGTATCATATCATACAGTATTGTATCGTATCGTACAGTATTGTACAGTATCGTAAAGTATCGTACATTATCGTATCGTACAGTATCGTATCATATCGTATAGTACAACAGATATATACATTCTCTGGTCTCCCTCGGTTCCTCTCAGTCAGGGTTTGAGTCCATCATCTGCTCCTCTGTGGAGTTTCTACACTCTGGTCCGGTCCTCTAATGGTCCAGATCCGCTCACTCTGATCCGGTCCTCTAATGGTCCAGGTCTACTCACTTTGGTCTGGTCCTCTAATGGTCCAGGTCTGCTCACTCTGGTCCGGTCCTCTAATGGTCCAGGTCTACTCATGACCCTCAGCTGTCATTTCCATCCATTTGTTTTTTCATCAAATCCTCAGCAGCTCCGTCTTCTGATGGATTTTACCGCCTGTGTGTGTTTACTAACGGGGCCGTGTGACGCTCTGAGGCTGCAAAGGGTCATGGGAAATGGATTCCATTGACGTGTTTTCAGTTTGTTGAATAAAACATGGACTCGGAGCGAAATAAAAGCCTCATTTCCACCTTCAGCGATCACCTGTTTGGTCCTGTGAGTGTTCCTGCAGCTCCCTCTCTATTTTAAGGCTCCATCTTCAACACGTCAGCCTGCTGCTGCTGCTGCTGCTGATGGAAACAGCTGAGAGCTCCATCAGGAACCTTTATTATCAGCTACAACACCTCCGCCTTTATTATTATCAGCTGTTTCCATTACAGGCAGCTGAAACCACGCAGGAACACTGACATGTTCGACTCCAGGCGGCCCCTCAACCTCCTGATCTGAAGCTCTGAGAGGATTTCTGCTGCTTTATTCTCAGGTTTATTATATCCCTTTATCACCTTTTGTATCATATTTGATACTTTCTTTTATAAACTTCTATCAAATCAATATGATCAACAAATTACTAAAAAAAAACACCTAAGTTCAGTCTGATAAATAATAAAAATGTCCTCTTGCAGTTTATCATTTTCCAAAAACATCTAATGTTTGAAACGAGATAAATAAATATATTTATCAAATTTTAAGGACATCTTGATTTTTTTGGTTTCAGTAGTAAATGAAATAAACATTTTAGCTCCAGAAAAAGTGAATTTTCTGACCATAATTTGTGTTTCAGACATTAAAAGATCTAATCTATAAGGACTCTGAGTCACTGAGGCGGATTATTCTGCAGATCAGCACGTTTAGTTCAGGGTTATTTATCCGGGTACTGTCTGAATCAGACTGAAGACGAGAAAGTTAAGACTCGGAAACTGTTTTTTTAATATTTTCACATCTTTTTTTCCAGTCGAAAAAATAAATATTTACTGATTCGTTTTCTTAAATTTGAGTTTTTGCTGCTTTTCTTTGAAATTTAAGACCCTTTGTCAGATTTTGAGCTTCTGTTTGGACTTCAGGAAAATGAAATGATCCATTAGGATTTTTTAATATTTTATTTATCAGATATGGTGGCCGAGAACCGCCACTGCTGCAAATACAAAAAGTCCCAACGGAAATTACCGAAGCAACAAAAGAAACCGAAGCTCTCTGCAAATAAAAAAAGAAACAGTGCGGATTAAAAAAATAATAATTAAAAACAAAACGAAAGTTAACGACACAAAAAAAAAAATCTTTACTTCCTGCGAAAATAAAAGAATGCGAATAAAAAAAGTCCCAACAGAAGTGAGCTACAGGGACGGGCAGGAAGGATCGAGTAGGTATCGACTCGCTGCCTAAAATACATTAAAATGCCAAGAGAGGAAGTGACATACGCTTCGCACATTTCTGATTGGCTAGAAGTGCTGGGCTCTGATTGGATATTCCTTATGGCTGTGAAACGTCATCGTCTGTCGGGTTCGGAGATTCAGAAGTGCGATCATGTTCTGTTCGATGTTCAGAGCCGACAGCCCGCGCTCGGCTTGAGCGTGTGATTACGTTTCCAGCTTTTCGATCGGGAAGCGACGAGGTCCTTCCTCTTCAAGTGTTTGTTAATTATTAGAAAATCAGGATAGATTTGCTTTACTGCCACCTAGTGGAACATGGGAACAGATGATGGACAGAAACTGAAGAAGTCCAGAAAGGCTTTCTGTCCTTTTAAAGAGTGAGAGTCAGATTCAGACAGAGAAATTATGATAATTTTGATAAAAACGGTGACCTTCAGGCTTTTGTTCGGACCTCAGTTTGATAATCCAGCGCTGTCGGGGGTGTGTCAGGATTTTAGAGATTACACAGCCTCTCTGTGTTTTCAGACTTCTGTTGTTTCTTCACTTTAGTCTGACGAGTTCACGGTTGAAAAGAGAAAACATCTGCTGGCACGCTGAGGCCTGGTGAGAGTTGGAGCTCTGCCTGCTGTGGTTCGACTCTCAGGGAGAGGAGGGACCGGCTGACACCTCCCCACACCAGGAGGCATGTTGGCGCATGTGCGAACACGTTCATGCGTTCATCCATGCGCCCATTGTCCTTGCAGGCCTGAGCTGAGCTCTGGAGGTCAGTCTGAAATAGCAGCCGCTGTTCCTGGTCACATGATGAAGGGGGGCCTGGCTCGGCTCGCTGTGAGGAATTTGGAGGGGGAGGATTCGTCTCCACGGTAACAGGGAAGTTTCTGTGAGCGGGCGGAGGGACGACGACGACTGGAAAATACTTGAGAGCTGCAGGCGGAGCGGGGTCACCTTGATGAAGAGGGTGACCTCCGGACGTGATGAAGAAAACAGGAGAGAGCTCAAAACGTCCAGACGGGCCGCAGAGAGGCGGAGTTATCAAACTTTAAACTAGTGTGGGACTGTAACACACTGACCTTTGACCTGCAGAGAGAGACGGAGACACTCAATAAACTCTCATCAGGAGAGAAATGGATGAAACTTCAACTGAACCGCACAATCCTGCAGCTCTAACTCACACTGGGAATGAGAGTAAAGTCATCCAGATGTGGACCAGAGGACGGTCTCGGTACCATCAGAACACTGTGAAATCTCTGAGGAGAAGGAGGAGGAGGATGGTGGTAACATCTAGGCTGCTGCTGATGAGTTTCATAATCAGAGTTTCACAAAAGCAGAAAATCAGGGCGCTCATAATTCCCCCGTCTGTCTGTCTGTCTGTCTGTCTGTCTGCTGGTTAAACTAAAGGTCACTCCTGAAGCTTCTTCACTCTCTGTTTACGACTCTTCTTCGGTGTAACACCTGCATACACCTGTCCGTCCTTCACTCGTGTTCATCCTGACTTCAGTGTTTCCATAACACTTCCTGTGAACTTTAGATCTGACATCAAAATACCACCTGATGAAAGAGTCAATAAGAGAGGAACCGCCAGCTCTCAGTACAGTGTGATTAAATATGACACTTTTACAGACCAAACAACACAATTCAACACAACACAAGGTGATACAATACTATACAATATTGTACAATAAAACACCATATGATACAATACTATACAAAACAACGCAATATAGCACAAAGTGAGGTGATACAGTACGTTTCAAGATTTCCAGGAGTAAATAATCCGGTTTATGTTCCAGTTTTTCTAAAGTTTTTGTCACATAACTTTTTAATTTCTGATTATTTTATTTTCCCTTTTTCAACAATTTATATGAGTTATGTTTTCCTGTTTTTTTCCTGTTATTTTTTTCTGTTTGTTCCTGTTTTTTTCCAGTTATTTTTTCTGTTTTTTCCCTGTTTTTTCATGTTATTCCTGTTATTTTTTTTCCAGTTTTTTCCTATTTTTTCCCCTGAAGTTTCCTTTTTTTCAGTTTTTTTCCTGTTTTTTTTCCTATTTTTTTCCCCTGAAGTTTCCTTTTTTTCCGTTTTTTTCCCGTTTTTTTCCTGTTTTTTTTTTCTGATTTTTTTTTCATTTTCTTCCTGTTTTTTTTTTCCCATTTCTTTGCCTGTTTTTTTCCTGATGTTTCCTGATTTTTTCCTGTTTTTTTCCTGTTTTTTTTCTTGTTTTTTCCTGTTTTCTGCAGGATTTAAAGGCAAGACAAGTATATTTGTGTAACAGCATTCATACAAAAGATGAAAATACATTTGAAATTAAAAAAGAGAGATTAAAACAATTTAAAGTCAGTTCAGACATAAATGATAAAACAGATAAATGTTTTCGTGTTTGTCCTGATTATTCATGAAAACCATCCTTTCTCCCAGAAATACTAAATAAGTCGTAATCTTTCCGACCCGGAGCTCCTCAGATGGTTGTCAGTTTTCTCTCCATCTCTCTCAGTGTTCGATAATTCTTCCCGTTTCATTCGTTTGGTCCAAATTTGGACTCTAGGAACATGGAACAGAGGAAGTTATCATTAAATCTTAATCTAAATATTAAAATGTAATTTAAAAGCATTAAAACAGTTGAAATTGACATAAAGAGTTCATCCGTCATGTTCTTCCTCTGAGTTTTTGTCACTTTTTTATCCTATAAATGTTTTTTTGTTTAAACTGCAGTGACTCACTTTTGTAGTTTTTTTCTAGATTTATTTAGAAACCCTGAGTCCCTCTGAGACGGACGGAGGATCAGAGGATTAAAAGTTAAAATCTTTTATTTTTAGCCCCTTAATGAACCTGAACCATGTTTTTGTTTTTATGGTTCCACTCCTTCACTGTCGTTTCTCCGTTTCCCTCTGACCCCGCTGACCTCTCATCCTGCACCGACTCGACCCCTCAACACAACGACTCCTTTGTCCTCACGCTGCGTTATGATTGGTGATTTAAGCTGCTGCATCCTGATTGGTCAGCTGTGGCTCCAGGTTAGCGAGCCTCAGCTCACAGAGGGTCAGTGAAGAGTTAACTTGGTCTGTGAGGGTCCGACTCTGTTTAATATTTGTGGTAAAAACGTTCGTTCACAGCCGCGTGTTTTCCTCAATAACTCGGATCAAAGTGTGTGTGTGTGTGTGTGTGTGTGTGTGTGTGTGTGTGTGTGTGTGTGTGTGTGTGTGTGTGTGTGTGTGTGTGTGTTGCTGACGCTGACTCGGCTGTTTGCACCAAAACACAGAGTCTGAACGAGTCAGCAGATTAAAGTTTCTGAGGTTTGATCATCAGGTGAAGTTTGGAGTTTGGACCTCAGATTTATTTATTTTAAAATCGGGTAAAATCACATAATTCAGATTAAAAGATTAAAAATAAAAAGGTGGGTCTTAGGTTTAACTTTAAAAATATGAACAGTAGTTTTTATATCTACTTTCCTGTTTCCTGCTTTCTGCCCCCTTTTCTATATCATTTCTTCTTCTGACCTATTTTATGTTTTTATTCTGGTCTCATTTTAACTTGTAGGTTCTTGTATTTTCTGGATTTCTTATGACAAATGAAACTGACCTTCAATTCGGAGGTTTTTAACTGAGCTTTTGTTTTTTCATTCATTTTTACGACTGTTTGTCAAAGCACTTTGTAAACTTCTGTTTTTAACAGTGCCATGATAATAAAGTTAATATTATTATTAATTGTGATTAAAGAGTGATTAAAGGTCACTCCTGTAGAAAGATAGTTTTTTTTCTGTTATTTTCTGCGGGTTTAAAACCGAGTCTGAGAAAGTTTGTGTGGATCTCACAGAGACTAAACAGGTCCTTATCTCCTGCAGATAGACCTCCATCTGCAGCTGCAGAGACGTTCCCTGTAATGACTCGTGTTGTGTCGTTCACCAACAATTCGTTCAAAGTAACTGAGTCTTTTAAGTGATCATTTCTTTATCATTTCTTTGAAGTAATAATCACCATATTAATCATTTTACAGACGCAGTAGTTCTTCTGTCTTAGCGTCTCGGTCTGATTGTATTTCCATGAAGAAATGATGATAAATGTTCTTCCTTGAGCTGCGGCACCCCGCTGTAGTCTGTAATGGACTGGCCTGAGGTCTCTCTACAAACAAGCGTCTGCTGTGTTTGACCCTAAACTAATTTTACGTTGGAATATCCCTTTAACTTCAGGTGTATTCGGTGTATTTAGTTCAGTTATTTCACACGTTGTGGTGAAAACTTGATGGTCTCCATGACAACGGTTTCATGTTGTGGTCGTCATGATGTCCACTTCCTCTCCTCCTGCCCCTGTTTTTGCAGAGTTTCGTTCTCCCTCTACATTCAGAAAGACCGGGACTCGGATGAACTTGAACTTGTTGATGCTTGCAGCCATGTTGACCTCTGCCAAAACCAGCTCGCTCTGTGGTTTTTCTCGTCTCTGTGAGGCGGTGGCGGCCTGCGGGTTGATCAGTCAGAACATGAGGAGTGTTTGTCTGCAGGGTAGAGAGGAGAGAAGAGACACAGGAGCAGAGGGACGACACTTGATCGGGGGCTTTGTGTGTTACACAACAGCCTGTAAGCCCCGCCCCCTTTCAGCTGACCAATCCGGTCTCTGCAGCTCCTGAACACACACACACACACACACACACACAGGGCTGAAGAGGGCACTCAGCATCCTCTCATTCCATTGGAGGAAAACAGAGGCATGTTTGCAGTTTCCTATTGGGTACCAGCCTGTATCCCCACCACCACCATCATCTTCATCATCATCCTCATCTTCATCATCGTGTGTCACGTGCTCAGCTGCAGCAGAGAACAGCATGTTCATATATACATACACACAGTTAGGCCCAGAAATATTTGGACAGTGACACGGTCTTCATGATCTGGACTCTCCGCCACATTAGATCAGAAATAAAACAACTAAGACAGATTTAAAGTTCAGACTTTAAGGTTTAATTCAAGGGTTAAACAAAAATATATGATTAAACATGTAGGAACTGAAGCTGTTTTTATACAAACGCTCCTCATTTCAGGGGCTCAAACTCTGGGTTTCCTCCTCTGTGGATCTTTACCAGGCCTTTACTGCAGCGGTCTCCAGTTGCTGCTTGTTTGAGGGTCTTTATACCTTAAGTCTTAGAGATTCTGAACAATAAAAGTAAAAGGCTTAAAAGATTAATTAAGAAAAGAGTGTAACAAAAGATAAAAAGACAGTGAAGCTGAAATAAGAGAAAAGACGGTTTTTCATAAAAACAGGTCTGTGAAAGTGAGTTTTTCAATTTGACATAAAAGAAGTGACAAGAACAATATTACTGAAGCATTACAACAACAACAACAACAACAATAACAGTAATGATAATAATAATAATAATTAAAACAATAATAATGTGGAATAAAAAATGAACAGATAGTGATTAATCATGGTGCATCATGTTTTCTTTCTCTCTCTCTCTCTCTATCTCTCTCTCTCTCTCTCTCTCTCTCTCCTCTCTCTCTCCCTCTCTCTCTCCCTCTCTCTCTCTCTCTCTCTCTCTCTCAGTATTTCTGATCTTTTGTTGTTTTTCAGACTCTGTCGATGTTTTCAGATGTGAAGGATTTTCTCTCCTGATCCTGGTCTCTGCTCAGTCTGTGGTCTTATGAAGGTAAGTCTGTGTGTGTGTGTGTGTGTGTGTGTGTGTGTGTGTGTGTGTGTGTGTGTGTGTGTGTGTGTGTGTGTGTGTGTGTGTGCGCGGGCAGGGGTCTTTGAGGAGTTGAAGATTACCTCCGCTCACTAACGTCTCGGCGTCTGTCTGACACGGTGACCGTTGGACCTCATTAAAGTCTGGAAAACAGCGTCTGACCTGAAAACTGGATAATAAACTCTGATGTGAGCGAGAGATAAACTCACCTGAGTGTCTGAGAGAGAAAAACACACCTGTGACTTATGTAAGGAGACCAGACAGGAGCCACAACATCAGGAACGACCCCTGACCCCTCCTCATCATCACAGGTCATATTTGTAGTTTCATATTGATCTGTAACTTATTGATCCGGTTCTGTATCGTATTATAACATTCTGTATCATCTCATCGGATCAGAACCTGCAGTTTCCTCCTCAGAATCAGAATCAGAAATACTTTAATAATCCCAAAGAGGACATTACTTTTGTCACAGTAACTCCAGAGCGAATACAGTAAAAAGAGGAGATAAATAAGAGATAAAATACGTAAAAATAAAGAGAGAAATAGAAAAAATAAGTACAAATAAAAGGAAAAAATAATCAAAATAAGGAAAAATAAGTAAAAAATAAAGAGATAAATAGATAAAATAAATAAAGATAAAAAGATAAATAGATAAAATAAGTAAAAATAAAGAGAGAAATAGAAAAAATAAGTACAAATAAAAGGAAAAAATAATCAAAATAAGGAAAAATAAGTAAAGATAAGGAGAGAAATATATAAAATAAGTAAAAATAAGTAAAGATAAAGAGAGAAATAGATAAAATAAGTTAACTAAAGAGATAAATAGATAAAATAAATAAAGATAAAAAGATAAATAGATAAAATATGTAAAAATAAGTACAAATATAGCGATAAATAGATCAAAAAAGTAAAATAAGTAAAAATAAAGAGCTGCTGTATCTTGTTTTAAATGCATCATGTTGTCATTAGTTACAGTTTAGATTTCTGTCTTCATCTGACTAATTAATTCTGATTATATTATAAAGTTTACACTCATATATATATATATATTTTATGGTCCTGACAACATTCATCTTTTTAAAAACAGTCTCTTTCACACGATCAGAGTCTTCTCCGATAATTTCACAGATTATATAAATACACAAACTCACGGACAAAGTGCAACAACTGGGTTTAGATAAACACTTAATCTGACAGAATAACAGGCCGCCTGAGGGATTATGAATGTTTAATGAACAGGTGAAAGTCCACCTGAGCCCAGCTCCACCCCGTAAACAAACAGACACACGATTACAGGAGGAAAAACATCTCTGCAGGTTTTCTCCAGACAGACGAGAGCAGGTTCAGAAGAGTCCGATCAACCTGACCACAGATTTAAGACACTGATTTATTTAAGACACAGGGTTCGACTCGTACCGGGGATTCAAAGAGCTTAAAGTCCAACGTCAAAATAAAAATAAAGACACTCATGAGAGTAAAAGTGAAGAGCCAAACTTTTAAATAAGAGGAAAACATCATTAATGAGCTTTTTAAAGTACCAGGAGGACGCTTAATACCATCTCAGGGAGGACTCTGTGTTTTTATCCATGAAAGGACACCAGAGAGACTTTATTTTTATCGTCTAAGAGGACACTTTAGCAGACAGGACGGCCCCCATAAGGACTGAGTTTATGTTTGTTTAACTAATAAAGGAGAAAATTAGACATTCAGCTCAGTCCAAGTCTGAAAAATGATCTTTTTTTTATAATTCAAAGTTTATTATTTTTTCAATGTTGCAACAGACGAACAAACATCAAACAAAACAGATATAATGGAGGTCAAAAATAATCATAATCATAAAATAAATAAAGGAAAATCAAAATAAGACAGGCAGGTGAGTGGAAAGGTAAGAAAGGGAACACACCTGGAGAAATCTTGAATGTAAACTCGACCCCTCCAACCAGTTTACCCCTCAGCTCCTCCTCTCCCCTCAAGCCCCGCCCACAAACAGACGCTCCTGCTCGCTCGTATCGTTCCAATTAAATTCAGATATAATGCAGATAAATACTTCAGATCATTACAAATGGGGCCCAGTCAAGGTGAAAGTCAAAAGCATTGGTGCTACTGTAGATGCCAACAGACTACCAGCAAACACAATGTTTGCAGGACTTCTACAACGAGGATAAAGTGACATAGTCCAGGACCCGAGGGAGGACAGTTTAGCGATGGCGCTACAACACGCTACAGCAGGTCCGTTTGACAAGAAACACTTCTGTTACAGACACTTGTCTTACTTTGTTAAAGCGGTTTACCTGTCCAGCAGAAAGGTTACAGGGTCACCAAGATCCCCAAGCGTCCCCCATCGTTTATGTTGACCCGGCTTTTTAGCTCTTGTCCGGTCTACCTCCGTTTTAAGCGCCCGTTATTCCTCCAGAGTCTCCGGTATTTACTTTGTTTTCTTGCTTGTGTCGGCAGTCGTGGCCAAAGGAGGATTCAGACAATTTTCCGAACTTTCTGGTTGGTTTCTACTGTCCGATATTGTAGCACGCTAACTTTGTTTGGGCTCCTGAACGACACGGGGGAGCAGCATTTTCTTGTTGACTGTTTTCTTGTTGACTGTTTTTCTTGTTGACTGTTTTCTTGTTGACTGTTTATTTGCTGACTGTTTTCTTGCTGACTGTTTTCTTGTTGACTGATTATGGTTGACTGTTTTCTTGCTGACTGTTTTTTGTTGACTGTTTTCTTGTTGACTGTTTATTTGCTGACTGTTTTCTTGCTGACTGTTTTCTTGTTGACTGTTTATGGTTGACTGTTTTCTTGTTGACTGTTTTTTGTTGACTGTTTTGGTGTTGACGGTTTTCATGTTGACCACTTTGGTGTTGACTGTTTTCTTGCTGACTGTTTTCTTGCTGACTGTTTATGGTTGACTGTTTTCTTGTTGACTGTTTTCTTGCGGACTGTTTATGTTTGAGTGTTTTCTTGCTTGTGTCGGCAGTCGTGGCCAAAGGAGGATTCAGACAATTTTCCGAACTTTCTGGTTGGTTTCTACTGTCCGATATTGTAGCACGCTAACTTTGTTTGGGCTCCTGAACGACACGGGGGAGCAGCGTCTGCCTCACAACCAATCAGGTTAGAGGAGGTGGAGAACGGCTTTGTTTACAGTCAGAAAGAGCGGACCGCTCAAAAATGTTCAAATGTTGACGACACAGACATAAGAGAACACAGAGATATCGATATATTACCAAATAATCAATAACTAATAACTATTGACTGATATTAGAAGATTTTTTGTATAAAAACCACAAAATAAAAAGATGTTTCTTTGACAGATTCCTGCTCCACCTTAAAATCCCTGAATTTAAACCCTCCATTAAAAACAGAGTTTGTTCTTCTCACTGTTATTATTGATGTTACTGTAATATTATTGTATTGTCATGTTTTGGCAATATCGTACAAACAGTCAGGCCAATAAGGCTTAGTGAATGAGAGAGAGAGAGAGAGAGAGAGAGAGTGTATATGTAAATGAGTGAACTCTCTCTCTCTCTCTCTCTTCATATTTCCTCAATCTTTGGTCTCTGACACGTTTATAAAACAGTCACGCATCCTGCTCTGCCCTCCTCCTCCTCCTCCTCCTCTCCCGCATGCGCAGTCAGCCTGCCCACATTGGTAACCCTCCTCCTCCTCCTCCTCCTCTTCCTCCTCCTCTCTGTATACCGCTCAGCTCCTCACTCCCTCCTCATCTCTCTGTCAGACTCCACACCGTCTCCTCCTGCAGGACCTCTTAACTAACACCAGCCTTCAGAAAAACCTGCATTAATGTGAGTATTCTGATATTTCATTCTTGAAGATCTCCTCCTCCTCCTGCTCCTCCTGCTCCTCCTCCTCCGGGCTCGGTTCTCCTTTCTCTCTCTCTCTCTGCGTGCAGGAAGCTTCAGCAGCAATGGATGCTCGTCTGCAGGAAATCCATTTGCATTTCAGCTCAAGTTCAGTTGAGTTTGATCTAAACGGTGTAATCTTTATATTCAGGAGGTTTTCTGTGTTTTAAAGAGGAGTTTAATTTCAGGGAAATCACTCGGTTAGGATCAGAAGTCGGTTTATTCTGGATCAGTGTCTCATTTTTGCGTAAATCTGCCTCCTGCGCGCAGAGAGCGGATTTACGCAGCTCCGTTAGTCCGTGTTGGAGATGTTTGCACACCTCCAGGCTGTGTTTCTGTGTTTCCCCTCTTATGCACTTGGCCGTGGAGGAGCCTGAACCGTGAACTTGACCCCAGGTCCCTCTCTCTCTCTCTCTCTCTCTCTCTCTCTCTCTCTGAGCTGCTTTTCCTTCTGTTCGGTTTTCTGTAAACTCGCTCAGTTTGAGTCTAAAGAAAAGTCCAAATTCAGTTTGTCTCTCAGCATCTCCGAAGTCAAGGTCGACAGCAGGGCTCGACAGGCCCGGTCTGTTACATAACCCCGATCTGAGAGAGAGAGAGAGAGAGAGAGAGAGAGGAACAAAGCGGCTCTTCTCACCTCCTCCCTAAAATCATTAACAGGTTGATTACGCGCATGCGGACTCTGGTCACTCGGTCATATAATATCTGGTTATGAGGAGGTGAAGAGGAGCAGAGACTCTCCCTTTGTCTGAGAGAGGAGGACATTTATACTGTACAGACACGAGGTGTGTCCTACACACACACACACACACACGCCCCCTGACCGCCTGCTGCTCGGTGTGTGTGTGTGTGTGTGTGTGTGTGTGTGTGTGTGTGTGTGTGTGTGTGTGTGTGACCTTGATAGCAGCTGTATATCTTGACTACAGAACAACATGTGCTCTCAGTCTTTGTTCTGCATGCAAACTGATAGGACAGTGGTGCCCAACCTGGGGCCCGAGGACCCTCCGGAGTCACATGACGTCCTAAATAAGAAAAACCTGACATCACTTCATCCACAGGAGAGAGAACCTTAAACCTGAGAGTTTATTCCTCTTTAGTCTCTCTGCTTTTATTTCCTCCAGCCTCTAAATTAACCCTCATGTGACTCAGATTTAGCCTGTTGCTTTGCCTTTTTACAAACATGTGATCTACGGTGGCCCTGAAGGTCAAAGAGTGAACCTTTTAATGACACCAAATATGTCATGAAAAGCAGAAACATTTCACCGTTTTTCTGTTTCATGTCTTTTTTCATTTTCATACTTTATTTCCTTGTTAATATTTAAAACCTTCAACACAAACGAGTAAAAATCTCAGACGTGAATAAAAAGGAGCAGAAAGAAGAAACTCTTCTAGAGTCTGAACCTCTTTTATAAAATATTCATCAACTAAACACAAAATAATGAAAATAAACAAGAACTTTTTACACTTCAATATTTCTGATTCTCTAAAACAAACAGAACAGACCAGGTTAATTCACATTTTTACACAGACTTAGATGAACTTATTTCCCTGTTTTTACTCGACTCACTGACTTTGACACTTTTTTTAAAGATCAAATTTAATTTAGTTTCTTTAGTTTCTTTCTTCAGATTGTTCCACAGACTTATTCCTCTCTCTGTAACTCAGCGCTCCTTCACTTTAGTTCTCAACCTTTTTAAATATTTCAAATCCTTTTAAACTATAATAAACTTTCTCTGTCTTCACATCGGCTCTGGATGTTGATGGTAAAATGTTCCAACTTTATTCATAATCTCCAACAAACTGAAATCTACAAACTCATTATTTTTCATTTCTTTTCCGACCTCCTCCAACACTCACTCTGGATTTACTCTGATATAAAAAAGTTTGTATCATCAGCAAAAAGAACACATTTGAACAGTTTTGAGACATTAACAATATCATTTATATTTTCACTTTATCTATAAATATATATATTATTTTTTCATGTTGCTGTTGACTTCCGGGGCCTCCGTAGTTCTCAGTTCAGCTCTGTGTTCGTTCTCTTCAAAACACATTAAAATCAGGATACTGATATTTTTTCGTTTATTTAAACTCTAAAGTCTTTTTGATCGTCTCACGTCTCCTCGACCTTTATTGTGAAAGGGTCTTCCTGTGTTCTTGTTGCCTTTCAGCAGCAGGAAACCACAAACCCAGAGCAGAGTTGGTGTCTCTTCAGACCTCAGTAACGGCTCACACTCGTCTGTTTTTACGACCTTTAGATCCTCGTCTTCATTAACTCTGTTAGTTTAACCGTCAGAGAGAACAGCAGCTTCATTAGAGCGCCGACCTTTAATATCCTGTTTCATTACCTGTCTGTGATTAAACACACTCAGCTTATACCACGCTCTGATCATAACAGACGCTTCAAACCTGGAAAATAATCATTTATTAAACATCTGTGAGTAAACCTGGATCAATAATAGATGATAAGAAAGTGTTTGATTACAGGACTCTCTGTTTGATCACCTGTCTCTCTTTTTAAACTTATTAAGATGTTTTTCAGACGTTCTCCAGCTTCACTTTGTTTAATTTAGTTTCTTAAATCTGTCGGTGAAATATGAAGTTGAAATAACTGTTTAATTTGGTTTGTCCTGTGGAGCAGATTTAATCTGTAATGCAGATATCTGCCTCTAGTTGGAGCTGTAGTAATATCTGCATCTGTAATTCTCAACTACCTGGATGTAAACGAGCACAGGTGATCGAGTGTTTTTGGTTAGTCGGTGTTTAATCTGGAGCGTGGAGATGAAGTTGTTGTTGGGCTGAGTCGGGTTAAACTGGTTATACTGGTGTTTAACCACGCGACCAGAGCTCTGAGTAACCAGCACAGCCGGATGTGAACTCTACCACGGCTCTGAAACATCCTTTTCTTTTTTTAATTATCAGATTTTATTAATTAACATCGAACCGAACATCATTTTAATTCAAATAAGGTAGAAAATGACAAGAAAAGGAGAAAACATGAGGAGGGAAAACAGAAAAGAAAAAGAAGAGTAAACAAAGAAAACCCTCAAAAACAACAAAAACACAACAACGTGTCATCAATTAAAGAAATACGTGTCCTTGTATAAAGTATTTTTCATCATCAGCTCAGTCTGGGACCCCCTGAACCACCGTCTCCCTTCCGTATAGTTTCTCTTTGACCTTTAGGTCAGTAATCCATCAGGGCCGCCGTGTGTCCATGAAGAAATCATCATTTTAAAACTGACGACACTTCAGATAATTTATAAACGTCTTCATTTTAAAAGTCGTACAAACATTTACATAAAAATCAGTTTTTCTGTTTTCAGTCCTCAAACTTCCTCCTCAGACGTCAGAGTGAATCAGAACCAGCAGAGATAAAGGAACAGATAATCTCAAACAAACAAACACATCATGAACGTTCAGATTATCATGAATGTTCAGATTATCATGAAGCTCAGAGATGCTGCTGCTGCTGCTGACGGTCCTGATAAAAACTCACTATATAAACGGAGTCTTCACTCCGAGGGTCACAGTCACAGTCCAGGTTTTTGGGTTTTTGTGTCTCTGCTGCTGAACTCGAGTCCATCATGATGTCCCGTTTCCTGGTTCCGATCCGCTCCTCCTGTAAGTGTCAGAACTTTGACTCTTGAAACCGTCTGTTTGTGTTCGTCATGATTCTTTTCTCTCTGAGCAATTTCTTCGATTTTCTCTAAACTGATAAAAAGTTTTTAAAAAAGTTTAGGATAAAAATGATTGAAGCGAACCCAAACAGACGATTGTCAGCGCTGATCTCAGTCCTGCTTTAACTCAGGATTTAGATCTTCACTTTTGAGGTCTCGGCTTCTGCGTCGTCTTCAGTCAGACTTTTTTTTTGGCCTTTTACTCTTTTATAGCGAGTTAAACTTTTGGACGGTCTTTGAGAACTTTTTACAGACCTGCTGATTCTCCAGAGTTTGGGTCAGAGTTTCTGAGGCGATGATAGATTTATAAAAGAGACCTGTGTGTGTGTGTGTGTGTGTGTGTGTGTGTGTGTGTGTGTGTGTGTGTGTGTGTGTGTGTGTGTGTGTGTGTGTTCAGTCTGGAGGATGTAGAGTCTATATTTCACAGATCTATAGACTGTTCAGTCTATATTTCACAGATCTATGAGAGCGGTTGGTTCTGGTTCTTCTCTCTTTCTTCTTATATTTTAATTTCTGTGAGATTCTGGATCAGAACTGACTCACCTGGACCTGAACCTGAACCTGAACCTGAACCTGAACCCCCTCTTCTTCTTCTCTCTGCAGCTGTCATCATGTCATCGGTTCTGCAGAAGCTCATCAGCCCTCTGGCCGGCGCCCCCGCTGAGCCCCCCAGGAACAAGGTGACCGTGGTCGGGGTCGGCCAGGTGGGCATGGCCTGCGCCGTCAGCATCCTGTTGAGGGTAAGACACGCCCACATGACGGTCTCATTATCAGAAACAGGGTCAGCGTTGAAAGTGGGTCATGATTCGGAGTATTTGACGAGCTCAGACTGGTCGTCATGGTTACTTCTGCCTCAAAGATCTAGCGTGTGAGGACCGGTACTTTGTCCCCGGACAGTCTGAGGTGAGTCACATGATCTAAGCTCCTCCTCCTCCTGTTCCTCAGGATCTGTGCGATGAGCTGGCTCTGGTAGACGTGATGGAGGACCGTCTGAAGGGCGAGATGATGGACCTGCAGCACGGCAGCCTCTTCCTCAAGACCTCCAAGATCGTGGCTGACAAAGGTCAGGACCCGGGTCTAAGTTCTTCTTCTACACCTGAATTAAACCGCCGCTAAATCTCCTCTCTTCCTCCCGCAGACTACGCCGTGACGGCGAACTCTCGCCTGGTCGTGGTGACGGCCGGCGTCCGCCAGCAGGAGGGCGAGAGCCGCCTGAACCTGGTGCAGAGGAACGTCAACGTCTTCAAGTCCATCATCCCTCAGATCATCAAGTACAGTCCCAACTGCACCCTGATCGTGGTCTCCAACCCCGGTCAGTTCCCCGCCGCGCACGCCTCACTGTCTCTGAGTTTGAATGGAGCAGAAATAACCTCCTGACCTTTGACCCCTCCCCCACAGTGGACGTGCTGACCTACGTGACCTGGAAACTCAGCGGTCTGCCCAAACACCGCGTCATCGGCAGCGGCACCAACCTGGACTCCGCCCGCTTCCGCTACATGATGGCCGAACGCCTGGGCATCCACGCCAGCTCCTTCAACGGCTGGGTGCTGGGCGAGCACGGCGACACCAGCGGTGGGTTCTCACACGGCGGTCTGATGACCTCATTGATCCGTCTCAGGAGTTCTTGTGGTTCTTAAAGGTCCATGTTTGTGATCGCCTTTCAGTGCCGGTGTGGAGCGGCGCCAACGTGGCCGGGGTCAACCTGCAGAAGCTGAACCCGGAGATCGGTACTGACGCCGACAAGGAGCAGTGGAAGGCCACGCACAAGGCGGTGGTGGACAGGTACGAGTGGGCGTGGTTAAAGAGACCCTGTGTGTAGCGTCCCCGGTTGATTGATGGTCTGACTCTGATTTTTCACCAAGTTTAATTTTAAAATAATAAAACAATAAGAACAAAATTAAAACACTTTCTGTAATAAAAATATTTTTACTCCTTTAAATTATATTTTCATGAACCTCCAAGAAAAACAAAATCAACTTTCTTGTTTTTAGCAAAATGAAAATCTTAAATCCGAGCGCTTTAACTTTAACACATGAATTCATCCGTTCATAAACCAAATATCATCTCATACATTTTCAGACATCATTTCAATACAGAGAGCTTTATGATGAATAAATACATGTTGATTTAAAATATACATCGGGCGACATGCTGCGAACTAAATGAATACCGTCTGTGTTAATCGTAACCATCATCGTAATTGTAGCTAATCTTTGCTAATAGTCGGCAACACGAAGCTCGACCAAACTTCGTAAAAACGTTAAAAAGGAACTTCATATTAATTTGTGTGATAAAAGACACACATACGAACGTTGTGCCTCTATTAACCAGGTACTTTAAACAACGTAAAGAGATCGTGATCCTGAGTTTACGTATCGTTTTACTGATCGTTAACTACGAACTTCTGGTGAAATTTTCTTTCAAAATAAGAGCACCGGTCTCATCTGTCTCTGTTTTATTACTTATGGGAAGTAAGATAATAGCTAAGAGGTGTTGCGACTAAACACAACTCACCTACTCTCTTCCAGCAGACGCTTGTTTGTAGAGAGACCTCAGGCCAGTCCATTACAGACTACAGCGGGGTGCCGCAGCTCAAGGAAGAACATTTATGATCATTTCTTCATGGAAATACAATCAGACCGAGACGCTAAGACAGAAGAACTACCACGTCTGTAAAATGATTAATATGGTGATTATTACTTCAAGGAAATGATAAAGAAATGATCATAAATGTTCTTCCTTGAGCTGCGGCACCCCGCTGTAGTCTGGACTCACAGACAGACAGTTTGGAGGATCTAAGTTTGGAGGTTAGACTGGGATGAAGAGGAGGATGAAGCTGCAGGACTTCAGATGATTCCAACATCAATCCGAGTTTCTCTCAGTTCACTCAGAAACGTCTCCTCAGCTGTTCAGAGTCTTTCTCCTCTTTCAGGACCAGGATCAGAGTTTTTCTCACCTCAGTCTTCAGGTCTTCAGACTCCTGCAGAAACTCTAAACTCTGGTTCTGGTTCTGGTTCTGGTTCTGGTCGTTGTTAAAGCGTCAAACAGCTGAGCCCCTCCCCCTCAGTAACGATTATCTAACCTCGCTTACATGAGGGTCATGTGTTCGTTGTTCTGGTCATGTGACGTCTCTCAGACCCAGATCTCAGTCCTCTGTAGTTTTATGAGCTGCAGCCCCGCCCCCTTTAAAGACCTCGTTAAATTAGCTCCTCGCTGCTGCGGTGTTTGTTAAACTTCATCGTCGGTGTCAGTCTGAGGTCGGCTGTGATTACAGTTTCGCTCTCTGTGGGAATGTCTCCTCTGACCCCCCCCTCGGTAAAACCTCCTCCTACTGTCAAAGCGTGGTGGCGGCGGCGGCGGTGGTGGAGGGGGGGGTGTTTTCCTGGAAAAGGCCGCAGGAGGAAGCCCACAGGCAGCCCCTCCCCCCGTTAGCCTGTCCTAACAGCTCAGACCTTCATACTTCACATACTGCTGAGAAAACCTGCTGACTCTGCGAAACCACCAACGGGACTCCTCAAAAACTGTACGCCCCCCCTCCACCCCTCCATCAGGTCCTTCAGTCCTTTTTCATGATCCACTTTGAGCTGGATCAGATTTTGACTTTCTAACCCTCAAAGAGGAACTCACTGAGAAGAGGGGGGGGGGTCAGTTTTTCAGGACGTCACCAAAAACTCAGTTCCTCTTTTACCCAGGAAGAAGGTCTCTCTCTCTCTCTCTCTCTCTCTGTCTCTCTCTCTCTCTCTCTCTCTCTCTCTCTCTGTCTCTCTCTGCTTCTGCTTTCTCTCTCTGAAAGTCCGACTGTGACCACAGAGCAGTTCAGGAAAACTTGTGGACCCTTTTACGTTCCTAACAGAAGACGATGTTTAGAAAGAGTCAAAATACTCAGAGTTAGGTAGAAGTTCCCAGAGGAGGTCCAGAGGTCTGGTTTCTCTCAGATGTGGATTTAAAGGTTTAAATGGATTTATTACATCCGCTGTGTCTCCCTCCACTAAAGAAAACATCTGATTTATTTTATTTTTCTATAATAAATTGTTAAAATAATTATTTAAGGTTAAATAAAAAAAGTGATTTTTATGAAACTTGAAACTTTCATCAGAGGTTTTGGTCTGACTGACACTTTTATAAACGAACCTCAGGAGACGAACTTGGACTGAAGTCCTTAAGTCCTTCATCCTTTGTCACGACTCAATTTTATAAAATTCAAACCAAGAACATTTATGTATTATAAAACAAACCTTTAAAGACTCAAATCTTTGACACAAATTCACTGTTTTTATTGAGTAAACTTTTAGGACGACGACTGCTGAAGGTGCATATACAGAAAATATCAAACTGCACAAAATGGAGACCAAAAAAAGTTAATAATTATTTTCCCACATTCAGGCCTCATTAATAAGAAACTGAGGAGGACCACGACATAATGTGTGCCTTTCAAAATAAGCAAAATTTCAAAATAAAAGACCTGTCAAACATCAGATGCGCATCAAATATTTACTTTTTTGACCAGAACGTGTCTGTGACCCACTTTTGGGTCGGGACCCACCAGTTGAGAACCACTAATTTAGACATACTGGATTTTAGAACTAGCTGTTTTGGGGATGTGGTTTCATATGGTTTCATGACCTCCAGGTGGGGCTGAAGGAACAAACTGTACATTTGTGTGTGTGTGTGTGTGTGTGTGTGGATGTTAACGGTCTCGTCTCCTCGTGTGTTTCAGCGCGTACGAGGTCATCAAACTGAAGGGTTACACCAACTGGGCCATCGGTCTGAGCGTGGCCGACCTGACCGAGAGCATCGTCAAGAACATGAGCCGAGTCCACCCCGTGTCCACCATGGTCAAGGTCTGTACACACACACACACACACCCCTACACACACACACACACACACACACACACAGCTCCCTATGTTCACTCCTGGTGTTTAACCTCGCCTGTGTGTCTCTCTCTCTCTCTCTCTCTCTCTCTCTCTCTCTCTCTCTCTCTCTCTCTCTCTCTCTCTCTCTCTCTCTCTCTCTCTCTCTCTCTCTCTCTCTCTCTCTCTCTCTCTCTCTCTCTCCTCAGAGCATGTACGGCATCAACGAGGAGGTCTTCCTGTCTCTGCCCTGCGTCCTGAACAGCACCGGCGTGAGCAGCGTGGTCAACATGACGCTGACGGACGCCGAGGTGGGCCAGCTGAAGAAGAGCGCTGACACACTGTGGGGGATCCAGAAGGACCTGAAGGACATCTGAACACACACACCTGATCACACACACATAACACACAGCCAAGAGAGGCCTGTCGACACGCACACTCTCCTCTGATACCGTCCTCTCCCTGAAACCGCTGTGCTCTTATTTTGAAGGACAGTACCCGTGTTTTTTTCTCCTCTCCTGATTGGTTGTTTTACTTCCTGTCGGTCTAAAAAACACCGGTACGCTCCTTTAAATAAGCAGATCTTCTCTCAGTTGCTGTGTTTGTGTTCCTCTGTACGGATTCTGGTGTTTCAGCTGTTTGGATCGACCCTCTAAAAGCCCGAAGTGTCCTCCTCCTCCTCCTCCTCCTCCTCCTCCTCCTCTTCCTCGGCCTTGTGCTCAGTCTTCATGTAGCTCCCTGCAGACCACCACAGAGAGACAGACCCTGAAACCCCCCCCTCCCCGCCTTCGTCCTTTACAACAGGAAGCAGCGGCGCAGTCGTGAGCGTGACCCTGATCAGGTGTGGAGGTGGATTTCTGTTGGCAGAGGGAGACGGAGGGAGCGGCAGTGACTTTATTTTTCTAAAAACCCGACTCTGACTGTCCGAGCTCGTCTTCTTTCAACTGTGTCACTGAATAAACCTGAACCTCGTGAAGGGCCGCCTGTGTGCTCCTGAGTCTTTATTTCAGCGTCTGCTCGGAGATGAGAGTCGTTATGATCGTTAACGAAAGAAAAAGACGATTCAAACTGTTTATTTAACTTTCATTAAACCCAGAACTCCATCGCTAAATTAATAACACCATCACTGTCGCTATCGGGTGATTTTTACCTGAAATAATAAACACAAGAAAAAAGTCCTTGTCTTCAAAATAGGACATTACATGATAGATTAAAGTCGTTTTCAGACAAACACAACATCATGAAGATCACCTAAAAACAGGTCTAGTGATAGTGATAAAGGGTTAAACCGAAAAACAGAAAAACCGATCATGTTTGTAAAAAACCAGGACAGAGCGCTTCCCTTTATTCAGGTCAGCTGATCAGTTTGTGAGACTCTGATTCAATGACCTGAAAATCCAAACTGGAGCCTGAAGGACGAAGTATTTTTAGTTTCGTACAACATGACCCAGTTTGTGTTTAAAGGGATATTCTGGTGTAAAATTAATTCAGAGTCAAACCCACCGTAACACAGAGTTAGACCCCCCGTCTAGAGATGAATGTTGTCGACCGCTTGCTTCTCTCAGGCCAGTCCATTACGGACTACAGCGGGGTGCCGCAGCTAAAGGAAGAACATTTATACATGCTCTTAAAGCTTTTATAACCTTGTGTAGTTTTTAAATATGCTCTTAAAACTTTAATTACAATTTAAGTTTTTGAATATGAATTTTAACTCTTTTATAACCCATTTTAGTTTTTTAATATGTTTAAAACTTAAAGAACCATTTTAGTTTTAAAATATGCTCTTAAAGCTTTTATAACCCATTTTAGTTTATATTTGCTCCTTAAACTTTAATAACTTTTTTTACTTTTTAAACATGACTTTTAAAACTTTTATAACTCATTTTAGTTTTTAAATAAGCTTTTTAAAACCTTAATAACCTTTTTAGTTTTTAAATATGCTCTTAAAATAACTATTTTGGCTTTTGAATATGAATTTTAACTCTTTTATAACCCATTTTAGTTTTTTAATATGTTTAAAGTTTAAAGAACCATTTTAGTTTTAAAATATGCTCTTAAAGCTTTTATAACCCATTTTAGTGATTATTTGCTCCTTAAACTTTAATAACTTTTTTTACTTTTTAAACATGACTTTTAAAACTTTTATAACTCATTTTAGTTTTTAAATAAGCTTTTTAAAACCTTAATAACCTTTTTGGTTTTTAAATATGCTCTTAAAACTTTCTAAAATCATTTCTTTATCATTTCCTTGAAGTAATAATCACCATATTAATCATTTTACAGATGCGGTAGTTCTTCTGTCTTAGCGTCTCGGTCTGATTGTATTTCCATGAAGAAATGTAATCAGACTCTGAGTTTGACCCTCAATTAATTTTACGCCGGAATATCCCTTTAAGTCGGCCTCTGTGGAGGATCTGCAGCCTCCCTGGTTCTGATCGGAGACCTGAACGGGTTCAGACTCTCACTGAGGGGTCAGAGGGGAAAAACACCGAAACATGACGACTCCAGGAGAGGTTTAAAAACATCGTCACGATAACGGCGAGCGCTCCAGGAGAACACGGATGTAGAGGTGGAGACACCGTTGCCATGGCTACAAAGTTTCTCTGTGTGGTTTAAAGTTGGAGTGTTGTTCCTTCTTCAGAGGATCTCATATAAAGTCGTCTTCACTTTGTCGAGTGTTGTTGTTTCAGTCGGAGGTTTCAGGTTTCGGTTTGTTCGGAGAGAATAAAGATATTTACTCTCCTGGTGACCGACAACAGAGCGGCTCTAACTTCTGATATCTCAGTCGATATCAAAATTTCATCGGATCAGGTCGGGTCTTGTTCCTGGCCCGGGGAGAACCAGAACCTGTCTGACTACATAGTTCCTGTTGAGAAGTGTTCAGTCGGAGTGTGAGGCGAGGCTCAGATTGGCTCTAGTCCCAGGATTATTTAATCTTTGTTTTTTTGGGGCGTTAACAGGATTTAAGAGTCCTGTAAAAATAAATAACCTTCAAACTAACATGTTAAACTAAACACCTCTGAGTCTGTCAAAGTTTCCTCTCTGATCACTTATTGATTATTTTTATTTCTTTGTTTTATTTGTGTGTTTTATCTGAATGTATCTGTTGTCATGTTAAAGGGCAGCGCCACCCTGTGGTTGTTAGATGCAGCTGCAGAAACCTGCTGTCGAGAACCTTTCTGAGTCAGGACTGTAGTCCAGAACCAGGAGGGTTCTTGTTTCTGGGTTTTTAACATTTAAATATTAAAAAAAATGAAACATTAGCAGAGATTCTGTGTTAAAATGTCTTTTATTGACATTCTCAGTGTTTTCACAGTGAATAAGAGTACAAAAGGAGATTCACAGAGCTTCATGTTTTCAGCAGTAAAGTGCTTTTCTGTAAGGAGCTGTCTCAGGTGTCCTCACGGGATCTCAGGTGGGCACCTCGAGTTCTCGCGAGAAGAGAGAAAGCGGTGAGAACTTATTGGTCCGGGCTCTCTTCACGGCCCTCCTGTAAACGTAGCTGTTGAACCGTTTCCCGAACCGGAGGCCGAACGGGTTGAAGTTGAATTTGCTCCTCCGGTCGTTGCAGAGGAGCTGCCGCTGCTCCTCGTTCTCCCGCAGAGAGAAGCACGTGCTCGGGTCCTCCTCCACGAGCTCCCCGGTGGACCTCCTGCTGAGGGCGGAGAGGACCGAACCTGAGGAGAACCAGAACAGGCAGAACTTCAGCTGACCGTGGAGAGGTAAGGAAGAAGGTCAGTGATGGAGCAGCTTTTAGTATGGAAGACCAACACGGACAAACGGAGACGATTTCTTTAAGGCTAAAACTGATAAACAAACAAACTTTTTATTTCTGTAAAGATGTTTTTTTTTTATTTTCCCATAGACTGTTTATACTATTATTATACTTTTCTATATACAGTCTATGGTAAGCCCTGAGGGTCAACGGCACAAACATTTACAAAATAAATAAATATATATATTTTTAAAAATCACTAAATAACAAAAACATAACATAAGACTAACAAACAGCTCACAATGTATTTAAAAAATCATGAAACTGAAAAAAGGAGAAAAGAAATTACTGAGGGCAGAAAAACATCTAATCTAAATATTTGATGAATCATAGAAACAACAAAAGTTTATGCAAAAATATATTTTTGAATTTATTCATACAGAAATATTCAAAGAAATACAAAATAAATTATAATATTATATATATATTATTTTAATTTAGAAAATATCAAAAGGAAACTTTAAGCTTTAAACTTTAAGTTTGAACAAAAACTTGATTCATATTCCCGAAACCTTTTTTTGAGTAGAAGAGGAAAAATACGGCAGATTTTTGTGCTTAATTAAAATAATTTAACGTACAGGAAAAGACATTATTTCCAAATAAGGCGCAAAAAAGGTGCCGTTTTGTATTTTAGCTGAACATTTTTATTTTTATTTATATGAAGAATTAATTCAACTGATTTAAGATAAAATAAGATAAGAAGAACTTTATTGATCCCCGAATGGAAATTCAACAGTTGGACAAAATTAAAATTCAAACTGATATAAAAAGAGTGTTTTTCTGTTTTTTAAATTCATGAAAAATTATTTCTGTTCAGTTTTTGCTTTTTATTAAATATATATATTTTATTCCACTTATAAAATCAGGCACTTTATTTTGAAATCTGTTGATTCATTAATTAAAAACTAATGAATCACTGCAGCATTTTCACATTTTAAATTTGAGTTAATTAGTTCATTAATCGTCGGTCTCTCACCTGTCGCAGGTGTCCTCTGTGCAGACTCGGATCCCTGCTGAGCATCCTGACCCACGATCAGCCCGCAGACCACGACCAGAGCCACCAGCCTCATGTCTGATCTCATCGAACCCGGCTCCTCTGTGTCTGCAGGTGTGTGTGTGATATGGAAGAGTTTCACCAGGCACTGACACGCTCACTCCTATCTCACCTGTTTTATATTTCCACCAGGTGACCTCCTGCAGCTCTCAGCCAATCACAGCCGGCCGCGTCTCTGCGCTAAATTGCAGAGCTTTTGTAAAAATGCATCATTCATGACCCGCTCTTCCGGGAAAACGATGACGGGGACGATCCGTCCTGTGAAAGGTAAGCTGTGAGAGCATGTTAGTGGTAAAATAATTCATGGACACTTTTAACCAAACCGACCCAAACATGGAGACACGTCATCGCACATGATCCAGTGACGTGGCAGCGAGCAGGACCGGGAGGACGGGCTGAAGGTTCTGATGAGACTTCAGAGAGTGATCCATAAATGTGTCAGCTGAGAGGAAGGCCGACGAGTGATATGAGCGCAGGAAACAGGAAACAGACTGGAGTTCATGAAGAACAGGAGCGTTTACAGAGTCAGTGAAAAAGAGGAGTTAGAGGTTCATCACAGGAGGAGGAGGAGGAGGAGGAGGGAGGTGCTGAGGTGAAGATCTGCAGCAAAGATCTGCAGCCCAGTCTGAACCAGAGATGAAGACATGCTTTAAATAAACCTCAAGAAGATGAAATTAAAAATAAAGTGGATGTTCTCTGAGGATTTAGCTTTTGTGACTTTTTAGACCAGAGCGACTTTTTCCATTTTCTTCTTATAACAGGTGACAGTAGGGCTGAGCGATATGGGAAAACATTTATCAGGATATATTATTTTCCTATCAGCTGATATCGATCAATATCAGGATCTAAAAATCTAACAGTGTTTCTTGGTCTCATGTCTTTTCCAACACAATAATCTCCTGCATCTGTGAGGTCTTTGTGTCTCTTTGGCGTTTTGTCGTAAGGCGTCGCTCTAGAGAAAGCCGACTGAATGGTCGTCTGTTTCGGCTCCTCGCTCCTCTCGGGGTTTGTAACCTTTTGCGTTGCGCGTGCTCTGCGGCGTGGCGCTGCTTCAGGCGGTGAAAAAGATTTGAGGTATTCCCCGACTTTGTGAGAACATGTACTCGACATAATTTACAGTCCACATTACTCTGCTTCATGTCCGACCTCCAAAAACCAAAATACCTCCACACCACCGACGTTTTCCTAACGCCAGTGTTGTGGTTGACATTGATGTGGTCATCTGTTGAGCCTTCATGGTCATTTCTGTCGGGGGTAGCACTCATTTTCTTTGTTTCTCACCAACAGTGCTGTCGGCTTCACCTGTTAAAGTGCTATGGTTGGGTGGAGCTGCTGTCTGCTACGACGCTGCAGTTGGTTGATACTTGGTTCTAATTCAGAACATGATTGGTTCAGACCCGGAGACACGCCCCTTTTATTAGCTATTCGTATAGTCGACCAAAACATGTCAGAATGACGACTATTGAAAAGGATATTGATCATGTTTTATATGATATTGAGGGAAATTAATTTCAGATATATATCGTTGTCGTTTTGTCGCCCGGCCCTAGGTGACGTTTAAAGTTCAAGTACAGAAGTTGGTTCACAGACTCTCATCAGTTCTCCACATACAAACTCCTGTGATGCACACAGGTCTGCAGACTGTTGCACCACATTTCTGCAAAGCCAGGGGGCGCCATCAGGCTGCAGTGAAAACACCAGAAATGCACAAATGAACAGAATCAACCTGAGACTGAGAAACTGCTGATATCTGGATCAGTGGGACTAAATGCTGCTCTGACTCTGTCCAACATGATGATCATGTTGATCTCAGTTCATCCTTATATCACTAATGCTGTTAAATAATCATAATAATGATCACAGGTGTTTAAATGATGGAGTTTCATTTGGATTATTGAAGATTTAAGATTCAAATCAGCGACGACTGGAAAAGGACACGAGTATCAGACCTGACTGTTCGCTTATTTTCTGGATCTCTACATCCTGAGATTTTAGTCTGACCCAGTTCACGGGTTCTCATGGTTCCGGTCTCGTTAGCAGTTTTTTCACTGTCCCTGTAAAAAGACTCAGAGAACCAGAACTTCAACTCCTCTGGTCCTCGTCCGTGCAGACCTTCATTCATCCACATTTCACAATCACACCGAGTTCATCACACGCAGCTCCAGCAGACCTTTGACCCTCCTGTGTGTGTGTGTGTGTGTGTGTGTGTGTGTGTGTGTGTGTGTGTGTGTGTGTGTGTGTGTGTGTTGAAGGTAAACGTCCCCTCTTCCTGGCTGGAGGTCATCCACAGTAGGCGGGCTGCAGCTCTTTGCCCTCCTCACTCTCTTGATCTCCTCCTGTTGTGTTTGTAGCTCCATCTCCGCCTCGTCCAGGACCTCCACCTGCAGACCCCTTTGAAGGATTCACAGTTTTGGATCTCAGGTGGTTTCTGCCGGACCTCCAGAAGACTTTCCGAGATGCCGCTGTCTCGCTCCCTGTCCATGACGTCCCTGAGCGGGCTGCTGCCGTCCTGGGAGGAGGACGATCTTCCCGTGGAGAACCTGCTGCTGTTCGAGGTGTCCTGGGAGGTCACCAACAAAGGTAGAGATGATTCATGTCTAAAGAAACTTCCAGTTTGAGCTCAGATCAGGAGGTGTCCTGCAAAATAAGAGAGCAGCGACCGCAGTTACAAACTTTCTCTGATTGACATAAAACAACCGACAAACAATTCAACACAAGTCACTTCATCAGAGGTGATCGACGTGAAAACAGACTTTACATGTTTGAACATCTGTGTAAAAATAAAAAGATATTTGGTAAAACTTTGCCCCTCAGAGAGTCAACATTGAAATCCAGTCTGCTCCCTCTGAAGAGCTAAACATTAAACCTAAGATAAGTGAGGACGCGCTGCTGCTGCTGCTGAAAAACTGATTTGAAAGGGAAAATAGGAAAAATATAAAAACATAAAAATAGAAAAATTAGGGAAAAGAAAAAATATGAAATACATGAAATATATCAAAAATATTAAAAATACAAAAAATATGAAAAACATAAAAATGTGAAAAGTATAAAAAGTTAAAAAATATATAAAAAAAAAAAAATAATGTTTAAAAATATGAATGATACAAAAAATGTAAAACTATTCATATTTTAATTAAAAAATGGAAAATATAAAAAATATTTAAAAAATATCAAAAATAATAAGAAAAACATAACAACATGAGAAATATAAAAAAATATAAAAAAATATTTAAAAAACAAAGATTAAAAAATGAAAAATATAAAAATTACAAAATGTATAAAAAATTTAAAAATGATAAAGCATGTAAAAAAATATTTAAAAAATATCAAAAATAATAAGAAAAACATAACAACATGAGAAATATAAAAAATATTTAAAAAACATAAAGATTAAAAAATGAAAAATATAAAAATTACAAAATGTATAAAAAATTTAAAAATGATAAAGCATGTAAAAAAATATTTAAAAAATATGTAACTTATATATAAAAATATAAAAACATATACACTGATTGTAGTTTTGATATCAGCAGCATGTTTGTAAAAGTACATCCAGGTTCTCATTGTTCCTTAGACCTTAGTGAACCCCAAAACTGAGGATGCAGCATCTATGATTTTCAGTTCTTCGTTGAGGCGATGGTGTAATTAAGTCAGTTTGTCCTTTTTAAAGGAATGTAAGATTTTGATCCATTAGACCTCAGAACGGTTCTCCTCTTTCCCTCAGTCCACCTTAAACGAACCCGGGTCCAGAGAAGTCTCTGGTGTTCTCTCTGGTCTCCTCTTTCCTGGTTCGTTTTGAACCTCATTAGCAGACGCAGTGATAAACTGTGTTCACAGTCGGTGGTTTTTGAAGTGATAATGAGTCCATGTGGTGACTTCCACTCCAGAGTCCTGTCTGTTTTTAACACCCTGAAGATCAGGACCAGTCCGGGTTTTGGTGAAGCTTTGAGTACTCTGCAGCTCTGACATGTGCTCGTGTTTGTATGAATCAGTGTGTGTGTGTGTGTGTGTGTGTGTGTGTTTACGATGGTGACAGGGCTGCAGTCATGTGTTTGAAACAGCAGGTAAAGGGTTAATTCACGTATTTCAGACTCATCAAAAATGAGGAAGAGGAGGAGTAATTGGAGCACGTGTGCAGAGATGAAGCTGACAGCGTTCAGGTCGATCTCTGAGAGTTTCTGCGTTTCTCTGCAGCCTGATGTGTTTTTATTTTCACCGGGTTCAGAGGTCGTCGCTCGTTCTGCTGTTTCCTCGGCTCTTATATAACCCGAGCGGCGCTGTGACGCGGTTCAGACGTCAGTGCGAGCTCACTGAGTGTTTCTGCTCCGTCACGTCAATATTTGTCTGTTTGTTGACAGACGGAGGAAACAGATCCACGTGTTTGGACCTGAACAGGATAGAAACTCCACCTCAGTCATCTCACTGTGATTCTGTTTGACCTTTGACCTCCAGAAGGATGTAAATAAATGTAGTAAAATATGAAAGTCGTTAAGGCGGATCTGAACCGGACTCTCCTGTGTTTGGACCCACAGTGGGAGGAATCTACACGGTGATCCAGACCAAAGCCAAGACCACGGTGGACGAGTGGGGGGAGAACTTCTTCATGATGGGACCGTACTTCGACCACAACTTCAAGACGCAGGTGGAGGGCTGCGAGCCGCCGCACCCCGCCGTCAGGAAGGCCATGGACGCCCTCATCAACAACGGCTGCCAGGTGAGTCGGAGCGGTCGGGGGACGGGTTCTGGACTAAACCCTCGACCCCGTAAACAAGAGTCTTTAAAATAACATAGAAATAGACCGGGTAGATCAAGTCCACCTTAAAGGGGTTCAGGTCCAGAGGAGTCCCGGTGGTTCTGGATCCTGGTTCTGGTCTTTGTCCCTCAAACAGGAAGTTTGTGACTTAAACATGTTTTAAATAATTTGAATGTCTTATAAATTTAATTTTATTTACAGTTTTTTTTTCAGTCCCTAACAATAATTTACTCAAACTTCAGATCCTGTTTCTGAACTCGTCACACAGACTCACTCCTACAAAAACACAATAAATTCATCATTTTCTTCTTTTAAAAAACACATTTAGTTAAATATTCACTAACTCTTCATTTCAAAATCAAACTCATCTTTCTCTGCTCACACTAACTTCACAAAAACTCTGGAAATCTGAGTCTAAATGAAGAAAAACTCTCGTTTTCACTTCATAAGGTCCATGCTGTCAATCAAAGTTCACCAGGTTCAAAATACTGATTATTACTGACATGATAAAAAAAACTACAGAGACTCTAATGTTTCAGTTTGACAGGAAAAACATGAAATTCACTGTTTTTACACTAAATTTCTTGGTTGGGAACTTTGTGTCCACATGTAATGTTCACATTCAGAAACATTTCCTTTACTGTTTACTACAGGAGGTTCAGTAGAAATACTGTTTACAATATGATAGAACAGAAAAAGGTTTACAGTAGTGCTGACAGTCAACAAAATATCCATGAAACACACGAGAGCATCTGAACAAAAAAAATAAATAAAATAAAAATAAGAATAACAGCAAAAAGTCCATCTGTCTGCGATCTTCACATGTTTTCATTAAAATCAGATCTGAGATAAAACCGTTTGGTGTGTCAGATCCACCGTTGGTTATCATCGACTGTGACGTCCCTGCAGCCAGCATCCATGGCTTTAAGGAGGAATGTCTGGTCATGTGACTGAAGGTCATAAAACCTTCAACCTCCATGCAGAGAAGAACTCTATATGAAATCAGCTGTTTTAGCACCGATTTACCAAAGATAAATCAACTGTGTGTCGGTGATTCAGTCGTTTGTTTATCATCAGCTCAGATTTATTGAGGTTTTTATTCTGTAGCGAAGGTTTGGAGTATTGTCTTTGTGAGTTAACATTCATAAATAAAACTAAAACAATCATCATTTTGTTTGACGTGTTGCTCGTCTGTTAAGAAATTGTAAGTACTGTAGAAATGTGACTTCACTGACTTCACTGTGAACGGTAAAAAGTCCGATGCTGGACTAACTGTGTTCAGAGTTTAGAAACTGTTCAGACAAAAGTTTGTTAGTGACTGAAAAAAACTGTCTCTGTCTGAACCGTCTCTACTGCAGGAAGTTAACGCTCACCTCTGACCACTTGGTGGCGCCACTTCACCAGACTGTGTAGATATGTTGGAGGCTGTAGATGGTGTCTGGACTAAAACCTGCACCATCATGAGCCCCACCAGAAACCGGGTCACTGAAGAACCTCTGACTCTGTTCTTCAGGGTCTCTCTCTTCTTTGTTGAACTTTAGTTTCATCGTCTCGTCTGCGAAATAACCACGAGTTCATCTGTCTTTGTGTTAAATCAGCTGTTTAATCAATAAATGGTAAAATTATAACTCAACAACAACCTCGGACTGGACGTCTGATCGTAGTAGAAGTGCGTCAAAAACACCTCACACCTAAAACTCAGGTCAGCGTCGTCACTCCAGTTATGAAGTTGATGTGGAACTGTGTCTCTGCTCCACGATGGAGAAATATACAAATATTCTAAAGTTAGTTCAGTATGTGTAAAATGTTGATGTGAAATCAGTAAGAAAATAAATCAGTGAAATAAAGTATAAAAAATCAATAATGTATTGATGAAGCAGATTTGGATGATTTACGTGTCGTCTCCTCTGAACGTGTTTTTTCCTCTTGTTCAGAATTTAATCCGAACTTTTTCCCGTTTTCTGTCGATGTGACGCTGCAGGTTCATTTCGGTCGCTGGCTGATTGAAGGAAGTCCGTACGTGATCCTCTTCGATGTGGGCTCTGCAGCCTGGAACCTGGACCGCTGGAAGGGGGACCTGTGGCAGACCTGCAACATCGGCCTGCCGTTCAACGACCGCGAAGCCAACGATTCGCTGATCCTGGGCTCCCTGATCGCCTGGTTCTTCAAAGAGGTGTGGCCTTCACAGCTGTCAATCATCCTGACTTCCTCCATCGATCGATCGTCTCTCACTGCCTCTCATCTTTGGGTTTCAGCTGACCGACCAGCTGGAGGACAAACAAAACGTCATCGCTCATTTCCACGAGTGGCAGGCGGGTCCGGGTCTGATTCTCTCCCGCTCTCGTAAAATCCCCATGGCGACCATCTTCACCACACACGCCACCCTGCTGGGACGATACCTGTGCGCTGGGAGCGTGGACTTCTACAACAACCTGGAGAAGGTGAGAGAACGGCACACCTGAGAACTCTCACCTCAGATCTTTCTGAATGAACAAACATCGTTTTCCTTTTACGACTCACCTGTCCTCGTCTCAGTTTACCTGTAGACACTAAACTCAGGTGTGAACACTGACTTCCTTTAGCATCAGGTGGGAACAGGAAACAGGAAACACCTGCAGAGTGAAACTTGGACAAACTTCTCATCATCGTAAACACATGTTCACGTTTCTGCTCCTTCATTATCGTCTCAAAGGTTCACGACAAACATCTACAGCTTTTACATCCACTTAGAGCGTCGTTAGTGTGTGTGTGTGTGTGTGTGTGTGTGTGTGTGTGTGCAGAGGTCAGTGTGCGCGCTGTAATTGGCTCCACAGTCACGTCCTAAAGGTCAGCTAAAGGCCGCTGAATAATTGACGGAGAAGATGTTTGTTACCTGTGGAGGAACTTTACCTGAGTGATCGATAAAAACACATCATTATGAATTTTCAGATTTATGACCTGTGACACAAACACAGACACGAACACAGACACAAACGATCACACAAACACACTCACACAGACACAGACACGGATACAAACACAGACACAAAAACAGACACAAAAACAGACACAAACACAGACACAGAAAAAAAAAGGAGAGCAAGACGCTGTTTTTTTTTTCTGCATCATCACTGCGAGGACCTGAGGTGACGCTCCACTTTGTTTGAAGGTCGACCCGTTTTGTATTTTGTCTTTATTGAACATTTGAATCCACAAAAAATCATATTAACATTTTAAAGATAAAATAAAGTCCCAAGAAATAAGAATATAAATTCACACGAGACAAAAACATGTACTTTCTGGTATATTTGCTTTATTTTGAAAAGCTTCAAATAACTTCCTGAGTCCTGAGTCCTCTCAGTCAAGACAGTGTGTGTGTGTGTGTGTGTGTGTGTGTGTGTGTGTCACAGTTCAACATCGACAAAGAGGCCGGTGAGAGGCAGATCTACCACCGTTACTGTCTGGAGAGGGCGGCGGTCCACTGCGCTCACGTCTTCACCACCGTCTCTCAGATCACCGCCGTGGAAGCCAATCACATGCTGCACAGGAACCCAGGTGGGGGACGCTTTTCACCGTCGCACCCGGACCCGAGTCCCCCTTTAGGACAAACTGAGCTCTGATTGGTCTGTTGTTCTCACAGATGTCGTGACTCCAAACGGGCTGAACGTGAAGAAGTTCTCAGCGGTCCACGAGTTTCAGAACCTCCACGCCACCAGCAAAGCCCGGATCCAGGAGTTCGTCCGAGGTCACTTCTACGGGTGGGTGACACACACACACACACACACACACACACACACACACACTCACAGTTAGTAATAATAATGCATCAAAGTCAATGTTGTTACTAATATTTGACATTTCTAAGAGTGTGATAGCATGAAAAAAATCTCCAGCCTCTGATCATTTTTAAAATAAAAATCAGTCATTTTGAGTTTTTTTTCATCAGATCAGTGACATCACCTCTAAAACTGACATTTAAAGTAGGCCTGAACGATATATCGTTTGACTATCGTCATCGCGATGTACGTGTGTGCGATAGTCACATCGCAGAGCCTGCGATATTGGAGGTGAATGAACTTATTTAATTTCAAGAGTAACTGACTGAGATACACTCCATGTGACTCTGCATGTGCTGTGCAGCGATCTACCAATCGCCTTCGTCCTTAACTCAGTTGCCAATCAGACTCACTTCTCAGTTGCCAATCAGACTACCCTGCCAGCTGTCAATCAAAATCAGAGAGGAGGAAACCCACCCCTGCACATGTTCTGCACATGGAGGGAGACGTGTGTCCGCTGAGAATTACTTTCGGAACTTTACTCATGACTATTAAGCCCAACAAATAAGAACTGTATGGGTTTTAAATTGTACATTTCCGTGGACCACTCTACTATAAGCAGTGCGCGTTTTGCGAGGTGCATGCAATTCTCGGAGGACATGCGTTTCTCGGCACAACACCGCTAACAACAACAACAACGATCGCAAAATGAACAACGAACAAGCGAAAACCACCGAAAATGAAGATTTGTTGCCAAAAAGAAAAGGAAAGTCAGTTATCTGGAATTATTTCGGTTAAAAGAAGGATGATGTCGACCAAAACACGTCTTCTGTGTTCATCTGTTTCCACAATAAAGTCCCAGCACAATAAAAGCTGAAAATATCTCTGAGACAGACAGAAGCCGTTCTACTAACATTCACAAAGATGTAAGATCAGAGCAGATTAACTGTCCTCAAGATTTCTGCAGTGCAGCATAACATTAAGTGCTATTCAGGTCATCTGGTGAAAATTCCTGTATTTTTAATATCGCAATATATATCGCAGGGTTGAAAAAATCGCAATATTATTTTTTTCCAATATCGTGCAGCCTTAATTTAAAGGGTTAAAATCAATAACTATTTCTAAAAATTCAGTTATTTTCATCAGGACTGAGTTTGATAAAAAGATCTGAGAGAAATAAAAATGAAAAATATCTCCCTGATTTGTTTTTATAGCAGTTAAAGTTAGTGGACAAAAACAGCCAGAAGAGGAGGAAAGGGTGTCAAATTTCAAGTCTGATTCTGTGCAGAAAATAATAATGCATCAAAGTCAATGTTGTTACTAATATTTGACAAATCCAAGAGTGTGATAGCATGAAAAAAATCTAGAGCCTCTAAACATTTTTTACATTTAAAATCTTTTTTTTTGTGTATTTTTTTTTTTCATCAAATCAGCGACATCACCTCTGAAACTGGCATTTAAAGGGTCAAAATCCATGATGATAATTTTTTTGTATTGTTTTGAAAAGGACTGATCTTGATGAAGAGATCTGAGAAAAAACAAGTTTAAAAAAATCTCTCTGATCTGTTTTTACAGCAGCTAAAGTTGGTGGACAGAAACAGCTGTAAGAGGACGACAGGGTGTAAAATTAGAAATGTTCCTCCTGAGTTTGAGGATTTTGACGTTTTCAAACCCGACTGTGTTTTTTTTTTTTTTGTTCCCCTCCTGCAGCCATCTTGACTTTAACCTGGAGAAGACGCTCTTCTTCTTCATCGCCGGACGCTACGAGTTTTCCAACAAGGGCGCCGATCTTTTCCTGGAGTCCCTGTCCAGACTCAACTACCTGCTGCGGGTCAGAACCACGAACCTTCTCATCAGCAGAAAAGAGATCAATCATTTTGATTTGAGGTAAAATCAGATTCATGAGAAGGTCGAAGTTTGGACAAAGACACGACCTTCAGAAACAAAGATCAGAGAGAAGGAGGACCATGGCGGCCTCCACATCCACGTCTGGATCGTAGGGTTCCTGCAGCTGTTACAGAACAGGGACAGAACCGATCCTCTTTCTGATCTGATTATTGATCCTTCAAGACCTTCTGGGCTCCTCACTGATCCATGTTTGTGTCCTCAGGTCCACAGACACGATATGACCGTCGTAGTTTTCTTCATCATGCCGGCTAAAACCAACAACTTCAACGTGGAGTCTCTGAAAGGACAGGCGGTCCGCAAACAGCTCTGGTAGGTCCAGATCCGGTCCATGTGAGAGATCCTGCTCTGAGTATGTGGACCCCACGAGGTTCTTCAGAACCAGCAGCCCCTGAGTTTTCAGACTAAACCTCCATCCCCAGGTCTCTTCAGATGTTAACCCTCGATTTCCCCTGAAGGTTGAAGTCCTCAGGCGTCTGTTTTTATTTCTTTATTTTCGTTGTTTTTAATCGTTAAACTTTAATCTTCTGGTTTTCTGAGTGAGCCTCTCATGAGTTCTGGTCCCTCCTGTTTCTCTAAGTGGTTTTTCTTCTGACCCGTACAGGGACACGGCTCACTCTGTGAAGGAGAAGTTTGGGAAGAACCTGTATGAAGCTCTGCTGAAGTGAGTATCCACACCTGCAGGAGATCATCAGACCTGCTCTTCTCGCTGGTCTGAAGTGTCTGAACGTTTCTCCTCAGAGGTGAGATCCCCGACATGAACTCCATCCTGGACCGAGACGACTTCACCATCATGAAGAGAGCCATCTACGCCACACAGGTACGAGGACCTGAGAAAAAACTGAACCAGGTTTTCATGGAGAAGGAAACAGACTTTGTCATCAGTAACATCGTAACGGCGGCGTTTAATTCTTCACCGCTCTGACCGTCCGAATCATCTTCAGCTCAGCTGGTGACCGCAGAGACCCGCCGAACTCAGGTCTGACACTGAAAGCAGCTAGACTGGGACTTTTAGGAGCTCCAGGGTCCGTGGACTGGTTTGAGTGGTTTGACTGGTTTATGATGGAGTCTTGTGTTTAATGAAACTCTGAAAAAAACAGGAGTCAGCCCTCTTTTTATCGTCTCTATCAGCTCTATAAAAGAACAATACCACATCATAGATTACTGTAAATGAGAATAAAATCCACTCCCTTCGTGAGAGCGGAGATGATGAACTCATACCTGCCAACACTCTCACTCTCAGACCTCTCTCCCGCCCTCCTCCCATATTGTCATTCCTCCCTGAATCTCCTGTAGTTTGATGGTCCTCCTTCACTCATGAATCAGATCTCTACACTCACCGGCCACTTTATTAGGTACACCTGTCCAACTGCTCGTTAACACTTAATTTCTAATCAGCCAATCACATGGCGGCAACTTAGTGCATTTAGGCATGTAGACATGGTCAAGACAATCTCCTGCAGTTCAAACCGAGCATCAGTATGGGGAAGAAAGGTGATTTGAGTGACTTTGAACGTGGCATGGTTGTTGGTGCCAGAAGGGCTGGTCTGAGTATTTCAGAAACTGCTGATCTACTGGGATTTTCACGCACAACCATCTCTAGGGTTTACAGAGAATGGTCCGAAAAAGAAAAAATATCCAGTGAGCAGCAGTTCTGTGGGCGGAAATGCCTTGTTGATGCCAGAGGTCAGCGGAGAATGGCCAGACTGGTTCGAGCTGATAGAAAGGCAACAGTGACTCAAATAACCACCCGTTACAACCAAGGTAGGCAGAAGAGCATCTCTGAACGCACAGTACGTCGAACTTTGAGGCAGATGGGCTACAGCAGCAGAAGACCACACCGGGTGCCACTCCTTTCAGCTAAGAACAGGAAACTGAGGCTACAATTTGCACAAGCTCATCGAAATTGGACAATAGAAGATTGGAAAAACGTTGCCTGGTCTGATGAGTCTCGATTTCTGCTGCGACATTCGGATGGTAGGGTCAGAATTTGGCGTCAACAACATGAAAGCATGGATCCATCCTGCCTTGTATCAACGGTTCAGGCTGGTGGTGGTGGTGTCATGGTGTGGGGAATATTTTCTTGGCACTCTTTGGGCCCCTTGGTACCAATTGAGCATCGTTGCAACGCCACAGCCTACCTGAGTATTGTTGCTGACCATGTCCATCCCTTTATGACCACAATGTACCCAACTTCTGATGGCTACTTTCAGCAGGATAATGCGCCATGTCATAAAGCTGGAATCATCTCAGACTGGTTTCTTGAACATGACAATGAGTTCACTGTACTCAAATGGCCTCCACAGTCACCAGATCTCAATCCAATAGAGCATCTTTGGGATGTGGTGGAACGGGAGATTCGCATCATGGATGTGCAGCCGACAAATCTGCGGCAACTGTGTGATGCCATCATGTCAATATGGACCAAGCTCTCTGAGGAATGCTTCCAGCACCTTGTTGAATCTATGCCACGAAGAATTGAGGCAGTTCTGAAGGCAAAAGGGGGTCCAACCCGTTACTAGCATGGTGTACCTAATAAAGTGGCCGGTGAGTGTATATCAGTCCAAAGTTTCCTGAAGATCGTCGTGTGTTTCTGCTGATCCTCACAGACTCTGGATCGATCCTTTGACTGTTCGGGATGATTCAGGTTGAAGCTGTAAACTTTATTTAAACAGAGTTTGTTGTGAAATCAACACTTTAATGAAAGGGAAACAAACCTGAGATCTAATATTTACGTCGATCGTCTTTCAGCGTCTCAGAGTGATGCGTTCAGGGCAGCCTCAGATAACAGAGCGCTGTATTTCACACACAGACGTTCAGAGAGACTCAAACAGGAGAGAGAGGATGGAGGACAGAGGAGGACTTTAATGTTAGAGGACTAAACAAGGTCAGATCAGAGATATTATCTTTTTATTTTATTACCATTTTTATCGTTAAAACAAAAAGTGTGCAGCTTCACTTCGACTTATTTGGAGGAGTAATTTAATGACAAATAATCTCATAATTCACCAGACAAGCTAACCCCAAACTGCCTGTCGCACGCCGCAGGAATCTCCCAGATTTTGTCACCCAGATGTGTCCTTTGACCCCCTGCAGGGTCAGAGTAGTTCCCCCTGAAGCTGAACCATCTCTCCCGAGTCTCTAAAGTTTGGATCGCTCCTTTAATTTGATTAAAAATATCCGCAGAGAGGAAAAGAGAAAAGACCTCACAGATAAATCTCTCTCTGTCCTCGCTCTGTTTTTATGAATGGATCCGTCACTGACGGCGAGGCGATCGATGGATCGATCAGAGCGATGGGCTCCTCTGCAGAGATGAAGCTCATGGGGGGATTCCCCGAGTAAAAACTGTGAATGAAGGTCCTGCAGCTGAATTAGGTCTCAGAGCTCGGGTCAATACCGCCGCTGTGTCCAGGTGATCTATGTCAGAGCGCCGCGCTCATAAAAAAGCTCTTCTTTTCAATTATATGAATTTATGCTAACGTCAATAATGGAGGGAAATGAAGCGTGAGGGTATCGACTGACGGGGTATGAGGACTGAGTGGACGGGGTCTTAATCTGAGCCCTGATTGGACGAGAGGCTCCTCAGATGATTCCTCTCGGGGTCGTTTCTCATGTTTATGTCTGCGCTCCTGTGAAAACATGTTTGTAGATTTTATCACCAGGATGATCCATGATCCTGGTTTTCACCTTCCATCCCGTCAGAGACACCTGTAGAGACACCAGCTGAGCAGCTCCATGGACTCCATATGTATCTCCTACAGACCCAGTCCAGACCCAGTCCAGACCCAGTCCAGAACAGGGTTACAAAGGGGAGGAAAATTCCAGCAAATTTCCAGAAACTCGCCATGGGAGTTTTGGAAATAATCCAAACTGGAAATCTGTTTGTTTTAGTTGAGATTATATTACAAGATAATTTCACCAACTATATTTAAACTCCTGATGAGGGCCAACCTTCAGTTTTGTACATTACAGATTTATTCCTTTAGTTCCCATGAAAAGTTTCCAAATCTGAACATTCATGGAAATTTTGCAACCCTAGTCCAGACCAAGTCCAGACCCAGTCCAGACCAAGTCCAGACCAAGTCCAGACCAAGTCCAGACCCAGTCCAGACCCAGTCCAGCTCTCCTCAGGCTGTTCAGGGTGTTACCTTTTACACAGCCTCAATGTAAACAAGCCGACAGTCCGGCCTTCAGAGAAAATATCTGAGACTGTTATTACTGTGTCTCTGAGCTTCATGGAGGTCTTTCTCGATGATCAGCTCCAGGTTTCAGGACCAGCTGAGACTCTAATCCGGCCGGTCCTGGTCTTGGTTTACAAAGGAGTCCTCAGTGAAGCGGCGAGGACCAACAGCTACGATGTTACTTCCTGCTGTTTTCTGGAGCCTTCGTCTTTAGGGAGAGGAAACAGCCGAGACTGAGACTGTAGGGACGGACTGGACCGACAGAGACCAAAGAGGAAGAGGAGGAGGAACACAACTCACCTACTCTCTTCCAGCAGACGCTTGTTTGTAGAGAGACCTCAAACCAGTCCATTACTGACTACAGCGGGGTGCCACAGCTCAAGGAAGAACATTTATGATCATTTCTTTATCATTTCCTTGAAGTAATAATCATATTAATCATTTTACAGACGCGGTAGTTCTTCTGTCTTCGCGTCTCGGTCTGATTGTATTTCTATGAAGAAATGATCATAAATGTTCTTCCTTGAGCTGCGGCACCCCGCTGTAGTCCGTAATGGACTGGCCTGAGGTCTCGCTACGTACAAGTGGCGTACTGTTGATGAAGTTAGGTGCTGTTCTGAACATTATTTGTGGCTATAGAGTGGCGTTTTGGTTGAGCACGTGGCTCTCTGTATTTCTATCCTGCGGTCGTTACTAAAGTTGGTATAACTAGAGAAGGAAGCGGTCGACAACATTCATCTCTGGAGGGGGGGTCTAACTCGGCGTTACGGTGGGTTTGACCCTAAATTCACTTTATGGCGGAATGTCCCTTTAAGTCCCCGGATTTCTTCAGGGTGGCGTGGAGGATCAGGCTGCCTCACTTTTACTGCTGAGCATTGACCGCTGTCGTTTTGAGATTCTGACCAATCAGGTCGTCCGCCTCTGGAATTGATTGTTTCATTCATGGTTTCTCGTCTCTTTGCTGAGGATGGATTTTCCCTCGGGGACAATAATGATCGTAAAGATCAATAAACTCTGATTGTTTGAGGATGACGGATGGAGAGTTTGTAGATCTGTAGAGTATAGATGTTGACTGCAGGTCACACCTCTGCACACCTGGAGCGGCGGAGGGAGGAGGACTGACAGAATGAGTGATTGATCCAGCACTGCTCGATTGGTAACCTTTTGGACTGTGGTTCTGACTGAGAGGTATTGATCGGCGGGAGAATCGGTTAAAGATCAGATTAATGATATCTGATCACATCTGCTCTGGATGAAGTGGATAGTTTAGATGAATTCTGATATGGTACCGGTTCTGTTGGACCTCAGTGGTCTGGATGAACCTGATCAGTCACTGCTGGATCACGTGTTTGGTCGTGGCGTTCCTCAGGGCTCTCTCCTGGGTCCTCTGGTGTTTCTAAAGATGGTTCTCCTCAGATCTCATTCGTGTCTTTTAGATCTGGTCTCCAAATTTCACATTCATCTGTGATCTGTACAAAAGATCCTGATCCTGTTTCTCTAAATCTGGTTCAAAGAAAAGTTCTGGTTCAGATGGACTTTTCATTTCAGAGCGAGAACCGAGGCGGCTGAAGTTGGGATGTGTTCGGAGACGTCTCTCTGTCACTCACAGGACAGGACGAACTGAGAGCAGACAGACACTAACCCGTCTCTCTCTCTTCTTCTGACTGTCTGTCATTTTTAGAGACACACCCTCCCTCCAGTGACGACTCACAACATGCTGGACGATTCGACGGATCCCATCCTGTCCAACATCCGACGCATCGGCCTCTTCAACTCCAGGAACGACCGCGTGAAGGTGACGTTTGGCGTTTTTACTCCACCTGCTCATCACGTATTCGAACCTTCGATTACTTCTGTCTGAGGTCTCCGTTTGACCCCCCAGATCATCTTCCACCCTGAGTTCCTGTCCTCCACCAGTCCTCTGCTGCCCATGGACTACGAGGACTTTGTCCGTGGATGTAACCTCGGAGTGTTCCCGTCTTACTACGAACCCTGGGGATACACGCCAGGTGACCTTTAACCCGCTGACTTTGACCTGTAAACACACACACCTGTAAACACACACCTGTAAACACACACCTGTAAACACACACCTGCAAACACACACCTGTAAACACACACACCTGCAGACACACACCTGCAAACACACACCTGTAAACACACACCTGTAAACACACACACCTGTAAAACACACACCTGTAAACACACACCTGTAAACACACACTCCT